TTATGCCCGTGCAGCATTTTTAACAACCATGTCACTCATTTCACAACTGCTTCTCTTCAACATGGTGACAAGATAGGGCAAAAATGTAAAATGTGAGGACAGTCGTAAGTTCGAGGACTGGTCAAAAGTGTGAGGACCAGTCAAAAATAACTTTTTCAGCCCTCTGAGTAGTCCATATGCACAAAAGGACTAACCAGAGAGCTGAAAAAAGTCATTTCTGACAGGTCCTCGCACTTTTGACTGGTCCTCACACTTATGACCATCCTCACATTTATGCCCATGCAGCATTCTTAACAACCATGTCACTCATTTCACAACTGCTTCTCTTCAACAAGGTGACAAGATAGGGCAAAAATGTAAAATGTGAGGACAGTCGTAAGTTCGAGGACTGGTCAAAAGTGTGAGGACCAGTCAAAAATAACTTTTTCAGCCCTCTGAGTAGTCCATATGCACAAAAGGACTAACCAGAGGGCTGAAAAAAGTCATTTCTGACAGGTCCTCGCACTTTTGACTGGTCCTCACACTTATGACCATCCTCACATTTATGCCCGTGCAGCATTCTTAACAACCATGTCACTCATTTCACAACTGCTTCTCTTCAACATGGTGACAAGATAGGGCAAAAATGTAAAATGTGAGGACAGTCGTAAGTTCGCGGACTGGTCAAAAGTGTGAGGACCAGTCAAAAATAACTTTTTCAGCCCTCTGAGTAGTCCATATGCACAAAAGGACTAACCAGAGAGCTGAAAAAAGTCATTTCTGACAGGTCCTCGCACTTTTGACTGGTCCTCACACTTATGCCCATGCAGCATTCTTAACAACCATGTCACTCATTTCACAACTGCTTCTCTTCACCATGATGACAAGATAGGGCAAAAATGTAAAATGTGAGGACAGTCATAAGTTCGAGGACTGGTCAAAAGTGTGAGGACCAGTCAAAAATAACTTTTTCAGCCCTCTGAGTAGTCCATATGCATTAAAGGATTACAGCAATAGAGAGGGATGAAGGAATGGAAATTAGAGTAGGAGTGAGGGTAAGAGAGGGAGGAAGAGAGGAGGAGAAGGAGAAAGAAAGAGGAAGTAGGGAGGAGAAAAAGAGGGTGGGGGGAAGAGAAAGTAAGAAGGAAAGAAAAGAGAGAGGTGGTAGGTTTGAGGAGAAAGATTGCTGTACAATAAAAAAGATGAAAGGGAAGAAAGCCAACCCCAAGCAAATATAAAGATATTAAGATAAAGAATGAATTGTTAAACTTTAAAGAATAAAAGAGAACAAATATGAATAAATAGCAATAATTAGAAACACACATACAAACATACAATGTATTTTCTTTGAACAGAATATTTGGCTGGTTCACAAATTTAAACAGCGTTTAGTCATTTCAATTAAATTTACAATTTCTATATTTCCTTTTTGCCATATTTATTCCTCATCTATTTTTTAAAAAAACCAATATTACCCTTCATCCTCATCTCTAATCTTAATCAAATTCAATTTTTCCCTTCTATTCTATATTATACCCCTTCCCATTGTCATCTATTTTTATATCCATCCTCACATTGTTTAATTATGTAATTATGTAATACAGTTGTTTAATACAAATTCAACATTTTAATATAAATCAATTAGTTATAAAACTATCTTTTTTGTATATTAATCAATATGAACATGAATATTCCAATTATTTCCATGCAATCCAATTTCTTACAAATCAATTAATTATATTTACCAATAATAATAAACCAAATAATTTCTCCCATATATTCCTCCGAACCACAACTTAACCATTTCTGCTTTCAACACAATATACAATTAATAGTATCTCAATTATTACAATTCCCTAGTTAAATACAGCTTTTTTTCCTTTGTGTTTTAAAATCTTGAACTCTCCTCCTAAATTTCCCATTGTTTGCAGTTTTTCACCTACCTTTTTTGGGGAGGAAAAATAAAAATAAAAATAAATCTCTCTCTGCCTCATTTTGTCACGCTGCACCAAAGACCCTGGTTTCGGTTTCGTTTCTGAAGCTTAGCTAGGGGAAAAAAAAACTGCTTTACACTGATTGCCTGTAGGGCGGCCCTTTGAAGCCCCGGGCAAGAGTTTAAACAGTTTTTTTTTCTTCTAGCCATCAGCTGGGGCTCAAGAAAAATCGGGACTTTTTTGAAACGCCGCGGGACGCGGGACAAATTGCTCAAAAGCGGGACTGTCCCGCCAAAAGCGGGACGTCTGGTCACCTTATGCTAGAGAAACATCTGGATATAAGAGCAAAATGGCTGCCTCCACCCAAAACGAAAACACACAGGAGCCACCCCGTTCTCGCTCCTTCCAAATTTGCTTTGATACTTCCTCTACCTACCACTCAAAATGAAATTGAAATCCCTGAGCAACATGGAGGATAAAATCCCTCCTATTTCCATCCTCACAAACAGGAAGCAACTTACATGAAAAGAAAAGAAGATCATTTATTTTCAGCAAACAATTTTGGCAAGCTTACGCAATTGTTAAGGAGGTAGCAGCCTGACTCTGCAATTGATCTCATGTTCCTCTTTTTTAAATCATGAAAACCCAGAAATAGCAATCTATAAATAATCAGTGTTGAATGTTACACTCGGCATATTTATTATTTAGTTATCAAATATATGGTCAAATAATTGCAATAATCAATTAAAAGTGAATAAACTATTTTAATGAAAAAATATATCAGAATGCACACTTCTTCTTTTAGTAATAGTTTCATTGAAGATTACCGTTAAACAGATAAAGCCAACACAAGGAAAAAAAAGAAAGAAAAAGTAACCTCTAGTTGAATAGTTGAATAGCAAGAGGTAGAAAGCAGAAAGCGATTCAATCTTGACACAGTCATTAAATTGGGGGGAGGGGGTTTCCAGGAAGGAGGCAAAGATTTTTACACAATTGATTTATTTTATTTTTTAGTTGTCTACTTATAATTTTCCGATTCTTGAACCGCAATCAAGTTTCAAGTTTATTAGATTTCTATACCGCCCTTCTCCCGAAGGACTCAGGGTGGTGTACAGCCATATTAAAACACATAGATTTATAAAATTTAAAACCAAATTAAAATCAATATATAAAATTGGCCCACAAATTTAAAACACACATACACCCATGATAAAAATCATATTAGGCCAGTCCGGCTTGCTGGAACAGGAGGGTCTTAAGGGCGCGGCGAAAAGTACGCAGGTCGGGGCTAAGACAGAGCTCTAAGGGCAGCTCATTCCAGAGGGCTGGTGCCCCCACAGAGAAGGCTCTCCCCCTGGGGGTCGCCAGTCGGCATTGTTTGGCCAACAGCACCCTGAGGAGCCCCTCTCTGTGGGAGCGTTTTGGCCGGTGGGAGGTTGTTGATGGCAGAAGGTGGTCTCGTATATACCCCGGTCCTTAAAGTTATCAAGGAAGGACATGACTAAGGCTCTATCACCAACCCACTGGGACATTATTTCCTTTGGACTTTAGATCAGGCTGAACCACGATGACCTTTTGTTTTTCTTTCAGACGTCCTTGAGATCGGGAGAGAGTTAAGCCTGTGAGTTTGTTCATATCCCACCTTTATCCTTTTCATAAAGAACTCAAGGCTGAGGACATAAATAACGCTCTTTCCTTGTCCTATTTTCCTCACAACAACCCATATGATGACTGGCCCAAAATCACACAGCTGACTCTGTGTGACTCAAGTCCCATCTCTGTCCCTGAGATGGGACTTGAACTCACTGCCTCCTGGTTTCTAGCCTGGTGCCTTAAGCACCACAGGTAGTCTTCATTTTACGACCAGAATTAAGCCCAACATTTCTATTGTTAAGTGAAACATTTGTTCAGTGAGTTTTGCCCTATTTTATGACTTTTTTCCCACGGTTGTTAAGTGAATCGCTGAAATTGTTAAGTTAGTAACACGGTTGCTAAGTGAAACTGGCTTCTCCATTGACTTTGCTTGTTGAAAGGACACAGAAGGGGATCACATGACTCCAGGACACTGCAACTGTCATAAATATGAACCAGTTGCCTACTGTCCAAATTTTGATCACATGACCACAGGAATTCTGCAATGGGCATAAGTGTGAAAAACTATCATAAATCACTTTTTTCAATCCCGTTGTAATTTAATGGTTACTAAATGAACTGTTGTAAGTCGAGGACTACCTGTAGACTAAACTGAATGAATTTGTGGCTGACTGGTTTATCCTTGCTCATTTTTCTTTCATGCGTTATATTTATTGTCTTTTGTTCTTGTATTGATATTTTTGTTGTGTTGGCTGACCAGAGCCTCTTACGTCAGCTGGGCGGTCATATATTCTAATTAAGAAATAAATTTCTAAAAGTTTTGAATCAGTAGAAGAGGCTGAAATATGCACTGAATTCTTGCAAAATGCTTTCAAGTTTACTTTTTAAGCTTTCAAAGATGGCTAGTCCAGAGGGAGGGGGAGGAGAGACCCCATCCTTTTCACTCCTCCATGCCCCCAAAGCATCCCCTGTAATATGGGTATTCCTCCCCATAAATCAGGGGTCTCCCCACTCTGGGGCCACTGCACCTGAAGAGCCCAGAGAGGATCTCCCAGAAGCAGGAGAAGCTGCCCTTCTGCAAGGGGACCAGGATGGCTCTGGCCGGTCACTGAACTCCTGTCTCCAAAAAGGGCCACAGGCTGAGGCTCAAAAATCAGCTGTAAAACACCAGCCACTTGGCCAACATCCTGAGGCAAAGGAGGATTTGAGGGAAAAGCAGCCTCTGTTGCTGCCACCACCAAACCAAAACCAAGCAGCCATTTTACAGGTGGGCAACTGGAGATGCTAGAAAAACATCTGGACACGGGAGCAAGATGGCTGCCTCCTCCTCAAAGGAGCACACAGGAGCCACACCAGTTCTTGCTCCTTCCAAGTTTTGCCTTGGTTCTTCCCTCTCCTCCTCCCGCTCAAAGTCAAATTGGGGCCTCTGAGCAATAAATTAAAAGGGTAAAATCCCTCTTAATTCCAACCTCCCCAAACATACAGCAACTCAGGTAAGAGGAAAAGAAATCATTTATTTTCAGCAAACAATTTTGGCAAACTTACAAAATATGTCCCATTGTTAAGGAGGTAGCAGCCTGACTGCAATTGATCTCCTGTTCCATTTTTCTAAATCATGAAAATCCATAAATGGCAAGCTATTAAAAATCAGTGTTGATTGTTACAACGGTATATTATTTGTCAAACTTTGTGTTATCAAATATATGGTCAAATAACTGCAATAATCAGTTAAAAATGCATCAACTATTTTAATGAAAAAAATCTCAAAATGCACACTTCTCTTAGTAATAGTTTCATTGAATATTACATTAAACAGATAAAACTAACACAAGGAAACAAAGAAAAAGAAACTCCCACCTTTATCTGCAACAAGCGTAATGAAAATTAACAACTTATCAGTGTTTCTTAAAGTAAAACCAATGAACTCTTCATCCTATTCCTCATTCTCTATAAACCCATCTCTAAAACCTCATCTTTAACCTCTAATCTCCATCCACTCAGATTAATCAGCAAAAGCCCATTAAGCCCATTGTTATGCAAGCTAACTATTATAAACTATTATCTATGAAATCCAATTTGAAATCTTTTGATCCCACACTTAATAACACATAGCATATTCTTTTTCCCCTGCTCCTCAATCACCATAAAAAAAAGGTTACTGATTCAGTGATAAAAGCAGTGATGAAAGGCCCAAAATCTATCCTGGTTCCAGCATGCAGGAACGGCCTGAAGGGCTCCTGCTAAGAATCTGGCCTAATTCAGAAGAAGGTCGATCCCATTTTCTCTCCTCTCTCCTCATTCTGGTGTGTCCCCTGCAAAGAGGAAGGGAAAAAGTATCCAAGGGTTAGTTGGATCAAAACAGTCGGAGTCTGAGAGCTGCCACAGGATAAGAGATTGGGGGTAGGAAGACCCCTCCCCTGAGGCCTCTCCCTAAATTCCTCACCTTCCAGTGTTTGAGATTAATAGGAGAGAGAAGAGGGATTTCCAAAGCATCTTCACCATCACTTGTTCCTTGGACCCCAAAGCCCTCCCCTCCCTCCCTCCCTCTCCCCCCATATGCCCCTCCCAGTCCACTCACCTGCAAAGTGGCTGCTAAACAGCCTGGTTGCTCCCTGGATTGGAGAAAAAGACACAGAATGAATCAATGTCTTGTCCTGTGAGGAGGGCAAATCTCCCTCTTCACCATTAAACCTCTGCAGCTTCATAAACATCTCAGAGGACATAAAGCTTTTTATTAATTTATTAATTAAACTTCCATCCCACCTATCTCATTAAGGTGACTCTAGGCAGCTCACAGTAAAATTCAATAAAATGCCATGTAGAATATTTGAACCAATAAATAAAAACCACATTCCCCCATCAGATCATGTTGCCATTGTTCCGACAAGAAGATCATGTTCACATCGGACCGAGGATGATCTGGGAGAGACCCACAGATGCCATGGAGGCCATGAATCCCTGGGCTGCTTCCAAGGCCAAACCCAGGGATGGCAGAGTGAAGACTCCCAGGACCAGAATCCTAGGCAAGTCCATGCCAACCTAAGGTGACCCCCAGCAACTGAGGCAGGGAGGTGGCCATGCAGCAAGGAGGCTGGTACAGTAGCAACAATTCCAAGTGATCCCCTGAGCCCATCTTCAGAAATAGGGAGTCACAACCAGAATCGTGGGGTGGGAGCATCCTGAGTGCCAGAAGAGATTCTCAGATGACCACTATAAACCCACCAATCCTGGCTGGGATCTCAGTTGGGGCCAAACCCTAAACCCAGCTGGGCACATCTCTGAGAGAGGGAACCCCCCTCCCCTTCCAGATTCAGTCAGATCTCAGCTATCCCACCAGAAGAGTCTCCAACCACTGGGGATTATGGCATTGCCAGTGGTTTTCCTATTTCCCCTCAAAGAATTGAGGGCTCTTTCCTCCAATGGGGGCCAAGGCTCCACCATGCAGACTGTGGGCTGCCTCCTCTGCCTGAATCCAACAGGGAGAGTTTCCCTTCTCCTCTGCAGGATGAACCAGTGCAAGGAAAGAGAATTTTGTGACACCCGGCCGGCTTTCGTGCCTAAGGTGGGACTAGAAATCATGGTCTCGCCTGGAGCCCTCACCACTAAGCCAAAACGGCTCCAATTATTCTTATTATTCCACCAGAACCAGACTCAGAGGGAACCCAGGGAGGATGAATTGGGGGGGCGGGCTTTAAAAAGTGGGGGCTTTTCCCTCTTTTCATCCCCTCATCCACCCAAAGTCTCACAAAGGGACAGAATGGTTTTTGCAGCAGCAGCAGCAGCTCCCTCCAACTTACCTTGGTCTGAACTGCTGGATTTTATGTCACTTGTTGAACATAAATCTGGGGAAAAATATTTTGAAGAATTAAATAAGATTATATTAAAATTTGTATGGCAAGGTAAAAAAGCGAGAATAAAATTAAAAATGCTACGAGATTTTAAAAGTTAAAGAGCAACATTATTTTAAGATACCAGTTTCGTTATCTATAATGGAGGCGTTGAATCATCCAAATGTTATGAATATGGAAAAAATTATAAGATACAAGGACGTATTCAATGAAAGGGAAGAACTAAAAACTAAACAAGAGCTAAACAGATTAGGGAATGACCTATCATGGTGGCCACAATTACAGATACAATCCAGATATGAAAAAGATAGGAAGGCGTAATGGGTTTTATAAAGAACCACATGAGCTAGATCAGATTCTAATGGGAACAGATGAAAAATTAAGTAAGAGGATATATAATTATTTACTAACTATTAAATTGGAGGAAGAACAAGTAAAAGAAACCATGATAACTTGGGCTAAGAATTTTGGCTGTACAATAGAATTAGACAAATGGCAGAAATTATGGGATAGAAACCACAAGCACACAATGTCAACAGCGTATAAAGAAAATCTCTATAAAATGGCGCCTTTCACCTGCAAGAATAAAGAATATATACAAAGATAAATCTGTTAAATGTTGGAAATGTAGCCAAATACCAGGTACATATTATCATATGTGGTGGACATGTCCCAAAGCAAAAAAATACTGGGATAACATTTGCATATGGCTGGAAGCTATGATAAAACAACACATAGATTTGAAACCTGAGATACTCCTGTTGGGCATGCTACCAGGAAATTATAATAAAGGCAGCGGTGAAATCTAAAATTTTTACTACCGGTTCTGTGGGCGTGGCTTGATGGTGGTGGGTAATGTTGACTGGGTGGGTGTGGCCAACTTTTTTTTTCTTTTACTTTTAAAAGCATTTTTTCTACAACCTTAAGAGGTTGTAGAAAAAAATGCTTTTAGAAGCCTCTGGCAATCAGGCAAATCAGCTGGGATCGACAGACGCTTTTAAAGGCATTTTTTTTTCTACAAGCTCTTCAGCCACAGAGGTTGGACAGTAGCCAGGATTGTATACACACAATACTGGAAAAATGAAGAAACCCCCACAGATGAGAATATAATAAAAAAAATACTGGAATGTGCAGAAATGGATAGGTTAACATTAGAAATCAAAGAAAAAGAAGACTGAATATTTTAAAAAGTGGGGGCCTCTCCTCTTTTCATCCCCTCATCCACCCAAAGTCTCGCAAAAGGACAGAATGGCTCAGGCAGCAGAAGCAGCTCCCTCCGACTTACCGTCATCTGAACTGCTGGATCCTCTGTTATTTGCTGGAAAAGAAAGAAAGAAAGAGAGGGTGAGGACGTCTCTCTCTCAGCTTATAGGTGGAGAAGCTCAGTTCTTTCTGACTCCAGCTCCCTCCCTCCCTTTCTCTCTCCCATACAATCAAAGACCCACAAATAGATGGAGAGAGTTTGGATCAAACTGCTCTGACTAAAAGGCATCAGAAAGAATTCACACAAAACCAGAAGGCAGAGCTGATCTAAAAAGATACAGATGGATCCAAAGTTTATCTTCGTAACTTGTTCGTACTTAGTGAGCCTTGTGATAGGAGACCAAAAGAAGATCCAGCTGGCATCCCCCAAAGCTCCTTTTCCCTCAAAATGTCCCCTTTTGATCCCTGATTGTATGGAGCTTCTGACTCCATTTGACTCTCAAGCCTTTCCTTTCTGCCTACTTGGAAAACAGAGCATTTTTTTTTCACTCAGAGGGACCTTCTCATCTGCTTGAAGGTTCCTTCTCCCAGATGTTTCTCCTTGAAGATTCCACTTCCAAGAACAATCTGGCTGTAATGAAAAGGGGTCCCATCTTCCCCAGCCTGGTTCTTAGGATAAAGAGGAAGATAGCACACACAAACATACATACACCACCCCCCTCTCAACTAAAGGTGCCCCTGGTCCCTGCTCTAGGTTGGAAATTACATGGAGAGGACAAATCACTCACTTGGTGCTGCTTTGTAGCCAACTTGACGTCTCTCTGAAAGGAAAAAAATCAGTGAAAGCTCAAAAGAATCCACCAGAGATCACACAATCACTCCCTCTGTAGGGGAAAGAACTCCAGGAGATACTTCACAGATCTTTTTTCCCCATTTATAAAGACAGAAAGACCTTCAAAATACAAATCTATCTCCTGATTTGCCCCAAGAGAGACCTGCTGCCTCTGAGATGGATGGATGGGAATTGTGGGAAGCAGCAGCAGCAGCTGGGAGGGGAGGAAGGTTTCCATGGAAATCCTTCTCTGCTGCTCTTTGATCAAAGCCTTTGAGAGGGACAGAACTGGGATGCCTCTTCCCAACTCAGAAGAAGACAGGACTGCCTGAATCTCAGACTCAGTCTGAGTCGAGACTGGAGTCCCAGGAAGAGGCTGAGTTCTCAGATGCTCCCCAAGAGGGCTGGGAAAACAGGACAGAAGGAAGCCCAGAAGAAGCTCCCCAAAGGGAGAGACTTGGGAGGAATCTCCCATCTTCCCCCAATCATCCAAAAAAGAATACTTACTGCAAAAGTAAATAAAAGCCAAAATCCCAACAATCACAATCACGGTAAGTACAGCCATTACGCAGCCAATGATGAGCCCCAGGTTGGATTTTGAATTGGTTGGTTCTGAATTGGGAGAAAGAGCAGATCATTGAAGAAGAACCCCAAACAATCCTCCCAATCAGGGAAGAAGAGACCTAAAGAAGTGAAAGCTGGAAATACCCCAAATTAAAAACTCCATGGGCTCATTTTTGTGTCCTTCTCAAGGTAACAGGAAGGCGCCTTGCTAACCGTTGTTAGAGGACGTGTCCTCATGACGCTGCCTCCTTCTCACCCCAGCCCAGCATGAAGGCAACTGAATTCATCTTTGGCTTTTCCACTCAAAAACAGCCGTTTGCCACCTTGTGACTCATAGCAGCTTGCAAAACAAAAACTTCACCAACACAATGTAAACAAAATTTGTTTTTAAAAAAACACTTTTCTTTCTTTTTTTATAGGCTGCAACCTTGGAAGTCCAATGTAAAAACCGTTAAGGACACTTCTGAGCATATACAGAACTCTTTGAGAGAGGGATTTTTTCCCTGGTTTTTATACTGAGCCTCAGGAATTCACATATCATGTCATAATATGATTGGTTGCCGATTGGCTTCCAGGTGCAATTCAAGGTGCTGGTTGTCACCTTTAAAGCTTTTCATGGCTTGGATCAGGTTATCTGAGGGACCGTCTCTTGCCGGTCACATCTACCCGATCCATCAGAGGGGGGAGGCAGGGAATGCTGCGAGTCTCATCCACCTAGAGAGATACACCTGGTGGGATCCAGAAGAAGGGCCTTCTCCGTGATGGCTCCCTCTCTCTGGAACATCATCCCCCCCAGAGATTAAAATGGGCCCCACTCTAATACTCTTCCGGAAGGCGCTGAAGACCTGGTTCTGCCAGTGGGCCTGGGGAACCCAGAGCGGGATGGAGGCCATTAAATGGCTCCTGTGATCTGCTGTCGTCAGGGCGGGGGGTGGGAGTTGGGAGGTGATTTTGTTATATTGTACTTTATTAATTTATTTGATTCTTTTTGTTAGTTTTTGTTGTTTTAAATGTGGTTTTATATTCTGTAAACCGCCTTGAGTCGCCATGGGTGAATAGGCGGCAATATAAATTCAATAAATAAATAAATAAAATAATGTGTAGTTCTCTTTCGTAGAGCAGCAACACATAGTGACCCTTGATCTTTAAAGCAGGAAACCCTGTTAGTCTCTGATGGGAAAAAACTCATACTTGGGAGCCTCTTTTCTAACTCCTGAAGCATCAGTCCACTCTCTGCATTTCCTGAAGGCAGCTGCAGTTCATCCATTTTAATCAGAATTTGCCTTCAGAAAAGGGGCTACCAGACTCTTCCTGATTCTTGTACTTTAGGAACTGTAAACAAAAGGAAATCTCTTTCTGGTGCTCAGCATAACTGCTGCTTTTCTGTTGGGGGCAAGAAACAGGGAAGGCCTCAGAGAGGATCTAAGGGCATTTCATCAGGATCAGCCAAGTATTGTGATGGGATTCTGTAGTTTCCATCACCTGAAGTCAGTTCTATGGTTGGGTCCCTGCACCTTCATCAACTTCAAACACTGGGAAAACCAATGGCTTAAAGCTCAGGTATATTCACACCTGGTCACAATTGGGGTCAGATTACTCTCCCACAACCCTCCAGGCTGCCAAAGAGCCCAGCCTTCTCCTCCCTGCAGCCTCTCACCCTTCAGTTCCAAGTCCAGAGGCTCCTGCAGGCTGTCATGTTCCACGTGGCATCGATAGCGGTCTCTCTCTTTGGGATCGATCTTGACACTGATCCAGTAGTGGTAGGTCCCATCAGCATTGGGGGCCACAGACGCATGGAGGGTGTCCTGCAGCCAGACCTCCCCGTCCCTCATCCAGGAGGCATCGATCTCCCTGGGGTAGAAGCCATCCAAGCGGCAGACATGCATTTCCATCCCATCCTCCTCCTCCATCCTTCTGCTCACCGTCACCTTTGGGGTCTCTGCAGAAACGGCACCCCCAGAATTAATTCTGAGCCCCTCCAGAGCCTGGAAGGCGGATCAAAAAATTGAAGGGGCAGGAAAGTCTCCCACTACTTAGTTTCAACCCAAGGATTTGCTGCTGATCCACACAGAGACTTGATCCTGGCCAGCCACAACTACATCTTGCAAGGGCAGAAAGTGCATTTTATGTTAATGGATGCCCAGCAATAGGAACCAAATAGAACTTCCTGCATCCTGGAGAGGGGCTGGGAGGGGAGGAGAAGGATTCCTTTCAGGGCAAACAGGCTGCAGACCAGGGACCCAAATGGGCTGAATGTGTACAAGAAACCGGGCCATAAAGGAGGAAAGTCCAGCCTGGACCCAAATGCTCACCTGTCCTCTGCAGTGTCTCATTTCCATAGGACAGGTACTTCTCCAGCCACTCAATACAGATTTCCTCCAGGTAGGCCTTGTCTCTCTGGTTCTTTCCTGGAAGAGCATCCCATTTCCTCTGGGTGATCTGGGCCTGGGGGTCGGGAGCCACCCAGGTGAGGGTCTCTGGGTCGAAGGTGAGGAAGGTCCTCCCATCATAGCCATGCTGTTCAAACCCTCCTTTGGTCCCGTCTGCACAGACTTCACAGCCAAACATCCTCTGCAGTGTGTGGAGGCCTGAAAAGAGGGACAGGAAGATGTTTTGTGGAGTCCCCAAGAGACAGAGACCCCCCCTTCCCTGTTGGGACCCTGAGACAGGAGGAACACAGTGAGAAAAGGGATAAAATGGATGGAAAATAAAAGAAATACGTTTTTCCCTATGAAGCTATTCAGGTCCCTCTGGATGAGCCTTGAGATCCTCCATATTGGACCTTTTAGGTCTCCAGACCCAGCCATCCTCCCATGTTCCCCTCCATCTTCTCCCTCCTCCAAAGGCTCCTTCTGGGCAAAAGGAGAACAAGCAGCACCAGCCTTGCCTCGGATCCTCAGAGGCCCAAATCCTCCATCTGGACTCTCAACACAGAGCCAAAAGCTGGAAGGGAGATGACAAGGAGACCCCCGAACATCCATTGAAAGGCTCCAAGAGAGGCTGCTCAGAAGCTTTTTCCTCAGGAAACCCCCACCCTTCCTTTCTCCCCCCATTTGCCTCCTGGTACCCTGATCATACCTTCCACTGAGACTTTTGCATTCTCACAAACCCAAAACGGGGGCTCTGGTTCCCCATCCCCAAAATGATAAGAGGATCCAATTCTCACATCCTCTTTTTCCCCAGAGAGAAGCCAAGTAAGGGAGCCTTCAAGGGGTGGTGAAATGCTACCGGTTCGGGCAAACTGGTAGCAGTCATATGGCCCGGGTCGCAGAACCGACAGTGACCGCAGGCTGGCCACGCCCCCAAACCAGTCCCCCGGTCACTGCTTGCTCGCTCTGCCCCGTTTCTGCAAAGGCAGAGCCCCTCCCAGCAAGGCAATCCAAAGAGGGGAGGGGGATGCTGCAGAAAAGGCTGCCTTCCACCCGTGTCTCCCATGCAGGTTGTGCGGGGCTTGGGGCTCCAAAGCAGCCCACTCAATTCCCACCCGGCCACCTGCCTGCTGGCGCCACTCCAGGAACTGGGCCCGCAGAGTCTGGCACTCTGGGGGAAGGAGGCTCAGCCGCAGCACTGCTTCCTGGTGGTGAAGAAGTGGAGCAAGAGGGGTGGGAGCCACTGGTGGGGCAGCAGCCCCCCCATGCAGGGAAAGAGGCAGGCCCAGCCATGCCACCACGATACCTGCAGCACTTTCCCTTCGGCCTGCGTGGCGGCGCTTAGCTGGGCAAGCCAGTGTGGGTAGCTCTTCATCTTGCTGAAGAGCAAGTCGTCACACTCTGGCCATCTTCTGGCCAGAGCAGAACATGGCGTGGGCGGAGAGGCCGAATTCCTGTGGGAATCCAGTGGGCTGCTTTGGAGCCCCAAGCCCCGCGGAGCCTGCACAGGAGGCACGGGTGGAAGGCGGTCTTTTCTGCTGCATCCCCCTCCCCTCTTTGGATTGCCTTGTGGGGGGTGGGGCTCTGCCTTTGCAGAAACGTGGCAGACGGTTTGTACGGAGGATTGGCGGAGGCGTGATGCACAGTCCTCCAGGATGGAGAGCGGAACAAGAGAATTCTTTGAGGTTCGCTTGGGCAGTCAAGTTAGATGGTGGAGGGAGGGCTTCAGAAGGGCAGAATGTGCAGCTCTTCGCTCTAAAAATGAGTGATGTCAAGTTGGCCACGCCCACCCAGTCACATGACCACCAAGCCACGCCCACAGAACCAGTAGCGAAAATATTCAGATTTCAACACATTTTCTGCTTCCCAAAGGAATGGGGGTGTCAAGGGAATTGAAAGACTCTGCCCTTCCTAAGGGAAAAGGTCAAGAGGATTTCGCCCCTGAAAACACCCCCGTTACTCTTAGAGTTCTGCGTGTCTGAATAGTCCACGCTCTCAAATTCTACGGAAAGGAAACCGACAACCCCATTTTCCCCTTAGTGTTCAAGGGAAAGAAGGCCTCTCCAATTGCTCCCCTTCTCCATCCTTCATCATAGGCCTGGGTCTCAGAAGTTCGATGAAGCCTCTGATCCACAACAGGAAAATGGCAATTGCCAAATCTCCCTTTGGTTTGCTGGGATCAGAAAAGGCGCTGGAGTATTAAAAAGTTTTAATACCTGTAACCTGCACAGAGAATTTTAGTTATGGGCCCAGGATAAAGTTACATTATTATTATTATTTTTAAAAAAAGAATAAATATATTTTTAAAAGCCTTTTTAAAAAGTATGGCAGCAGCCTTTCCTTTGGGAGGGACCTTCTTTCTCCCCTCCCCTGTTCCTGGGGTGGGGAATATGGGGCCAAAGGAGCCCCCTAACCCATCACTCACCTTTGCTCTGATTGTAGCGACTCCTCAGAATCTCCAGGTTTTCTCTAAATATCTCCTCACTGTCACGTACTCCCTGGGTCTGAGTGTTCCAGTATTGGGGGTTGTCCTTCCCCACCTTCTCCATCCAGGAGACTTGAGGTGTCATCCTTCGGCTGTTGCTATCATAACGAACAAAGACCTGACCATCCACATACCCCACAGCGACAAAATGGGGCTGTCCCTGACCGGAGTCCTTGATGGCGGTGGAGAAATACTTCAGGGAGTGGGAGGAGGCACCTGGAAGGGACCGAGAGGGGCAGAGTTAGGGGGGTTTCAGGTGACGCCACAACCTCCCTGTCTGAAATACACAGAACCGAGTGGAGAAACAAGCCGGATCCTCCCAGCGCCAGAAGAAGCCAGAAAGAGCCACCAAACCTTGCCCCAAAGTAGGAAGGAAGACCCAGGCGGAGTTGTGGTGCTGAAGGCAGCCAGGAAGTTTGTGAATTGATCTGATCCAAGGCAAATGCTGCTTTCCGACAACCTCCACATTGGGGGAGGGAAAGAACTGTGCTTGGGGGGGGGGGGGGACCCAGGTAGACTTGACTGACCTCTGGAGGGTCCACCCCTTGTCCTGTCGGGGTGTGTGTGTGTGTGTGTGTGTGTGTGTGTGTGTGTGTGTGTGTAAGGGGCAGCAGAATCCAACCCAGGCTTTGAGGTCCCTTCTGAGAGGGGCCAGAAGGGGAGGGGGAGCAGATGAGAAAGAGGTAAGATTTAGGGGGCTGAGAGAGAGAGAGAGAGAGAAAGAGAGAGAAAGAAAGAGAGAGAGAAAGAGAGAGAGAGAGAGAGAGAGAGAGATTCCTTGGATAGATCCCCCCCCCAGCAAAAAAACCGCCCCCGAAGGGACTCACCGAAGCAGCTCTCCCGCAGGGCGACCGTCACCAACACCAGGAGCAAAAGGGGCGCAGAGCGCAGAGCCATCCTGGCCGCGATCCTCAAACTGCCGCTCCGCTTTGCGGAAATTGCAGGCCAACCAAGAGACGCCCCGGGTGAGAAACAACGCAACAATCCAGAACAAGCCGGCGATTGGCCAAGCTCAACCAGTAGAAAAAAAGAATCCCCATGTCGTCATTGTTGCTAGGTAGACGTCCAGGCGCAAACGGCCAGAGAGGAGGGGAAAGGAAAGCGAAAGTTACATCAGGAAATCCCTGTCCAGGGATTCCGCCTTTTGGGGGGAGGGGCAGAACTGGAGGGGGGGGGAATGCTGGGAAAAGAGGGAGGGTTCTCTGGGCCTGAGGGGAGGGGCGCAGGCGAGGTTGTGGGGTGGGTGAGGAGCCTGCGTTCCTTTCAGGCTCCGCAGTATCTCAGCTGGCTATTTGGGGAAGTTCGAAAAAAAGTAATAAAATGGCTGCTCCTTCCTTTGCTTCTTCTGAGACCAAAATAAAAATTAACTGTTCCGGCTACCATCCTTGTTATTATAATTGCCAAATTTAATTGATTTTGACACTCCCTGCGATGAGCAAAGTCTGAGCGTCTAGGGAGATTCTCAGTCATCCAGGTCACGGTGGTCCCAAAGGGGCTTTTTTCCCAAGAGGCTCTTTTTTCAAAGAAAAACCAGAAAGTTCAGTTGCCTCTTGGGAAAAAAAAGCCCCTTTGGGACAGCAAAGTCTGAGAAACATAGAAAGTTGTTTTTTTTTAAAGGGCTTCAACCGTTTCCTGCTGACTTCTGGGTCAGCCTTCCGTCTCCTAGCATGTGCAGAGTAGAAATTGAAGGGTGCAAGGGAGGTCTGTACAGGGAGCCCTCCACTTACGAGCACAACCGAGCCCAGAATTTCTGTTGTTTGGGGAAACGTGCGGAGTGAGCTTTGCCCCATTTTACAACCTTTCTTGCCTCCGTTGTAAAGTGAATCACTGCCGTTGATAAGTTAGGAAGCCGGTTGTTAAGTGAATCTGGCTTCTCCATTTTACTTTGCTTATCAGAACGTCGCAAAAGCGGATCGCATGACCTTGGGACACGGCAACGGTCATTAAGTATGAACCAGTTGCCCAGCGTCTGAATTTTGATCACCTGATCATGAAGATGCTGCAAAGGTTGTAACTGTGAAAAATTGTCGTAAGTCTCTTTTTCCAGCACTTGACTGAATCTCCTCCTCCTCTCTCTTCCACCACTTAAGAAGGGAACTCCTCATGGTCACTTGATCAGGATTCAGAAGCTTGGCAATTGACTTATATTTGTGATGACTACGATGTCCTGAGGTCATGTGATCAACTTCGATGACCTTCTGAGGTTTAGTTGGGCTGGGAAATCCCAGAGGGATGTTCTGCCAGTTGCCTTGGTTGCCAGAGAAGACAGCTTCTTAGGGAGCATCAGTGGGGAGGCTGCCAGCCACACAATTTTCTGGTCTCTCACATGGGATCTAGCGGGGTGTGGGTGGGTGTATCCCCAATTTACCCCCCTCCTCTTTCGAGGCTGCTTTTCTTTTCTGAGGCTGGAGAACTTTTTTTGGCTGTTCGGGCTCAGTGGCTAAGATGCCAAGCTTGTCAATCGAAAGGTCGGCAGTTCAGCAGTTCGAATCCCTAGTGCCTCGTAACGGGGTGAGCTCCCGTTACTTGTCCCAGCTTCTGCCAACCTAGCAGTTCGAACGCACGTAAAAAATGCAAATAGAAAAATAGAGACCAACTTTGGTGGGAAGTTAACAGCCTTCCATGTGCCTTTGGCGTTTAGTCATGCCGGCCACATGACCACGGAGACGTCTTCGGATAGTCCTGAATCTTCAGCCTTGAAACGGAGATGAGCACCGCCCCTTAGAGTTGGGAACAACTGGCACATATGTGCGAAGGGAACCTTTACCTTTTACCAATCTGAGGAGTTTCTGACGGAAGTGAGGTCAGGTTAGATGTTTCGATGTGCGCATCTTCAAAGGGACATACAATGTGCTTTTAGAAAAAGGATGCTCTTTTGAGGACAATAACGTTCAGATTTTGGACAGGGAAGAGCGATGCTTTGAGAGAGGGGTTCTTCTGGAGACCAGAAAAGTTTGTGGCCGGCCTTCTCCTCCCTGATAACTTTCCCAAGTAACTGTCTTCTCTGGTGGTGGAAGATCTGCCCTCTGGGGTTCCCCAATGCACCACAATTGTGAAGGTTGTGAATTGGGGGCTATCCTGGAGGAACGTCCAGGCGAACTCCTTAGCTGTTTTGTCCATGGAAAGGCTTCAGCTGCTGTCAACCAGCTGGCCTACCTTAGAAGGTTGTTGTGAGAGGAATGGAATGAGAACATTTTGACCCTGCAGAGATGGAACTCAACCAAGGCCTAATGGTTTGCAGAGAGAGAGAGAGAGAGAGACCAGGAACTAACAAGGAGCAATGGATGGAAACTAATCAAGGAGAGAAGCAACCTAGAACTAAGGAGAAATTTCCTGACAGTTAGTACAATTAATCAGTGGAACAACTTGCCTCCAGAAGTTGTGGGTGCTCTCCAAAACTGGAGGTTTTAAAGAAGAGATTGGACAACTATTTCTCTGACATGGTATATACTGAGCAGTGGGTTGGACTAGAAGACCTCCAAGGTCCCTTCTAACTCTGTTATTCTGTTGTGTGTGTGTCAGCCCATGAAAACCCAAGAATTCAACACATGGTTTCTACTTAACCTTTAATACTTTAAAAAACGGAGAGAGGGGGAGAAGGTTGAGAAGGAAATTCATTCATCGTAAAATTTGGGGATATCATCTCCTAAAACAACTTCTTCCTTGACGCCGTCTTTGGTAATGGTGACGAGGTAGATGACGCCCCCACTGGAACCATCCCGGACCATCGCCAAGGCAATAGCTGGAGGAGGGAACAAAAGAGTTAAAATCCAGCACGGGAGCAGTCGATTGGACCAAAATAAAGGGCCGAGTCAGAGCTACACCAATCGCATCCAAGAGAAAGTAGCTTGGCTTTTCCCAGGAGTGAACATTCTCCAATCAGCTAAGTGCCCGCCCACAACAAACAAATTCTTGTTCTCAAAAGAGGATGCTGGAATCCTGCCAGAGTCTCAGTTTCTATTGGTTTCATTTCTCAGAAGCTTCTTGGGCCTTGCATGAGGATAGGATAGGATAGGATAGGATAGGGTAGGGTAGGGTAGGGTAGGGTAGGGTAGGGTAGGGTAGGGTAGAATAGAATAGAATAGAATAGAATAGAATAGAATAGAATAGAATAGAATAGAATAGAATAGAATAGAATAGAATAGACAGAGTTGGAAGGGACCTTGGAGGTCTTCTAGTCCAACCCCTTGCTTAGGCAGGAAACCCTACACCACTTCAGACAAGTGGTTATCCAATCTCTTCTTAAAAACTTCCAGTGTTGGAGCATCCACAACTTCTGGAGGCAAGATGTTCCACTGATTAATTGTTCTGTCAGGAAATTTCTCCTTAGTTCTAAGCTGCTTATCTCCTTGATTAGTTTCCACCCATTGCTTCTTGTCCTGCCCTCAGGGGCTTTGGAGAATAGTTTGACTCCCTCTTCTTTGTGGCAGCCCCTGAGATTTTTTTTTTTTTTTAATTTGATTTATATGCCGCCCTTCTCCGGAGACTCAGGGCGGCTTACAGTGCGCTAAGCAATAGCCTTCATCCTTTTGTATATTTATACAAAGTCAGCTTATTGCCCCCACAAACTGGGTCCTCATTTAACCTACCTTAGAAAGGATGGAAGGCTGAGTCAACCTTGAGCCTTGGAGAGATTCGAACCAGCAGTAAATTGCAGGCAGCTGTGTTAATAACAGGGTGCTTTAAACCACTGTAGTACCAAGGCTCTTATGATTATTGGAACACTGCTATCATGTCTCCCCTAGTCCTTCTTTTCATCAAACTAGACATACCCAGTTCCTGCAACCGTTCATATGTTTTAGCCTCCAGTCCCCTAATCATCTTTGTTGCTCTTCTCTGCACTCTTTCTAAAGTCTCCACATCTTCTTTTACATTGTGGTGACTAAAACTGGCCTTACCAAGGCATTATAAAATGGTATTTAACACTTCACGTGATCTTGATTCTATCCGTCTGTTGATGCAGCCTAGAACTGTGTTGGCTTTTTTGGCAGCTGCAGCACAGTGCTGGTTCATATTGTTCACTAGGACTCTGAGATCCCTCTCATAGTTACTACTATTAAGCAAGGTACCACATATATGGCAAGCTCAACCCTTCCAAGACTGAGTGGCTGTGGCTCCCGGCATCCCGATATAGTCAGTTGACTCCATCACTGACTATTGGGGGCGAGTCTTTGGCCCCCACAGAAGGGGCTTGCAATCTGAGAGTCCTAGATATGCAGCTGTCCTTGGAGGAACATCTGACGGCTATAACCAGGGGGACCTTTTATCAGGTTCGCCTGATTCGCCAGTTGCGTCACTTTCTTGATCGGGATTCCCTGTGCACAGTCACTCACGCCCTCGTCACCTCTCGCCTTGACTGCAATGCTCTCTACATGGGGCTCCCCTTGAGGGGCACCCGGAGGCTCCAGCTGGTCCAGAACGCAGCAGCGCGGGTAGTGATGGGAGCAGCATGGCGCTCCCATGTAACACCGCTCCTGCGCGAGCTGCACTGGCTCCCAGTGGTCTTCCGGGTGCGCTTCAAGGTGTTGGTTATCACCTTTAAAGTGCTCCATGGCATAGGGCCTAGCTATGTTCGAGACCGCCTGCTGCTACTGACGACCTCCCAGCGACCCATGCGCTCCCACAGAGAGGGCCTCCTCAGGGTGCCATCAGCCAAACAATGTAGGCTGGTGACCCCCAAGGGGAGAGCCTTCTTTGTGGGGGCACCTACCCTCTGGAATCAGTTGCCCCCAGAGATAAGGAGAATCCAAGACCTCAGTGCCTTCCGCCATGCCCTTAAAACCCACTTTTTCCAGCAAGCCGGGCTGGCTTAGGAAGAAATTTTTTAAATTTTTTAAATGTTTAATTGGTTTGTGGTTTTTTAAATTTTTGGGCCAAATTTATATATATTTTAATTGTTTTTAATATTTGTATTTCATGTTTTTAATTCTGGCTGTGCACCGCCCTAAGTCCTCAGGGAGAAGGGCGGTATATAAATTGAAAAATAAATAAATAAATAAATAAATAAATATATATATATATTTCATTGAATTTCATTTCTCATCCAATGCCCTGCTCAGGCAGGAAACCTTACCATTTCAGACAAATGGTTGTCCAATCTCTTCTTAAAAACCTCCAGTGTTGGATCACTCACAACTTCTGGAGGCAAGTTGTTCCATAGATTAATTGTTCTCTCTGTCAGGAAATTTCTCCCCAGTTCTAGGTTGCTTTTGTCCTTGATTAGTTTCCATCCATTGCTTCTTGTTTTGTCTTCAGGTGCTTTGGAGAACAGGCTGACTCTCTCTTCTTTGTGGAAAACTGTTAGATATTGAAACACTGCCTCCAGATTAGATTATGGAACGACTTGCCTCCAGAAGCTGTGAATGCTCCAATGCTGGAGTTTTTAACAAGAGATTGGACAACCCTTTGTCTGAAATGTTTTAATAAGAGCCTTGGCGGCGCAGCAGACTAAAGTGCTGTTAATTGAACTCGCAGTAATTGCAGGCAGCTGGCACTAGTTAACAGCGCCAGCTGCCTGCAATTACTGCGAGTTCAATTCTCACCAGGCTCAAGCCTTCCATCCTTTCGAGGTAGGTAAAATGAGGACCCGGATTGTGGGGGCAATAAGATGACTTTGTATATAAAAAAGAATACCGCTTAGGGGGGTCGAAAGCCCTAATAAGTAGGTATATACAAAAGTATGAAGGCTATTGCTTAACGCATTGTAAGCCACCCTGAGTCTCCGGAGAAGGATGGCATATAAATTGAACTAATAAATAATAAAATAAATAAGAGTTTCCTGCCAGAGCAGGGGGTTGGACTTGAAGACCTCCAAGATCCCTTCCAACTCTGTTATTTTGTTATTCGTGAAGGCCACCTTAGAGCTCCTAACGGCTTTATCTCCTGTGAGGCCATTTTGGATCTTGTTTGCCTGGATGGACTGCTACATAATATGTGCATGGATCCTGGACTGAATTTTCTTTAACTCTTAAAACATGTCTGGAAAGTTTACTATTTGAAGTGGTATAGGGTTTCCTGCCTGAGTACGGGGTTGAACTAGAAGATCTTGATTCTAATTCTGAATTCGCCCTCCAAGTTTGAACCCACACTTCTTCCACTGGGTGCGTTTGCAAGGGTGGGGAACAACAGCAAAACCTAAGTATGGCTCACCCAGCCAATGGCTGAAGAGAATGCCCTTGCGTCAGCAGTTGCTATGTAGTTTCAGTTACGGAGGTTGACAGCAAGCGGGGAATTTCCCCGCCAACTATGGAGAAGCTTAGTGGCACCCCCTGGAGGTGGAGAGATGCAATGAGCAGCAGTAGCGGAATCTCAGCTTTTTCTAGGAAAGAGGACAACCTTAAAGCAAGGGGGAAGGACCGATGGCAATGGTGGGTGTTGTGGGATGGATTGAAGCATTAGGCTAGGGACAGATTGTCTTGGAGGTCGATAAGAGTCGATAATGACTTGATGGCACACAGTCAATCAGATGAACAGATTAACAGAGTTGGAAGGGACCTTGTAGGTCATCTAATAGTCCAACCCCTCACCCAAGCAGGAGACCCTACACCATTTCTAACATGGCAGTCCAATCTCTTCTTGAAAGCTTCCATTGATGACGCTCCCACAATTTATGGAGGCAACTTCTGTTCCATTGGTTGACAGTTCTCATTGTCAGAAAATTTCTGTTTATTTCTATTAAGAATACAGGTCAAACATGTTTATGTTTCAAAATCTTATTTCCTGTATTCTTAATAGTGAGGATTTAGGCTAAGAATTGTGAAATGTATTACTGTATGAGGTATTAATTGAATTGAGTTTTAAAATGGATTAATAGAAAGGTAATTGTTTTGATTAAAAAAATAAGAGTAAACTTTTTATAAAATGGTAATAGGGGAGATAGGTGATTTAAGATTAAGTATTGTTAATAGTGAGGATTTAGGGTAAGAATTGTGAAATGTACTATGAAGTATTAATTGAATTAAGATTTAAGGGGGTTAATAGAAGGGTAATTGTTTTGATTAAGTAAATTTGATTTAATTTTTTTTAAAGATGGTATTAGTTGAGATAGGTGAGTTAAGATTAAGAAATCAGTGTTATGGCAAAATATAATATACAAAATTTTGTTAAAGATGGAAAAAAACCTGTATAAATTGATGACTGGATCAGGGCTCTGTTCCGAAAAGAGGTAATTTGTGTGTTGGAAAAAATAAAAATTAAAAAAAAACTTTTTGCAAAAAAAAAAAAAAATCTGTTTATTTCCAGGTTGAATCTCTCCTTGATCAGTTTCCACCCATTATTCCTTGTCTGGCCTTCGGGCACTTTGAAAAACAGCTTGACCCCTTCCTCTCTGTGGCAGCCCCTCAAATATTGGAAGACGGCTATCATGTCTCCCCTGGTCCTATTCATCAGTAGACTAGCCATGCTCAGTTCCTGCAACTGTTCTTCATATGTTTTAGTCTCCAGTCCCCTAATCATCTTGGTTGCTCTTCTCTGCACTTTTTCTAGAGTCTCAACCTCTTTTTTATAGTGTGGTGACCAAAATGGAATCTGTCGATCGATCAGTGGGACAGCTTGCCTTCAGAGGTTGTGAGTGCTTCATCACTGGAGGCTTTTAAGAAAAGACTGGACGGTCACTTGTCTGAAAGGGTATAGGATCTCCTATACCCTTTCAGACAAAGGGTATAGGAGGGGGTATACAGAGGGGTTGGACTAGAAGACCTCCAAGGTCCCTTCCAATTCTGTTATTCTGTTTTACTATGCCCTTAACCGGGATACCCGCTGCAGTTTGCAGAACGGTTGGTCCTGTTTTTGAAAAAGGGATTCTGGCAGTTTCCTCTCATCCTCACCGACCCAGAATGGACCCAACCGCACAGATACCGTTTTTGGTGAACTGACGACATTCCTCACGACTCATCCCAGGTTTGTAGGCAGAATCCACATAGCCGTAAATGAAGGTGCTTCCTGACCCTCCGATGGAAACGGGCTGTCGGTTCAACATTCCTCCCAACGTACCGTAGACCTGTCAGAATGGAAGGAGAGGAGGTGGTAGGTTGCTCCCGGTTCGCACCGGTTTACAAGAAAAAATTTGCAAATTGTAAACATTTGCAGTAGTTCAGAGAACCGGTAATAAGATTGGCTGGCTACACCCCTGAACCGGTTCCCGGCCCGGTCGCCGCTCGCTTACCCCGCCCACCTCATCAGAGGCTTTTTTTTTTTTTTTTACTTTTAAAAGCATTTTTTCTACAACCTCGGGCCGAAAAAATGCTTTTAAAAGCAAAAAAAAAAAAAAAAAAGCCTCTGATGATTGCACAGCTCAACTGGGATCATCAGAGGCTTTTAAAAGCATTTTTTTCTGCCACCTCTTTGGCCGAGTTAAAGTCCGCCGAGCTTAAAATTGCCCAGGTTGGAAACCCCTGGACTAGTCCAACCCCATGCTCAAGCAGGAAACCCTATACCATTTTTTAAAAAATTTGATTTATATGCCGCCCTTCTCCGGAGACTCAGGGCGGCTTACAATGCGCTAAGCAATAGCCTTCATACTTTTGTATATTTATACAAAGTCAGCTTATTGCCCCCACAACTGGGTCCTCAATTTTACCTACCTTAGAAAGGATGGAAGGCTGAGTCGACCTTGAGCCTTGGCGAGATTCGAACCTGCAGTAATTGTAGGCATCTGGTCTTAATAACCAGCTTAATAACAGGGTGCCTTAGACCACTGTACTACCAAGGCTCTATTTCAGACAAATGGTTGTCCAATCTCTTCTTAAAAACTTCCAGTGTTGGAGCATTCACAACTTCTGGAGACAAATCGTTCAACTGATTAATTAATTAATACATTTTGTTAATTTATAGTTCCAAGTATGGTGGAGATCCAAGTTAAATATCCTTCTATTCAATTCCTGGAGTTCATATTGTCTGAAAGCGATTAAGCAAATACCGTTTCCTGTTCTTGATGTTTTTAAACAAGTATAAACTTGCAATTTGGACCTTCTGTAAGTGTATCCTAAAGCTGTTTGTTTTTTTTAAAAAAAATATGAACATGACACAATGAGCAGAAATTGACTCACGTTGACTCAGCCTTCCATCCTTCCAAGGTAGGTAAAATGAGGACCCGGTTTGTGGGGGCAATAAACTGACTTTGTATAAAATAGAACATCGCTTGGGGGGCGGGCGGGCAAAAAGCCCTACTAAGCAGGTATAGACAAAAGTATGAAGGCTATTGCTTAATGCATTGTAAGCTGCCCTGAGTCTCCGGAGAAGGGCGGCATATAAATTGAACTAATAAATAAATAAATAAATAAATAAATAAATAAATAAATAAATAAATAAATAAATAAATAAATAAATAAATAAATTCAACAGGCGTAGCTTTCTGGCATCGTGAGACAATGGGAAATCTTTCAATATTTCCCATCGGGCTAGGGGATGATATGATAGCAGTATTCCAGTATTTGAGGGGCTGCCACAAAGATGAGGCAGTCAACTTATTTTCCAAAGCACCGGAAGGCAGGACAAGAAACAATGGATGGAAACCTGGAATTAAGGAGAAATTTCCTAACCGTGAAGACCATTAACCAATGGAACAGTTTGTCTTCAGAAGTTGTGGATGCTCCATCACTGGAGGCTTTTAAGAAAAGACTGGGCAGCCATCTCTCTGAAATGGTATAAGGTCTCCTGTTTGAGCAGGGAGTTGGACTAGAAGATCTCCAAGATCCCTTCCGGCTCTATTCTGATTGATCAATAGTTCCCCACCGAGCAGCCTCTTCTCCAAAGTCCCCTGCTAGACTTACCTGCCCGCCATTCTGGGGGTCCCATCCAGCCACCAGGAGGTGGGCCGAGAGCTCCGGGTGCTTGTAGCTGAGGCCTTTCACCAGCGTGGCTGCAGCCAGGACCCGCGGGGGCATCTCGGTCTCCAGGCTGTGGGGAGAAGGGAAAAGGCTGAGCATGCTCAGTTGTGCCTCAGTTTTTCTCTCTCTCTCCGTTTGCAGTTTGGGAGGGCAGATCCAAAGTGGATCTCCAGAAGACCTTGGGCCCAGGGGTGGGTTCTAAATTTTTTTACTACCGGTTCTGTGGGCGTGGCTTATTTTGTGGGCGTGGCTTGATGGTCATGTGACAATTCTTTAGGATTTAGCAGAGGTACTGGTCTACCAGGCTTTTAACTGCTTGCAGAGCTGTACCGGTCTACTCATTTGTTTTTTGCAGGCACCGGTCTACCACCACACTGCCTTTTAACACTGATCAGCTGTAGGGCGGCCCTTTGAAGCCCCGCGGCAAGAGTTTAAACAGTTTTTTTCCTTCTAGCCGATCAGCTGGGACTCGGGAGGCAGCAATAGATTGGGGGTGGGGCCAAATAAAAGGTAAGAATAACGCACCAGGGGGGGCGGGAGGGCCCAGCTCCCAAACAGAGAACCGGTTCGGTGATGTCATATCGTCACCACCACCGGCTCGGTCAAACCGGGAGGAACCAACCACTGCTTGGGCCTCGCCAGTCACTTGAAAGCTGCGACTCCAGTTTCTGGGACATTATATTAAAGGCTTCTCTGGGGTCATTCACAAAACGCTTTTAGAACAGAACAGAAAAGAACAGAACAGAACAGAATAGAATTCTTTATTGGCCAAGTGTGATTGGACACACAAGGAATTTGTCTTGGTGCATACGCTCTCGGAGTACATAAAAGAAAAGATACATGCGTCAAGAATCGTAAGGTACAACACTTAATGATAGTCATAGGGTACAAATAAGCAATCAAATCATACTAGTTAACAATCAGTATAAATCGTAAGGATACAAGCAACAAAGTTACAGTCGTACAGTCATAGGTGGGAGGAGATGGGTGATAGGAACGATGAGAAGATACCTGGGTGTTGAGAGACTCCATTTTCTGGGCTTTTTCCTGTACAACAAAGAGGCTAGATTTGCATCCCATGCTAAACCCCTATCAAATAACCCGGATTAAAAATAATTACAGGTAGTCCTTGATTTATGACCACAACTGAGCCCAACATTTATGTTGCCAAATTAGAAATGTGTTAAGTGAGTTTTGCCCCATTTTACGACTTTTCTCGCCACGTTGGTTAAGTGAATCACTGCAAATGTTAAGTTCGTAACACGGTTGTTAAGTGAATCTGGCTTCCCCATCGACTCAGCTTGTCATAATGCGCCAGGACACTGCAACCGTCATAAATACGAACCAGTAATCGAGCGTCCGAATGTAAATCATGTGACCATGGGGGGTGCGGCAACGGTCAGAAATGTGAGAACAGTCCTCGGTCACTTTTTTTCAATGCCGTTGTAACTTCGAATGGTCACTGAGCGAACTGTTGTAAATCGAGGACTTTCCATTTATTTCCTGACCATTCAAAGTGAGGGCCTGCTTTGGATAGTGCAGATGAGGCTGAGCGTTCATGAGGATTATTAAAACTTTTTTTTTTTTGGCTCTTCTGGATTAGTAAAAATAAATCGAATGTGCGAGAGATGGATTTTAACCATGTTTTAAGAAACCGTGGCTAGGAAGGGCAAGGAAAGAGTAGAGGAGAAGGCTAGATTCTCTGTTTTCCCCATCTGTAAAATGGGTGTAATCATCACTGTGAAGACGCAGTAAGTCTGTTTATGCTTCCGCTCACACAGAGAGGGCCTCCTCAGGGTGCCGTCAGCCAAACAATGTAGGCTGGCGACCCCCAGGGGGAGAGCCTTCTCTGTGGGGGCCCCTGCCCTCTGGAATGAATTACCCCCGGACATACGAAGGATCCCCGACCTCCGCGCCTTCCGTCGTGCAGTTATTCCAGCAAGCCGCTCTGATGGGATAAATGATTTTAATTTGGTCTTAATGGGGTTTTAAAATTGGTTTTAAAATGAGAGTTTTAAATTCGGCCCATGATTTAATTATTTTAATCTGCTCTTAAATTCTATTTTTGTACATTGTTTTTATTATGGCTGTTCACCGCCCTGAGTCCTTCGGGAGAAGGGTGGTATATAAATTAAATTAAATAAAAATAAAAACAATAAAATTCCTTCCAGGAAAGCAAAGCAATTGGCACCTTTCGGACTGCAATTGTTCTCCCACTGACTTGGGGAAAAAAATCCCCCTGAACTCAGGAGGGCATAGCACTGCCTTGCAAATGTCAATCGGAAAATAAAAAAACAGAGTTTAGAAAGGAAAGGAGTGCTGGCAACACCCAAGATAGCACCAGGATTCCTTGGATTCAGATGTCGGTACTTTCCAACTCCTCGCTACAAGGGAGCGCTTGATCCCCTGACAGGAGCCAATAAGATCTGCCCTTTGGCTGTTGCCTTTTCTGGGAAATCAAGTGATAAAAAAGAAGCACCGTTTTTATAAGGGCCACCAGGAGGCGATGCTGCATCGGTAAAAATTTCCCCACCAAGGACAGGGTTGAGCTGGAAGACTCTCCCAGAGACACCAAGGAATGAATGAATGATTGGGTTTAATTATAAGTGGATTACTTGAGGCACCTTTTCCCCTTGTTTAAAGAGGAAGGGAAGAAGGCTTTCTTGTTCCCAGAGGCCCAGAGGGAAAAAACATTTAAAATGGGCACCTAACATCAAAAATGTCATTAAAAAAGCACAACAAAGAATGTTCTTCCTGCACCAACTCAGAAAGCTCAAACTGCCCAAGGAGCTGCAGATTCAGTTCTACAGAGGAATTATGGAGTCTGTCATTTGCACCTCTGTAAATGTCTGGATTGGCACAGCAACCCAACAAGACAGACACAGACTTCAACGGGCAGTTAGGACTGCAGAAAAAAAAATAATTGCAACCAGCCTGCTTTTCGTTGAGGACCTGTATACTGCACGAGCCAGAAAGCGGGCTGTGAAAATATCTACAGACCCCTCAGTTCCTGGCAGGGCCGGATTTTCCTATAGGCTAACTAGGCTTCAGCCTAGGGCCTCAAGATCAAGAGGGGCCTACATTCAAATTGTTAGCGAAATTTAAATTACACTATTCTAAAAACAGTGAACACTAAAACACTGAACCGAAAATAAGGAGAAATTCTACGCATATGACTAATAAACAAACATAAAAATGTAATTTACAAACTTAAAAAATGGGAGGTGAAAGGGCCTCATAAGTGGAATAGCCTAGGGCCTCTTTTCATCTAAATCCGGCCCTGGTTCCTGGACATAAACTGTTTCAACTTTTTCCCTCAAGATGACTCGATAGGGCAGGGGTGTCAAACTGGATTTCTTCGAGGGCCAGATCAGCATTGTAGTTCTCCGCTGGCCGGCGGGAGGTGGGTGAGGGGGGCAGGGAGCGGGGGGGGGAGATGGGACAGACGTCTCCTGCAGCACTTTACCAGCCAAAACGGAAATGGGGCCCCCTGTGCCTCGTTTTTGCCCTCCATTGTCTCCTGCAGCACTCTGCCAGCTGAAAACGGGCCTTCCGAGGCCCGTTTTCAGTCGGCAGAGTGCTGCTGGAGGCTGTGGAGGCCAAAAATGGGCTGTGCTGGGCCCTCATGGAGCCCAGCTCATTTTCAGTGGCAGAGGCACCAAGAGGCCAGTCCTTTGATATTTTCACAGGCTGGATTTAAGCACCCCGCGGGAAGGATCCGGCCTACTGGCCTTGAGTTTGACACCCTGGCTATAGGACATTGCACGCCAAAACAACTAGACACAAAGACAGTTTTTTCCTCCATGCCATCGTTCTGCTAAACAACTAATTCCCACAACACTGTCGAACTACCTAATAGGGCTGCCTTGCTATTATCCTTCTCATCTTTCCTATTATCTATTTCCTTATCTTCTTATGACTATGTTGCTTGTATCTTATGATTTATATTGATTGTTTTATTTAGTATCCTAGGATGATTTGTGTTGATTGCTTGTTTAGTATCCTATGACTATCACCGAGTGTTGTATCTTATGACTTATGATGATTGTATCTTATGAATATGATCATGATTCATGATTTAGCACCTGTTGCTTATATGTACACTGAGAATTTATGCACCGGAGACAAATTCCTTGTGTGTCCAATCACACTTGGCCAATAAAGAATTCTAATTCTAATTCTAATTCTAATTCTAATTCTAAGTATTCTAATTCTAATTTCTCTTTCACTTTTCTGACATGAGGCTCGGCTTTTGACAGAAGATGAGCACAGAGATCGCATTGTTTTTACACCAAAATCTCACAAAGTTCAGATTGGTGGAAATATTGCTGCCTTTTCTGATTTGGAGCGTTTTTAAATGTTATACACAGACACAGACACACACAAAAACACCTAAAGCTATTTGCTTGTAGGCCTTGTAGGGTAGAATAGGAGTCTCTGAAGAGACATAAAACTCACAAAGATCCCCCTGAGAAAAAAGGTGACTTTTGCGTTCACAGAAGAAGCAGGCCTGAGAGGCACAGAGACGGGGTCGAAAAAGTCCAAATGGCGAACACCTCCCTGTGATCGAAAGCCTGCTCTGTTTTATGTACATTGGGAAGTTCAAAGCTTTAATCACAGGTTTCGGGCCACCATCTTGACTTTTCTGACTCCACCCCTACAGGCCTCACCTCATGAAGATGAGGAACGTATCATCCGATGACTGCCTTGGCGGCTAATTTCCACCCTTCCCTTCTCTCTCCTGTTCATCCCTGATCACAACTGATCAGCAGTGCATTAGGTCTACTCTATCTAGATCCCACTTTGTGCCCTGCTGATCTCTCTCCCTTCTTCTCAGATCTGCAACCCTGCCAGTTCGTGCCCCTTGAATGTGCTTTCCTTTCTGGGACCGGAGGACAAGCAGAGCTGGAGACTACTCTGGGGTTGGGCTTCCATGGAAGAGGTGGACCCTGGTGGGCTCCCGTGAGCAGCTCCTTAGACTTCCTCACCTGTGGAGCTCCAGCTGGTAATTGATCAGATCAACCATGGCCTGAGCATCAGCCGCGGAGCCGGAGAGGGCACAGTAAATCCGGTCATGCAGGGGCTCTAGCTTGTTGAAGAAGCAGTTGACCACCGATTCCCTGCAAAGAGGAAGGCAAGATGTTGAAAGCAATCAGAATAGAAATAGGACAGAATATTGAATATAGATAGTAGAATATAGAAAGTAAAATATAGAATACAGAATAGAATAGAGTAGAATAAAATACTTAAGAATAGAATAGGCTTAAGAAAGAATTAGAATAAAGAGTAGAATAAAATAGAAGTAGAGTAGAATAAAATTAGAATAAAGAGTAGAATAGAATAGAAGTAGAGTAGAGTAGAGTTGAGTTGAGTAGAATAGAATAGAATTAGAATCAGAATAAAGAATAGAATAGAATAAAGAGTAGAGTAGAGTAGAGTAGAGTAGAGTAGAGTAGAGTAGAGTAGAGTAGAGTAGAGTAGAGTAGAGTAGAATAGAATAGAATAGAATAGAATAGAATAGAATAGAATAGAATAGAATAGAATAGAATAGAATAGAATAGAATAGGAATTCTTTATTGGCCAAGTGTGATTGGACATACAAGGAATTTGTCTCTACTGCATAAGCTCTCAGTGTACATACAAGCAACAAATTATAAATCCCGATCATAATCAACATGAAAATACATTCATCATAAATCATAAGAAACAACGTTTAGTGGTAGTCATGGATACTAAATAAACAATCAACATACATCATTCTTAAAAAATTAAAAATAAATTGTAAGAGACAAAGAGAGAACAAGGCCCTTGACATGATCCTTTTACCACCCTTCTGCTTCGGTGCACTTCCCATACTTCACATAGCCAGCAAGACTGGGCTAGTAAGCCTAAAAATGCTTCTTCCTGCCTTCCTCCCCACTTTGAAAATCAGGTTTCTCCCCTTCCTTGGCATCGGCTGCGCATGAAACTCACATTCCAGCAACATCACCTGACCTGCGTGGGCATTTCATTTCTCTGGGATGAAATCAGGGGTCTCCAAACTTGGCAAATTTAAGACTTGTGGATTTCAACTCCCAAAATTCCACAGCCAGCACATGGGGAATATGCTTTAAGGCAGGGGTCTCCAACCTTGGTAACTTTAAGCCTGGCGGACTTCAACTCCCAGAATCCCCTAGCCAGCTTTGCTGGCTGGGGGATTCTGGGAATTGAAGTCTGCCAGGGTTGAAGTTGTCAAGGTTGGAGACCCCTGCTTTAAGGTGCTGTGTTAAATCTCACCCACTTTCATCTCATGGTAGCACCAAGCCAACTCTGGCTGATCTGGAAAGGATCCGGTTAATACTTGGATGGGGGACCACTAGGAAATCCCACGGAGGAGGATTAGACTGGGTGATTGAAAAGAAAAAACACCCTGAAATAAGGCAAGAGCAAAGGACTCCTCGATTATTTTAGAGGAAACTACCTGGGCCTGTTCCTCAGGTCACCAAGAATTGACATCAATGAGACTTTCCTGTCCCCTCTGGCCAATGAAAGATATTAGACTTTTCTTCCCATTCGCATTCACTCAGATGCACATATTCCTTCAGCCCTTACCCTGCAGAAACTCGGGAGTCAGAGCCCAGGACGACCCCGCCATCAAACTCCACAGCCATGATGGTCGTCTGGAGAGGAGAAGAGGAAAAAGTGTTATTCGTTGAGCAGAAAAAAAATAACGGCATTACAAGGCAATTTGTAATGCAGAGCAAGAAAGACGATTAGGGGACTGGAGGCTAAAACATATGAAGAGCGGTTGCTGGAATTGGGTATGTCTTATTATTTATTTATTTATTTATTTATTTATTTATTTATTTATTTATTTATTTATTTATTTATTTATTTAAATTTGTATACCGCCCTTCTCCAACAGGACTCAGGGCGGTGAACAGCCATGGTAAAAACATAACATATAAAATTTAAAAGCAATTTAAAAACATTAAATAATTTTGCTATCCAATTAAAACAACCCGGGTTAAAACCAATTACAAATTAAAATTGAAGGGATGGGATCAAGCCAGCCCAGCTAGATGAAAAAGATGTGTTTTCAGGGCCCGACGAAAAATCCAGAGGTCTGGTATCGTGCGTATCTCTGGGGGCAGGTCATTCCAGAGGGCAGGTGCCGCCACAGAGAAGGCTCTCCCCCTGGGGGTCGCCAGCCGACATTGTCTGGCCAATGGCACCTTGAGGAGTCCCTCTCTGTGCGAGCGTACTGGCCGGTGGGAGGCTATTGGCGGCAGAAGGCGGTCTCGTAAATACCCCGGCCCTAAGCCATGGAGCGCTTTAAAGGTGGTCACCAACACCTTGAAGCGCACCCTGAAGACCACAGGAAGCCAGTGCACCTCACGCAGGAGAGGTGTCACATGGGAGTGCCCCGTCGCTCCCATAATCCCCCGCGCGGCTGCATTCTGGACCAACTGGAGCCTCCGGGTGCACCCCAAGGGGAGCCCCATGTAGAGAGCATTGCAGTAGTCCAGACGGGAAGTGACGAGTGCTTGAGTGACCGTACGTAGGGAGTCCCGATCTAGAAAGGGACGCAACTGGCGTATCAGTTTAATGAAAAGAAGGACTAGGGGAGACATGATAGCAGTGTTCCAATATCTCAGGGGCTGCCACAAAGAAAGAGGGAGTCAAACTATTCTCCAAAGCACCTGAGGGCAGGAGAAGAAGCAATGGGTGGAAACTAAACAAGGAGAGAAGCAACTTAGAACTAAGGAGAAATTTCCTGACAGTTGGAACAATTAATCAGTGAAACAACTTGCCTCCAGAAGTTGTGAATGCTCCAACGCTGGAAGTTTTAAAGAAAAGATGGACAACCATTTGTCAACGTTCCAGAAAACCCCAACTCCAATTAAAAACTCCGAGGCGAGCATTTTCTTAAAGTTCCATTTATTAGAGTAGGTATACTGATACATGTGGGAAAACCCCAATCTGAGAGCTCCGGGTTTTCCCTCAGTAAATCAAACCTCCCCCTCATCTCCTCACTCATTAGTCCATCACATGTTCCAATCCATCGCATCTCGAGACAGCACTCCAACCACTCCTTCTCCAGATGCAGGATTGTCCTGACCTTGACCGAAAGGAAGAACGCTATTTTATCTAAATAATACATTCCCTCTACTAAATCCCCCCTCCTACTTTCCCACACATGAAAAGGTGGCAGCTTGGAAGCTTCCGGGGCTAATATGGCTTCCAAATTGGACACCATTTGTCTGAAAGGGTATAGGCAGTGGTGGGATTCAAGTAATTTAACAGCCGGTTCTCTGCCCTAATGATTTCTTCCAACAACCAGTTTGCCAAATTGCTCAGAAAGTTAACAACCGGTTCTCCCGAACTGGCTGAATCCCACCACAGGGTATAGGGTTTCGTGCCTAAGCAGGGGGTTGGACTAGAACGTGACACCCCTCCTGCGCGAGCTGCACTGGCTCCCAGTGGTCTTCCGGGTGCGATTCAAGGTGTTGGTTACCACCTTTAAAGCGCTCCATGCCATTGGACCTGGATACCTTCGAGACCGTCTTCTGCCACCAGTAGCCTCCCACCGGCCAGTACGCTCCCATAGAGAGGGTCTCCTCAGGGTGCCATCGGCCAAATTATGTCGGCTGGCGACACTCAGGGGGAGGGCCTTTTCTGTGGGAGCCCCTGCCCTTTGGAATGAACTGCCCCCAGAAATTCGTAAAATCTCTGATCTCCGTGTATTTCGCTGTGCCCTCAAAACCTTGTTATTCCGCCAGGCCGGGCTATCAATGTAAAGATTTTAATTGGTTTTTAAATATGGGATTTTAAATTTGGGGGTTTTAAAATTGAGCCTATCATTTAATAATTTTAATAATTTTAAATTTTGTCTTGTCTTTGTGCTTTTAATCAGGCTGTACACCGCCCTGAGTCCTTCGGGAGAAGGGCAGTGTAGAAATAAAATAAAATAAAATAAAATAAAATAAAATAAAATAAAATAAAATAAAATAAAATAAAGTAAAGTAAAGTAAAGTAAAGTAAAGTAAAGTAAAGTAAAGTAAAGTAAAGTAATAAATAAAATAATAAATAAAATAATAAAATAAAATAAAATAAAATAAAATAAAATATAAAATAAAATAAAATAAAATAATAAAATAAAATAAAATAAAATAATAAAATAAAATAAAATAAAATAAATAAAAGACCTCCAAGCTCCCTTCCAAGTGTATTGTATTGTATTGCATTGCATTTTTGTATCGCATTGCATTGCATTGTTGTTTTTTTTTTTTACATCGTGGCGACCAAAACTGGATGCAATATTCCAAGTGTGGCCTTACCAAAGCATTATAAAGTGGTATTAACACTTTGCGTGATCTTGATTCTACCCCTCTATTTATGCAGCCCAGAACTGTGTTGGCTTTTTTGGCAGCTGCAGAATGCCAAGCACGGAACGTGACTCCTTCTCCAGCTACACGGGGGAATTTGAGCTGGCAGGGTGCCCAGAAGGACCTGCCTTCCCCATCCCAGGCGGGTGAAAAGTTCAAAGATCAGCTTCATCAGCAACTTTGTAGCTGGGTAAGAGAACACCTGCTTCCTTACAGCCAACAGAAAAACCAAGCGGTACAGACAGTCCTCGACTTACGACCGCAACGGAGGCCAAAATTTCTGCCGCTAAGCGAGACAGTGGCTTGAGTTTTTCCCCTTTTTACGACCTTTCTTGCCAGAGGTGTTAAGGGAACCGTGGCAGTTGTGAAGTTGCTTAACGCGGTTGTTTAAGGGAATCCGGCTTCCTCCTTGACTTTGCCAGTCAGAAGGTCACAGAAAGGGGATCACATGACCCCAGGATATTGCAACCGTCATAAATAGGAGCCAGTTGCCAAGCGTCTGAATTTTGATCATCAATTTTGATCGTAAGGATACAAGCAACAAAATTACAGTCATACAGTCATAAAGAGCCTGGTGGCGCAGAGGACTAAACTGCTGTTAAAGTAGTACTTAGCTGCCAGCTGCCTGCAATTACTGCGAGTTCAATTCTCACCAGGCTCAAGGTTGACTCAGCCTTCCATCCTTTCGAGGTAGGTAAAATGAGGACCCGGATTGTGGGAGCAATAAGTTGACTTTGTATAAAAAAGAACACCGCTTGTGGGGGGGGGGGCGAAAGCCCTACTAAGCAGGTATATACAAAAGTATGGAGGCTATTGCTTAACGCATTGTAAGCCGCCCTGAGTCTCCAGAAAAGGGCGGCATATAAATCGAACCAATAAATAAATAAATAAATAAATAAATAAATAAATAAATAAATAAGTGGGAGGAGATGGGTGGTGGGAACGATGAAAAAATTAATAGTAGCGCAGACTTAGTAAATATACCAGTGATGGCTAACCTTTTCCGGACCAAGTGCCTAAAGCGTGCAGATGCACCCTAACCCCCAACATGCAATGCGCACATGCCTCCTGCATGCGCCCTGCCCCCATGCGTGGCCCCTGCACACGCCCTGCCCCCCACGCATGCGCGGCAGAGACGCAAAGACCAGCTGGCCAGCGGGAGGCACGCATGCATGCATGGCGGAGCTGAATTGGGGCGATGGCTCGCATGCCATCAGAGAGGGCGCTGCACAGCGGCCTGTGCAGATTGTAGCTGATTCCGACAACGAGGAGGCTGGTGTGGTGCTGCGCCAGCAGCCTGTGCAGTTGGCGCTCGAGTCAGACAGTGAGGAGGCTGGAGAAGATGTGTTGCCAGAGGCAGGGATTCAGCCAGGGCCTTCAGAACCTCCAGAAGCTCCCATAAGTGAAGAGGAAGAAGAGGAGGAGCCTCTTCTCAATGCACGGGCGCGCAGAGCTGCCAAAAGGCAGGAGTCGCTCCTCAGGAGGAGGTCTCCTCGAGAGTAAGGCTTGGGGCTAATTGGTCACTCCCTTAGCCTATTTAAGGAGGAATTCCGACTGAAGCAATTTGCAGGGAACAACTTTAGTTCACTCTCCTTCGTGTCTGGATTCTCTGCAACATTGCTTCTGTGCTTTCTGCCAACCCTAGTAAGATTGTGATTACCTTATTTTAGGATTCTTATTTGTTTTGTTTGTTTGTTTTATTAGATTTATATACCGCCCTACTCCCGAAGGACTCAGGGCGGTGAACAGGCACAAAATAAAATACATAGATACAAAAGTTAAAAGACATAATTAAAACCAGATTAAATAATTTAGCCCGAGACAATTAAAAAAACCCAATAATTTAAAACAGATTAAAAGTTCGATTTAAAAGAAGTTTAAAACAGGAGAGAAAATTAGGCCAGGCCAATTTACAACACAATTACAATTACAACAGCTTGTAAGCTGTTAAGAAAGTTTATTAACAGCCTTTGTTTGAAAAAGACTGAGTTATTTTAGTAAATTAAGTTTTGTACAGACTTGGTGTGTGCTGCGTTCTTTGGGGTCCGTAGCTGGGGCAGAACAGCTGCATGCCACCTCTGGCATGCGTGCCATAAGCTTGCCATCACGGCCCTAAATCATTTCAGACAAGTGGCGGTCCAGTCTCTTCTTAAAAACCTCCAGGAATGAAGCACCCACAACCTCTGACAGCAAGCTACTTATGGGGATCCCACGGGGAAACAAATTATGCATACAGAATCATTCCCCAGGGAGATCCCTCCCAGCAAGGATATCAAGTATCGGTAGCTATGAGAGGATCTCATGGCAAATACAGGTAGTCCTCGATTTACGACCGCAATCCAGCCCCAAAATTTCTGCTGCCCAGCGAAACATTTGTTAAGTGAATTTTGCTCCCCTTTTACGACCTTCCTTGCCAGGGTTAAATCACTGCGGTCGTTAAATCAGTCACACGGTTGTTAAGTGAGTCGACTTTGCTTTGTCCGAAGGTCAGAAAAGGGGATCACGTGGCCTCCAGGACGCTGCAACCGTCCCAAAGACGAGTCAGTTGCCAAGCATCTGAATTCTGATCACGAGATCGAGGATACTACTACAACGGTCGTAAAGTGTGAAAACTGGTCATATGTCACTTTTAGCAGCGCTGTTGTAACTTTGGACGGTCACTAAATGAACGGTTGTAAGTTGAGGATGATCTGTATTGTTTTATTTGCATAATTGACGGCTACACACTTAAAGCACTCAAATATATTTAGATACGGTGTTTCTCAATCTGAGTGTTCTCCCTGGAGGGACAGATTCAGTTCTGCCCAGGCGATGCTGGGTGTAACTGGGTGGGACATCTTACGTAAGGGAGACAGGCTCCTTCACATTAAAATTACTGTAAGTTCGAATCCCACCAGGCTCAAGGTCGACTCAGCCTTCCATCCTTTCTAAGGTGGGTAAATTGAGGACCCAGTTTGTGGGGGGCAATAAGCTGACTTTGTATAAATATACAAAAGTATGAAGGCTATTGCTTAACGCACTGTAAGCCACCCTGAGTCTCCGGAGAAGGACGGCATATAAATCAAATTAAAAAAAAAAAGGCCTCCGAGGGATGGAAAATCACTCTAGATGTGGGCTGCCCATTTCCCAGTTTCTCCTCTATAAGTCAGTAAATGGAGTCTCTTGCTGACTTCCCAGACACGTCATTTCTCTTTTTGGGAGCAAATGAATGAAACTCCCTTTTTTTTCCTCAATCTCAGTCTAGCCGAGGGGATTTCCTGGTGGTCTCCCATCCCCGCTTAGCTTTATTTTAAGATTTTCACTGAGGTGCTGCTGTAACAATTGCACAAAAATGGGAGTAAATCAGTTCTCTTTTTGGGGGCAAATGAATGAAACTCCCCCCCTTTTTCCCCCAATGCCTTAGTCTAGCCCTGGGATTTCCTGGTGGTCTCCCATCCCCGCTTAATTTTAAGATGCCCACCGAGGTGCTGCTGTAACAATTGCACAAAAGTGGGAGTAAGTCAGTTCTCTTTTTTGGGGGGGGGCAAATGAATAAAACTCCCCCTTCCCCCCACCCATGCCTCAGTCTAGCCCGGGGATTTCCTGGTGGTCTCCCATCCCCTCTTAGCTTTCCTTTAAGATGCCCACCGAGGTGCTGCTGTAACAATTGCACAAAAATTGGAATAAATCAGTTCTCTTTTTGGGGGGCAAATGAATGAAACTCCCCCCCTTTCCCCCCCAATGTCTTAGTCTAGTCCTGGGATTTCCTGGTGGTCTCCCATCCCCGCTTAGCTTTATTTCAAGATGCCCACCGAGGTGCTGCTGTAACAACTGCACGAAAATAGGAGCAAGTCAATTCTCTTTTTGGGGGCAAATTAATGAAACTCCCCCATTTTTTTTCAATGCCTCAGTGTGTGTGGGGGGGGGGAGGAATTTCCTGGTGGTCTCCCATCCCTTCTTAGCTTTCCTTAAGATGCCCACCGAGATGCTGCTGTAACAACTGCACGAAAATGGGAGTAGGTCAATTCTCTTTTTGGGGGCAAATTAATGAAACTCCCCATTTTTTTTCAATGCCTCAGTGTCTGTGTGTGGGGGAGGAATTTCCTGGTGGTCTCCCATCCCTTCTTAGCTTTCCTTAAGATGCCCACCGAGATGCTGCTGTAACAACTGCACGAAAATGGGAATAAGTCAGTTCTCTTTTTGGGGGCAACTGAATGAAACTCCCTTCCCCCTCCATGTCTCAGCCTAGCCCGGGGATTTCCTGGTGGTCTCCCATCCCCGCTTAGCTTTCCTTAAGATGCCCACCGAGGTGCTGCTGTAACAATTGCACAAAAATGGGAATAAATCAGTTCTCTTTTTGGGGGGCAAATGAATGAAACTTCCCCCCTTTCCCTCCCAATGCCTTAGTCTAGTCCCGGGATTTCCTGGTGGTCTCCCATCCCCGCTTAGCTTTATTTCAAGATGCCCACCGAGGTGCTGCTGTAACAACTGCACGAAAATGGGAGTAAGTCAATTCTCTTTTTGGGGGCAAATTAATGAAACTCCCCCATTTTTTTTCAATGCCTCAGTGTGTGTGTGGGGGGGGGAGGAATTTCCTGGTGGTCTCCCATCCCTTCTTAGCTTTCCTTAAGATGCCCACCGAGATGCTGCTGTAACAACTGCACGAAAATGGGAGTAGGTCAATTCTCTTTTTGGGGGCAAATTAATGAAACTCCCCCATTTTTTTTCAATGCCTCAGTGTCTGTGTGTGGGGGAGGAATTTGCTGGTGGTCTCCCATCCCTTCTTAGCTTTCCTTAAGATGCCCACCGAGATGCTGCTGTAACAATTTGCACAAAAGTGGGAATAAGTCAGTTCTCTTTTTGGGGGCAAATGAATGAAACTCCCTTCCCCCTCCATGTCTCAGCCTAGCCCGGGGATTTCCTGGTGGTCTCCCATCCCCGCTTAGCTTTCTTTAAGATGCCCACCGAGATGCTGCTGTAACAATTTGCACAAAAGTGGGAATAAGTCAGTTCTCTTTTTGGGGGCAAATGAATGAAACTCCCTTCCCCCTCCATGTCTCAGCCTAGCCCGGGGATTTCCTGGTGGTCTCCCATCCCCGCTTAGCTTTCCTTAAGATGCCCACCGAGGTGCTGCTGTAACAATTGCACAAAAATGGGAATAAATCAGTTCTCTTTTTGGGGGGCAAATGAATGAAACTTCCCCCCTTTCCCTCCCAATGCCTTAGTCTAGTCCCGGGATTTCCTGGTGGTCTCCCATGCCCGCTTAGCTTTATTTCAAGATGCCCACCGAGGTGCTGCTGTAACAACTGCACGAAAATGGGAGTAAGTCAATTCTCTTTTTGGGGGCAAATTAATGAAACTCCCCCATTTTTTTTCAATGCCTCAGTGTGTGGGGGGGAGGAATTTCCTGGTGGTCTCCCATCCCTTCTTAGCTTTCCTTAAGATGCCCACCGAGATGCTGCTGTAACAATTTGCACAAAAGTGGGAATAAGTCAGTTCTCTTTTTGGGGGCAAATGAATGAAACTCCCTTCCCCCTCCATGTCTCAGCCTAGCCCCGGGATTTCCTGGTGGTCTCCCATCCCCGCTTAGCTTTCCTTAAGATGCCCACCGAGGTGTCGCTGTAACAATTGCACATAAAACGGGAGTTAAGTGTGGCCGGTGGGCAATCGAGGTTTGCTTCCAGGCCAGATTCCGCCTTGCAGGTAGAAACAAAGCGCTTCCACGCTTCTTGAATTCAAACGTCTCCCCGATCCAACTTCCTCGTTTCGCGTGGGGAAAAAAAAGCCTTTGCTCTTCCACGCCCCACCCTCCCGTGCCAACGTTTTCGAGGGGGGACCCCTGAGGTGCACCCCCGCCCTCTGCAGAGCCACTCACCCCGGTGCTGATCTTCGTTACCCCGCGATGGTCCATAGCCGCCCCTTCCCACGAAGCGCTTCCACGGAAACCTCAGATCCGAGATCGAAAGTGATAGCAAAGAGTCCCCCGGACGCAGCGCCTCCCGCGGACATCAGAGGGCGCCCCGAGCTGTCAATCAGCCCCGGAAAACACGCCGCGATCGTGGGCGCAGAGCCACTATTATTCCCCCAGCCAGTTTAGTCGAAGGAAGCGGGGGGGAGGGGAGGGGGCTCGGCGTCGCTTCCCCACGCGGCTTCCCCACGCGCGAGAATCCGTTTCTGGGGCGGGGAGGAGTTTGACCCGGGGATCGGGCTGGTTCCCTGCCAACCACTAGGAAAGACTGGCAAATCTTGCCCCAAAGGGGCTTTTTCAGGAGGCAACTGGACTTTCTTGGTTGGCTTTTTTTTTTTTTTTTTGAAAGACGTTTCGCTGCTCATCCAAGAAGCTTCTTCAGCTCTGACGGGACGGTGGGGAAATGGAAGGACTGAGATTCCTTGCAGACAGCTCGGTCATTTGCCTCAGTGATGAAATCCAGTTTTTTTCACTACCGGTTCTGTGGGCGTGGCTTGGTGGGCGTGGCAGGGGAAGAGTATTGTAAAATCTCCATTCCCACCCCTCTCCAGGGGAAGGATACTGTAAAATCTCCATTCCCACCCCTCTCCAGGGGAAGGATACTGTAAAATCTCCATTCCTATCCCACTCCTGGGGGAAGGATACTGCAAAATCCCCATTCCCTCCCCATTCCTGAGGGAAGGATACTGTAAAATCTCCATTCCCTCCCCACTCCTGGGGGAAGGATACTGCAAACTCCCCATTCCCTCCCCATTCCAGGGGTAAGGATATTGCAAAATCTCCATTCCCTCCCAACTCCTGGGCGAAGGATACTGCAGACTCCCCATTCCCTCCCCATTCCTGGGGGAAGGATACTGCAAACTCCCCATTCCCTCCCCACTCCTGGGGGAAGGATACTGCAAACTCCCCATTCCCTCCCCATTCCTGGGGGAAGGATACTGTAAAAACTCCATTCCCTCCCCATTCCTGGGGGAAGGATACTGCAAACTCCCCATTCCCTCCCCATTCCAGGGGTAAGGATATTGCAAAATCTCCATTCCCTCCCAACTCCTGGGCGAAGGATACTGCAGACTCCCCATTCCCTCCCCATTCCTGGGCGAAGGATACTGCAAACTCCCCATTCCCTCCCCACTCCTGGGGGAAGGATACTGCAAACTCCCCATTCCCTCCCCATTCCTGGGGGAAGGATACTGTAAAATCTCCATTCCCTCCCCATTCCTGGGGGAAGGATATTGCAAAATCCCCATTTCCTCCCCACTCCTGGGGGAAGGATATTGCAAAATCCCCATTTCCTCCCCACTCCTGGGGGAAGGATATTGCAAAATCCCCATTCCCTCCTCACTCCTGGGGAAGGATATTGCAAAATCCCCATTCCCTCCTCACTCCTGGGGAAGGATATTGCAAAATCCCCATTCCCATCCCACTCTGGGGCCAACCAGACGTGGTATTTGCTGGTTCTCCGAACTGCTCAAAATTTCCGCTACCGGTTCTCCAGAACCTGTCAGAACCTGCTGGATTTCACCCCTGATTTGCCTCCTTTTAGAGCAGTGGGTCTCAACCTTCCTAATGCCGCGACCCTTTAATACAGTTCCTCATGTTGTGGTGACCCCCAACCATAAAATTATTCCTAAAACCATTGAAAATATGTGTTTTCCTATTGTCTTAGGCGACCCCTGTGAAAGGGTCGTTCGACCCCCAAAGGGGTCCCGACCCACAGATTGAGAACCACTGTTTTAGAGGGTCTCTGCCCTTGGAGGTTTACTTGTGTCTTCAGGGTCACCAGAATTCCTGTAGTCTGCAATTTTTTCCCTCTGGAAATCCATTCCTACTCCCACACCATTCCAAGGGTCGTCATCCCAAAATGTATAGCTACAGCTGTATAGGAATATAAATCAGGGGTGAAATCCAGCCGGTTCTGGAGAACCGGTTGGTAGTGGAAATTTTGAGCAGTTTGAAGAACCGGCAAATACCAACTCTGGCTGGCCCCAGAGTGGGGTGGGAATGGAGATTTTGCAGTATCCTTCCCCTGCCACGCCCACCAAGCCACACTACGCCCACCAAGCCACGCCCACAGAACCGGTAGTAAAAAAAAATTGGATTTCACCACTGATATAAATCCTTCCATTCCCCACTGTCCTGTCAGAGCCGAAGAAGCTTCTTGGATGAGAAGCGAAACGTCTTCAAAAGAAAAAAAAACAAGGAAGTCCAGTTGCCTCCTGAAAAAGCCCCTTTGGGACAACCGTGACCCGGATGAGCTGAGAATCTCTACAGACTTTTACTACACCGTTTACTTCTTGAACTCTACTTTTCTCCCCTCTTTTTTAAAGCCAGCTGGACCCCAGGATGTGGGCCCTGTTTTCAACACTGAATGTTGGGATTCTCATATTTAAAATGAGGGGGGGGGGAATGTTTGTCTTCCTTTTTTAAAAATAATGGCTCAGTTTTTGTTTGAATCATGTGTCCGTGAGATGGCTAGTGAATAAATTTAGTACAGGTAGTCCTCAACTTACAACAGTTCATTTAGTGACCAAAGTTACACCAGCACTGAAAAAAGTGACTTATGACCATTTTTGAAGGTTATGATTGTTGCAGCATCTCCAGGGTCACGTGATTTACATTCGCATGTTTGGCAACGGGTTCATATTTATGACGGTTGCCATGTCCCGGGGTCATGTGATCCTCTTTTGCAACCTTCGGACGAGCAAAGTCAAGGGGGAAGCCAGATTCACTTAACAACCGGGTTACTAATTTAAGAACTGCAGTGATTGGCTTAACAATATTGGCAAAAGAGGTGGTAAAATGGGGCAAACCTTACTTAACAAATGTCTCACTTAGCAACATAAACTCTGGGCTCAATTGTGGTCGTTAAGTCGAGGACTACTCTTACTGATACTTAGAAGATCAGCATTATCCCTGTGTTGGGCCTGCAGCATCTGAGAACCCCTGACAAGGATGCAAACCAGCAAAATGATACATTGGATATTGGCCGCGTTCGCAGAACTCATGTACCTGCCTGGCGATTTAGCGCTTTGTTAAAAGGAGAGTTTGCACACGCTGAGCCCCAAAGGAGGAACTACTGTATAGCACTGTAGTTGTAGCTGGTTTTTGTGAACGCAACTGCAAAATTAATGATCTTGATCAGGCCTGTTGTGTGAATCCAACCATGATGCAATCCTTGTACTGAATGAGTTTGGCAGAAACTCATTCAGCTTTTGGCCTCCTTCTTGAAGCTGGGTCAAAATGTAAACCTCCTGGCTACATTTCTGCTCCCCACAGATGATACATTACATTTTCCCTCCTCTTTTCTCCTTTCCCTAGAGAAGTACAGCTCCCTTTTTTCTGGCAGTGGTGGGTTGTTGTTTTTTTTGGCCTTCAAAATGTATTGATTCCTGACTATTACCGAGTCTAATCCTTGCAGTTTTCCAAAAGTGGTTTGCCATTGCCTCCTTCTTAGGGCTGAGAGAGAGTGACTGGCCCAAGGCCGCAGATCTAGCTTCGGGCCTAAAACCAGATTAGACTTCAGAGTCTCCCACTTCCTAAGCAGGTGCCTTAACCACTACACCAAACGGGCTCTTGACAATTCTTTGAATCCGAATAAAAATACTGTCTAACAGGAAACTGGGGTGTGTGTGTGTGTGGAGGGGAAGGGATGTCTTTGAGGTGCGGTCAAAAGAATCAAAATGGCGGCCTGGCCGTTTGAGGCTTTGCCTTTTTTTTAATGAGGGCTTTTCCTCAGGGCTGTCTTAACAGCATTATGGGCCACGGGCAAAGCGGTGTACTGGGGCCCCTACGACAACTACTCACAGGAATAAAAATGTAAATGGTTGACAAAATTAAACATTTATTTATTTATTTATTTATTTGTTTGTTTGTTTATTTATTTATTTATTTATTAAATTTGTATACCGCCCTTCTCCTTTCAGACTCAGGGCGGTGAACAGCCAAAATAAAAACATTTGTACACAAAAGTTAAAATAATTATTAAAACTAATTAAATGAAATTTGGCCCATAATTTATAACATATCAATTAAAATCAATATCAAACATTAAAACCAACATAGAATCAGGCCACCCCGGCTATATATGTATTTTATTGGCACTTCCAACAAAATCGGTGTGGAAAACATTAAAAACATGCTGTGCAGCAACAACTAATCAACATGATTAACATTTGAACAATACACAAGGCTTGAAAAACACAATAATACTCAGTAAGCCATACAGTTGCTGTATTTATATGATACAAGGTGCATTGAAGGGTTAACAGACACATATTGGTATGGGGCCCCTATGCTTCTGGGGCCCACGGGCAAGTGTCCATCAGGCCCATGCATTAAGACAAGCCCTGCTTTTCCTTCTTTGAAGCCAACATCCTGGTTAGCTTTTATTCTCCAAAGCCCATGAGGGCAGGACAAGAAGCAATGGGTGGAGACTAATCAAGAGAGAAGCAACCTAGAACTAAGGAATAATTTTGTGACAGTTTTTATCCGTGGGCTGTCAAGACTCCTGAATGCGAAATAATATCATAACTACGTAGTATGATGGACTGCAGGGCCGGTGCAATGTGTAACATGTTCACACTGGTGCAATAGGACTGGGTGTTTTGCAGGGATGAAATCCAAAATTTTTCTCTACCGGTTCTGTGGGCATGGCAGGGGAAGGATATTGCAAAATCTCCATTCCCACCCCACTCCAGGGGAAGGATATTGCAAAATCTCCATTTCCCACTCCACTCTGGGGCCAGCCAGAGGTGGTATTTGCCGGTTCTCAGAACTACTCAAAATTTCCGCTACCGGTTCTCCAGAACCTGTTAGAACCTGCTGGATTTCACCCCTGGTGTTTTGTTAATAGGATTTATCAGTGAGCTGTTGGACAGTATTACTTGGTCTGTTGTGTGGATGTTTGGGTGGTTAGGGGTGGAGAATTGTGGTGGGTGGGAGTGTGTTTGGGGATTGTTATGTGTGGTTGGACCTGGTCTTTGGGTGTTAAGTGAATTTCGTTGTATGGGTATACTGTGTATACACGTACAATGACAATAAAGTTATTGATTGATTGATTGGGTTAGGGATTTTCTGTCTTCACTGTGAGTTGTATTGTGTTGGGGGGGGGTGCGCACTGAGGGAGCTCAACCAATCTCATTGTATATATGTTGTGCACTGACGATAAAGATTTGAATTTGAATTTAGTGACCGGGTGGAACAAATTAATCAATGGGACAACTTGCCTCCAGAAGTTGTTGGTGCTCCAGTACTGGAAGCTTTTGAGAAAAGATTGGATAACCATTTGTCTGAAATGGTACACGGTTTCCTGCCTGAGCAGAGACTAGAAGACCTCCAAGGTCCCTTCCAACTCTGTTATTCTATTCTATTCTATTCTATTCTATTCTATTTTTAAGGCATCCCATCTAACGCTCCTGTCGGTGCAGGAAACCAAGAGCGTCTCTGAGCTGCTACAGAGTAGCAGAGGACTCGACCTGGAAAGTTGGGCGGAGGAGGAGCAGAAAGAACGTGTGGACAGCGGCTGATGCGTGCAAACCAGAGCGCACGGGAGGGCGGAAGGAGGCGCGATTTGATGTTTTGAGGGCACGTGTGAATGCGCGGAACGAGCCACTACGGGGCTCAAGCTCTGCACGGAAAGGCCACGGGTTGGGAGAGGAAGTTGCGTGTAAAGTTTGAGAACCACCGAGCGGTCATTTTTTTCTCTTCCCCCCCCCACCCCGCCTCTCCCCACTTTCCCTCCCTCGCATTCCCGCGCAGCGCTTTCACTTTTTGCCACACACAATTTCTTTTTTTGGCGCGACGAAGCTTCACCGGTTGAGCAACAGCCTGCTTGGAACCCGCCTTCGCTGGAAGTCGCCCAGCATCTCCACTCCCCTCCCTTCGCCTGCAGCCGGTGTTGGTTTTCTCCGACTTCTTACTTTCACTTTCGGCTTCCGGGAAAGCGGCTGTTTCTCCGAAGCTCTGCGGCCCGGGTGGTTTCCAGAGCCGGCCGGGAGAGGCGCCAAGACCTGCCCACCTGCCCCCGCCGCCCGCGCCCTCCGTTCAGTCTGAGCCGGCTGCCGTGCGCGGAGGAGCTCTCTTAAAATCCCCTTCTCGGGTCCCCCCGCGCGTAGATCGCGGCTGTTGCTTTCTCCACCGGCTTCGCTGCCGTCGCTCTGCAAACGGGCGTTGGACTCTGCTAGAAGCACCTCCGCCGCCGGTAAGTCGGTTCTTAGCAAAGCTGCAGGCTTGGTTTACCGCTGCTCTTTTTTCCTTTTCTCTCCACTCTCCGTTGCTCTCATTTTTTTTTCATTTTTTTCCCTTTTTTTTAAATATACTTTATTGAATTTTTCCATGATAAAAGAAAATATACAATCTCTATCTTCTTCAGAGGTACAGTGTTTATACACTTTGCGGAGTCATACGTTAAATAAACTTCATCCTTAGCTATACAGTATTCTATGCAATATGGCTCGTATTTCAAGTGCATAACAAGTTATAACAAGTTATATCCTAAAATCATGTTTTTGTCTTGTTCTTCAACCAAATGTACCAATTTCCCCATACTTCGTGATATTTAGATTTCTCCTCATTATTTATCTCACTCGTCAATTTTGCCATTTCTGCGCACTCTAGGATTTTGTTTGTTAGAATTTCTTCTGAGGGTAAGGATTTGTTTTTCCAATATTTCGCAAAGGCTGGTCTAGCCGCAGTTGTAATCTGGATTATGGATTTTTTTTTTCTGTCCCTTTCTCGACAGGGATTTCTTCCAGCACAAAAGCGCTGCTCCAGGCAAGCTCCTTTCTTAGAACCGGCGCGATGAAGCTGGGCTTGTGGTCCTGGGTCATCCTGGGGATGCTGCTGGACTTCCTGGCCCTCCACCTGGCTTGGAAATGGACCCCCTCACCTTGGGGGAACCATCTGGCTTTCCTCTGGGCCGTCGCCGTGGGACGCTGCGTGTCGCTGGTCCTCGCAGGGGGTACCCTCGCCAGCTCCGGTGGGGACAAGCTTCCCTGGAGGCTGCTGTTGGAAGGGGCCTTGGTCCTCTCCTTCCAGATGCCCAGCTATGTCAGCTTGCAGTACCTCTATCATCCCAAAGGGGACGCCCAGCATCTGGCCACCAACTGGGGCAGGAGTGACGTCCTTGCCCTCAACTACCTGGTGGTGGGGTCCGTGATGCTGCTGTTCCATCACCTCCTCCCTTGGGGGGGCACAGGATCGGAAAAGGCGCCATCGGCTTCCTTCGGGCGCCTCATCTCCTGGCTGAGGCCGGAGGCGCTGCGGTTCGTGGCCATCACGGTGCTTATGGTGATCTCATGTATGGGTAAGTGGACCTTTTGAGGTGGGGGGGGGCAGGGGTGATCCTTCCCTGGGCCCTCACAATCAACCTAGACCAGGGGTGTCAAACTTGATTTCATTGAGGGCCGCATCAGGGTTGTGTTTGACCTTGGGGGGCTGGGATGGGCGTGGCCAGGATGGGCGTGACGTCATTCGTGTTGGGGGCACCTGTGGTGGTCTGAGTGCTCTGCCAACGAAAACAGGGTCTTGAGCTCCATTTTTGGCTGCGACGGCCTCCTGCAAACCTCTGCCAGCGAAAATGGAGCTTGGGAAGGCAGCATACGGCCTCCTGAAAACTCCGTTTTCTCTGGCAGAGGCACCGCTTGCCAGTCATTCACTGTTTCCAGGGCATCCTTGTAGACCAAATCTAAGCACCCTGCAGGGCAGATCCAACCCCCAGGCCTTGCGTTTGAGACCCCTGACCTAGAGTTTCAACAATACCTGATATAGATAGTCCTTGAGTTGCAACTGTTCATTTAGCGAACATTTGAAGTTGCAATAGCACTGAAAAAAGTGACTTACAACTGGTCCTTGTACTTATGACCATCGCAAGAGCCCTATAGTCACAAGGTCAAAATAATATATTGGCAACCAGCATATATTAACAGTGGTTGCAGCACCCTGGGTTCATTTGATCGCCAATCACAACCCTCCCAGTCAGCTTCCGAGAAGCAAACCTAATACGGGAAGCAGGATTCACTTAATGACCACATGATTCAGTTAAAAATTGCAGTGTTTCACTTAAGAACCAGGCAGGTAAAAGTGACTCACTTAACCGCCTTGCTTAGAAATGGAAATTCTGGTCCCTATTGTGGTTGTAAGTCAGAAGGACTACCTGTATTAAGGATTTGTTGCGGGGAAGGTCAAAAAAGTTAAATATGGTGGCAATTGACATAAGATCATGTCTTTTTTTTTTTTTTTTAATTAGATTTATATGCCGCCCTTCTCCGGAGACTCAGGGCGGCTTACAATGCGTTAAGCAATAGCCTTCATACTTTTGTATATTTATACAAAGTCAGTTTATTGCCCCCACAAACTGGGTCCTCAATTTACCTACCTTAGAAAGGATGGAAGACTGAGTCAACCTTGAGCCTGGGGAGATTCGAACTTGCAATAATTGCAGACAGCTGAATGTTAATAACAGGCTTTTTAGTCTGTTGAACTATCCAGGCTCAACAGTAGATGTCTTGCAATATCTACTTAAAATTCTAGTGTGGGGGGGAAAATAGGGACATCCCAATGCAGTCATTCACACATGCACACACCCCCAAAAAATTCTCTTCTAAATTGACTCCAACCCTCCTTCTGTCATATGGCTGCAATTTGGAGAGTTATATTTTGCTTTTCCGAAAACTAAAGAAGCGGGTGACATAATATAGATTGCCTTTCTTCTGTTTCTCATCTCGACTTGCGTCAGACATGCAGGAACTAGAAAGGGGGAAATTATTAATTGGAATTTTAAAAGATAAAAAATGAATGAATAAAAACATATATTGATATAGTTCTAGCCCAATGCTGGGCCACGTTGAGGGCGGGGATATTTCTGATCAGGAAGTCATTCTGTGTTCACGTTGGTTCCAGGGGCCGCTGTAAAAGATAGATGGTTGTTTAAATAGAGCCACATTTGCAGTAAATGTCCTTTTCCATCTGGGAGAAACCCCCATTTTAACATGGGGTCTTTAGTTCTAATCAAACTAGTGCTCAAGTCAATTTAAAAATCTCCAAAACAATCCACTTTTCCTCTGAGCTTCTCCTCAGATGGTTCTAGCCAATTATGAAGTGTTTAATTTGAAATTTCCATGTTTTTAATTGTTCTGTTGTACCAAGCAATCTAAAAAGCTCCTTTCTTCTGTTGATATTTAGGAATGTCAAAGAGTTGTGGGAAAACTGAAATGGGTTATTTTAAAAGGGAGGGCCTGAGACTTTAACGGATCTCTGGGGGTGAAGGTAGAGATGTCCAATTGTTGTTGAGACATTTTAGGGGCCTCGTCTTGTTGTTGTTGTTGTTGTTGTTTTGTTGTTGTTGTTTTTAACTGTACTATAATGGATTTTGAATTTCTTTTGTTTTTATCTTGGTTTGCCGCCCAGAGTGTTTTGGTAGATGAGCAGCCATATAAACATGGCTTAAGAAAGAAAGAAAGAAAGAAAGAAAGAAAGAAAGAAAGAAAGAAAGAAAGAAAGAAAGAAAGAAAGAAGAAAGAGGGAGGATAGGATAGGATAGACTGGAATGGAATGGAATGGAATAGAATAGAATAGAATAGAATAGAATAGAATAGAATAGAATAGAATAGAATAGAATAGAATAGAATAGAATTCTTTATTGGCCAAGTGGGATTGGACACACAAGGAATTTGTCTTTGGTGCATATGCTCTCAGTGTACATAAAAGGAAAAAAAATATATTAATCAAGAATCATGATACAACACTTAGGTCATAGGTTACTAAATAAGCAATCAAATTATACTAGGAAACAAATAAAACAATATAAATCGTAAAAATGCAAGCAACATGGTTATAGTCATAGGTGGGAGAAGATAGGTAATAGGAAGGATGAGAAGAATAATAGTAATACAGTCTAAATAAACATTTTGACAGTGTTGTAGGAATTAGTTGTTTAGCAGAGTGATGGCATTCGGGAAGAAACTGTCCTTGTGTCTAGTTGTTCTGGTGTGCAGTGCCCTATAGCGTCGTTTGGAGGGTAGGAGTTGAAACAATTTATGCCCAGGATGTGAGGGATCTGTAGATATTAAAAGAGGGACGGAGGGAGGGGGAGAGAGAGAGAGAAAGGAAGAAAGAAAAGGAAAGAAAGAAAGAAAGAAAGAAAGAAAGAAAGAAAGAAAGAAAGAAAGAAAGAAAGAAAGAAAGAAAGATGGGATTTAGAAGAAAAAGGCAGCAGCAAATTCCTACAGGCCAGTCAGAAGTTACAGCCACAAAAGGATTATTGCCCCGAGATGAGAAAATTGAGAGAGAACATTGATGCCTCATTGCAGTGCAAGCCCCTTTCCCTCATGCATGTGATGTCACAATGCACATACTTCCATTGTGACTGTGCAGTGCTACTGTTAGGCCTCACTTAACAATTGACTGCTTAATAACAGAGTTGGAAGGGACCTTGGAGGTCTTCTAGTCCAACCCCTGCTCAAGCAGGAAACCCTATAACATTTCAGACAAATGATGGTCCAGTTTCTTTTTGAAAACCTCCCGTGTTGGAGCACTCACAACTTCTGCAGGCAAGTTGTTAATTATTTGCAACCCATCCTCAAAGTTACGACTGCCACCCACGCACACGTGCAAAGCCACATAAGCGCATTACAGGTTTGCATTTACAACTGGTTGCAATGTCCCATGGTCACACAACTGCAGTTTGTGAAGTGTTATGCTGTTTTTCGGCAAAAGAAGCACCCATTGAATATGCTAGATTTGTATAATCACATGGTTTGTTTAAAAAAACTACACGATTAACGATCATCGTAAAAAAAAATTATCGTAAAATCGAAGGGTCACGTGATGACCCATCTAACGACCACAATGACTTGTGACCAAAATTCCTGGCTGAATCAGAGCAGTCAGTTGAGTATTTATTTAATTTCTCCCCACCCCCACCCCCACCCCCACCCCCACCCCGGTTATTCTACATGGCGACTTCCAAACATTTGAAGGCTACAATTCCCAGAATCCACAGCTTTTTATTTGTTGATTTTTCTGGAGGACTTTAATCCAGAACCCAATAAAAACAGCCAGAGAGAGTTGTAGTCTAGCTGCAGTATGATATTTTACTTAGCACGTTAAGGGTCAGAACAGGCTCCTATAATCACGCAAAATTAAGATAAAAATAATAGAATATGGTTTCAAGATAAAGATAATAGAAAATGTCCACGGAGATTCTCAGTCATCCAGGTCATGAAGCTTCTTGGATGAGAAGCGAAACGTCTTCAAAGAAAAACCAGAAAGTCCAGCTGCCTCTTGAAAAAAGCACCTTTGGGATTTTTTTTTTTTTTTTGCTTTAATTTATATGCCGCCCTTCTCCGGAGACTCAGGGCGGCTTACAATGCGTTAAGCAATAGCCTTCATACTTTTGTATATTTATACAAAGTCATTTTATTGCCCCCACAATCTGGGTCCTCATTTTACCTACCTTTGAAAGGATGGAAGGCTGAGTCAACCTTGAGCCTGGTGAGATTTGAACTTGCAGTAATTGCAAGCAGCAGATGTTAATAGAAAATGGTGTCAAAAGAAAGATAATAGAAAATGGTTTCGCTCTTTTTAGGCTACGGAGCACGGAAATCCACAAAAGTCAATATTATTGGCCACGATAGTCTGATCGAGTTTTGAATTTTTTTAAAACTACATTTTATATACATCCTTGCATATATATGCAGAAACTTTTCCATTTAACATTTTTATTGAGTTATAAAATATTATTTTAGGGGACGCGGTGGCTCAGTGGCTAAGACGCTGAGCTTGTCAATCGAAAGGTCGGCAGTTCAACAGTTTGAATCCCTAGTGCCGCATAACGGGGTGAGCTCCCGTTACTTGTCCCAGCTTCTGCCCACCTAGCAGTTCGAAAGCACGTAAAAAATGCAAGTAGAAAAATAGGGACCACCTTTGGTGGGAAGGTAACAGCGTTCTGTGCACCTTGGCATTTAGTCATGCCGGCCATATGACCACGGAGACATCTTCGGACAGCGCTGGCTCTTCAGCTTTGAAACGGAGATGAGCACTGCCCCTTATAGTCGGGAACAACTAGCACATATATGCGAGGGGAACCTTTACCTTTTACCTTAAAAAAATATTATAAAATACAAAAGTAAATCGAAAAGCAGTGGGGAGGAAAAGGGGGAAGAGAAGTGAGAAAGGATAAGAAGAAAAAGAAACAACTCTCTCTGTTGCAGTAAAATAAGGCATTAACATCAAATCAGAACTTTTTGCTTTGTTATAATAATATAAACTGTAAAGATCTATTGATCTACTCGGTAAAACCCCAAATCAAAGTTTCATTCTTTTCCACATCAAGCACGAAGTTGGAAGCAGTCTCCAAGTGGAAACAAAAGTACTTATATTCTTTTCTTTAATCAAAGTAGCCAGTTTTGCCATTTCAGTTCAACTCCATCAACTTCTGCAACCATTCGTCCATAGTAGCAATCGAAGTGTCCTTCCATTTTTGGGCATACAATTTATTTATTTATTTATTATTAAATTTATATACCGCCCTACTCCCGAAGGACTCAGGGTGGTGAACAGCCAAAAGATAAAAATACATAAATACAAACGTTAAAAGAGTCATTTAAAATATATTAAATAGTTTGGCCCAAGATACAAATTAAAACACCCCAGTTTAGACAAATTAAAATTTAAAAGCAACGTAAAAGAGAAGTTACAATGGTCTTGCTGCTGTCAACATATATAATAACGAAGTTATATTAGTTATATATGCAGAAACTTGGTACATGCATATTCAAGAGACAGCTTTTGTTGTGCCGAATTGGGGGAAATTGTGTTTGTTCGACGCAGCAAAACCGAAAAAAATTCTAGCACATTGCAGAAATAGCAGTAGCAATAGCACTTAGATATATATCGCTTCACAGTGTTTTACAAGCCCTCTAAGCGGTTTACAGAGTCAGCCTATCGTTCAAGGTCACTTCTAACAAATGCTTTTTGTCTCTGACTTGTAATCTTGTGTGCTTGTAATGTGCAGTTTGCTATTTCTGACCTCATTCTCATCCGAAAATAGACTCCGGAAGAGAGTTGGTAGAGTGCCAGTTCAGACAGGCCTGGTTACTATATACCAGGGGACAGATGGCTGAAATGGAGGCAGAAACTGAAACAGTAAAGGCAATTTGCTAAAATGGCTGTCACGGAAAACGAGGATTTATATTATAATCAAGGATTTTGTAAAACCAAAGAACTTTCCTATACAGTGATTTCCCTTCAGTGCTCCCCTCACAGCGCCTTGTTTTAATTTTTCTGTTACTTCCCACCTCTGAATTTGTTAATTCAAAGAATGACAGATGTCCTACATATTTTACTGATTTTAAATTGGAATTGTTTTAATTACGGCCAAAAGATTTAATTATTTTAATCAGTTTTTAGATTTTGTATGTTTTGTATGTATGTCTTGTTTTATTTTGGCTGTTCACCGCCCTGAGTCCTATATTGGAGAAGGGCGGTATAGAAATTTAAACAAATAAATAAATAAATAAATATTTGTAATTTCAGGCATTTTTCTTGTATCACATTTCTTGCTGGCTAGGGAATTCTGGGAATGGAAGTCTACACGTTTGAAAGTGCCCAGAGTTAAGTTTAGGTTGGGCAACACTGTATTATAGGCATAGTTAAAACTTGCAATATATTTTTTTCCATCAAAATAAACGGTTATGCATTTCGCGAATGAAGGCAAAGGTTATGGTTATGCATTTTTACAAACATGTTTTTTCAACAAAATAAATGTTTATTCATTTGTCACTCTCCTAGACATAAAAAAAATAACAAAAAAAGCCTGAGACTTCGGAGAGGGGCGGCATATAAATTGAATTAATTAAATTAAATTAAATTAAATTCTTCTGAATGAATCTGTACAGAGTTGGGTCACTTCTGATTTTCTTTTTATTTTCAACTGGAGGTTTGGAATGTGAGTTTGGATATCTAGGCTGGGACCTCCAATTTTTTTTATTATTATTATTTCTTTCAAAGCAACCATTGTAAGTGTCAGCAGGAAAAAAAATGGGATTTTTACAAGGATTTATTTCTGCTTTTGTTGGGAAAAAGAAAAGAAATGTAATCTTAGTTTGAGCGAAATAAAATAATAAAAAAAATAGCAGTAAAAATTTCAAAGTATCCACATCAGGCCAGCAGGAAGGCACATTACGTGGTATACATTTCAAAAAAGGATGTGGTGGTTCAGTGGCTAAGCTTGTCAATCAAAAGGTCGGCAGTTCAGCGGTTCGAATCCCTAGTGTCACTTAACGGGGTGAGCTCCCATTATTTGTCCCAGCTTCTGCCAACCTAGCAGTTCGAAAACACGTAAAAAATATGCAAGTAGAAAAATAGGGACCATCTTTGGTGGGAAGGTAACAGTGTTCCGTGCACCTTTGGCGTTGAGTCATGCCAGTCACATGACCACGGAGACATCTTCAGACAGCGCTGACTCTTCGGCTTTGAAACGGAGATGAGCACCGCCCCCTACAGTCAGGAACGACTAGCACACATGTGCGAGGGGAACTTTTACCTTTATACATTTCAAAAAGTGTTTTTCAATGCTTGGAAACTCATAACATGGGTGAACCCACTATCATTTTGTTATTAAATATTAATTAAAGCAACTTGTTACTTACGACCCTGTCACTGCCCAACCCTAAACACCATATTACAGTTGTTTTTAGCAATCCACACAATTCATTCCTTGTTTTTTTTTTTAAATATTTGTCTTTATTCAGGATTGCTAGTTTTTTTTATACTGGGTGGGTTGTTTATTCCAGGGGTCTCCAATCTTGGCAACTTTTAAGACTTGTGGACTTCAACTCCCAGAATTCTGGGAGTTGAAGTCCACAAGTCTTAAAAGTTGCCAAGGTTGGAGACCCCTGGTTTATTCTATTTAAGAGAACCAAGAAACTTTTTGATTGCTGAGGAATAGAAATGCATTAAATAAATAAAGGAATGCATGGAACAGACTCCTAAATCCCGTACAAGTTGACTTTTCTGGCTGGTACAAAAGCTTGAGAAATGACCTGTTGCTTTAACGAGAGACACCCAGAAATTATGAGAGGCCCATGACATTTTTCTAATTTTTTTTTTAATAGTAATTTGGTAATTTCTTGATGAGAAGGCCTGCTAGGAAAATGCACTTGCTTGCAACTCTCTGCTCCCTTCCCCAGCCATCTGCAGCTTTCACTGTACTTTACAGATAGTCCTCAACTTACGATGATTCGTTTAGTGACCGTTCTAAGTTACAACAGCCCTGAAAAAAGTGACCGATGACCATTTTTGACACTTATCGACTGTTGTGGCATCCCCCGGGGGGTCACGTGATCAAAATTCAGAAGCTTGGCAACCGGTTCATATTTATGACGTTTGCAATGGAAGTGTTGGGCTCAATTGCGGTCGTAAGTCGAGTACCTGCATTACATACAGAACAACAATGCTGTTCAGGTTGCTACTTGGGATGGTCAAACCCAGGGGTGGGTTCTACTTACCTCCGCTACCGGTTTGCAACGGGAGCACACGCGCACTTCTGCGCATGCGCAGATCATCCATGATGATGTCCGGGCGGGTGGGCGGAGTGTCCTCTGCCATTACTACCGGTTCGCAAGAACCAGACCGAACTGGGAGCAACCCACCATTGGTCCAACCCGAATGGCCAGCTTCTACTGCAATTCCCAGATGCTGATGTCCATTGATACCTCTATCTATCTATCTATTGATCTGTCTGTCTGTCTGTCTGTCTGTCTGTCTATCTATCTATCTATCTATCTATCTATCTATCTATCTATCTATCTATCTATCTATCTATCTCAAACTCTCAATCTCAAACTCTCAATCTCAAACTCTCAATCCCTCCCTCTCTCAACCTCTCCCTCTCCCTCTCTCTCTTTCTCTCTCTCAACTCTCAATCCCCCCCCCTCAACCTCTCTCTCTCTCAACCTTTCAATCTCTCTCAATTTTTGTCTTTCAGGAGAGATGGCAGTTCCATATTATACCGGGCAGGTGACAGACTTGCTCATAAGCAAGGAGGAAGCCTCGGCCTTCAAGAATGCTCTGTGTATGATGGCTTGTTTCACTCTGGCCAGGTATGATGGGGAGAAACTACCTGGGTTTGTTTTTTTAAATGCAAACTTGCACTGACCAATTTTCTGCACGTTCTAACCTCTACCCGAATCAACCTGCGGTATTGTTGGAAACCCACACATTTGGCAATGCATTTTAGTTACAATAGTAGGGAAAAGTTGGATCACAAACGAATACATTCGGAAATGCATCATATGTGTGTGTGTCGAGCTCCAGCCTGCGGAAGAGCGTTGCAAACTGCTCTTTTGTTTTGTTTGGTTCTTTCCATCGCAATCCGGGCTGGCTGGATGACGAGCCGAGAGTGTGTGTGTAGGGGGTCCTAGAGAGAGAGAGAGAGAGAAAAAAAGGGAACCGTACAGTAGTCCTGGAGTCCTGGAGTCATGATACTATTTTTTACTATTTGATCTTTTCCCATTCCTCTCAGTGCTACAACAGAGTTTCTCTCTGACTTCCTGTACAATACGGTTATGAACAGATTTCACACCCGCTTCCAGGGCTCTGTCTTCAAGTCCGTTCTGCGCCAGGAGATTGGATTCTTCAGCACTAATCGAACAGGTAAATGATCCGGAATTCCCTTCACACACACACACACACACACACACACACTGTTTTCCTGAAAATAAGACCTATCCTGAAAATAAGACCTAGCTTGATTTTTACATGTGTGTGTCCAATTATTTATTATTATTATTATTTATTAAACTTTTATACCGCCCTTCGCCTTTCGGACTCAGGGCGGTGAACAGCCAAAATAAAACATTTGTACATGAAAGTTAAAATAGTTTTAAAATAAATTAAATAAAGTTTGGCCCATTTATTTAAAATATTTCAATTTAAAATCAGTATCAGTTTTAAAACCAAGATAAAATATAAGAGCCTTGGTGGTGCAGGGGACTAAAGTGCTGTTAAAGTAGCACTTAGCTGCCAGCTGCCTGCAATTACTGCGAATTCAAATCTCACCAGGCTCAAGGTTGACTCAGCCTTCCATCCTTTCGAGGTTGGTAAAATGAGGACTCGGATTGTGGGGACAATAAGCTGACTTTGTATAAAAAAAAGAACACCACTTGGGGGGGCCCGAAAGCCCTACTAAGCAGGTATATACAAAAGTATGAAGGCTATTGCTTAACGCATTGTAAGCCGCCCTGAGTCTCCGGAGAAGGGTGGCATATAAATTGAACCAATAAATAGATAGATAGATAGATAGATAGATAGATAGATAGATAGATAGATAGATAGATAGATAGATAGATAAACCCTACCCCCCAAAATAAGCCCTACTTAAGACCCTGCCCACTCCATTGCACCTGGTTGCACGGGGTGGGGCGAGGTGCACAGGTAAAAATCAAGTGAGGGTGGGGATTGGAGGGGTTGAGCTGCTTAACTTCAGACAGTTGCAGCCAGGCCTCGCACACTCCGACACCTGCCTCCCCTTGCCGGCCCACTTCTGCGGCTCCTTGCTGCCGCTCGCTTGTGTTGCCCCCGGCCTCCGTTTCGCAATCAGAGGTCTTCAGGAAAGGCATCTGCAACCGAGAAACAACCTCCGGATTGACGTGTGCGGTGCCCCCTGGTTTCTATTTCATTGTCAGAGGCTTTTCGTAAAGACCTCTGCAGCTGATAAGGATTGATCCGGAGCTCTTTTATTGGCTGCAGAGGCCTTTCCAGAGGGCCTCTGACGGTGAAACGGAAGCCAGGGGGCACATCAATCCGGAGCCCATTTCTTGGCTGCAGAAGCCTTTCTTGAAGGCCTCTGATGGCAAAATGGAGGCCAGTGGCGATGTGCGCGGATGGCGGCAAGGGCTACAGAAGAAGTGGGCCGGAGGCGGGCTTCTGCTGGGCAGGGCTGTTGCAAGGTGAGTCAGTGAAAGACATCCCCTGAAAATAAGACCTGGTGTCTTTCTGGTGGCAAAAAAAGGTATAAGACTGGGTTTATTTTCGGGAAAACGTGTGTGTGTGTCCAGACACAAACGCACACCGTGTTTCCCCAAAAATAAGACATATAAGCAATATGAAAGAAAAGGATTTTATATTTATAACTGCTTTGAAGAGTATCAGGAGCTGCCCTATGTCCCTTTTTTCTTTTCCATTTTTTAAAACTTTTTTTCTTTTCTTGCCCTTTTTTTGTTTCCCTTTGCTTGCTTGCTTTTTCTTTTTTGATGTAGTTACCTCTGTGTGTGTTGTGTGAGTCCGGCCGTGAAAAGAGTACTACGTTGGGAATGCTGCTTTCAGTACAGGCAGTCCTCGAGTTACGACCACAACTGAGCACTAAATTTCTGTTGCTAAGTGAGACAGTTTTGCCCCATGTTACGAGCTTTTGTGCCATAGTTGTTAAGTGAATTGCTGTGGTTGTTAACATTAGTAACCCGGTTGTTAAGTCAATCTAGCTTCCCCATTGACTTCGCTTGTCAGAAGGTCGCAAAAGGTGATCACATGACCCTAGGAGACTGCAACCATCATAAATACCGCGGGATTCAGGCAGCATGTTAAGAGCCTGGTGGCGCAGCAGATTAAAGCCTGTTATTAACATTCAGCAGCCTGCAATTACTGTAAGTTCGAATCTCGCCAGGCTCAAGGTTGACTCAGCCTTCCATCCTTTCTAAGGTAGGTCAAATGAGGACCCAGTTTGTGGGGGCAATAAGCTGACTTTGTATAAATATACAGAAGTATGAAGGCTATTGCTTAACGCATTGTAAGCTGCCTTGAGTCTCTGGAGAAGGGCGGCATATAAATCAAATTTAAAAAAAAGGAGTCAGTTGCAAAGCATCTGAATTTCGATCACATGACCATGGGAATTCTGCAATGGTTATAAGTGTGAAAAATGTTTATATGTCTCTTTTTTCAGTGTCATAATTTCAAACGGTCCCTAAATAAACTCTTGTCAATCAAGGACTACCTGTTCTGAAGGTTGATTGATCTGTCCATCCTCAAAGTTGGTTCAGACCGGCATCCCCCAACCTTTTGGGCACCAGGGATTGGTTCCGTAGAGAGAGGTTTTTCCACAGACCGGAGTAGGCGTGCTTTCAAATTTTATTTATTTATTTTATTTATATGCCGCCTTTCTCCGGAGACTCAGGGCGTCTTACAATGCGTTAAGCAATAGCCTTCATACTTTTGTATATACCTGCTTAGTAGGGCTTTCGGGCCCCCCTAAGCGGTGTTCTTTTTTATACAAAATCAGCTTATTGCCCCCACAATCTGGGTCCTCATTTTACCTACCTTAAAAGGATGGAAGACTGAGTCAACCTTGAGCCTCGTGAGATTCGAACTTGCAATAATTGCAGGCAGCTGGTGTCACTTTAACACCACTTAACCTGCTATGCCACCAGGCTCTTAACATGCTGCCTGCATCCCGCGGATGGGACTTCACTTGTTTACGTGGCCCTGTTTCTGGCATGCTGCAGACCATTGCCAGTCCATGGGGGTTGGGGACCCCTGGGTAAGAAGATGGGGGTGGTCAGTCCCACAGATGGGTACCGAAAAAACGTAAGGCAAAGCCCACAGTTGGTAGGGGCTTCTCCCAATTGACGTACGGTGATTTCAAATGAACTTGTTCTGGTTGACAGGTGACATCACTTCCCACGTCTCGTCCGGCATCGATGCCATGAGCGAAGCCCTCTCACACGATCTGAGCCTCGTGATGTGGTACCTCCTCCGGGGTGTCTGCTACTACGCCATGATGCTGTGGATTTCTGTGCCTTTGGCCTTCTTCGTCATTGTGACCCTGCCCTTCATCCTGCTATTGCCGAAGCTCTCGGGGAAGTTCTACCAGGTGACTAAAGGTTCCCTTCAGCCCCACTCGAGGGTACTGTGGTAGAGAAGCCCAAGGCCCAAAGGCTAGTGGCCCACAGGCCACTGAGGAGGGCTATAGAAATAATGTTTATTTCTATCAGCCATTCCTGGGGATGAAACTCTTCTGACCCGGCCATCGCACCCGTCTTTAATTACACATTGGGAATTAACTGCGTTCACCAACAGAAAGTCCAGGCAAGAGTCCTGCAAGGAGTTAACTGAAGCAGTAGTCCTTATCAGCTCATTAGGCTAAATGTAAGGTTTTGAGCTCCCAGTCGGGAGGCTGCTACATCAAGTCAGTTTAACCAGAGAAATAGACGAACGTCAGTTCTAGCAAGGCAGTCTTTGTTGCACGAAACACACAAGGAGCAAACTTTCCCGAAATATGAAAGGTTCTCGGTGACAACCCGACCACTCCCCTTTCCTCCTATTTGTTCCCCAGTCAGGGAGGAGCCAGTCAGCATCCACGTTTGTTTTGCTTCCCAAGCCAGCTCATTGTCCTCCATTGTTCACCTCTCCTATCTGCTCTGTGCATAAGTGCATCTGGAACAGGCCCCAGCTGTTCCTCCTCCTCACTCACCTCTGACTCCAAAGGCTAACTGCCTCTCCGGTGTCTGGGAAATGCCAGATGGCCCTGACTCTATCTCTGTCCGATGCTGAGCATCCATCAGAGCCTTCCCCAGGCTCCAGAACTGGTCCAAGTTCTTCCCCAACCTCCTCATCGTCCGAGTTTGCTGCCAGCATAGCTGCCGGGCCACAACAGAAAGCCCTAATACACGGGTGTCAAACTCATAGCGTCATGTTGCTGTCACATGATATTTTGTGACGTTTTTCCCATTCACGGAGCTGGGGCGGGCATGGCCTGCGCGCAACACATCCAGTCCATGGGCTGCCAGTTTGACGCCCCTGCCCTAATACATCTGGTGAGTGGCAAAGTGGGGAAAGATCCTTACTGAATGTGGAATGGGACAATTCATCACAGCCATTTTCCAAGATCCATTACTAGGCGATGGTCTGTTTGTAACCGGCCCACCACTCGTGCAAGTTGAGCTGTGTGTGTGTGTGTGCTAAGCCCACTACTCATGCAGCCTGGTTCCCCTCCCCCCCACCAGGCTGCCAAGCCACAAGGGTTGGGGCCCTCTATCCTAGACCCATTTGGGGACCTCTTTCCTAGACCCATTGAAGAGGATTTTTGTTCACTGCTTTCTCTGAATGTGGGAGAAATTAGCTTTTCAATCTATCTGGGTTTCATGATCAAAGAATGAAATCAGAATCTCTAAAGATAGAAAATCAGTTTGGGCATGTTGTCAAACTCAGAAATGGAGCACTTCTGGGGGTGTCAAGGAGCAGGTGTGGCCAGAGTCATGTTTTATGAGATGGGCGGCTATATAAATATGAAGAATAAACAAACAAACAAACAAACAGGCTAGAGATTCCACCCTAAAATTGATAGTCCAGGAAAGTATCCTAGAGAGATTTAATTTTAAAAGAATTATACAGATTATATTGTTGCCAAGTGAACAACATGGACTTCTAGTCACCAGGAATTGAGCCAAATTTAAGGGGGAATTAAATTTCCCCCTTAAGGGGGAATTAATTACTGTTTTATTTAGCAGTAATTAATACGGTTTTAATAATTTTCCAAAGTTGCCTCCAGAGTTTAATTTGTACAGGAGCAATAGAGTTAAATACAGGTAGTCCTCGACTTATGACCCTGTTGCTAAGTGAGACAGTTGTTAAGTGAGTTTTGCCCCATTTTACGACCTTCCTTGCCACTGTTATTAAGTGAATTGCTGCAGTTGTTAAGTTAGTAAAATGGTTGTTGGGGGAATCTGGCTTCCCCATTGACTTTGCTTGTCACAAGGTCGCAAAAGGAGATCGCATGACCGTGGGACACTGGGACCATCATAAACATGCGTCGTTGCCAAGCGCCTGAATTTTGATCACATGATCGGGGAAAATGCTGCAATGGTCATAAGTGTGAAAAACGGTCATAAGTCACTATTTCCAGTGCTGTTGTAACTTCAAGCAGACCCTAAGCAAACTGTTGTAAGTCGAAGACTATTTGTGTATTATTGCAGAGTGAACAACATGGACTTGTAGCCACCAGTTGAGCTTTATCTTATTTAATATTAATTAATATGGTTTCATTTATTTTTCCATTGGGTCACATCCAAAGTTGCCTCCAGAGTTTAATTTGTAGAGGGGTAATAGAAGTTTTTTTTTCCAATTTTTTTTATTTTTTTAAAACACACAAATAAACATACAATACATCTTTTCGGAACAGAGCATTGATCCAGTCTTAAATTTATACAACTTTTTGTTCATCTTTATCAGAATTTAACATATTCTATTTTTGCCATAGCATTTATCAAATATCTCAACTATTACCATCTTATACAAAACTAACTCATATTGACTTGATCAAAGCAATTACCCTTCTATTAATCCACCTTAAATCTTGATTAAATTAATACCTCATAATACATTTCACAATTCTTACCCCAAATACTCACTATTAAAAATACAGTTCAAACATATTTATATTTCTAAATCTTATTTCCATTTCTAAAACTTCCTTATATTTTATTTATTACTTTATATAATATTCATTAAGTCTTTATTTAATTATTACTTCATCAAATTTAAATCTTATCTCTAATCTTGAAACTATACCAATTTAACATTTAAACAAAGTTCTTAATTCAAATAACACAACATAATACAATTCATCATTAGTTCCCTAAATTCTATTTAACAATACCATTTATATAAAAACCAATTTAAATAGGTCTTGTTTAGTAAATCATAATCCTATATCATTTCAATTTTCTTTTTGTTTTGCTTAAATAAATGTATTTATTGAAGATATTCAAATTATTACAATTGTTATAAATATATATATATATTTTTAATTTGATTTATAGACCGCCCTTCTCCGGAGACTCAGGGCGGCTTACAATGTGCTCAGCAATAGCCTTCATCCTTTTGTATATTTATACAAAGTCAGCTTATTGCCCCCACAACTGGGTCCTCAATTTACCTACCTTAGAAAGGATGGAAGGCTGAGCCAATTTAAACAATATCCCAATTATTATAGCCATCAATTTTCTCAGATAGTACCATCCAACATCTCAATAAAAATTAATTCGTTATGTCCATTGATATATTTTCTTTTTACATAATCTAATTTTCATATATTTTAGCTTCAATCCTTATTTCAAGTCTAGATATCTATAGCATATTGTTCTCTCATTTCTATCTTCCTTTTTCTATCGAGGGGCAATAGAGTTGATACGAAGTTTGGGGGTTCAGATTGAGCACCCCTAACCTAATCCATTTTGGACAAACTTTGTTACCTTTTTCTCTCTCTCTTTCCAGAATTTGGCCACAAAGGTCCAGGAATCCTTGGCCAAGGCCAACGAAGTTGCAATGGAGACCTTCCAGGCCATCTCCACCGTCCGCAGCTTCGCCAACGAGGATGGAGCTGCTCAGCGTTACGAAAAGAAGTTGCAAGAGACCTACAAACTCAACAAGGTGGAGGCCGTGGCCTACGGTGCCTCCATATGGATTCCTGAGGCAAGGATGCAAACCTGGGCGAAGAGGTTGGGAGCCACGCTTGGGGATCCTGGGAAGGCGAGATGGTGCTGCACAACTTCCATCACCCAAAGGATGATGTCAGATTTTGTGTGACACATGGAGCTTTGTGCTTCTAGAGCAAGTAGGGATGACTATTTTGGTTAGCAAAGTAGCTAGCTAGCTAGATTGATCGATAGTCTGTCTGTCTGTCTCTCTCTCTCCCTCCCCATCTATCTCTCTCTATCATCCCCCCCTCTCTCCCCCTCCAAAGGGGTTTCACACTAATCTCTGAATATTTTTCTCCTCCAGATCTTACAACTGATGCTCAAAGTGGGGATCCTCTATTATGGGGGATACCTTGTCACCCAAGGGAAGTTGACTGGTGGAGCTCTCGTTACCTTTGTCCTGCAGGAGAGTGAGCTTTCCACAGTGGTGCGGGTAAGTTTTGTGACTGGCCCAGCACTTGAGGGTGGGGGCAGAAACATCCTCTGCCTGGAAGCCCAGAGAGGAGTGAAGGCTCTTCCTGAAAATGTTTCCCTCGTCACACAGTGCCTGTTTCCTTTGTCTCCTAGGCCCTCCTTTTTTCTTACCCCTCCGTGCAAAAAGCCATAGGTTCATCAGAAAAGGCTTTTGAGTATATGGACCGGACACCCCAAATCAAGCCCTCAGGAACTTTGGCACCCACAAATTTAAGAGGACACATGAAGCTTGAAGATGTTTCGTTCTCCTACGCCAACAATGGCAACTCTCTAGTGCTGAAGGTTGGTGGTGGGAACTGGATTCTGAGAAGGGATCACAACACCTTGGGTATGGGTTCAAGAACAGATATGAAGAGAACTACCCAAGATTGAGTCCCAGTCCTCTTGTGACCAGTTAACTCTGTTACCGAATAGCCCTGATTATCTGGGTTAAACCAATACATGAAACTGAAAACTAGTCAAATGGGTTGAATTCACACAACTTAGTAAGCCAAATTTAAAGGTAACCAGCTTTTCATCTTGTATGTGTCATCTACTGATCTGGACAAGTATGTTGTGTGAATGCAGAAACCAAAATGTAGCTGAAAGGAGGTGGAACTCCATTATTTGTCTCTGGGACAGTCAGTGAAACCCATATGGAAGTCTGTAGGGTCTGTAAAACATAAAGCTTCCTTAAAGTGTTCATCTTATTTTTTACAGACCCTACAGACTTCCATATGGGTTTCAGTGACTGTCCCAAAGAGAAATATTGGGTCTGGGCAATACTTGGATGGGAGATAACTAGGAAATCTCAGGGCTGAAAAGTTGACAAAGCATTGTTGCCAAGATAACCCTACAAATGCATCTATAATATCATCAAGATTTATTGATATTGTTGCCAAGATCATCATGATTTTATAGATACATTTGTATCGTTATCTTGGCAACAATATGGGATGCTTTGTTAATTTTCCAGGCCTGAGATTTCCTAGTGGTGAGCTTTGGCCAGACCCAACCTTGATCAGATTTTTGATGTCAGCCAAGGCAGTCTTAGGTCTAACTTGGCTTACTGGAATTTAACTGTGTTTAAATGGTTAGAGATGTACAATGTCCAGTCTGGGAGACTAAGGCCACTCCAAACCATTTTTAATGCCTTGGGAAGGGCACACTTCGACTACTGCATCCAGTTTTAGTCACCACAATGTAAAAGAAGATGTGAAGACTCTAGAAAGTGTGCAGAGAAGAGCAACAAAGATGATTAGGGGACTGGAGGCTAAAATATATAAAGAACGGTTGCTAGAATTGGATATGTCTAGTTAGATGAAAAGAAAGTCTAGGGGTGACATGATAGCAGTCTTCCAATATCTCAGGGGTTGCCACAAAGAAGAGGGAGCCAAGCTATTCTCCAAAGCCCCTGAGGGCAGGACAAGAAGCAATGGGTGGAAACTAATCAAGGAGAGAAGCAGCTTAGAACTAAGGAGAAATTTCCTGACAGTTAGAACAATTAATCAGTGGAACAACTTGCCTCCAGAAGTTGTAAATGCTCCAACACTGGAAGTTTTTAAGATGTTAGATAACCATTTGTCTGAAGTGGTGTAGGGTTTCCTGCCTAAGCAGGGGGTTGGACTAGAAGACCTCCAAGGTCCCTTCCAACTGTTGTTCTGTTCTATTCTATTCTATTCTATTCTATTCTATTCTATTCTATTCTATTCTATTCTATTCTATTCTATTCTATTCTATTCTATTCTATTCTATTCTATTCTATTCTATTCTATGGTCTTGCTCCTCTCCGCATTCAGATGCTAACCAATTGACTCCATTGTCAATGGAGAACCACCAGCAATGCATACCAAGGCAGAAGACTAAATTAGGAAGCAAAGTGGGAGGAGGAGGAGATTTCAGTCAATAGTTTCCACTCAGAGGAAAAAATAAGCCAATGGGCAGTGCAGCAAAGGTGAGGAGATTTGTTCAAGGATGGAGTCCTGCCATGAGCGTGCTGTCCTGTCCCATCCAAAGCCGGAACCAAAACTGCAGTATGAATTACTGCATCTAAATTGGGTAGAATTGGCACACAGTGTTCTCTTCTTCCAGGGAGTGTCTTTGGAGCTACGTCCTGGTACTGTGACTGCCTTGGTGGGCCCTTCCGGGTCTGGGAAGAGCACGGTGGTGGCCTTGCTCCAAAGGTTTTACGAGCCCAAGGAAGGGCAGGTGTTGCTAGACGACAAGAAGCTGAGCGAATATGAACATCACTTCCTGCATCAAAAGGTAAGGGATGCGATACAGTAAACGCAGGCGGCCGATACAGGTTGTTGAGGGGATTGTCCCAAAGGGTGCTTTTTATTTATATAAAACTACAAGTTTGCGTCAGCGTCTCTGGCTCCATTTGGACACAGGCTGTGCAATCCTCTCAGAAAAATCTATAGAGATTCTCAGTCATACAGTCATGGTTGTTCCAAAGGTGCTTTTTTGGGAGGCAACTGGACTTTCCTGTTTTTTCTTTTGAAGACGTTTCACTTCTCATCCAAGAAACTTCTTCAACTCTGACAGGATAGCGGGGAATAGACAGGATAGTTTTATATAAATAAATAAATAAAATTTACATTTAGGTTTACAGCAGGCAAGATAGTCTGGCACATCACTACATCCTGAGGTAAATCATCAGGTAAACCCCTGAGCAACATACAGAGCACACAGGGGGAAAAAAAGGCGGGAAAAAAGGGAAACTCCCCCTTTAATCTCAGCAACCAATCATAATGTAGATTCCCTCATGCAGGAGTCTGCGCTTTCCAACCAATCAACTACAACCGTGTGTCCTGGCCCATTATACACTTTACTGTTCCAACTATTAAATTAAATATCTTTACAGTAGTCCTCAACATATGGCCACAGTTGAGACCAGCATTTCTGTCGCTAAGCAAGACAGTTGTTAAGTAACCTTTTTTCCCGCAACTGTTAAGTGAATTGCTGCATTTGTTAAGTGAAGCATGCGGTTATTAAGCGAATCTGGCTTCCTCTATTGACTTTGCATGTCAGGAGCTAGCTGGGAAGGTTACAAATGGTGATCACATGACCCCAGGACAGTGCAACAGTCATAAATACTTGCCAGTTGCCGAATATTGATCACGTGATCCAGGGGTGGGTTCTATCGTCATATCGTCACCGCTACCGGCTCTGGAGAACCGGGCCGAACCGGGAGGAACCCACCACTGACATGATCCTGGGAATACTGCAGTGGTCATAAATGTGAAAAGTGGTCAGAACTCATTTTTTTCCGCAGTGCTGTTTAGTTCAGTCACTAAACGAATGGTGGTAAATTGAGGACTACCTCTGTTACAAAAGTGCTTTTTGACACAGAATATTATCAAACATGGACTTTATTTTACCGGTGGTTGGAAAAAAGAGGTAGAGATTAAGGATGTCATCTGTATTGTTAAGCAATTATACAAACCCAGACAACACAATGGGGTTTTTTTTCCACATTGTTATTTGTTTTATTCATATAACACATAAAAATTCAATTTCAATTAAACAGCGTGTTTGTCTCGGTGCAATTATTTTTAGGAAATCATAATCAAAATGTTTATAATAATATTCATATTGATATTAATTAAATAATAATAATAATATTTTACTTATCTACTTTAACAAATCTCCTTTATAACATTAATCCTTTTTGTATCCCCATGTTTCTAACGTGGTTTTATTATCTAACTATTGATAAAATAAGTCCCACGTTGAGAAATATTCAGTTCGTTTCTTTTCCTTAATTGTAAGCGTTAATCTGTCCATTTCTGTACATTCTCATATTTTTTTAATTACACTCTCATCTGTCAGGATCTCTTCGCTTTTCCATTGTTGTGCAAATACAATTCTGGCTGCAGTTAGTACATGTAAAATCAAATATATATTCCCTTTATCATACTTTTCTGGTAGGATGCCCAACAGAAATATTTCTGGTTTCAAATCTATATGTTGCTTTATCATTTTTTTCCAACCAAGTATGTATTTTCGTCCAATATGTTTTTTGCCTTGGGACACGTCCACTACAATGTTTTTTAAGCACTAAGAAAGTGTAAATAATAGAAAATCAATAAAACCTTTTTTTATTAAAAAAAAGTGCTTTTTTCCAAGAGGCAACTGGACATTCTTGTTTTTCTTTGGAGACGTCTCGCTTCTCATCCAAGAAACTTGCATTGAGAAGCGAAACGTCTTCAAAGAAAAATCAAGAAAGTCCAGTTGCCTCTTGGGAAAAAAAAGCACTTTTGGGACAGCCATGACCTGGATGACTGAGAATCCCCAGAGACGTTTACCTGTGTTACAGTTTCCAAAGTTGGGGGAATGAATGTTGCTTTGATTGGCATCCCCATAAATTCTGTTTGGAATAATGAACCGTCCTGTTATTTCCCCTTCCTGGTAGGTGGCGCTGGTGAGCCAAAACCCCACGCTCTTTGCCCGATCCTTGGGTGCCAACATTGCCTACGGCTTGGAAGAGCAAAGCCAAGAGAAGATGACCCAGGCTTGTCGGCGAGTGGGAGTCCATCGATTCATCTCCACAATGAGCCACGGCTACGACACAAGTAGGAGTCTGCGTCTTCTGCCCAGGGATTGATTGCAGGATATCCGGGGCTGATTAAAGAGGGTCACATGACAGTTGTCTGGAGGGAAGAACATCTGAGGGGTCCTTGGTGCTCTCTCAGCATGGTTGATTTTTTTGCCGATGTCTCATTACCCAAACTACAGGTCATCCTCGACTTACAAGTACGTTTAGTGATTGTCCGAAGTTACGACACTGAAAAACTTATGACCATTTTTCACACTTACCACCTTTTGCAGCATCCCCATGGTCACGTGATCAAAATTCAGGCACTTGGCAACTGACTCATATTTTTGGCGGTTGCAGTATCCCGGATTATGCTGCCCCTGCTCATTCACACACACCCGTGAATATGGTTTAGAGAGTTTATGAATGTTCCGCAGCAATTCCCTTCACCCAGCCTCAGAACTGTCCCAAACAACTCCAGCCACAAGCAGACCAAGTTAGTCCACAAGGCAATGGCCAATAGTCTATAAAACAATGGAAAGTTGCTCCAACAAATAAGTCCTCCAAAAAACTAAATCTACCAGGCCAAACTGAAACACACCCACAGGAGTTCACTTGGCAAGAGAAGTTCAGAGTCTCCAAAGTCTAGCAGGAAGCACTAGGAACAAACACACGCAGCCAGAAACCAATCATGTTGTTCCCAGCATCACTTACCTCTGCTTGCCAGGATAAATAGTTTTCCTGTGCAGCCCATCAAAACGGGCGGGGTCTTCTCCCGAATAATCTGGCAGATCTCCATTGCTCTTGCCTTTTCTCCACCCTGCATGCTCTCGGATCCACCACAGAAGGCAGCTCCTCTTCTTCACTGACGGCCCATCCTTGCAAGCTGTCCCCAGCCGAAGCCTCCTGTAAATCTCTTTTGGCTGTTCAGAGTCATTAATATACCCAGTTCCTGATGTGCCAGGAAGGAGCTCATCCTCCCTTGAGCTGACTTCCGAGGAAGAATATGAGGAGTTGTCCAAAGGAGACATCACACAGGTTTTGGAATGTCCTGACGAGCAAAGTGAAAGGGGAAGCCACTTTACAACTGTGTTACTAACTTGACAACTGCTGGGATCCAATGTGGCAAGGTCATAAAATGAAGCACAAATGAAGTAAAAAAAATTAACAAGTGTCTCACTTAGCAACAAAAATATTGGCTCAATTATGGTCGTAGGTTGAGGATTACCTATAATGTGGGTAAGGAAACATCTGCAAGAAAACAACCATGCTCAGAGAGCACCAAGGATCCCTCATTTCAATCCTGAGCCACAGATATTTTCCTTTATTAGAAAAACATCTGTCTGTGGCTCTGTGGAGCTGTGACCATAGGGACGAGGCAGTGCTAGGCCTGATGGGTTGCCATGTTCCACCACCCTATTGGACCGGATGGCGAAAAGATTGCTACAGATGTGTTGTAAAACAGGGTCACTATTCCAGAATTAAGCTATTGGGGGATTAATGAAGCAACAATTAGAATTAAAATGGACAAGCAGGGAATTTGGGCAGGCCCGATTGTAGAATCCCTCCATTTTTGTCTCTTCCTGCAGATGCTGGGGAAGCAGGAAAGCAAATTTCTGGGGGGCAGAAGCAAGGGATTGCTCTCGCCCGGGCTTTGATCCGAAACCCCAAAGTGTTGATTTTAGATGATGCCACCAGCGCCCTGGACACAGAGAGCCAGAAGCAGGTGAGAGCTGGGCATGAGAGGGGAAAAGTTTTCTGAGAGGATGAATTATGGACGGAATTAAACAAGCAAAGGGAATGTGAGAAAGGGAAGAGGAAGTGGCCTAACGTCGAGAAGAATTTTGTGGGGTTTCTGTTAAACCACTGTGAGATTTTCGAACAGGAGAACTCTCTGCTTGGCCCAGCTGGAGTCGGGGTAGCAGGTGGAGCTGAGACAGACCCTCCCCCATCCAAGTTCCACAGGAAGCTCTTTATTGGGGGTGGAGGGAAGGGAGGGGGAAATTGCAAGATTTGCAGCCCCAACAAACCTGAAAAGAAGAGGAAGAAGAGTTTTAGATAAGTTCACTATGCCTTAATAATAAATAATAAAGATAGATAGATCAATAGATTTAGATAGATTTAGAGATAGTTAGATGATAGATAGATAGAAAGATAGATAGATAGAAAGAAAGAAAGAAAGAAAGAAAGAAAGAAAGAAAGATAGATAGATAGATAGATAGATAGATAGATAGATAGATAGATAGATAGATGACCAAGAGAGATGGATGATAGAGATGAGAGATGATATAGAAAAGAAAAAATATAGATAGTGATAGATGATAGATCAGTGATGAGGAACCTTTTCGGCACCAAGTGCCCAAAGCGTGCGCGCAAACCCAAAATGCTAGGTATGTATCCCTCCCGCATGTGCATGTCCCCCCACATGTGTGCACATCCCGCGCACGCGCCCTGCCCCCACATTAAACCTGTTCCCAACATACGTACTGCCCCCACGCATGTGCAGCAGAGACCCAAAGACCAGCTGGCCAGCAGGAGGCGCACACGCATACGCCCACCACTGGCGTGCCACGTCTGTGATAGATGATAGAGATAGATACAAAGATAGATTAGAGAGAGATGATAGATAGATGATACATGAGAGAGAAAGAGAGGTGAGAGAGAAAAGAGATGATAGACAGTGATAGATGATAAACAAATACACGCAGATAGATGATTGATAGATAGATAGATAGATAGTTAGATAGATATAGAAAGAGAGATGATAGATAGATAGATAGATAGATAGATAGATAGATAGATAGATAGATAGATAGATGATAGATAGATAGATAGTCTTTTCTAACCATTCTTCTCTTTCTGACATCCCGTTTTTGGCCTCATGTAGCTGGAGAAAGAAATCTACGAAGGAGAAGCTCGCCGCACCCGCTCCGTTCTCCTGATCTCACACAGGCTTCGCAGCGTGGAGCGGGCTGATGTCATCCTGGTCATGGAAGACGGGGAGATCCGGGAGAAAGGGACCTACGAGGAGCTGATGGAGAAGAAGGGGCTCTACTGGCAGCTGCTGCAGAAGCAACCGAATGGGGCAGAGGGGGGCAGGAGCAGCAGCCCCAATGGGAACAATAGGAATTGATAACGGGATGCGAAACAGGCAGGCAGTCCAGTCTGGATCCCAAAGCAGCACTTATCGCTCCCCCGCGAGCGTTGTACAGTGGAGAGACATCTCAGCAACCCAACACTCTTGTAGATTGCCGGTTTATCATTCTGAAAATTCTAAACTGCTGTTCAGAAATCATGGTTTAAGCGATGTGCCATCTGTGCCAGCAGGAAGCCTGTTTTTTGGGGGGGGGTGGAGGGAGGCGTTCACAGTTTAAGTAGAGGGCAGCATCTAGCTGGCCTTGTGGAAACCAAAAGAAGTTGGAGGGCTTCGATGATCTCACAGGGCTGCTCTTTAAAATACTGTACTGTAAAATACTGATGTGTGTGTGTGTGTGTGTGTGTGTGTGTGACTGTTTCTAAGGCTGAGCCACTTCACAGGGTTGTTGGGAAAATAGGAGGAGGAATATCGTGTCTGTTCACTGCCTTGAGTTATTTATAAACAGGATATAGCACTATAGCAATAGCACTTATATACTGTTTCATAGCGCTGTACAGCCCTCTGCAAGTGATTTACAGAGTCATCCTATTGCCCCCAACAATCTGGATCCTCATTATACCCACCTCGGAAGGATGGAAGGCTGAGTCAACCTTGAGCCTAGTGAGATTCGATCTGCCAAACTGCTGGTGATCAGCAGTAGCAGCCTGCAGTACTGCACTCTAACCACTGCGCCACCGTAGTCCTTGTACATTTAGAATAGAATAGAATAGAATAGAATAGAATTTTTTATTGGCCAAGTGTGATTGGACACACAAGGAATTTGTCTTAGTGCATATGCTCTCAGTGTACATAAAAGAAAAGATACGTTCATCAAGAATCATAAGGTACAACATTTAATGATAGGCATAGGATACAAATGATACAAGCAACAAAATTACAGTCATACAGGTGGTGGGAATGATGAGAAGATTAATATTAGTGCAGACTTAGTAAATAGTTTGACAGTGTTGAGGGAATTATTTGTTTAGCAGAGTGATGGAGTTCGGGAAAAAACTCTTTGTGTCTAGTTGTTCTGGTGTGCAGTGCTCTATAGCGTCGTTTTGAGGGTTTATGTCCAGGATGTGAGGGGTCTGTAAATATAACTAACTAACAATGAATGAATGAATGAATGAATGAAACCAGCACTAGAATTGATTGTGCTCAGTTGTCCAAAAGGTGTTTTTTTCAAAAGAAAATTGGACTTTCTTCGTTTTTTCTTGAAGACATTTCACTCCTCATCCAAGAAGCTTCTTCTGACAAGATCACCTTTGGGGCAAGCATGACCTGGATGACTGAGAATCTTCATAGACGTGGTGCTCTGTTCCTTTTTAAAAGTCCCCCCCCCTTCAACGTTGTGTCAGCATCGCCATTCCTGATATTGAAATGAGATGTTTGCAAACGTTTCGCCTGAACGTGTGAAGTTTCTATGGTCTCTTGAGAGTACTGCCATTTCGTTGCATTCTTTTTTTAAATTCGATTTGGGAGAGTTGAAGATGTTCTGTTTTTGGAGTGATGAGAGGCCTGGGGAAGCCCATGTGTGTTTATGTGCTTAGCTTTCTTTTAGAGACCCTTAGTGCACGGCTCTCCAACCTTGACATCTTTAAGACTTGTGGACTTCAACTCCCAGAACTCCCCAGCCGGCATGCGCCAGCTGGAGAATTCTGAGAGTTGAAGTCCACAAGTCTTAAAGTTGCTAAGGTTGAGGACTCCTGCCTTAGTGAGTAGACCTTGATGCTATGATCTTCAGAGATAAATGCTTCCTTGGGACCAGCTTGGACATTTGATGTCTTCTGGGAGGATGCCAACCAAGCTCTTCCTCTTGTGGCTTTGTCTCTACTTCAGCTGTGCCTTGGCAACTTCCTGAACGGAAAGATTTGGCAACTCAAATGTTAGAGCACATTTCTGGTCAAGCATTCTGCAGAGAGGATCGAAACAGTCAAAATGGCATTTACACATTTGAAGCCTGCTACTTTTTGTTGTTATTGTTGTTGTTGTTGTGGGCGCCACTAAAGCTGGGCACAACTCTTCCGCTGCCACCTTGAGCTCTAGCAGAAAATGTCGATGCTGAAGTTATTTTTTTTTTATTGAAAAAGTTTTACAAATACATTTTCACCCCAATTTCCCCTCCCCAACCCCCCCTAACCCTCCCCTCCCCCCAGGACTTCCACAAAATATAATCCAAATCAAAATCACATTTTATAAAACTTGAGCTCCTTGAGCTCTAGCAGAAAATGTCGATGCTGAAGTTATTATTAGGTTATTAATGTAGGTTACTAAGGTTATTAATTAGGTTATTAACTACCAACTACTAACTTTTAGAATTAGTGCACATCTTTTCTTTGCCTCAGGTTGTAAAATGGTTTGGATTCGATTATTCCATTATCTTTGCTTTCCTCCTCTCCTAGCTGAGCAGATCACGTATTAATATTTTGGGACCTTCTAATCTGTGGCACACAGCGGAGTTGTAACCCAATTTGGGGGAAGGGTCTTTCATTGGTCCAAATTTTGAAAGCCACTTGGGCAGAGCGATGAAGGGGCACATCTGGGCTTAGAATTAAATAAACGAACAGGTTCACAATTGTTTTCTGTAAGATCCTTATTTTAGAAAGCCTATGTTTAAAAAAAAGCACTTGTATTTGTACGTTTTAAAATAAATACCTGTCTAAAATTTCCTGTCTTTCTTGTATCTATCATTTCCTTGAATAAGGTTTTCATACTAATAAGATGATTATATAGTTTCTCCCGACAAATAATCACCCAAAGACATTAGAAACTATCCTAAAATGGCACCCTCAACCTGTCTGTTTTCACAAGTGGTTATCACCTTCCACTTGAATCTTGTATAAGCACCATAGGGAGCAAAGCATGGTGGTGCATATTGTTAGGATGCAGGGTTGGAGTTTAGCAAGCTTGTGTTCGAGACCTGAGTGCTGCTGTGGGGCGAGTTTGAGCTCCCATCCTTTGCTCCAGCTCCTGCCAGGCAAATGAAAGAAACCCCCAATTGGGCGTTACCTGGGCAACAGCAATGTTACCAGCTAAGTCTTTCAACCAGGAAGTGCCTCAGTGCTTCTGACACGAGCGTGAAGCAACTATACATAGCATTAGCAATACCTTGGGGTAACTTGGCTGGTTGGGGATAATGGTAGGTGTAGTTAAACCCAGTAGGAGGTCACCCTTCATACAAGTAGTCTTCCATTGTTGAGTAACACACTTGTAAGTTGTAAAACCACACAATTGTGCAGCTTAGTGACAGCCAATCTGACAGTCCATGTTGTTAAGTGAGAACTTCATATGACCACAACATTTGACTTCCTGCTGGCTTCCCCACTGGTTTAGCTTGTTGGAAGCTGGCAGGGAAGGTCACAGATCATGATCAGAAGAATGCTGTGATGGCCACAAGTACAAGGACTGGTCATAACTACAGCTTGCTCAACGCCATCATAAAGTTGAACAGTTGCTAAAAAGTGGTTGTTAAAAGAGAACCACCGGTATTCCTTCCGAACACTTGTAATCAAACATAATTCTTGTGTTTGCTGCCTATAATTTTAAAACTACTGCTTACTGTTAAAACTACTGTTTACTACTTATAATTATAAAACTATAATTCAATTAAAAAACATACAGAAGGAATAACTGCTTCTTATAATTATAAAACTATAATTCATTTTTTTAAAAAAGGAATAACTGCTTGTAATGATAAAACTATAATTCAATTAAAAAACATACAGAAGGAATAACTGCTTATAATTGTAAAACTAATTCATTTTTTTTAAAAAGGAATAACTGCTTATAATTATAAAACTAATTCAATTAAAAACATACAGAAAATAACTGCTTCTTATAATTATAAAACTATAATTCATTTTTTTTAAAAAGGAATAACTGCTTATAATGATAAAACTATAATTCAATTAAAATACATACAGAAGGAATAACTGCTTTTTATAATTATAAAACTATAATTCATTTTTTTTTGAAAAAACATACAGAAGGAATAACTGAGTACAGCAAGCTTATAGCAAGTGGCAGTTGGGAAGTGTACTAAGTATTGATTGATTGATTATATGCCACCAAATCATTTCCAACTCCTAGAAACCACGTAGATTTTCTCCAGGATGATCCTTTAAATCTCCAAATCTGCCCCCTCACTACCGTGATTGAGTCTTGTTTGTTCAGCGATTCCCTGAGTTTGCTTTCTTGATTGTGCTCGGTATTTTTCAGGAGCCTTCTCCAAAAACCAAAGTCCAAACATATTTATTTATTATTTATTAGTTCAATTTATATGCCGCCCTTCTCCGAAGACTCAGGGTGTCTTACAATGCACTTATAGCAATAGCCTTCATTCTTTTGTATATACCTGCTTATTAGGGCTTTTGGCCCCCCCCCATAAGCGGTGTTTCTACAAAGTCATCGTATTGCCCTCACAATCCGGGTCCTCAATTTACCTACCTCGGAAGGATGGAAGGCTGAGTCAACCTTGAGCCTGGTGAGGTTTGAACTCGCACTAATTGCAGGCAGCTGGCAGCTAAGTGCTACATAACAGCACTTAGTCCGTTGCACTACCAAGGCTCTATCACTGGTCTTCCTAGCTTGCTTCTTCAAAGACCAACTTTAGCTTCCTTAAAAGGCTGCAGAGAATACCAGGACCTGTACGATTCTGAAATGTTTCGGTTATAGACACATCATGGCATTTGAATATCTTTTCCATGGCCTTCATTTACGGGACCGCCTACTTCCACAAATAGCCTCCCACCGGCTGGTATGCTCTCATAGAGAGGGTCTCCTCCGGTGCTGTCAGCCAAGCAGTGTCGACTGGCGGCCCCCAGGGGGAGGGCCTTCTCTGTGGGGGCACCCACTATCTGGAACGAGCTCCCCTCGGAGATACGGAGGATCCCGGATCTTCGCACCTTCCGCCGTGCTCTTAAGACCCTCTTATTCCAGCAAGCCGGCCTGGCCTAATTTTTCTCCCCTTTTTTAAATTTTAAATTGAAATTTTAATTGGTTTTAAATTCATTGGGATTTTAATTGTCGTGGGCCAATATTATTTAATTTGGTTTTAAATTGTTTTAACTTTTGTATTTCTGTATTTTATCTTGTGCCTGTTCACCGCCCTGAGTCCTTCGGGAGTAGGGCGGTATACAAATTTAATAAAACTAAAACTAAACTAAACTAAACTAAACTTCATGGCTGCTTTACCAAGCGCTTGGCTGAGATGTACTTGTGGGTGTTTCTTCGTTTAGTCTTGATGGTTGATTATAAAAATCAGAAGCTGCTCACCCCTTCAATAGCTTCATTATTCATTCTGGTTGTCCCAATTACTTCGATGCCCTTTATACATTTAATCTTATATTTTCAGCGAATTGACTTTGACTTCGACTTTGATTACCGGAGCTCGCCGATCATTTGCATTGTGGACTTATCAGGGTTGCGTTTATCAGCAAAGCGCAGATTATTGTTGTTTCTTCCTCCAAGTTTGAATTTCTTCCGCTGCCAGCGTTGGCACCGGGTAAAAAAACAGCAAAAACCAAGGATTGGACCACCCAGCCAACGGCTGAAGAGAACGTCCTTGCGTCATCTGTTGCTAAGTAGCTTCAGTTACGGAGGTTGACTGCGAGCCGGGAATTCCACCCTCCACCCCGCCAACTGTGGAGAAGCTTAGTGGCGCCCCCTGGAGGCGGAGAGATGCAATGAGACTCAGTGGCGGGAATCTCGCCTTTTTCTAGGAAAGAGAACACACAGAAAGGGTGGGAGGTGGACTCAGTGGAAGGGGAGCGTCGTGGGAAGGGTTGAAGCACTGGGTTAGGGATAGATCGACTCGGAGAAACGCTATGCGGTTGATAAGAATCGATAATGACTTGAAGGCACAGAATCAATCAAAGAATCGATCGGTCAATCGATCATGGAATCGATCGATCGATATCTATCAATCGATCGGTCGGCCGATCAGTGGTACCTCTTGCCTTCAGAAGTTGTGGGCGCTTCATCACTGGAGGTTTTTAAGAAGAGACTTGACAGCCACCTATCTGAAAGGATATATACTAGGACCGTGATGGCATGGGTGCCACAGGTGGCACACGGAGCCATATCAATGGGCACACAAGAGTTGCCATAGCTCAGCTCCAGCATGCATGTGTGCGCCGACCAGCTGATTTTTGGGCCTTTTGGTCCCACTGAAAGTTGGGAAATGGGCTGTTTCCGGCCTCCAGAGGGCCTCCAGGGGGGATGAGGAAGGCTGTTTTCGCCCTCCCCAGGCTCCAGAGGCTTTCTAGGAAAGGCCGTCACATGCTAAAAGCGGGGGGGGGGGTGGCGCGCGTGCACACATGCGCAGAGGCGGGGCGCATTGTATTATGGGTATGGGCACACACATGGGCGACCTCCCCGCGTTCCCCTAGCTTTTGGCATTCGACGGCAAAAAAGTTAGCCATCACTGTACTAGGATCTCCTGCTTTAGCAGGGGGTTTGACTAGAAGACCTCCAAGGAACTCTTCCAGCTCTATTCTGATTGATCCCTCAACCGATCCCCTGCTTTGTGACGGAGACTGGAGAATAGGCGCCCCCCCCCTGCTCTTTGGGCCCCGAGATAATCTGGGATTTGTGGGTTATCAACTCTGATTGCGGCGCTTTTTGTGAAAGACAAAAGTTTCCTGCTTTTCCACTAACAAGCAAAGCTGAACCAGGGCTTCCGGAGTCGGGAAGGATACGGGGATGCAGGAGATCAGCTAGTCGCCCCTCCGTCAAAAAACTCCAGTTGCGTGGCTAAAGCCTACAACAGCCATTTCCAGATGGGTCGGACTAGGAGGTCCATGGTGCGCTTGACAGGGCAGGATCACATGCCTATCGCCCTCCCAGATGCGTCTGCAGGACTGACTCCCGACACGGAGGAATGGACAGACGTGAGGATCCACACCAGACAAGCAAGACACCACAATATAAACTTGAGAGCAAAGCCCATTCTTTAGGAACACTGATGATGTTACCTAGTTGGGTCATGAAACGTCTTAAAGCTCCAAGGACCCCTCATGTGATCCTTGAGCTACAATATAAGATGAATATAAACTGAGAGCAAAACCCACTCCTTACCAGCCCTGATGATGTTACCTAGTTGGGTCATGAAACGTCTTAAAGCTCCAAGGACCCCTCATGTGATCCTTGAGCTACAATATAAGATGAATATAAACTGAGAGCAAAACCCACTCCTTACCAGCCCTGATGATGTTACCTAGTTGGGCCATGAAACGTCTGCAAGAAAACAAGCCTGCTCAGAGAGCCCCAAGGACCCCACACCTGAGGATCTGTCTGGATGCAGAGCGAGGGCACGCAGGCAACTCCGGGGTTCAGCATCGCCCCCACACCCCACGGGGAAACCCCTCACTTTAGGTCCCTCGCCCCCCCTCCTTTCTGATTGTGGGGATGGGGAAGCCCTGTCCACCCCCAAGGATCGCGGGACGGGGGGAGGGGGAAACCGTCCTTCCCCTCCTTAGCCGCGCCTCTCCAAGGGCGCCTTTGCCCGGCCCACGCGTGGGGCGAGGAAGGGGGCAGGCGGAGCCCCGCGAGTGCCGCTTTCGCTTTCACCGCGCCGGGAGAGAGGAAGTGGCGGCGATGGCGCTGCTGGATGTTTGCGGACTGTCCTGCGGCGACTGGGACTCGCCTCTGCCGGGAGGGGTGGCCGCCGCCGGACCCCGCCAAGGGCTCCCGCACTACGCTTTCGGGGTGCGGGAGCCCCAGATGGCGGTGCTCCCGGGGATGCAGGTGGGGCCGCGGAAAGTGCCGGGCTTGGGACGGAGGGAGGGAGGGAGGGCGCACCCAAGGAGTGGATTTTGACACGTGGGGCAAAGGGCATCTGAGCATATGCAGAGTGCTGCCCCCCCTCCACCCCTCGATGAATTGTTTGGCGCGGTGCCCAGAATGGGACGTCAATCTTCTCGGGAGAGAAATTCCCCCCCCGAACTCCAAATTTTAAGCGGCCGGATGATGATGGGGCGAAGGACGGGGACTTGGGCCCGATTCTGAGCCCTGGGGAAAGTTGTGTGTGTGTGTGTGTGTGTGTTTGTGGGTCTGTGACTCTGTGTGGTTGTGCGGCCGGACGAAAGAAGGAAGGAAGGAGGGAGGGGGGGCACCCGGAGAACGGCGGTTGGGACATGCGGCAAAGGGCATCTGAGCATATGCAGAGTGCTCCCCTCCCTCGCTCGTCCCCCTGGCCGCATTGTTTGGCTTGGTGGCCCAGAACGGGACGTCGACTTTCCTCCGGGCAGCAGTTTTGTCTGGAGTGAAATTCCTCCAAAAACTTTTAGCGGCCGGATGACGGGAGGGGGCGAAGGAAGGTGGGCGGGGGCGGGGGGGGGGGAAAGGAGACGACTTGGGCCCGATTCTGAGGGCCGGAAAGGGGCTTTGCTCGGCCGTCTCCCGCCCTTTTCCCACTGGAAGGCAAAGGAAAGGCCGGCCTTGGCTCAGGTTTGGGGCCAAGGGTTGTGTGGTTGTGTGTCTGTGTGGTTGTGAGGCCGGATGAAAGAAGGAAGGAGGGAGGGAGGTGCACCCAGGGAGTGTTTTTTGAGACATGAGGCAAAGTGCATCTGAGCGTATGCAGAGTGCTCTCCCCCTCCTCGCCCTTCTCGTTCTGGTCTGTTGCCAAGAATGGGACATCCGCCTCCTTGGGGCACTAACCCCCCTCAAAAAAAAAAGCTTTTAGTGGTGATGGGGAAAAGGAAGTGGGGGGGGGGGCTTTGGCCCTATTCTGGAAGGGGAAGGAAGGGCCAAACTTTGGCTCAGGTTGTGGGTCTTTGTGTGTGTGTGGTTGTGCGTGTGTGCCAGAAGAAGCTGCTCATCCCAGGGGTGAAATCCAGCAGGTTCTAACAGGTTCTGGAGAACCGGTAGCAGAAATTTTGAGTAGTTCGGAGAACCAGCAAATGCCACCTCTGGCTGGCCCCTGAGTGGGGTGGGAATGGAGATTTTGCAATATCCTTCCCCCAGGAGTGGGGAGGGAATGGGGATTTTGCAGTATCCTTCCCCTGGAGTGGGGTGGGAATGGGGATTTTGCAGTATCCTTCCCCTGGAGAGGGGTGGGAATGGAGATTTTGCAGTACCCTTCCCCTGCCACGCCCACCAAGTCACAGAACCGGTAGGGGAAAATTTTGGATTTCCCCCCTGGCTAATCCTGCTGGCAGGAGGGTCTCCTGCATCCCGTCTCCATCCTCATCGGGGACCCTTCCTCTCTCCCCTCCCCCCTTCCCTCCCCCGCAGCCCGCCGAGGTCATGAAGAGCCTCTCGGAGAGCAGCGGCTCCCGGTTCGAGCCAGTCCACGGCACCACCACTCTGGCTTTCACCTTCCAGCACGGAGTCATCGTGGCCACCGATTCCCGGGCGACCTCCGGCAGCTACATCAGTGAGCAATTTTGTGGTTTCAAGGAGAAGGGGGCGGGATGGGAAATCAAGTCCATCTGTTGTTAGCTGTTGTGTTTTCTTCCCGGCCAGACTGAGAAGTAAAACTTCTCTTGGAGAGAAGGCAGATTCCTGGGGACTTTATTGGTCCTCGATTTACGGCTAAAGTTGAGCCCCAGATGTCTGTTGTTAACCGAGACATTGGTGAAGTGAATTGTTGCCTGATTTAACATTTTTGTTGAGTGATAAGAGATTCTTGCCACAGTTGTTAAGCGAATCACTGCAGTTGATCAGTTAGTAACCTGGTTGTTAAGTGAATCCGGCTTCCCCGTGGACTTCGCTGGTCCAAAAGATCACAAAAGGGGATCACAGGTGACCCTGGGGCACTGCAACGGTCATAAATATGAGCTGGTTGCCAAGCGTCTGAATTTTGATCACCTGATCATAAAGATGCTGCAAAGATTGTAAATGTGCTAGTCGATTTATTCTGATGGAGGAACGGAGCGGATGGACTGAAAGAACTCCTCCACTATCCAGTTAGAACTGAAGAAGCTTCTTGGATGAGAAGAGAAACATCTTCAGGGAAAAAACGAAGTCCAGTTGCCTTTTGAAAAAGTCTGGTAGAGTTTTTTTCAGGCTAACAAATACGTCCTTGGAGGAACATCTGACGGCTGTGGCCAAGGGGACTTTTTGTCAGGTTTGCCTGATCCGCCAGTTGCGGCCCTTTCTTGATCGGGATTCCCTGCGCACAGTTACTCATGCCCTCGTCACCTCTCGCCTGGACTACTGCAACGCTCTCTACATGGGGCTCCCCTTGAGGGGCACCCGGAGGCTCCAATTGGTCCAGAATGCGGCCGCGCAGGTAGTTACGGGAGCTGCATGGTGCTCCCATACAACACCTCTCCTGCGTGAGCTGCACTGGCTCCCAGTGGTTTTCCGGGTGCACTTCAAGGTGTTGGTTGGGAGAAGGGCGAAGGGCGGTATATAAATTTGATATAATAAATAAATAAATAAATAAATAAATAAATAAAGAAAGAAAGAAAGAAAGAAAGAAAGAAAGAAAGAAAGAATGAATGAATGAATGAATGAATGAATGAATGAATGAATGAATGAATAAATAAATAAATAAATAGGCTTTGTGCCACTGTAGCTCACTCCATCAGATGCAGCTTAATTCCTCCAGATGCAGTTGGCAAAAGCAGATAAATGCCTTTTTATAAAATCTGTTGTGTGCCTTCTGATTTGTGGTGGGGTAAAATGTCCTGCTAAGCTGCCCAACAGCAGTGCTGAGTGGGCCTCATCTGTTCTTCTCGTCTTCCTTCCTTGCCTCCTACGCAGGTAGTTTGCTGTGCAACAAGGTGATTGAAATCAACCCTTACCTGCTGGGCACCATGTCTGGATGCGCGGCCGATTGCCAATATTGGGAGCGTCTCCTGGCCAAATATTGCAGGTAAGGATCTGATGCTGGTGCTTCATTGGCTGCACCTGGACAGCCATCGGTCAGAAATAATATAGGCTCTCCTGCTTGAGCAGGGGGTTGGACTAGATGACCTACAAGGTCCCTTCCATCTCTGTTCGTTCTATTCTAAGAATAGAATAGAGTAGAACAGAACAGAACAAGCTGGAAGGGACTTTGGAGAGCTTCTAGTCCAGCCCCCTGCTCAAGCAGGAGAACCTATACATGTGATGGCGAATCTATGGCACGCGTGCCACAGGTGGCACGCGGAGCCATATCAGTGGGCACGCGAGCTCAGCTCTAGCGCACATGTGCGCTCCGGCCAGCTGATTTTCAGGCCTTCCGGGCCGACCAGAAGTCAGGAAACAGGCTGTTTCCGGCCTCTGGAGGGTCTCCAGAGAGAGGTGGGGAAGGCCGTTTTTGCCCTCCCCAGGGTCCTAGAAAGCCTCTGGAGCCTGGGGAGGGCGAAAAACGGGCCTACTGGGCCCACTGTGCCATCATGTGCCAAAAGCGGGGGGAGTGCAGGTGGATCACACGTGCATGCATGGGGGGGCGGGGCGCATAGAATTATGGGTGTGCGCGACCCCCCCACGCTGCCCACACTTTTGGCACACGATGGCAAAAAAGTTAGCCATCACTGACTTATACCATTCCAGACAAGAGACTGTTCAGTCTCTACTTAAAGACCTCCAGTGATGGAGCACCCACAACTTCTGGAGGCAAGCTGTTCCACTGGTTACTGTATTTTTAAGACTATAAGACACACTTTTTTGTCTCCCAAAAGGGGGCAAAAATGTCTGTGCATCTTATAGACCGAATATTGCCGAAGCCCTGCCCACCCGCCAGCCATTTTTTTGACCTCTGCACACCCTGTTTTCGGGCCTTTTTAAACCTTTTTTAGGCCTTCCTTCTTTGGCCCATTTTTGAGGCTTTTTTGGCCTGTTTTTGAGGCTTTTTTGGCCTGTTTTGAGGGCTTTTTTGGCCCATTTTCGAGGCTTTTTGGGCCTGTTTTTGAGGCTTTTTTGGCCTGTTTTGAGGGCTTTTTTGGCCCATTTTCGAGGCTTTTGGGGCCTGTTTTTGAGGCATTTTGGGCCCATTTTTGATGCTTTTTTCAACCCGTTTTTGGGCTTTTTCTGGCCTGTTTTTGAGGCTTCTTTTAGCCCATATTTGGGGCTTTTTTGGCCAAAAAAAGCCTCAAAAACGACCTCAAAAAAGGGTCAAAAAACCCTAAAAAACTGGCCAAAAAAGCCCCCAAAATAGGCTGAAAAAAGCCTTGGAAATGGGACAAAAAAAGCCCTGGAAACAGGCCGGAAAAAGCCCTGGAAAAGGCTTGAAAAAAGGTAGTCCATTTGTTGTTTTCCTCTTCTAAATTTAGGTTCGTCTTATAGTCTGAAAAATACAGTAATTGTCCTCCCTGTTAGGAAATTTAGTTTCCAAACATTGTTTCTTGTCCTGCCTCCTGGTGCTTTGGAGAATAATTTGGGCCCCTCTTTGTGGCAGTCCCTAAACCTGCTAATAATCCATAGCCATCTTTCTGTGGGTCCTCACTGACCAGACTGAGTTAAGAAAATCAAGGACAGCGTCAGTAAAAACCGAGCAGACAATAAGAAATTATAAACTTCACTGTCAAATGAGTGCCAGCCACACACAGTGATTTGGGGATGAAGACTCTAGACAAGGGTGCCAGGAGCTGCCCTTTGGAGATACGGGTAGGGGCAAGACAAAAAGGAAAAAGAAATCTGATTGTAGTACAGATAGTCCTTGACTTACAACATTTAGTGACTGTTCAACCTTATAACGGCACTAAAAAAAGTAACATCAACATTTTCACACCTACAACCATTGCAACATTCCCTATGGCCACGTGATCAAAATTCAGACACTTGGCAATTGATTCATATTTATGACGGTTGCAGTGTCCCGAGGTCATGCGATCCCGTTGCCACTTTCTGACCAGCAAACTCAAGGGGGAAGCCAGATTCACTTAACAACCGTGTTACTAACTTAACAACTGCGGTGATTCGTTTAACAACTGTGGCAAGAAAGGGTCATAAAATGGAGTAAAATTTGCTTAACAACTGTCTCACTTAGCAATTGACATGTTGGGTTCGATCGTGGTCGTAAGTCAAGGACTACCTGCGGACCTTTAATTTAAATTAAGTTCCTTTGATCGGATGATTGCTGTTGCCTTTAACATTTTCCCTACCATTAGATTAAAGATGGCAATTTGATGGGAATGTTCAGGGAGGCCCTAAAAAGCCCACCAAAGCTTTGGGTCTCTCTTTGGGCACCCTTGGCTCAGTATAAACGCAGAGGGATCCTGGGACCCTTCCTCTTATACAGGGAATCCGATGGGTCCATTGTGGTCAGACAGAGGCTGAAGACCTGGGGAGATACGGAAATATCTGGGGACATGGAGTAGGAAGATAGACCCTCTTCCTTTGACTCTGTCTTCCTTCTGCCCTCCCAATGCAGGCTGTACTTCCTTCGGAACAAGGAACGGATCAGCGTCTCGGCTGCCTCCAAGCTCTTGGCCAACATGCTGGTTGAATACCGGGGCATGGGTCTCTCAGTGGGCAGTATGGTATGCGGATGGGACAAGAAGGTAATTGCTGGCAGGGAGGGAGGGAGGGAGAACAGACAAGCCAGGGGAGGGTGGGAAGGGAAAGGGATGGGAGGGGAAGGGAAGGGAAAGAAGGGAAGGGAGGGGAGGGAAAGGGAAGTCAAGGGGAGGGAAAGAGAAGGGGAGAGGAAGGGAAGGGAAAGGGAAAGAGAAAGGGGAAGAAAGGGAAGGGGAAGGGGAGAGGAATGGAAGGGAAGGGAGACTCTTTGAAGCGTTCTAGCAAAAAATCAAAAGAAGGTTTGGTTTTTAGACATTAGCTTCAGAAAAGAGAGTTGGGGGGTTATCTGATACTCCAGAATTGTGAAAAGTGTGGCTCACACACAGCCTAGGTCAGTGATGGTGAAGTGCCGAAAAGGTTGCGCCAGTGGTGGGTTGCTCCCGGTTCTGTCCGGTTCTTGCGAACCGGTAGTAATGGCGGCGGCTCTGCTCACCCGCCCCGACATCATCATAGACAATCTGTGCATGCACAGAAGCACACACCCATTGCAAACTGGTAGTAAAGGTAAGTAGAACCCACCCCTCGGTTGCATGCAAGGGTGAAATCTACTTAACTTCCCTACCAGTTTGGAAGTGCGCACGCAGTCACGTGCGTGCTTGGACCCCATGTGCATGCGCAAACCACTCTATGCATCTGCAGAGGATAAAAAACAGGTTAAAACCGGGAAGTAAACCTGGGCAAGTGGGTGGAGCCTTGTGCCGCCATCGCTACCAGTTCTCCGAACCACCAGTCTCCATCACTACCGGTTTGGTCGAACCGATCCAAACTGGGAGCATTTCACCCCTGGTTGCGCAGAAACATCACATGTGCACGCCCTCGTCAGGGCTGCACTCCAGAAAAGCCAAATTTATAGCTTCGCGCGCGCATGCATGCCCGATGATCAGCTGTCTGGCATGCATGCACAGGCAGGTTTTCGGGACTGCTGCGTGCGCAAAGGGATCGCGCTCTGGAAAAGCCGAACTTCTGGGTTCTGGCACGCATGCACACCTGACAATCAGCTGGACGGCACACATGCACACACCAGTTTTCAGCACTGTTGCGCGTGCGAAGGACAGCTGATCGTCACGTGCGCATGTGCACCAGAAACCTAGAAGACAAACAGGCAAGGTCGCGCGTGCCAGGCGACACGGCTTTGCATGCCACTTTGGGCACACGTGCCATAGGTTCTCCATCACTGGCCTAAGTCATTGGGTGTTCTGCCCCAGCTACGGATCCCAAAGAACACAGCACACCCAAAGTTTGTACAAAACTTAATTTACTAAAATAACAGTCAAAAGAAAGACTGTTAATAAACTTTCTTAACAGCCTACAAGATAAAGTAATCACAATCTTACTAAGGTTGGCAGAAAGCCCAGAAGCAATTTGCAGAGAATCCAGACGCGAAGTAGAGTCAACTCAAGTTGTTCCCTACAAATTGCTTCATTTGGTGTTCCTCCTTAAATAGGCTAAGGGAGTGGCCAATTAGCCCCAAGCCTTACTCTCAAGGAGACTTCCTCCAGAGGAGCCACTCCTGCCTTTTGGACGCTCTGCGCGCCCGTGCATTGAGAAGAGGCTCCTCTTCTTCGTCCTCTTCACTTAAAGGAGCTTCTGGAGTTTCTGAAGGCCCTGGCTGAATTCCTGCCTCTGGCACCACATTTTCTCCAGCCTCCTCATTGTCTGACTCGGATGCCAGCTGCACAGGCTGCTGGCACAACACCACACCAGCCTCCTCGCTGTCAGAATTAGCTACAATCCGCACAGGTTGCTGACGGGCCACAACATTGGGCCCTAGAGTGAAAGGATGAGCCTTTTCAGTTTTAGGAGGGGAAAGGATTACAGGATTTTTTAGATGGATAGGATGGCTGACCAGGTCTTGTCTTGGCAGCAGTACAAAATGGTTTGCCATGGTTTTTTTCTGGACTGTTTTTTCTTTTGGGAATGTTTTATCCCGCCTTTATTATTTCTATAAATAACTTAAGGTGGCAAACATACCTAACACTCCTTTTTTCTCTTATTTTCCTCACAACAACAACCGTCTGAGGTGGGTTGGGATCAGAGAGCATGACCGGCTCAAAGTCACCCAGCTGGCTTTCATGGCTAAGGTGGGACTAGAACTCCCAGGCTCCCAGTTTCTAACATAGTCTGGTGCCTTCACCACTGTACCAAATTGGCTCTGCTTTCACTTTTACTTCTTAGTTTAGTCCGGGAATTTCTTGGTGGTCTCCCATCCAGAACTAATAGGGTCCAACCAAGGATTCTCCTAGATTGGCCAGGCAGTGCTGTGGATTACTGTTAAGGTTGTGTCCTGCCGATGTTTGGAGTGTAACCCTTAACCACACCCTGGAACAAGGAGTGAAAGTGCTTGTTTCTGGCCAGGGCTGGGCTGTACAATCCCTCAGGAAAAGCAAACGAAGGCAGAGCTACAGAGACTCACGATCCCCTCCGTTTTCAGGGCCCTGGTCTGTACTACATTGATGACGGAGGTGCTCGGCTGAAAGGCCCCCTTTTTTCCACGGGAAGTGGAAACACATACGCCTATGGAGTCCTGGACAGTGGGCATCGGCCTGACCTGAGCGTGGAGGAGGCCTACGACCTTGGCCGAAGGGCCATCTGCTATGCCACCCACCGTGATTCCTACTCGGGCGGAGTAGTAAACAGTAGGTTTCCCAAGCAGCCACTGGGTTCTTTAGGCACTCTGTGACCCCGAGCATTGGAGTGGGGGGGGATGATAGAGGCTAATTTTGCATTGTCCCTTACTGACTTTCTGCCCATTTCTGTGTCCTCCAGTGTATCATATGAAGGAAGATGGCTGGATCCGGGTTGGGCGGACGGATGTCAGTGACCTGCTCCACCAGTATTCAGAGGAGAAGAAGTGAGATGGGCAGATGACCACAAGCACAGAGATCTTCTGACACTCAGGGCTGGCAGAGAGGAAACGGATGGGGGACCGTCCCCACTGTCTTTTCACGGGGCAACAATAAACCGCATTTGAGCTCATTTTTCTTTTGGCTCTGATTTGTAATTTAAAAATGTTTTGGAAGTGTAGGAATCCCCCTTCCCCGAGAATGAAATATTTGGGGGGAATATTAAAAGAGGCAGAATATTATATTTCCCCAAAGGAGAAATGGAGAAACGTGTTCTTTTTTTTTGGTTGTTAAATATTTTTTATTGCTTTATATCACATATTCCAGTTCTATGTTGAACAGTGTTTTCTTGATGTCCAAAGGGTTAACATATAAACATCATCATAATCATTATAATCATATATATAAACATACATGCGATAATATCAAGTGTTATTGAAAAGTATACTATCTTCCATTATAGTATCGATTATATAACCATCAAAATATTTACTCATCAGTTTTTCTTTCTCATGTAGTCCATATTTCACATAAATCCACTCCACTAACCTCAGGATCTGTCAATTAACCATTTATAGAATAGTTCCCATGTTATAAAATATTCTGAGTTCTTTTCCTTTGATTTTTAGCAGGGTGGATAAAAATGATTTTTAAAAAAAAAATTAAAAAAATCAGATTTTTTTTATTTAAATTGGATTTTTTTTATTTAAATCGGATTTTTTTTATTTTTATCGAATTTAAACTTTTGGAGTAAAAATCTATCGTAAGATAGTTTTCTATTTAAGATACATAAATAATTTAGTTTATTCAGCATGAAATGGAGCTTAGTTATATAGCATGAGGCTGTATATTCTGCAACCCTGGGACTATCGGTGAGTCAACAGTGGGTCAAAGGAGTAGCAGAGATGACAGTTGCTCTTTAAAAATTATGATTTAAATCGAGTTGATTTAAATCAAGCCTTTTTACTAGTGATTTAAATCATGATTTAAATCGTGATTTAAATCAACTCGATTTAAATCAGATCCACCCTGATTTTTAGGTTTAACCTATCCATTTCTGCACATTCCAGAACTTTTTTGATTATAATATCATCTGTAGGGGTTTCTAGATTTTTCCAGTATTGTGCATATACAATCCTGGCTGCTGTTAGGATATGTAAAATTAAATATGTGTTACTCTTATTATAGTTTCCTGGAAGCATGCCCAACAAGAATGTCTCAGGTTTCAAGTCTATGTGTTGTTTAGTCATAGTTTCCAGCCATATGTGTATTTCCTTCCAGTATTTTTTTGCTTTGGGACATGTCCACCACATATATATATATGAGCCTGGTATTTGATTGCATTTCCAACATTTAACATATTTATTTTTATACATATTCGCTAATCTTGCAGGTGAATAATGCCATCTATAAAACATTTTATAGAGTTTTTCTTTATACGCTGCTGATGTTGTGAGTTTATGATTTCTATTCCATAATTTCTGTAACCTCTTCAAATCTATTGTATAGCCAAAATTCTTAAATTTTGAAACAGGTTCTTAAAGGCAGAAAGCAGTCCCAGTTTCCTGCACAGTAAAACAACCTCCAGCAGATGCCTAAAGTCTTTAGAGAGGGATATTTTGTATCCATTCAGAAAGACTGGGCCCGTCTATTTACAAACAAAACATCTTCAGCTCCACCTGATAGGATTAAGAATTTACATGCCCCCACCCAAATTCTAAGAACAGGACAGGACCTCTAGGGCATATTAGGATTAACCCACCACCATTGAAATAGCAAGAGACACAAAAGCCCCTTCATTGCACAATCTCAAGAACAGCTCAAACTTCAAAGTCACAGAAACCTATAAAGATCCATCCACTCATTCAGCCATTTCCTCAGCTGTCGCAGAACTACATGCTGTTGTTGGTTCTGCTCATCAATAAATAGAGTCCTTCTTTCCAATCAGCCTCCATTTATTTCCAGCAGTTCTCTCCTGGCTTGGAACTGGACCGGATTTTTCTTTCTACAGATGTCTGAACGGGAATACATCACTTAGATAGTGGAAAATAAAATTGGTATTATTGGAAATTTCTGGTTTGAATCTTTAGAAGGAGCTCAGATTTTTATTCCTATTAATCCCCCTCATTCCCAACTGCACTAAACAGGGTATTTTCTCCACAGATTCCATCCACAAGGATATCCCTGGCAAATTGCTTAAGTGTCACTCCTGATGAGTTCAAGCAAGTGAGGAAACACCGAACTGTATCTTAAAATAATCCATGTTTAAAAATAGAAAGCAGGTTTGCAGAGTTGAGGAAGAGAGGATTGCCAAGCGATCAAAGAACAAGAGGCAGAGCGCAGGAATCTCTTAAATGCGGATCCCTGAAGAATCTTGATTATAAAGATGCATTTTTAATTGTGTATAATTTGTTCCTCACTTCTTGTTCCTTAGAGGATTGATGGGGCGGAGTTCATGCTTACTAGAGCTGCAATTCTCTTCCGGGAATTTCAATGGCAGATTTATTAAGGAAACACTTTGAATTGTGACTGGATATCTGAATGGAGCAAACAAATAAATACCGTAACACCTGTGTCTTTTTTTTTTTAACGTTTGGACTTTAAGAAGGGTTTAATTTAATTAAGGGATAAAACGTAGGCCTGAAGCATAGTGACTGTCTCACTTCCTCCCCAAATTGTCTTTGGTTCCACCCCTTTTGTGAAAGTTGGTGTTGAGGGCATGAAACACAACCCTTGTTGCAGTGGTGGGTTTCAAATATTTTTACTACCGGTTCTGTGGGTGTGGCTTGGTGGGTGTGGCTTGGTGGGCATGGCAGGGGAAGGATACTGTAAAATCTTCATTCCCACACCACTCCAGGGGAAGGATACTATACAATCTCCATTCCCTCCCCACTCCAGGGGAAGGTTACTGCAAAATCCCCATTTCCTCCCGATCAGCTGGGACTTGGGAGGCAGAGAATAGATGGGGGCGGGGCCAGTCAGAATTTTTACTACCAGTTCTCCAAACTACTCAAAATTTCTGCTACCAATTCTCCAGAACTGGTCAGAACCTGCTGAAACCCATCTCTGCCTTGTGCTCAATTTACGGTTGAAATGGAAGAGCAAGTGTGATCCTTGAAGAGAATGGCGTATGATCTCCTGGTTGGGGCTGGTGGTGTTGGACTAGATGACCTATGAGGTCCCTTCCCACTCTGTTATCCTGTTACTCCCCAGGCCACTGCATTTTGGACAGGCTGCAGCTTCTAGGTAGTGTTCAAGGGCAGCCCCATGTAGACTGCACTGCAGTTGTCCACTGTGAGGTGACCAAGGTATGTGTGATTGTCCAAAGGGCACCTACAAGGACAACAAGTTGTGCCTTCTTCAGTGAACCCCGGCTTAAAGGAAGCCAAGGGATAGTGTACAGATAGTCCACGACTTACAACGGTTTGTTTAGTGACCAAAGTTACAACAGCACTAAAAATGTAACATGATCATTTTCACACTTACAACCATTGCAACAGCCCCGTGGTCACATGATCAAAATTCAGACGCTTGGCAATTGACTCCTATTTATGACGGTTGCAGTGTGCCGGGCTCATGTGATCCCTTTTTGTGACCTTCTGACAAGCAAAGTCAAAGGGGAAGTCAGTTTCACTTGACCCTGTTTTATCAACCTAACAACTAACTGCAGTGATTCACTTAACAGCTGTGGTGAGCAAGCTTGTAAAATGGGGCCAAATTCACTTAATGAATGTCTCCTTTAGCAACCGAAAATGAGGGCTCAATTTTGGTCGTAAGTCAAGGACTCCCTTTGTTAGAAGAAATATCCTCTGGGTTCAGCTCCAAGTGAAACGTGCACTGGAACATGCACTGGAAACATGGAAACTGCTTGGAAAGATGGTTTAATGGTGGACAGGATCACATGGTTTGAGTTCCTGAACAGAAAAGGGCCGAGACACAGCGAGTCCCTGGGTTTTATGCTTTCTCTGGCTTTGAACTTCCTGGGGCCCTGAAAGAGTATCCTGATTGGTTGTCAGACTCCCAGGGGGTGGGGGTCTTAGCTAGCCTTGCTGGCTCATGTAATCTTCCCAGGTGCCATGTGGTGAGTTTCTGTCTTAGATGGGTCCCGTTGTGTTAGTTTCTGTTGCTATTGTGTTGCAGATGGGTCCTATTGTCAAAGATTGAGTTTCTGCCTCTGGTCCATTAACAAAGGGTGTGGGGGCAGGAAGGTGGGAGCTGCTTTGTCTTTAAAACATGTTTCTCCATTTCTCAACCAGGGGAACATAATATTCTGCCTTTTTAATATTTCCTAAAATATTTCATTCTTCCAGGAAAGGGGTGGGTGCTGACTTCCTACACCTGTAATGAATAACGCAATGCAGGAGTCAGCCAGAGTTTAAGACTCAATACGACACGTATAGAAAAGCCAACTGTGCCTTATGCAACCTACTCCGATTTCAAGAAATCACGAGTGTGAAGGGAAAACAAAAGAGGTCGGTCGCCATTAGGCATGCATTAGGCGGAACGCGGGCGCCATCTGGCGGTCACTGCTGGAAGAAGCTTGGGAGGAAAGCGGAATTTCCCTTTCGGAATCGAAAGCAAAAGCGGCGCGTTGGGGGATTTTTGGCTCTGCGGAGGAGGAGGCGGTGGGCGCGGCGAATTTTGGGGACAATGAGGGAAGCCTAGCCGGGCTAAAACGAGGCTTCGGATCGAGAAGGACCAAACGCCTGCGATGGAAGGACCTTCCCGGCCGCGGCAGGAAGGTGAGAAAGTCGAAAAAGAGCGGAGGGTTGCATTGATCTGGACTACTGAGCGGTTCCGGAGGTGCGGGGGACTCCACTCCCCATCATTCCCATCCAGCACGGCTGCTCATGTTGGGTGCGGATTATGGGGAGCGCAGTCCACCTCCTCCTTTAAGTAGCTGCCTAGCGATCCCCGATTTCCTGCCCCGCCGAGATCTAACCCGGACGCGTTTGATCCTGCTATGCGCGGGATCTAAACTTTAGGGGATCCTCTACTCGCGCCTCTTACTGGGGAGGATGAGAGCGGGGTTTCAATCCTTTCTAAAGAACCGATCTGGCGTTTTAAACGCTTTCTTCCCGAGAAAAAGATTTCGGCTTTCACCAGCGGTGCTGGGCTGCCTGTGGGACCGGAGAACGCAGAGTAAAAATACGCAGGAAAGTGTCCAAAGAAGGATCGGTTATTGTGAATTTGATCTTTCCCGAAGTTGCCCCGAGACTTGCTGGCACTCAGAAGGAAGAGTTAGGCTGCAGCCAAGGAATCCTTTGCTGGGAAGTCAGCTGGTTAGGATGCAGGATCTTGGGTGGTGCAGTATTGGGAGGCAGTTTAGTTGAATTGAGGAGCCAAAGGTCGTATTGCAGTGACCCTCCTCTTATATTATTATTATTATTATTATTATTATTATTATTATTATTATTATTATTATTATTATTATTATTATTATTATTATTATTATTATTATTATTATTATTATTTAATCTTTAGTGAGATTCACAGCCTTTGAGGCTGGTTAATAGCTCAGCAGCTCGAGTCCTAACCAAGGACCTAGGAACTGTTAAGGTATCGTCGGAGGATGTAAACTGTTCCGAGTAAGGTGGTTTTTTGTAGAGTCAAAATGTTCCAGTCCGGCAAATTTAGAATTTCTCTTATTTTTATTTTATAAAATAATAATAATAATAATAATAATAATAATAATAATAATAATAATAATAATAATAATTATTATTATTATTATTATTATTATTATTATTATTATTATTATTATTATTATTATTTATTGGTTAATCTTTAGTGAGATTCACAGCCTTTGAGGCTGGTTAATAGCTCAGCAGCTCGAGTCCTAACCAAGGACCTAGGAACTTTTAAGGTATCGTCGGAGGATGTAAGCTGTTCCGAGTAAGGTGGTTTTTTGTAGAGTCAAAATGTTCCAGTCCGGCAAATTTAGAATTTCTCTTATTTTTATTTTATAAAATAATAATAATAATAATAATAATAATAATAATAATAATAATAATTATTATTATTATTATTATTATTATTATTATTATTATTATTATTATTATTATTTATTGGTTAATCTTTAGTGAGATTCACAGCCTTTGAGGCTGGTTAATAGCTCAGCAGCTCGAGTCCTAACCAAGGACCTAGGAACTGTTAAGGTATCGTCGGAGGATGTAAGCTGTTCCGAGTAAGGTGGTTTTTTGTAGAGTCAAAATGTTCAAGTCCGGCAAATTTAGAATTTCTAAATAGCGGGGTAACCCTTTGGGTATTGCTCCGAGGGCTCCAATTACAATCGGGACAACACACGATTTCTTTTTCCACAGTCACTCAACTTCAATAATAATAATAATAATAATAATAATAATAATTATTATTATTATTATTATTATTATTATTATTATTACTACTACTATCTTTATTCATTAAATATGAAACTCAGTCAACTGAGCATTCAAAAATGCATCACAAATACCATTGACTCAGGGGTGAAATCCAGCAGGTCCTTATAGGTTCTGAAGAACCGGTAGCGGAAATTTTGAGTAGTTCTGAGAACGGCAAATACCACCTCTGGCTGGCCCCAGGGTGGGGTGGGAATGGAGATTTTGCAATATCCTTCCCCCACGAGGGGAGGGAACGGAGATTTTGCAGTATCCTTCCCCTGGAGTGGGGTGGGAATGGAGATTTTGCAATATCCTTCCCCTGCCATGCCCACCATGCCACGCCCACAGAACCGGTAGAGAAAAATTTTGGATTTCACCCCTGCATTGACTGGTGCTAATGGTTGATACGGGTTGCTGCCAGCGTCCTAGGTATCAACCAAGTACCTTCTTAAGATGTACAATGTTCCAAGTAGCGCAGTTTTTTGCAGTTCCACTGGTGTTATTGCAGGAACCTGCAATTTGTGCATTTTATTGTTGTGAGCCGCCCTGAGTCCATTGGAGATAGGGCGGCATATAAATCGCATTAAACTTAAACTTAAACTTGTTGATGTATGTTATAAAATTCTTGGACATGGTACCAACTGCCCTGATGACAATGGGTATCACTGTTACATGTTTCATCCATAGCCGTGTAGTTTCGATGGCCGGGTTGCGATATTTCATGATTTTTTCCAGTTCTTTTTCTTCGACTCTGGCATCTCCTGGTACCACAGTGTCAATAAATTCTACATGTCGGTTTTTGACAACTGTGATATCTGGCGAGTTGTGTTCCAAGTGACGATCTGTCTGTATTCGAAATTATATTATTATTATTATTATTATTATTATTATTATTATTATTATTATTATTATTATTTCTTCTCCTCCTTCTCCCCCTTCTCCTTTTCCTTCTCCTCCTCCTCTTCCTTCCTTCTTCCTTCCTTCTTCTTCCTCCTCCCCTCCTCTTCTTACATCCATAATCCTCTGATTCCGATAACCAGTAATCCCTCTCTCTCTCCTCAGAGCCCATCAGCAAGATGCTGGTCCCTGTCGTGTTTCCGGCTCTTCTCCTGCTTCTCACCGACCGAATCCTGCTCTCCTTGCTGGCTGAATGGGGCCCCTCCATGGACCCCCAGGGGGTTACAGCGGCTTGGCTGGAGGCTGCTCTACGGCTGGTGGTTCTCTGGGGGGGTCAGGGGCCTGCTCTCTGTGGGTGGGACCTCCCCGATGTCTTCTTCCATGGTGGCTGCTGTCAGCATCCTGCCCCCTTTGTACCAGTTGGTGGGACACTGGCTTGGGGACCCTCCCCTCCTGGTCTCTTCGGCCGCTTGGTCCTGGTGGCTGGCAATCTATGGGGCGGTGGGCTTCTCCCAGCTCCTCTGGGGGATCCTGCTAGAAGGGCGAAGCACAAAGGAGTCCCGGAAAGAAGACAAGGCCACTCTTCGGAAGATGCTCAGACTTTTCAGTCCAGACAAGCTGTATCTCGGTGGCGCTTTCTTGTTCCTCATCCTGGCAGTGATTGGTGAGTTGGTGCTGAATTAAATCATTCTCTATGTTGCATGATAAATGTACCACAAAGAGTCACCAGGGCTGGAATCTCACCACACACTAAAAAAAAAGAAAATAACTCCGTTGTGAAATGGTCGCCAGAAGATCTTTAACAGACCTGCTCTCAGTCTTTAAAATCCTGCTGCTCCTTTTGATGTTCTCCCTGAATCCGTCTAATGTGCCCCTGGGTTGCCTTCTGCCACGGAGCAGGATTTCTGGAGACATTGGCTCCGAGATCCTGCCTCCTTTGTACCTGCTGATTGGTATCCCAAAGGTGTGTCATTTGTCCCAGGATGAAAAGATACATAGACAGATCCTGGATTTTTCAAAATCCTCCCGATTCAACCAGGGGTGGGTTCTACTTACCTTTTCTACCGCTTCGCAACGGGATCGCGCACGCGACTTGCTTCTGTGCATGCACAGATCTCTGATGACAACATCCGGGGCAGTGGGCGGAGCCTTCCATCGGTTTTACTACCGGTTCTTGCGAACCGGGGGCAACCCACCAGTGCATTCAACCTTTTCAAGCATCTTTTCTTCTCCCATTTTTCCCTCCCGTCCCGAGGGACTTTCCCACCCTTTTCATAGTTCTCCCTCTTAGGGCAGGAATACTGGAGCACAACTCAAGATTTCTTTGCATTTTACAGAATGGATGTCCAGAGGAAATGTGTAATGTTTGTGTGTGGTGCGGTGGGTGGGTGGATTGAGGTGGGTGGGGGGAGGTAAGCTGCCTTTCCTGATTGAGGTCCTACATTACCACCTTTGTTCTTGGCTGACCTGCAGGCGAAACGTTCATGCCCTATTACACCGGGCGTTTGATTGACATCCTGGGCACCAAATACGACGCAGAAGCCTTTTCCACGGCCATCTTTTTTCTCTGCCTGGTTTCATTTGGAAGGTGAGCTTATTCCAGGACCCATCAGCACTTTTGCTGCAGTTGCCTTTAAATATGTAAAGAAGGCCGGGAATTATGATTCTGTTACTGCCCGGCATTATGACCACATGATGGTACAAGGGAGTGATCATGTTGGATGGGTATTTTTTTTTCTTGCCAGCTCTAAGGAAGCTACTGATTGTTGCCTTCTTTGGAGATATGTTTTGACTTCCCAGTGTAAGCTCTGCTCTGGGATTTCCTAGTGGCCTCCCATCCAAATGCTGGCCAATTTGATGCTGCTTAGCTTTTTGAGATCAATTCAGCTCTGCCAGATCCCTATTGCAAATATGATTTTGATGCTGGCTTCAGACATGTTGTGGTCCCAGAGCGACCTACTTTGGGGGAGTGCCTCTTCCCTCTTCACCTGCCAATCAAAGACCAGGTGGGGCCTAAATGAAGCTGTGCACGCCTGTCACTCAGGCTGCAGGAAAGATCTGAAATCAGTTTGTTCTCTAAAATTCTCTTTTTTTTTTTATTGAAAAAGTTTTCAAATACAAGTTTTTCCCCCTTTTCCCCCCTCTTCCCTAACCCCCCTCACCACCCATCCCCCCCTGTGACTTCTTCACATTAAGCTAATTCATAACTAATTACATAATATTTTACCATTCCCTTACTCCCTCCTCAAAATACTGACCCTTAGCATAATATTCTTATAACCCCCATTTTCGCAATAATGTGCCCTTTTTCTCCTCCCCCAAACTTATAGTATATTATTACAACATAACATTTAATCTTTTATATATATTAATATAACATTTCAAAGCAGCCTTCTCCCCATATCCAAATTTAACATTTATTCAATTCTATCCAATTCCTCCACTCCCCTAAATATATGACTTAAAAATCCTTTTTCTTAAACTAATCAATCAGTAAATTAACCTATTTCAACCCAGTTTCCCGCAAAATTACCATGCACTACAATTCTAAATATGAACCACTGCCCACTCTGCTAAAATATACATATATCTATGTATACATTCCATTTTATAAAAAGAAAAAAAGACAATAACTTTAAATTTATAATCCATATAATATCTTCTTTGACGTCTTTCCACTGGATTGTTGAGTCCATCATCCATAATTGGGTAACATAGCATCCTGGTGCAACAGTTTGTTCAAAATCTTCAGTCATCATCTGCCCCCATCAGTAATGAATATCCTCATATATATATAAAAGTAAAAACAACCACCCGAGTGACATTATGATTATATTCCATATAGTTGTAATTGTGGTTTTCATCAGGATTATTAATTCCCATCATCCTAGTGGGTAACAGCCAGATCTTCTGCATGCCCCAGCATGACTCTCTTGCCTTGTAACTCGAAATAGTTATAATATATTTATCGGTAAAAGAAATCCAAAATAGATAATTCAAATCCAACAATGTAAGGCTCTTTTCACATCCCAAAATCACGGCATTGCAGAGGTCTGCCACTATCCTCAAGATAGTATTAAACAATACTTCGCCTCCACTATTTTCACATATTCGTTCATTTTTTTAAAGTCCCTGGCTTCGCTGTTGCTTAGTTTAGAAACTACTATTTCTATGAGATCTGTTTCTTTTCTTTTTCTTTTGCGGGTTGAATTTCCATCCTGGTTTCCTTCCTACAAATTGTGTATCAGCTAGTTGATCTTGTTGGTTTTGTTTTATTATCTCGTATTTCTTTTCCATCACTTGTATATCAACTGGTTGATTTACGCACTTGTCTGTAACTTGATAATTCATCACATTGGAATCAGATGACACTGCTCTCATATTTATAGACATTCCAGCTGAGGTATCCAGGGAGTCCGAAGACAATTTATCTACCACAGCCTCTATAATTTGATATTTTCCCTTTGTTTCCAACTCCTTTTGTTTGTCCTGTATTATGCCTAAAGATGTTAAATTCATTTTTAAGATTTTTTGATAAAATTCTTCCGCTTTTTCAACAGTGTTCAGTTGGTATCTTACTCCTTGGTGTCTGAATATTAAACCAACTGGAACATCCCACCTAAATAGGATATTTCTTTTTTTTAACTCAGACACTAGAAAACCAAATTTCTTCCTCTCCATTAACATCTTGGGCGGGAGCTCCTTAAAAATCCAAATCTTTCTTCCACAAAATTGCAAAGTAGAACTAAAAGAGTTCTGCACAATATCATTTCTTATTCCTTTATCAGTAAAATAAATCACCACATCTCTAGGCAATTGCCTTTGTTTTGCCAACCAGGAGTTTATTCTATAAATTCTGTCAATCCTGCAAAACACTTCATCAGGTTGAACCTTTAAAATCCCAGCCAGAATTTCAGAAGATATCTTCCTTAAATCATCTCTGTCATTTTCCTGCAGACCTCTCAGTCTAATTGCATATTCTGTAAAATTATATTGAATCATTAAAACTTCTCTTTCAATCCTCTGTTGTACATTTTCTTCATTACCAATCTTTTGGTCAACCTCCATTTTAGGTTTGTCTTCTGAACTATTATCCTGAATGTTTGCCAAATCCTTTTTAATTTTTTGGATCTTGTCGTCCAAATTCTCCTCAGTTTCTTTCATTTTAGACTCTAATAATTTGGTATTTGCATCCAACTGAATCACAAAGTCTGCTAAACCATTAGCTGTTTTTAAAATCTTTCGATCCAAAAAGTCAAACTTAGATTTCACCAATTCACCAATTTCTTTAATTTCCAGCTTAAATTTTTCAAGTTGCTGATTCACAATCTCATCCCTTCTTACAATCTCCTCAAGAAGAAATTCTATTATATTAAAGTCAGGTTTCTGAGACTGGAGAGTTAGAACTTGTTGATGTAATTTGTTAATGGGGGAATCTCCCCCCCACTGCCTGTTTGTCTAACTTTATAAGTCTCAGTGCCATTTTTCCACACAGACAAGATTTACTGGAAAAGAGAAAAAAAAAAGCTTTTTTCCAACCAAGATCAATATCAGATCCCCAGGGAAAAAAAAAGGAAAAAAACAAGAGTGAGAGTGAGGTTTTGCCTTCAATTACAGCCAGAAGTATTCACTCCGCTACTTTGTAATAGAAAACGGAAGGACTTTCCCCTTCAGCCTCTCTTCAAGCCGCAGTAGTCACAGCAACAATCGCCATTTTAAAAATCTTTTTTCCTTTCACTTCTTAAACAACTTCAATAACTTTTCTAAAATAAGAAGAATACTTGCGCTTCAGGATCAGAGGTCCAGCTCACGTCTTCTTTAATTAATTTAACAGATTTGCAGGCTTGCTTTTGCCCCCTAGCTCTGCGTGTAGCAGAGATTTCCCAGAGCCCGGAGCATCGGCTGGGGATACGGGGAGTCTCTTCCGCTCCCTCCCAAAAGTAAATAAAAAACTTTTGGGATTAGGCAGAGGACTCTACCCACCCCAGCTGGCTCTATCTCCGTTTCCTAATGGAAACGGAGTTTTTTCGAGCCGCCATTCCGCTGAAAAAGGCGGCTCTTACAGGCAGTGGGTTCGACGATCCCGAAGGAGCGTCCGGCGGGGACAAACAGCAAACCGGAAGCCCTCTAAAATTCTCTTGAAGCAAAACTTGACTTTGGTTTCTTTGAAAATAACAGACAATGGAGTCTTCTCCGCTTTTCTGGAGTGAGTAATTTATCTGCCATGTTATGGCTCTGGAATGCACACAGTTCAAAGTCCCTTCCAGTTTAGTCCTTCACAGGAATGGGATGATGATACTTACTGTTGTTTTGTTGTTTCTTTGTTTCTTGTGCTTTTTAAGGAGTGCAGAGCTTTGCACTAAAAAACACAAAAAAATAAACATAAAAGAATTTATAATAAAGACCCAAATTAATAATGAGCTTAATCTTAGGAGCCGTGGTGGCACAGTGGTTAGAATGCAGTATTGCAGGCTAATTCGGCTGGCTGCCAGGGGTTTGATTCTCACTGGGCTCAAGGTTGACTTGGCCTTCCATCCTTCCAAGGTGGGTAAAATGAGGACCCAGATTGCTGAGGACAATAGGCTGACTCTGTAAACCGCTTAGAGAGAGCTGTAAAACACTATGAAGCAGCATATAAGTCTAAGTGCTATTGCTATTGCTTAAGAGTAATTAATATTTTGAAAGACAGTTTGGGCCTAGAGCTGCTGCTTCCCCGTGGACGTCCAGGTGAATGGGTTTGTCTGTAATAGTGAAAGGAAAGAAAATTGCACAACTGGGGAGCCTTGTCACCAGATCACAGGTGACATCAGCCTCCCCACTCTTAACCTATGGGCTGGTTGATATTCCAGGAAACAGGCATTTAAGGAGTCCTTGGGCCTCTATAGGATAATTTATTTGCCAATATTGTTATAGCGTGCCATTGAATTGGACTTAAGATCTCTCAGGCAACCAAAGCAGGGTTGGTGTTTTGGGTTCCCTTTTTAAAAAAAAATTTTTTTTTTAATTTATATGCCGCCCTTCTCCAGAGACTCAAGGCAGCTTACAATGCGTTAAGCAATAGCCTTCATACTTTTGTATATTTATACAAAGTCAGCTTATTGCCCCCACAATCTGGCTGCTCATTTTACCTACCTTAGAAAGGATGGAAGGCTGAGTCAACCTTGAGCCTGGTGAGATTCGAACTTACAGTAATTGCAGACAGCTGGTGTTAATCACAATGCTTTTAGTCTGCTGAGCCACCAGGTGCCCTTATTAAAATCTGATAGAAGTCTAAGCAGTTAAAGCTTGTGACCTATCTCTATCTTTCACTTAAATACGAATCTCAAAAAACAAAAAACACTCTCTGAAAGAACATCCATTGTTGATGGATTAATTCAATGGCCCCCAACCTTTTGGGTACCAGGGCCAATTCCATGGGGAGAGTTTTTTTCAAGGACCGGAGAGAGGATGGTTTTGCATGCTACCTGCATCCCCTGGATGGGGCTTTGCTTGTTTTGCACGGCCCAGTTGCTGGCCTGCCATGGCCCAGTGCCAGGCCATATACTGGGGGTTGGGGAGATCCTGGATTAATCCATTAATTAATGGCACTTTTGGGAGCAGGCAGTGGCCAGCAAGAAGTGTGTTTTATCTGTATCAGAGCTTAGACTTGTATCAGACATCTTGTGGCTGGTTTTAATTCAAAATTAAAACAGTCTGGAGCTTTTTCAAAATGGGTGAAAAGCATCAATCAGAAGTAATTTAATCTCAAACAGCGGAATAGACTTGTCTGTGTAAAAAGTTTCTTTCCCTTTGCACCTGGGTCAAATCCAGTACGTGTTCATACATGGAGCTGTGACTCCATTTCTATTAGTGGAGCAGGAACCAATCCCCCTCCTGTTTCCCTTCTAGCTCCACCTTTGCCAGCTGCCGTGGGGGTCTCTTCATGATCACCATCTCCCGGATGATCATCCGAACTCGCAACTTACTCTTCTCGTCTCTGGTGCAGCAAGACTTGGCCTTCTTCCAGGAGGTGAAAACAGGTGAGGCCCCAAACAGGAAGCCGCTGTTTCTGGCACGGTGTAAAGGAAAAGCCATCTCCTTCCCAGTGGGGACTGTTCCCTATAATCTCCCTTCCTGTATGGCCAGTGTGGTATTTGTCGAGTGATCTCTCTTTGTCCACAGGGGCGCTGACCTCCCGCCTTTCCAAAGACACAGCTATGATGAGCCGCTCGGTGCCACTCAACACCAACGTCTTCCTGCGCAACCTGATCAAGGCCGTTGGGAACTACGTATTCATGATTGGCCTGTCCTGGCGCTTGACGCTGTTGATGCTGATCGAGACCCCACTTATGATGGCCGTCCAGAAGGTCTACAATGCCCGTCACCAGGTAGGGATCATGGAGGCAGATGGCGGCCTAGAGGGAATGGCAGCCACTTCTGGGCTGTAGAGATTGTCAGTCATCCAGGTCATGGTTGTCCCAGAGGAGCTTTTTCAGGAGGCAACTGCCCTTTCTTGTTTTTTCTCTTTTGAAGACGTTTAGCTTCTCATTCAAGAAGCTTCTTCAGCTCTGACACTAACCTGTCTATTCCCCGCTATCCTGTCAGAGCTGAAGAAGCTTCTTGGATGAGAACCCACATAACGGGGTGCGCTCCCGTTACTTGTCCCAGCTTCTGCCAAGCAGTTCGAAAGCACATAAAAAATGCAAGTAGAAAAATAGGGACCACCCTTGGTGGAAAGGTAACAGCGTTCCGTGTGCCTTTGGCATTTAGTCATGTCGGCCACATGAGCACGGAGACGTCTTCGGACAGTGCTGGCTCTTCAGCTTTGAAACGGAGATGAGCACTGCCCTCTAGAGGGGAACCTTTACCTTTATCTTTACCTTTGAGACAACCATGACCTGGGTGATTGAGAATAGACAATCCAATTCTTAATTAGAATGAATGAAACACCCCTCTCCCCCGAAATAATAATGGGAGGGTACATCTCTCTCTCTGGCTTGCACTCTGGCATCCAACTGGCTGCAAGTGAGAAATAATCAAAATAAAATAGAGGGGAGTGGAGCGAAGCATTTTTGGTGTCTTCCCGCTCCAAATGAGGCCATTGGACTTCGGTTTGGGTATCCTACCACCCACGAGATGACTGGTCTAAGGCAGCTTTCAGGAGCCTCACGTTGCCACTTCCTTTGTGGTCCATCCAGGCTTTACTGAAGGAGATTCAAGATTCGGTGGGCCGTTCAGAGGAGGTGGTGCGTGAGGTAATCTCGTCCATGGAGACCGTGCGCAGCTTTGCCACCGAGGAGAAGGAGTCACAGCGTTATGAGGCAACCTTGGGGGACACTTGCCGGCTGAAAAACCAAAGGGACTTGGAAAGGATCATTTATTTATTTGTTATACGGGTAAGTCCTCTGGGACTCAGGGGTCTCCCACCTTGGCAACTTTAAGGCTTGTGGACTGCAACTCCCAGAATTTCTAAGCCAGCCATATTGGCTGAGGAATTCTGGGTGTTGTTAGTCCACAAAGTTGCCAAAGTTGGCAATCCCTGACCTAGGTTTTTTAAGTGAGTGATTCCTAATCTGTGGGGATTCCTTTTCAGGTATCAAAATTAAAAAAAAAACCACCATTTTTTTTAAAAAAATTGATTTATATGCCGCCCTTCTCCGGAGACTCAGGGCGGCTTACAATGCATTAAGCAATAGCCTTCATACTTTTGTATATTTATATAAAGTCATCTTATTGCCCCCACAAACTGGGTCCTCATTTAACCTACCTTAGAAAGGATGGAAGGCTGAGTCAACCTTGAGCCTGGTGAGATTTGAATTTACAGTAATTGCAGACAGCTGGTGTTAATCACTACACTTTTAGTCTGCTGAGCTAAACCAGCATATTTTGAAATATGGCTCAGATTTTAGGAGATTGACAAGCCTCGCAAGCTTTTCTTACTTTGCTTCAAAGGTTGTAAATGTTGGGTGTCTTTGTCCCCAGTCTCACAAGATTTTATGTACTCTGTATCATAGCAATTGTTAGCATTAACCTCTCATCAGGGATGAAATCCAGCAGGTTCTAAGAACTGGCAGCGAAAATTTTGAGTAGTTCAGAGAACTGGCAAATATGACCTCTGGCTGGCCCTAGAGTGGGGTGGGAATGGAGATTTTGCAATATTCTTTCCCCAGAAGTGGAGAGGGAATGGAGATTTTGCAGTATCCTTCCCCTGGAGTGGTGTGGGAATGGAGATTTTGCAGTATCCTTTCCTTGCCACGCCCACCAAGCCACACCACGCCCACCAAGCCACGCCCATAGAACTGGTAGTAAAAAAAAATAGATTTCACCACTGCCTCTCATCAAGAATGTTTTTCTGTTGAAATGTCTTCACTGCCAAAAATCAAACCACAAGTGGATCTCCAATCCAGTGAAATCCCAGTTTGAAACCCTGGTTTTAAAAAGGATCGAATCAAGATCTCATGAAGTGTTACCGTGTTTCCCCAAAAATACCACCTACCCCGAAATAAGTCCTAGCTTGATTTTTACATGTGCGCCCAATATAAGCCCTACCCCCAAAATAAGTCCTTATTAAGACCCCACGCACTCCAGAGTGCATGGGTAAAAATTAAATAGGATGGGATGGGGGTGGTGGAGCTGCCCTACTATTTATCTTTGGACAGTTGCAACCAGGCCTTGCACACCCCAACACCTGCCTTGCTAGCCCATTTCTTCTGCAGCTGTCAAGGCCATCACATGCCAAAAGTGGGGGAGTGCCGGGGGGGCGGGGTGCATTAAATTATGGGTGTGGGCACGTGCACGTGAGACCCCCCTGGGCTCCCCCCGCTTTTGGCACACAACAGCAAAAAGGTTAGCCATCACTGGTGTAGGGTCTGCTTGGGTGGGGAGTTGGACTAGATCAGTGGTCACCAACTGGTGGTCTGTGAGAAAATTTTGGTGGTCTGCAGAAAAATTATTTGCATTTTTTATATTGCACTAAATCAGGGGTCCTCAAAGTACAGCCCCTGGGACAGATACGTGCAATGAATGCTTGTGCTGCTATAGAGACTCTCCCCCTTTGGGGTCTTTTTGTGTAGGTCGGAGGAGCGGGGCAGAAATTCTGACTTGAGGTCTGCTTCGGCCTCCTCTTGTGGGGCCTTGGGTGAAGGCTGGAGGGAAGCGCCGCTGGTGGCAAAGAACCGGAGGGCCTTGTTCCAGTGGGACTGCATCATGGCCTGGAACTGGCTGACCATCTCAGCCCTCTGAGCCTCCAGGCGCTGGCACCTGCCCTTGCACTCCCACAGGTCTTCTCTCTGCTTGGAAAGCCTATGCTCGTACTCCTCAGTGAGGTGCTTCTGCTGAGACTTCTTCTTGGCCAGATCCAATTTGAACTGAGCCAACTGTTTTGCCAACTCTTTCTCATGGTGGCTACTTACCTCCAACAACTGCTTCCTGTAGGGGGCCGAAGGAGCCCAGGCGGGGAGGCAAGGAGTGGCTGGGAGGGGAGGGACAAGTAGAGGCCGGCGAAGCGCCCCTCAATGTGAGTGACATTGAGTTGGCCACACCCACCCAGTCACATGACCACCTAGCCACGCCCACCCAGCCGGTCATTAGGCAGATCGTATTAGTGGTCCACAAGATTTAAAATTATGAATTTAGTGGTCCCTGAGGACCGAAAGGTTGGGGACCCCTGGACTGGATGACCTACAAGATCCCTTCCCACTCTGTTAATCTGTATCTATCTAAGAAAGCTCGCATAATGTGTTGGATAATTTGAGCCTGGTCATTTGTGCCTTGAGTGAGAATACTGGTTTCATTTGTTCAATGACCCATTGGTTTGTTTTCTTGGCTGTCCGTGATAATTCTCAGGAGTCTTCTCTGACACCAGAGTTTAAGACTGTCAATACTCTTCCCATTCTTCTTCTTCTTTAAAGTCCAGCTTTCACTTCCATAGAATGTCACAAGGAATAACCACGGCTCGTATGATCTTTGTAGGCATAAGCACATCATGGCATTTGAATATCTTTTCCATTCATGGCTGCCCTACCATTTCTCCTACTCCAGGTCCTCCAGTTGAGCATGAAGCTGATTCTTCTCTACTGTGGCTACAAGCAGATCTGCAATGGCCTCATGACCAAAGGAAACCTGGTCTCCTTCATCCTCTACCAAGCAAATGTGGGGTGGCACGTGCAGGTCTCTGAACACTTACGATTTGAAACTGTTTTCTTCTGTAGAACTCTGGGTTCTTCGGTGGCTGTTGTGGAATGAAACACAGGACGCAATAGCCAAAAGTAAAGACTCAGTGCAGTATTTAATTATTTAACATGAAGTATTTAATTATTTAGCATGAAGAGCCTGTAGTACAGTGGACTAAGCACTGTTATTAAGAACTGCTGCTTGCAATTACTGCAAGTTCGAATCTCACCAGGCTCAAGGTTGACTCAGCCTTCCATCCTTTCTAAGGTAGGTGAAATGAGGACCCAGTTTGTGGGGGCAATAAGCTGACTTTGTATAAATATACAAAAGTATGAAGGCTATTGCTTAACGCATTGTAAGCCGCCCTGAGTCTCCGGAGAAGGGCAGCATATAAATCAAATTAAAAAAAAAAAAATTGCAACCAAAAACGGAGTCCAGGAGGGCTGCATGCAGGCTGCAGGACGTTCAACTGGCCACACCCGCCCTGGCCATGACCACCCCAGCCACACCCACCCAGCCCCCGCAACCCTGATGTGGCCTCAATGAAATTGAGTTTGACACCCCTGCTGCAGAGAATGGGAAAGAGACTCTTATAGTTAAAAGGATGCATTCGTGTTTATAGATTTAAGGAAAGAAGGAGAAAATAATAGAGATATACTTAGGGAAAAGATGATATAAGCATAGATGTTCATAATTCGGAAACCCAAGTTACTTCCCTGCTCTTCTACTGCCACTGTCTTTAAGAAAGAATAATTGTCTAAAATAGAAAGAAACATATCAGCAACTGTGCCATAGAAATTTTGATAAAGCTTACTGAGGACTAGGAACTTCAAGGTTGCCACAATTAGTACAGATTTCCTTCTATGTTTCTATTTTGCTAATATGCTCCTCCTTTTTGCAGAAAGCTTTGCATTATACACAAATCAGCAAGTAGCAAATAAGTGGGGGGGGGGAGATACCTATAGAAACATTCTTTTTTTTAAAAAAATCCTGCTTTTTCATTGAGGAAATGACTGCCTATACCTATATTATCAATTTGGTTGGTGTGTCTAGTCTTGGCCAAATTATTTCCATCCCTTTAAATTACTTGTCCTCAGAAAGGCTTTTTTTTCAAAAATATGGCTTTGGGGCAGGGGTGAAATGCTCCCGGTTCAGACCAGATTGCCTGATTCGTTAGCGATGGAGGCGGGTGGTTCGGAGAACCGGTAGCAAAAATCCCTGCCCCTCCCCCATTGCCCAGCTGAGCCGCACAATCATCAGAGGCTTTTTCTTATTTTTAAAAGCATTTTTTCTACAACCTCTTTGGCCGAAAAAATGCTTTTAAAAGTAAAAAAAAAGCGCCTCTGATGATCGCGCGACTCAGCTGGGATCGTCAGAGGCTTTAAAAGCATTTTTTAACAACCTTTTTAGCCGAAGAGGTTGTAGAAAAAATGGGTTTAAAAGTAAAAGAAAAAAAAAGTTGGCCACACCCACTCAATCATATTACCCAAGCCACGCCCACAGAACCGGTAGTAACAAATTTTACATTTCACCACTGCTTTGGGGGCATTTACAAAGGGATTGATTTTGTTGGGAATCTATAAGGAGTGGGAAGACATTCCAGATTTCAAACCAGATTTCCATAGGTTCTCTTTTAAAAGTAATTTATTGCCACTTTAAACCTTTGGGAACAGAAACCAGTAATTTGCACAAAGTTGCAAGTGAAAAATTGAAGATAGTCTAGGCTGAAACTGGAAGCTCATCTTCAGGGAGCAAAGCAATTATCTTCTAGAATTCTGTTGCTTTCAAAAAGTGCTTGAAACAGCCATGAGATCAGGGGTGAAATGCTCCCGGTTCAGACCGGATCACCCGATCTGGTAGCTATGGCGGTGGGTTATTCGGAGAACCGGTAGCAAAAATCCCTGTTCCCCGCCCCCATGCCCAGCTGAGCCGCGTGATCAGAGATTTTTTTTTTTAAACTTTTAAAGGCATTTTTTCTTTGGCCGAAAAAATGCTTTTAAAAGTAAAAAAAAAGCCTCTGATGATCGCGTGGCTCAGCCAGGATTGTCAGAGCCTTTTAAAAGCATTTTTTTATAACCTCTTCAGCCGAAGAGGCTGTAGAAAAAATGCTAACAGGTTGGCCACGCCCACCCAGTCACATTACCCCAGCACCACCAAGCCACGCCCACAGAACCGGTAATAACAAATTTACATATCACCACTGCATGAGATACACTATGAAGAAAAAAAGTTTTTCCCTGTGGACTTTCTCACCCACCAGGCAGCGTATCTGCTCTGTATATTCAGAAAGCTGGGCTGGGCCTGGTTAGTTGGATAGGAAACCATCCAGGGATCCTAAGGTCCAGAGAGCTGGACTGGGAAATCCTTACAAACCTCCCACCAAAGGCACAGGCCAGATTCTTTTGCACTGTTGTGAAGAAAACTGCAGGGACACACATCTGTGAGGTCAACAGGAGTCTGGTTGGACTTGTGCATATCATTAAAGTTGATCCTCTCCCCGAGGTAGCTTCTTTCAAGTTGACCCTGTTGTCTTTGTGGCAGCTTGTCAAATACTGTAATACTGCTATCCAGCTGTATTCCTCCCTTTGCAGATGCTCTTATGTTTAATAAGATAATAATAAGCTCTTAATATTGCTGCTCCTTCCTTTTCCTCCCACAGGCCCTGATTTACACTTACGGGGATGCGTTGAGCAATGTGGGCGCTGCAGAGAAAGTCTTTGAATATCTTGACCGGGAGCCATCTGTCCGCACAGAAGGGACGCTGTCTCCAAAATCCCTCCCCGGACGTGTCTCCTTCCGAAATGTTTCCTTCTGCTATCCCTCCCGCCCTGAGATCCAGGTCCTGAAGGTACCGTATGGCAAGCTGGAAGGCACCCGGGTGGCTTTGCATGACACCCTAACAGTAGCAATAGCAGATTTGTATACCGCTTCATAGTGCTTTACAGCCCTAAGTGGTTTACAGAGTCAGCCTATTGCCCCCAACAATCTGGGTCCTCATTTTACCGACCTCGGAGGGATGGAAGGCTGAGTAATCCTTGAGATGGTCAGGATCAAACTCATGGCTGTGGGAAAAGTTTGCCTGCAGTACTACATTCTAACCACTGTGCCACCATGCCACCAGTACAGTACATCACTCAAATGCAGTTGTAATCACAATTCCTTTAAGGTTAATAAAGAACATTGGAGGAAAGAATGTTAAGGTTTTAAAGGTCTTTTGAAAGATGAAGTAAGTTTTTGTATAGGTACCTCTCAACTTACAACAGTTTATTTAGTGACTGTTCAAAGTTATAACAGCAGTGAAAAAAGTGACTTATGACTGTTTTTCATGCTTACGACCGTTGCAGCATCCCCATGATCAGAATTCAGACACTTGGTGACTAATTCACATTTAGGATGGTTGCAGTGTCCTGGGGTCATGTGATTACCTTTTGCAACCTCCTGACAAGCAAAATTCACTTAACAACCATGTTACTAACAGTGTTTCAGTTAACAACTGTAGCAAGAAAAATCGTAAAATAGGACAAAACTCACTTAACATTCTCACTTAGAAACAAAAATGTGGGGCTCAATTGTGGTTGTAAGCCGAGGACTACCTGTACTGTACGAGACCGAGACTGTGGGATCTGAATACTGAACACTGTATATTCCTGTTTCATTTCACATTTGCATTTCTTTGTAATAGAATGTCTCCTTCGAGCTCCGCCCTGGGGAACTGACGGCATTGGTGGGAGCAAATGGCAGCGGAAAAAGCAGCTGTGTTTTCCTCCTAGAGCACTTCTACGAACCCCAATCCGGGGAGGTCCTGCTGGATGGAGTCCCAGTTGGGAAATATGAGCACAAGTATCTCCATAGGAAGGTGAGGGAGTCCTTATCACTTGCAGGATGAGGCCTAGGTGTCTCTTTGATGGTTGAAGGGTTACACTTGGGGAGGCTTTGGGGGAGGAGTAATGCAGACTGAGCAGGATCACATGATATGGATGATATGGTTGGAATTGTCTGGGGTTTAAGCATGTTGTTCTGACCTAAGCTTACTGATAATAGTAAAAAGCACACAATTAGTCCCCAAAACCCCTTTTTTAACTTTAACAGCTCTTGCCTTCTAGCAGCTCTGCGCATGCGCGCGCTAGGAACAGGCTCCCCCTGTTCCTCTGCCTCTCTGAGGTCCGACTGTGGAGGCTCCAGAGTCAGCACATAACTCCCAAATGGCCCTGACCCCATCTCTGCCTCCAACGCAGAGCCCTCGTCCAAGCCTTCCCCAGAATCCAGGACTGGCCTATGTTCCTCACCAGCCTCCTCACTATCCAGTTCGGCTGCCAGCTCCGCAGGCTGCTGGGGGACCACACCACACATCTATATCAGGGCTGTCAAACTCCCTGCCTGTTGGCCAGATGCATCACGCGCTGGCCACCCCCATGCCCAGTTTAGCAAAAGGGAAAAAAGTCCCGATATGCCATGTGACACCGACGTGAGTTTGACACCCCTGATCCAGGGGTGAAACCTAAAATTTATTACTGGTTCTGTGGGCGTGGCTTGGTGTGGGGGAGGTAATGTGATGTGGGTGTGGCCAATTTTTTTTTTACTTTTAAAACTATTTTTTACATGTAAAACCATGTTAAAAAATGCTTTCAAAAGGCTCTTGACGATCCCAGCTGAGTTGCCTGATTAGCAGGCAACTCAGCTGGGATCGTCAGAGCTTGGCTCATCAGAGCCATTTAAAAGGAAAAAAAGGCTCTGATGATCACGGGGCTCAGCTGGGCATGGGGGGCGGGGGCAGGGATTTTTGCTACCGGTTCTCCGAACTGCCCGCCGCCATCGCTACCTACTTGCCTGAGCCGGTCCGAACCGGGAGCATTTCACCCCTGCCCTGATCTATATCATCCATCTATCATCTTATTTATATCAATAGGCTTTGGGAGAGGGACAATGCAGAGTAGCCAGGACCGCATAATATTAGGTCATGGTTGGAATTGTCTGGGGTTTAAGAGCGTTTATTTAGTTGTTAGTTTGCTGTCCATCTCGCCACATGCATTGCAGGTTTCTTTGCGTGCTTCTAATTTTTCTGGCAAAGACTGCATTTTTTATGTCGTTCCTCCCTCAAAAAAAGTGGAAAGAGCCTCTGATTTTCAGAAATGGTGTGGCTGATATCCAAAACTCCGATAGAGAAAAGTGAATGCAGTGCTGCTAAGGCAACTTCGGAAGCCACCAAATTGGGGCTCGGAATCTCCAAAGTTGCTCAAATCTGCTCAGTGCAGAAGGTAGTAAAAGATGCATGGAACGAAAGGCTTTTGATTTCTTATGTTCCTTGATAGGTAAAAAGGTGCAATATTCAGGATATTCTGCACATGTGATTTATATCCTGAGATAAAAAATTAGAATCTCCTGTGATCTATGAATGTGGCCATACAGTTTCTCTGGCAACAGTATAAAGGTTACACACACACCCTCCGATGTGATATGTTTTTGGTGACCTTCCTAGTCTAACCATGGACCTGGAATTCATCCAGGTGACAACCAAGTTTGATCCTACTTAGTTTTCAAAACCAAACAAGATTGTTTGGATGTTGCCACTTTGCCTCCAAAGAAGAGAAGATCAGATAGGTCAAGGTCTACATTTGGGAGACATAGTGAATCTTATCTCTGAAACAGCTGCACCTTGAGTGCCACCCAGCCCCACCTTGGAAAGTGGTGTTTTTCTCTCAGCCCAGCCCTGTCCTGATAGGCCTCCCTGTCCAATTGCAGGTGGCACTGGTGGGCCAGGAGCCCGTCCTATTCTCTGGGTCCATCAGGGAGAATATCACTTATGGCCTACAAGGCTGCAGAGAGGAAGATGTGAGCAGAGCAGCAAAAGAAGCTGATGCCTTGGGATTCATCCGTGAACTGGAAGGAGGCTTTGATGCAGGTGGGCAAAATCCGTCCCCCCCTTGATTCATCCCATAAAAACCTCACTTTCTTCCTGGTAAACCCACCAGTCCTAATTCTTGACTCATCTGAAGTGAAATCCTGCTTGCTTGTTGCAATATATATAGTAGTCCTTGTGTTAGGACCATTCCTTCGGCTATCGTTCCAAATTACAGTGGTGCCGAACAAATGGAGGTTGCAACTAGTCCTTGAAGTTCTTGAACTTTGCCCCCCCCCCACAGTCATGTGATCGCAATCTGGGTGCTTGGCCACCACTGCACTTACAACAGTTGCAGTGCCCACAAGCACTGCATCACCATTTGCAATCTTCTTTGCCAGCTTCCCACAAGCAACATCAATGGGAAAACTGCGGGGAAGGTCACAAGTCGGTGGGGTAAGTCTCCCCCACCTGGCAGGAATGACTCCAGTACCCACAGTCAGGCATGTGCTGCTTTGGCCATATACTCTACCTTGCCTGGCAGCAGACATTCTGGGGCACAAAAAGTGCAGCATGGCTCTGAGGCTGCCTGTGTATCTTCCCACATCAACCCACATCCAAAAGGCCTCACCTGCACTGCTGCAAACCCCTCCCCCCCACTCAACCCCTGACATCAGCCACTTATTGCCTGCCAGCCTGCTCGTGAGCTTCCTGGGACTTGCAAATACCTGTAGCCAACCCCCTGACTTTGTTTGTGAGAAACTGGCAGGTAATGGCAAGATCCTTGCCTAATGACCAGTGGCATTATGTTAACAATGGCAGTTGAGAATGCGTGGATTGTCTTCACTAAGCAGTGCAGTCATGAAACATCAACCTTACAACCACATTGCTTAGCAATGAAAATTCCTGACAACAGTTGCTCTTGTAACTTTAGGACTATCTGTAAAGCTCCAGGTTACACTGATTATTCTAATTGTAGCAATATCATTAAACCACTAATGCAGAAAAGAGAATTCAAAGAGCTGATTGCACTGTTGTGCCATTTCAAAAATCACAAGTCCTAAAATCTCTTCTACCCTTGTTAAAAAGTGCAGGGTTTTTTTTCCCCTCCTCTAGACTTTTGCACTGAAAATAAGACTCGCTGTACAAATTGTGGTGTGTCCCTCCCACTTCAGAGAGTGTTGGGCCTCAAGTTTTGCCTTGTTCTTCAGTTGATGGCTTTGCCATCCCTTTAGGGAAACAAGATTTGGCCGGCCTTGACTTCACTTTTGATCTCCTCTGTCCTTCTTGCTTGCCTTCTTGCAGAGGTGGGGGAGAAGGGGGGCCAGCTCTCCATTGGGCAGAAGCAACGGCTGGCCATTGCCCGGGCCCTGATCCGTGACCCGAAGGTCTTGGTGCTGGATGAAGCCACGAGTGCCTTGGACCCCGAGAGTGATGCTGCAGTGAGTGTGGGGGATCCACGAGAGGGCTGGGAGTAAACCTTGGTTGGAGTAGTTCAAGGTGCTGAAGGGCTTAATCTGAATTTTTGTGAGGTGACAGCATAGGAAAACTGGGTTTATTTGACTGGAAGTGTCGTAATTTCTTCCAAGTTTACCAAATCTCTGGTTCCGGTAACCGACCCAGACTGGGTCTTGCAACATTCTCCTGGGTCACACATATTTGTCTTCATTTGGTTTTTATTGTTTTTCAGACTGCAAAAGATTTGGGGCCAAACTCTATTGCAGTGCTGGAGAAGCACTTTTCAGTGGAAATGTGAGGGAGTTTCTATCTAGTATTTCTAAGGAGCTGAGGATTTACTCTGGATCATTGCTTCCTTTTCCAGATCCAGCGGTCTGTGCAGAACAATAGGACCCGGACGGTGTTGGTGATTGCTCACCGAATGCAGACGGTGGAGAACGCAGACAAGATTGTGGTGCTGGAAGGAGGAGAAGTTGTGGAGGAGGGGACTCACATGGAGCTGATGGATCGACGAGGCCCCTACTACAGATTGGTGGAAAGGACCCAGGCGGAGTGATTTCCTGAGTTGCAACAGAGATGGTCAGCCACAGGATCCACTACTTTTGTAGATGCCAAATGCATGATTGACTGGGAAAATAGACAACAGCACTCTCTTGGGGAAAGAGTAACCCAGAAGCTGGCCTGTCTAGCAGCTCTTGGCTTGTCAAGGGTTGTTGAATTGCAGCCATTTGGAAGAGGAGCCTGTCTTTCTCATCTGGGCACAATTTATGTGGTGTTAAGTAGCAACTTGGGCCCCGAAAACTCTGTAGTGAAAGGTCCACAATTCTGTTTCAAGCAACTGTTTTATTTAGCAAATGCACCAATGCCCTAGTTTTTCCTTTGTTTAAGTTTAATATGTACAACTTGGTCTTTTGTCACACTTTTTAATATTGGTTGCAGAAACTTTACTTCCTGTTTATTTAACAAAATAAAGTCTCTGTGTGATCCCTTTTAGTTCTAGCAAATCTGCATGTGGATGCAAGTCACATAAATTGGTCTCAATTAGTAGTGTAGTTAGAGAATCCCACAAAATGGTTGCATCATTCGAATTTGTACTACTGGAAGGCATACTGGACATATTATGCAAAGAGCCAGCTTTCTAGAGAAGGCTCTAGTGCTGGGGGGAAAGGTAGAAGGAAAGAGACGTGGATGACCAGTGCAAGGGGAATGGTTTCAGTTACTAAAAGGAAGGGAAGCCCTGAAGATCCAGGTACGTATCTGGATGTGAAGAGTTGACACTGACTTGAGGGCACTCAATCAGTCATCTATACACTAGACTAGTTCAAACACCAGTTTTTCTCAGCAACAACATAAAAGTAGTTTAGCTATTACTCCTTTCAGAGAAGTTTTTTTCAACTTCCCAGTTAAGCTGAGTTTTGAGGCAACAAACCATGAACAAGGGATTCATGGACTGGAAGGCAATTAAACAATGGGTAGTTGAAATAATATATTGTGCAAAGCAATAGTTATTTTTAATTACATACTGTAATCGACAAGAAAATATAGTAGTTGCAAGCAAAGCTACAAAATAACTGAAACCTTCACTGGAGTAAAAGAAATCAGAGCAAAATAGGGTCTGCTGTATCTTTCAGCTTCGTTCTTTTCCTGCCAGAGAATACTGCAAGTCTCCAATTCTGGCAGCCAAACCCATTTCAGACAAATGGTTGCCAATCTCTCCTTAAAATCCTCCAATGTTGGAGCACCCACAACTTCTGGCGGCAGAACTTTTTTTAAATTAAAATTCATTGCATAGATTTATATGGTTTCTCCTGTATGGATCCCTTGGTAAAAAGTAAAGGTATGGTCACACCTGTGTGGATCCTCTTTGAGAATCAAGTTGTCCTTAGCAAAGCTGTTTCCACACTCTACATTTATATGGTTCCTCCCTTGTGTGAATCCTTTCATGACTCATAAGCTATTCTAAGTAAGTCACTTCTCACACCATATTTATATGGTTGCTGCCTGATGTGGATCCTTTTATGAGAATTAAGTTGTCCCAAGTAAAGTTCTTCCCGCAATCCAGGCATTTATATAATTTCTTCCCTGTATGGATTCTGAGATGGTGAATCAGAGTAATTTACACTAGTCCTTTCCACACTGCATTTTTGTTTCTTGTTCCATGTCAATCCTCTTGACTTTTTTTGGGGGGGGAGGCTTTTCTGCTTGGTTGTTCCTGGCTGCTCGAGTCTTTCAGGAGTTGATTGGGTTTCAAGAGGCTGCACAACCTAAAAAAACACTAAGAAATTGACCCTCTGGGCTGTTTGTCCACTAGCTGGGCTGAAATATGGGTACCGCTGACCATGATGGTGGGTTTCAGATACCGCAAAAAATACACAAAGGAAACTAGAAGGATTGCAGTTAATAAGAATGTATTAATAAGTTCAAAGACTTGCAAAATTGAAGACTTTTCTTCCTTGAAATGCCTCCAGAAGCAGGAATGGTAAGGAACAATTGCCAGCACAAATAAATTGCTATTATGAGGCTAATCTGATATTCCCTTCCTTACTTCCACTCTATGAATACTTTTGCCCCGTGGGGGCAAAGAGAAAGTTTTGTTAAGCCCCTGGAGGGGTGAAAACAGTCCACAATTAATTTCTTAAAGTCTGGCTGAGGAGCTTCTCAGACAGTACCTGCACTTGGCAAGCAAAGGGTAGAACTGCTTGTCTAATCAGTCCTGTTTTCCAGCTGTTCATTAAAAATATGGATCACTTTTAGGCCACTCAGATAAAAGAGGAGCCTAACGAATTGATGGTGATCCTTCCAAGATGGAAAGTAGCAGCACTTGATGGCTTCCTGGTTGAGAAGGTAAATGTACAGTGGGAGGTAAGATAACTTCTTGGCTATAAACACAAAATCAGTTCTTATATATCATATCCTAATAAAATGGTGAAATTGCCTGAGCAAAGGAGTCCAACCTCAGCCATCTCAATTCACTGGTGCCAAAGATGTCAACGTATAGCTGCTTCATATTTTACAACATAGAGTTTTTCTGTGTTAACCAGTGGTGGGATCCTATCAGTTTTAACAACCGGTTTGCTGAGAACACGTCTCTCTCCTCTGTGAATCCTTTCATGGCGAGTAAGATGTCCCTTCTGAGTAAAGGTCTTTTCACATTCAATGCATTTATAGTCGCTCCCCAGTGTTGATCCTTTGGTGGCGAGTAAGGTCTTTGTTGACAAAAAAGATCTTTTCACACTCCCGGCATTTATATGATCTCTTCCCAAAGTGGATCCTTTGGTGGCGAGTAAAATCTCTGTTGTCAATAAAACTTCTCTCCACACTCCATACATCTGTATGTTCCCTCTCCTGTGTGGATCCTTTCGTAATAAAGATGTCCTTTCTGAGTAAAGCTCTTCCCACATTCTATGCATGAATAAGGTCTCTCTCCTGTATGGATCCTTTGATGACGAATAATATCTTTATTGCCAAAAAAGCTCTTTCCACACTCCTGGCATTTATAAGGTTTATCCCCTTTGTGGATCCTTTGGTGACGAGTAAGGTCTTTGTCACCAAAAAAGGTCTTTTCACACTCGTAACACTTATATGGTCTGTTTCCTGTGTGAATCCTTTGATGAGAAGCAAGTCCTCTGTTCTCAGTGAATCTCTTTCCACACCCCCTACAACTATATGTTTTCTCCCATGTGGATCCTCAGATGGCAAGTCAGATAAGCATTTCTATTGAAGCCCTTTCCACATTCGGGGCATTTATAAGGTCTTTCCCATGTGTGGATCCTTTCATGACAAGCTAGTTGTCCTTTCTGTGTAAGAGTGTGTCCTTTCCACACTCTAGGCATTTATTTGGTTTCTCACCTGTGTGGATCTTCTTATGATGAATAAGTTCTATGTTCCAACGAAAGCTTTTCCCACACTCCATATAAGGTCTTTCTCCAGTATGGATCTTTTTATGATAAATAAGCTTTGTTTTCTGATGAAAGCTTTTTCCACATTCCACGCAATTATAAGGTCTCTCTCCAGTATGGATCCTTTTATTATGAACAAGCTGTTTCTGATGAAATCTTTCCCCACACTCCAGAGTGTTATATGGTCTCTCACCTCTGTGGATTCTCTGATGGCGATTAAGATTACTTTTGCTACTGAAACTTTTTCACACTTCATACACAGTTTCATCTTTTGTCTTAGATTACAATCCATTCCAAATTTTACAAACACACGTGGTTTGTATTTTCTATGTAGTATTTTAGGTAAAGTAAAAAAGAAGGAATGATTTATGCATTTTCTATGCTATCTGGAGCTATACCGTTTTCCTGTAGTCTGGTTTCTGCTATATTCATGTAATTCAAATTCATTTTCTCTCTTTTGCCGTATTTTCTTTCTCTTCCCATTCTGATCCTGCTGGGTAAGGAAGCCAGGGATTTTAACAGGAAGACAAGTGAAGAACTTCTCTTCTCTATGGCTTCTCTCTTGCATTTGTGGATCCCCTTGATCGCCAAACATAACTTCCTCTACTTCATGATTTGCTCTTTGCAATGTCAGTAACCTTGGCTGCTTGTCATTCTCATTCTCCAGTCCATCACCATCACCTGCTTGGAAAAAATAAAATAGAAATTCTCATTAGAATTTACAATGATGGAGAAGGGGTGTGTCTTTCTTCCCTGTCAAAAATATGCCTATTTGAGCCTGAGCCTAGAAGTCAAGTTAGGAGATATTGGGTGCAAATTGTTACCTAGGAGGCTCTGGTGGCAGCCAAGGGATTTTTCAGCCCTGAACCAGATCAAGGCTTTGCTGTTGAAAGGTCAACAGGCATTTCCATGGAGTGTCTAAAGCCTTTTTCCCCAAAGCTATGGTGCAGATTTCTGCCAAGACGTTAGTTGTGTTCTAGAACAGTGGCTACAGTGACAACCTTGGACAAAATTGCCCATGAAGTGCTTCTGTTTTGTGATCCAGCGGCCCTGGGGGTTGAAGGGAATCAAGAGGAAGTGTATGGGGCTTTTTGCAGTTGTGGCTCCTCCACTGGATATTAGCTATACATTAAACATTCTGACCCTGCTTTTCCCGAGATTAGGAAAGGTCTTACAGGTAGTGGCCAGGTAGAGTTCTGACCACCATATGCAATTGAACACATGTATCTTCCCTGTTTACCTTCCAGTTAAAACATCTTTCCCAATGAATGGAACCCAGAGCAAAGAAGGTCCTTACACAGAGCGGTGATATTCCTAGAAACTTCCAGCATGACCTTCCTGCACAAGGCCTTCTGGCCAGAATCCAGCAGTGCCCACTCTTCCTCTGTCAAATCATTTGACCAATAGCTTTACTGCTATGCCCATTTAGATTTGATTTAGGCTTTTTACATGAGAAATCTGTCCAAGTGATTCATTTTTTAAGGATTTACGTTGGCATATTTCTGAAGCATTCATATAATTGTTTCACTTCATGGCTTTTATTTTTTAATTTGTTTTCAAAAGTCTTTTAATAACTATTAAGAAATATTAACCTCTTCCAACATATAAATTACACTTCCCAGAGAAAGAGCCTTTTCTGTGGGGGCATCTACCCTTTGGAACAGGTTACCCCCAGGGATACGAATGATCCCAGATCTTCGTACTTTCCGTCGCGTACTTAAGACCTTTCGCTTTCACCAAGCTGGGCTGGCATAAATCTCTTCATTGTTCTAAATCTTTATGCTGAAAATTCTTAACCGATGAGCCAAATTGGCTTAATCATCTTATATTCACATTTTATATGTATGTTATGTTAACTGTTCACCGCCCTGAGTCCCTCAGGAGAAGGGCGGTATAAAAATTAAATAAAATAAATAAATAAATAAATAAAAGGCTGCAAATGACTAGCTGTCTGCAAGGAATATAAATCCTTCCATTACCCACTATCCTGACAGAGCTGAAGAAGCTTCTTGGATGAGGAATGAAACGTCTTCAAAGAAAAAACAAGAAGTCCAGTTGCCTCCAGAAAAAGCACCTCTATAATTAGTTATGCTGAAACCAAGCAATGGGGACAACTATATTCAAGCTATGATTTGGAAAAGTATTTTACTGTATATAATTGCTTTCTCTAGCGACTGTGCTTACTAAAGCCTTTAAAAACCTTGAAGAGGGGCTAAAAGGGCTCTCCATCTTTTTGCCCCTTAATATGATTTCAAATACTAGGGAAGTTCGATTTGGACCATCTAAACATAACTTTCATCTTTTATTTAATAACTTTTTTGGCCTTCCTTGTTTGCTGCTTTCTCCAAAACAAAAGAAATTATAAACATAATAAAGGAATATAACTTTTCAGTATCTGAACTAATTCCTCCCATGGGATTTTCACCAATGTGAAACAGAAGCATTTGCCTCAAGATTCAGTGAGTTCCAAAATATTAGGAATTGCTGAAAATCTTCCGACGACTTCTTCGTGGTTGTGATTTATTACAGAGGCTGCGAAATACATTAACGTCCCACGGTTGACTTTTCTCACCTGCCGCCCCTTTCCAGGCTTCGGGGCGGCTGCGGGGCCGAGGAGGCAGCCTTCGGCCAGGGCCACCGCCTGGGCGCAGCTCTCCGCCCCGCACTCCCTCAGCCAGCCCGCCAGCTCCGGGGGCAGCAGGGCCAGCAGCTGCTCCAGCACCACCAGGTCCAGCATCTCGGCTTTGCTGCTCCGCTCGGGCCGCAGCCACCCCCGGCACAGCCCGTACAGGCGGCTGCAAAGAGCACGGGACCCTTCGGGGGGGCCGCTCGGGCTGCCGCTTTCCCCGCCGCCGCCGCTCCCGACCTGAAGAGCAGCGGGGGCTGCTGCTTCTCCCACCGCCGGAGACCCCCGGGCTTCCATTCGGTCTCTGGCTTCTGCGGAGCCCCACTCCCCGCCCTTTCCCCGGTTTCCAGAAGGAGAGTGTCAGATGTAAATGCCTTATTCTCCAATGTGTAAATAATGTATATATGGAACATCAGAGGTTAACTTATTCTTTGGACTTTAATGTATTCATAACTTACCACTCCCATTCCTAGCTCCACCCCTTGTATATATAAGGAGCCACCCTCACCATTCTCGTCGCTTCTACCTTGAATATTCAGTGAATATAGAATGCCTATCATAATTAAAAAGAAATATATTTAAAGCTCTAACTCCTATTATCTTTATTGAGTCTGATCCTGAAAATATTGCAACAAGCTGGTAGCAGAGGATGGTTAATTGACTCAATAAGTAATTAAAAATGTCCAAGAAAGATAGGCCCAACACCAGGGCCTACAGCAAAGAAATAGAAACTGATCAAGAGATGATCAACGAATCCACCAATGCGATTTCGAGAGAATCCGAAGAATACACCACTGAAGAAGAAGAACTAATGAGTGAAAATAATGACCAGAAAGAAATCGAAATAGAAAATAACGAACTCAGGTCAGAGATATTAAAGATACTAAAAAGCCAAAAGAATGATGAAAGTCTCATCGCGGACCTCCAGGAGATGCTGAAGAACAGCGGAGCAGCGAGAGAGAAAAACGTCATTAAAGAAAAACCCAAAGATCAAAAAATCGTAAGTGAGATGACTACTGAGAAAATAGTTGTTAAAAAGAAAAGATGTGATCCCGCGCGAAATTTTGAATGGCAGCCATCTTGGTTTCAACGAACTTCAAAAGAGAATGGAGCAGAGCCAATCAAAACGCTCAGTTCAAAATTTCTGGCGCGAAAAACACTATCAGACGAAGAAAGTGAGAAAGAAGTCTCAAACTCTTCAGATGATCCAAAATCAGAAAGTGAAGACGATTTAACAAAATCTCAAGTAAAATCAGCAATGAAAACGCTTTTTGCTGCTTTTGGGCCAAGACTGAAAATTACCAAGACATCTACGAAGAACCAAGAAATCAAACCGGCGACTCAAGACCTGCACGCTCCCATCCTGACTTCGAAAGCGACGACGCCCGAGCCCAGAGAGCCATGCCGATTTCGCCCTACACCACAGACAAAATCGAATACCAACGCACACAAAAAGAAGAAAAGAACCGTCACCACCACCAGAACCCCAAAAACCGAGCCAGAGACCGACTCATCTGAGGAGGAGCGGATCGAGAGAGCTGAAAGGGAGAGAACCTTCCACGACGCCACCAAAGAAGAAATGAACAACGCGCATGTGCGAAACTACGTAGACGACCCAGAAGGACTTGAACTGGCCAGAGAACCGCGCAGACTCATTGCAAGCATCCCAATGCCGTTCTGTAATTTCCTGCACTTGAGAGATCACGGACTGCCCCAGGTTGTAAGTAATGGACAGAATAATGTAGGTAACTTACCCAGTGACTTTCCAAAACTTAGAATTGATGGCATTAATTTACAAGAGTGGTATCAACAGCTTCAGGTTATTTTCATGAAAGAAAATTTACTATTCTTTATAACTAGCCCTCCAAGAAGACCTTGGACTTTAAAAATAGATTGTTTACATCATAGAGCATTTTTCATAATAATATCTAGCGTGTCTCCTGCAATGTATCATAGCATCAAACCAAACCTAACTGTATCAGAAATAATTCAATGCATGTTTAATCTATTTCACAGCGATAGCGTAGCTACAACCACAAGAATGTCTAAGGATTTCTTTTCCTCTAGAGTAAAACCAGGGGTTTCTATAAGTGAGCATTTGATAAATCTAAACAAAATAAGAGCTGAGCTACAATTGAGGGGGGAAGTGATTTCAGATCAAACAATGAAAAGTGTTATTATCAATTCACTTGATCCATCATGGGATAGCTTTATGTCACACTTAGATACCATTAATTTGGGATATTTATCCATAGAAAGTCTATCTAACAAATTGATAGCAGAAGACAATTCAAGAAAAAATCGATCCAGTAACCAAACAGACCACAAACCTTTTAGGAAAGTAGTCTTTCAAGATAAACATAATGAGGCCTTTAGATGCTACAATTGTGGATCCAGGGAACATAGTAGAAGAGACTGCCCCAAAGTCTCAAGAGAGAGACATAGACCAGAATATAGGAGCAAATATAATTACAGACAATCTTCCACAGATAGACACAAATATAGAAGCCCACCAAATTACAAAGAAGGTAGAGGGGTAGAGAAAATTCAAAAGAGAGGAAATCTGGGTCACTGAATGGGCTAAATAAACAAGACAGCACCAGAACACAGCAGGATGAGAATAACAATTGGCTTATTGATTCTGGTGCAACAAATCACACCACCAACAACAAAAGTATATTATCTTCATTTATAGAAGATAAGTTTGTGATAAAGGTAGCTAATCAAGAAAAGGTTCAAGTACTAGGCAAAGGAAATGTGACCTTGCCTGGTCTAGGGAAAATAGAGGGGGTATTATTAATCCCAGAAATACCTCACAACATACTAAGTGCCATAAAATTAAGCAGAGAATCTGATATCAATATAGTTTTCTCAAAGGGGAAAGCAACTATAGAAAAGAACAAAACAAATGTAGGTACTGTAATGATAAAAGGAGGTCTACCCTATCTGATAACTAAAGAAAGATGTTTACATAACATTGATTCAAATATGGAAGATTGTATTGAAGCAGATGATGAAAATGTCAGTAACAGTGACAATGATGAGTGTAGAATAACTCATGATCACAAAAACACATACAAGGAAAAGAAACCAAAAATAGGTAAACCAATTCATGATGAGTGTGCTCACATCTTACACAGGAAGTTAGGACATGCAAGCTTTCCTGTAGTACAAAAAATGACTGAACACGCAGAAGGTGTCAAAATAAAAAATTGTGAAAATTATTTGGAATGCTCAGTATGTAAGTCCACCAAACTAAAAACCAGTCCCAGACCAAAAAAATCTAACAGATCAACTAACAATATTTTTGATTTGGTACATATGGACTTAGTTGGTCCATTAAGTCCCTCAATTACCTATAGAAAACGTTACTTCCTAACAATAGTGGATGACTACAGCCGATATGGTTTTGTTTACACATTAAAGCACAAGGATGAAACATTTCAGAAATTTAAGGAATTCTACAAACGTATAGAAACACAACATAATATCAGAATAAAGCAAATTATGACAGATAGGGGATGTGAGTTCATGTCTAAAGAATTCTCCCAATGGTTAAAGGATAGAGGAATGTTACATTTCACGTCCAATCCTTTTTCTGCATTTCAAAATGGAGTTGCAGAGAGGAAAAATTCCACACTACAAACCATGATTAGGTGCACATTAGAGGATGCTGGTTTAGGCAAACAATTTTGGTCAGAGGCATTACATTATTCGAATTACACTCAAAATAGAACCTGGTCCAGTATTGTGAATAAGACACCATATGAGGTGATGTACAATAGAAAACCCAAATTATCACACATGCACATATTTGGAGTCACTGCAGACGTACACATACCTAAACAATTGAGGAGAAAGGGAGAAAACGTATCCAGGAGATTAAGATTCATGGGATACGAAACTGGAACCAAAGGGTACAGATTTATTGATAGTAATAACAAATTTATAGTATCCAGAACAGCTGTGTTCCATGAACAGGCCAATTGGTCAAAATTGCACCTTAATGAAATATTTCCTAATAAATGTAAAGATACGATATCTTGCGAGGAAGGAACAACAGAAAATCAAAATATTAACAAAAGTAAGAACAAAACCAAAACTTGGACTAATAGTCAGCATAAAATAAAGACAGACACATTAACAAAAAAGGAAGCTAGATATTTGCATGATAACCATAGCAAGCCTGAAAGAACTATTAGAAACAATAGAAACCAAATACCAAATAAATACAAAGATTACATAATGCATATGAATGGAGAACAAATAACACCTAATACATATGAAGAAGTATTGAAACTTCCACATGAAGAAAGAGAAAAATGGGAACTAGCTATGGAAAAAGAGATGGAAAGTTTACAAGGATTAAATGTATTCACACCTGCGATCGCACCTAAGGATAAAACAATTATAGGTACCAGGTGGATTTATAAAATTAAGAATTTAGAAGGAGGCAATACCTTATACAAGGCTAGACTAGTTGCACAAGGCTATGCACAAAAATATCCAGAAGACTATACTGATACATATTCACCCACAGTGAGAACAGAGAGTGTCAAAACAGCCCTTGTAGTAGCATCTGCACTCAATCTGGACGTATTCCAATATGACATACAGACCGCATACTTACATGCAAAATTAGATAAGGAAATATATGTAAGAGCACCACACAGTCAATACACTAATAAGAACGAAATTTGGTTATTAAATAAGAGTCTGTACGGATTAAAGCAATCCGGCAAAAGATGGTACGATTGCTTGGTAAAAGTACTTAAGACCATGGACTTCAACGCCACCACTGCTGATAACTGTTTCTTTGTAAAAAAGAGTAATGATCATATTGAATTTGTATTAATTTACGTGGACGATATTTTATACATTGGAAAGCATAAAGAGAGCAGGGAAATCTTTGTAAATAAGTTAAATGAACACTTCTCACTGAAATCTCTGGGTAAAGTGAATAAATACCTTGGTGTGCAAATTAACAAAACTAAAAGGGGATTCAAACTTACACAGAAAGATAAAATCATCGAACTCCTAAACAAATGTAACTTAAATAATGCTAAAACCTGTGACACCCCTATGCAAACTGATTTTCTTAGAAACACTGATGAATCTTCCCCTGAGTTTAAAGACAACACATTTTACAGATCAGTTATAGGTTCACTCCTTTATATATCTAATTGGACTAGGCCAGATATTGCATTACCTCTCAATCTATTGTCAAGATATGTTAGTAAACCAACCTTGTATCATTGGGAAGCTGTCAAAAGAATTCTAAGATATCTGAAGGGTACATTAGATTTTTGTTTAATGTTGGAACCCAATAATGACAGAGAACCAAAAATTACTTGTTATGCTGATGCAGATTGGGCTGGTGATACATCATGCAGAAAGAGTACTTCTGGTTATGTTTTTCTATTGAATGATTGTCCAGTTTACTGGTATACTGGTAAACAAGAACTAGTAGCCACTTCTACTACAGAAGCGGAATATGTTTGTTTGTCCAAAGCTGCAAATAACCTTGTATGGTTCAATGATCTGATCACTGATGTTTGGAAGAAACCCACCTTACCATTTATTATGCATGAAGACAATAAAGCGGCCATTGAAATATCCAGATCCGATGCAATTGGACAAAGGTCCAGGCATATTGATATAAAGTTTAAGCATGTGAGACAACTGTCTCAAGACGGATTCATTAAAGCAATACATTGCGATACTTCTGAACAATTAGCTGACATATTAACAAAACCCTTACCTTCTAAACAACACAAATATTTAACTTCTAAATTATATGTATTATATTGTCCTGAATCAGAATGTAATTGGTGTTGTGTAACGAACCGGCATTTAGAGGGGGATTTGTCAGATGTAAATGCCTTATTCTCCAATGTGTAAATAATGTATATATGGAACATCAGAGGTTAACTTATTCTTTGGACTTTAATGTATTCATAACTTACCACTCCCATTCCTAGCTCCACCCCTTGTATATATAAGGAGCCACCCTCACCATTCTCGTCGCTTCTACCTTGAATATTCAGTGAATATAGAATGCCTATCATAATTAAAAAGAAATATATTTAAAGCTCTAACTCCTATTATCTTTATTGAGTCTGATCCTGAAAATATTGCAACAGAGAGAAAGCGGACTCCGCTCCCTCAGAGTTTCTGCGCCTCAGCAGAGCAATTGCAAATCGTTCCCGCCAAAATTTCCCGCGCCCTCCCGGCCCCTCAGAGCCTGGGTCAGACAGCGCTGCTTCCTAGAGTGGCAAAAAAAAAAAAAAAAAAAACCCGCTGCACGCGACCCTCCTTTCCTGTCCTGGGCGAGAGAGACCCCCACCCCACTCACTGCAACCCACCGCCTCTCCTGAGCAGCGAGCACTGACGGACTCTCTGCGCGTGCTCCGTTCGTGGTAGACCGTTGAAAACCGTTGGAACTCGGTATTCGGGAACAGGCGGGGAAAGGGTGAGAATGCGGGAGTGTGTGGAGAAGGGATGAGGCCGGGGTAGGGCATGAGGGGCACGACAGACGCTGAGCTGGGGCTGGAATGAAGAAAGCGGCCTTGGATGGAAATTGGTTTAATTGCAGCTTGTCTACGTCTGGGATTTCTTTTTGTCTCGGAATTCCCTTGGAAATGTGGATGCGTTCCTGGGATAGGTGGAAGGTGTTTGTGTAAGGTGTGTGTGTATACACACATATACCCATAGTTTAATAGTATATATATTATATAACTATAATATATATTGTGTGTATAAATTTACTATTAAATGTTTTCCTTTCTTTTTCGTAGGTTTTATGTATATTTCCCTTTAGCCAGGTTCTACCTACGTAAACCAAGATATTATGCAGCCCTAGTTCAGTGAAATCACAATTCACTAGTTTCTGGGCTTTTTTTACTATTAAATATATATAGTATACTATTAAGCTGTGTGTGTGTATGTGTGTCTTTGTGTTACCAGGCTAGGTAACTATCTTCAAGTGGAGTTTATGGGAAACTGCTGAAGATATTACCTCTCCTGGTAAGGAATCATTTGGAAACCAACCCATAAGCTCAGAGAACAAATCTTCACCCTCATCAAAGATATCTAGGAAGGACTCACTGGAGAAGTGCCTAATGCTGGGAAAGATTGAGGGCAAAAGAAGGGGATGACAGAGATCAAGGTGGCTGGATTGAGTCACTGAAGCAATAGGCGCGAACTTAAATGGACTCCAGAAGATGGTAGAGGACAGGAAGGCCTGGAGGAACGTTGTCCATGGGGGTCGCGATGGGTCGGACACAACTTCGCAACTAACAACAAAAAAAGGGAGAAAGAATGGCACTGGAAGTCAGAACATCAAGGAGAGAGCGAGCAATTTGGTTCAGGAGGTTGTGCAACTTTTCAAAATTGGATTGGGTAATCTGGGAAGACATCTGCATGGAAAGGAAGGCAAGAGAAACAGAAAAAGATGGGGCCAGAAAAGATGAAAATAGTAAAAGAGAGTATCCTCTATAGACAGTTTTTGGAGTTCTCTGAGCTTAGGAGTATGGGCACCCAAGCACAAATGTTTTCATCTTGTGTTCTGGCAAGGCTTGCTCAGCACAGCAGTTCAGATAAGGGGATTGTCTTGCTGAATCCACCCCACCCCACCCCACCCCACCCTTGTGAAATTTGAACTTTATGGGGGTGGCAGGTTAGAGGCTTTTTAGGGAGCATTCAGTGATTGCATGGAGGAAGCCTTGATAGAATGCAAAAAAAAAAAGATACAAGTGATGGGTGTGAGCTACCCTTATTCCTAGAGATAGTTAATATTTTTCTTCCAATCTGAATTCCTGACTATTTTTCTGATCAGGTGCCAAGGATAGAGGAAGCACCCGAATCCTTTTGAGAAATCATGGAACAAATTTATTTATATAATTTATACAAACCAAATGTCTCTGCTGGTTTCATGCAATAGAAAGTTTCCTCCTGTGTCTGCGTCCTTTGATGATGGAAAAATTGACTGTTTTGAATTAACCTTATTTCATGGAGTCAATTTACGACCACAATTGAGCCCAAAATATCACCTATCTCCTCCCACTTATGACTATGACTAACCTTGTTGCTGGCATCCTTATGACTTATATTGACTGTTTCCTAATATGATTTTATTGCTTATTTGTTCCCTATGACTATCATTAAGTGTTGTAACTTATGATTCTTGACGAATGTATCTTTTCTTTTATGTACACTGAGAGCGTATACAACAAGACAAATTCCTTGTGTGTCCAATCACACTTGGCCAATAAAGAATTCTATTCTATCTATTCTAAAATTTATGTTAATAAATAAACATTTATTGAGTTTGTCCCATTTTATAACCTTTGTTTCCACAGTTAAGTGAACCACTGTATGTGTTAATAGCAATAACAATAGTACTTAGACTTATATACTGCTTCACAGTGCTTTTATAGCCCTCTCTAAGCGTTTTTCAGAGTCAATATATTGCCCCCAACAATCTGAGTCTTCATGTTACCCACCTCGGAAGGATGGAAGGCTGTCAACCTTGAGCTTGGTGAGATTCGATCTGCCAAACTGCAAGCAGCTTGCAGTCAGCAGAAGTAGCCTTAAATTAGTCAAAATGTTAAGTAAATCTGGTGTCAAGCTTCGTTATTATCTACAAATAAATGAATTTCCAAACGCCCGATCTTTGAGGAAATTTTTCTCTTTATTGAGCATAACGAACTGACCCTGACTCAATGCGGTTAGCACTGAACTTTGGCCCCCTCCCCCCAAAACCTCTCTTTCTGGTTCCCAATTCTCTGCGTCTCATTGGCCATCTTCCAAGTCACTCTTCTCATCCCATCTCCGTCAATTCACAGGAATGTCCCCCCCCCCCATCCCATCTCCGTGGAGACAGTTCTTCAGGGGAATTAAGTAGGTGGAAGTTCAAGCCTCTCCTCTCTGTCCTTATTGCAGCTTGGAAGCTGACATCTGGCTTCCCCATTGACTTTTGTCAGGTCACAAAAGGGGATCACATGACCCTGAGACACTGCAAGCATCATGAGTCAGTTACCTAGTATCTGAATTTTGATCACATGACCATGGGGATGCTACAATGGTCAGAAGTCACTTTTTTCAGTGCCATTGTTAACGTTGAACAATCACTAAATGAACTGTTGAAAGTCAAGGACTACCCATATATGGTTTTTCCCATGTGCATCTTTTTATGAGAAGCACACTACAGGTAGTCCTCGCCTTACAACAGTTCATTTAGCGACTGTTCAAAGTTACAACAGCACTGAAAAATGTGACTTATGACCGTTTTTCAGTTACAACCTTTGCAGCAGCCCTAAGATCATGTGATCAAAATTCAGAAAGTTGGTAACTGGTTTATATTTATGACTCTTGCTATGTCCTGGGGTCACATGATCCCCTTTTGTGGCCTTCTGACAAGCAAAGTCAATGGGGAAGCCACTTTGTGATTCACTTAACTGTGGCAAGAAAGGTCGTAAAATGGGGCAAAACTCACTTAACAAATGTCTCACAACAGCAGAAATTTTGTGCTCAATTGTGGGTATAAGTTGAGGACTACCTGTATTCTCAATGAAGCTTATTCCACATTCCAGACATTTATAATTTCTTCCTGTGTGGATGTCTTCATGACAAATAAAGGTCCCGCAGTTGTTAAAAAGGTTTTTTCATCCTCACTGCATTTATAAGGACTCTCTCCTGTGTGGATCCTTTGGTGGTGATTAAGGTCTTTGTTGTCCATAAAACTGTCTTCATACTCCATACATTTATATGGTCCCTCCCCTGTGTGGATCCTTTTATGAGAATTCAGTTTTCCTTTCTGAGTAAAGCTCTTTCCACACTCCAGGCATTTATATGGTCTCTCTCCTGAATGGACACTTTTATGAGAAATAAGTTTTCCTCTCTCAGTAAAGCTCTTTCCACATTCCAGGCATTTAAACGGCTTATCCCCTATGTGAATCATTTGGTGACGAATAAGATCTTTGTTGCCAAAAAAGCTCTTTCCACACACTAGGCATTTATATGGTCGGTTTCCTGTGTGGATCCTTTGATGGGAAGTTAGCTCTCTATTCTCAATGAATCTTTTTCCACACTCCCTGCAACCATATGGTTTTTCACCTGTGTGGATCCTCTGATGACGGTTGAGATAAGAGTTTCTACTGAAGCCCTTTCCACACTCTGTGCACTTATAAGGTTTCTCCCCTGTGTGGACCCTTTCATGACAAGTAAGATGTTCTTTCTGAGTGAAGCTCTTTTCACACTCTATGCATTTGTATGGTCTTTCACCTGTGTGAATCCTTTTATGAGAATTAAGTCGTCCTTCCTCAGCAAAGCTCTTTCCACATTCTCTGCATTTATATGGTCTCTCCCCTGAATGGATTCGTTCATGACGAGTAAGATGTCCTTTCTGAGTAAATCCTTTTCCACATGACATGCATTTGTAGGGAGTCTCTATAGGGTGGATCCTTTCATGATGGGTAAAGTTGTCAGTAAAGCTTTTTTCACACTCCATGCACCTATATTGACTCCGCTCTAGATTGATCCTTTCACGGCAAATAAGATCTCTGTTCTCAATAAACCTCTTTCCACACTCTACGCATTTATATAGTCTCTCGCCTGTGTGGATCCTTCTATGAGAACTAAGTTGTCCTTTTTGCGCAAAGCTCTTTCCGCATTCTGTGCACGTATATGGTTTCTCCCCTGTGTGGATCCTTCTGTGATGAGTAAGATGTCCTTTCTGACTGAACTGCTTTCCGCACTCCATGCATTTATGAGGTTTATCACCGGTGTGGACCCTCTGATGGCGATTGAGATTACTTTTGCTACTGAAGCTCTTTCCACACCTCATGCAGAGTTTTATCTTTCTGCCCAAAACGAAATCCCTCCCAAATTTTACAAAGGTATGTGCTTTGTGTTTCCCATAGAGTTTTGTATGTAAAGCAAGAGAGAAGAACTGATTGACATATTTTCCACACTGTTTGGTGACATACTCTTTTCCTGTGCTCTGGCTTCTGCCGCATTCCCCTAAGTCAAATTCACTTTGCTCTCTGTTACCATATTTTCCTTTTCTCTTCCCTTGCTGGGTAAGGAAGCCATGGATTTCAATAGGGAGAGAAATGGAGGAGATCCCCTCTCCATCTTCTGAGGAGCTTCTCACTTGAATTTGTGGGTCCCTTTGATGGCCAAACATCATTTCTTCCATTTCATGCTTTGCTGTTTGCATTTGCATTAACCTCAGCTGCTTATCATTCTCATTCTCCAGCCCATCACCTGGTGAAGAAAAGAAAATAGAAATTCCTATTAGAATTTAGATGTCAAGCAGCAGAGAAATCGGGAGATCCAGGCAGTTCAAATGGGTATAAAGATTTACTGCAAACTTAAGCTCTCTAAAAGAATCTGAACTACTAATGGTTCAAGCAACTGGCAGTAGATAACAGTCAAAGGAATTCTAGGTGGGCTTAAAGGGATTTATGACTGATATGTTTGATTCCTCCCTCGGGCTCAGCTTGGTCCTCTACTACATTACAACTGTTAAGGAGAGGTAATTCCTTTTCTCAAATACATGTCATGTGTGCGGCTACGAGACCTTAGGTGCAAGTTGTTGTCTAGGAATTTTAATGGAATCCAATAAATGTTTAGTTGGGAATCTGATTGATTTGTTACTCTGCCCAAGCATTTCCATGGAGCATCTAAAGCTTTCCCCAAAGCTACTGTCAGTGTTTCTGCCAAGGCCTTGGCTGTGAGGAGAACCTTGGACAAAATTGCCTCTAAATTGTCTCTGCCCCTGAATTTTGATCCAGCAGGGTCCTGGCAGTTGAAATGAATCAAGGAGAAATGGATGGAGTTCTTTCCTACAGTAGCTCTTCCATGGATATTTGCTAACTACAAAACATGTGTCATTTTGATTGTTTTCTTGAGATTAGAAAAGGTTTTAAAGATGTGCTGCTATTCAGATGATGGCTAGGTAGTCCTCGCCACCTTAAGCAAATGAGTGAAGGAATCTTCACTGTTTATTTCCCACTGAAAACATCTTTCCCAATGAATGGACGCAGAGCAAAGAGGGTCCTTACCCAGAGTGGCCATATTCTTAGAAACCTCCAGCATGACTTCCCGGCATAAATCCTTCTGGCCAGAATCCAGCAGTGCCCACTCTTCCTCTGTGAAGTCCACAGCCACCTCCTCAAAGGGAGCAGAACTCTAGAAAGAGAAACAACATCTTCATTAGTAGACAATCCCAGGAAACACTTGTATGTTTCACGCACAAACCAGAAAAAAGAACTTTGCAAGAGACCAAATGAATATTTTGTGGCAAAGCAGGCTTAAGTCTACTTCTCCCCATAATTCTTGTTGCCATGAAATTCCCAAGTTCAGACTGTTGCTTCGGCTGTAACAATCTTGGCTTAAGTGCATCTAAGTAATAGAATGATAACATTGCTCTGAATGGGGAGCCTTTTCCTGGTCCAGAATAATTCAGCAAGAAGTTGGGGAGAGAGTATTCTTCGCCTCACCTGTCTGATTCAGCAAATTGCTTAGAAAATAGGATAGGGGCTGTAATACATTTCTAAGTGGATGTGTGTTAACATATTTCTGAAGCAGTTTTAATCCAATTTTTATTATTTCCCTTCATGATTTTTATTTTTTAACTTGTTTTAAAAAAACATTATGAAACTCTTCCAACACATAAATTATATTTCCTAATATAGAATAACAGAGTTGGAAGAAAGTCTTCTAGACCAGCCCCCCCTCTCAAGCAGGACACACCATACAATTCCAGACAAGTGGCTGTCCATTCTCTTCTCAAAAGCCTCCAGTAATAGAGCACCCACAACTTCTGAAGGCAAGTTGTTCCATTGGTTAATTGTTCTCAATGCTAGGAAATTTCTCCTTAATTTCAGGTTACTTCTCTCCTTGATTAGTTTCCATCCATTGTTTCTTGTCCTACCCTCAGATGCTTTGGAGAATAGCTTGACTCCCTCTTCTTTGTGGCAGCCCCTGAGATACTGGAAGGCTGCTATGATGTCTCCCCTAGTCCTTCTTTTCATTAAACTAGACATACCCAGTTCCTGCAATGTTGTTTATATCTTTTCAGCTGCAGCCCCCTAATCATCTTTTGCTCTTTTCTGCACTCTGAGTCCCAACATCTTTTTTTATATTATTACCTTACCTTATATTATTTTACTATCTTATTATTATAAATAGTCCTTTGTTTGCATTCTTAGAACAATCTTAAAAGATGAATGAATGTGACTCAGTGGGCCATTCTGGGGAGACACCATGTTCAAATGCACACAGACTCAGTATTTGGTTGTAAGAGGAGCTCATGAATGGAAGGAATTTAAACTTCTCATAAGAAACCCACACTTACCTGGCAAGGTGGCCCCAGTTGGATCCGTCTGAAAAGCTCTTTAGAAGGACTGGATCCATCTCCTGTTCCATGGAGCTCTGCTGAGATCTCCCCCATGAATGGCTCCTGGATCTGAAAGAACAGCTGATTTATGATCCACTTTCAAATGACTGTAATCATCACAGTTCACTTGCCTTACATTTGTCCTCTCCACTTGTACTCATCCAACCCAACCCAAGTCAGAGAACCTCAGAACTAAAACATCTTTTAAATTATGACTGTCCAGTCTATGACTTGTTCTCATCCTCCAAAGTTATTCCCACATACTATTGACACCATCCCAACACGTGTTGTCTGGATCTATTTTCTCTGTGATTATCTGTAAAGAAAAGACTCCAGAGGCGTAGAAGAGGATGAAGCTCCCTCACCTGCCGGCCCTTTGCCAGCTTTTCCGGGGCGGCTGCGGGGCCGAGGAGGCAGCCTTCGGCCAGGGCCACCGCCTGGGCGCAGCTCTCCGCCCCGCACTCCCTCAGCCAGCCCGCCAGCTCCGGGGGCAGCAGGGCCAGCAGCTGCTCCAGCACCACCAGGTCCAGCATCTCGGCTTTGCTGCTCCGCTCGGGCCGCAGCCACCCCCGGCACAGCCCGTACAGGCGGCTGCAAAGCGCCCGGGGCCCCTCCGCCTCCCGGGAGACGCAGCTGCGGAAGCGCCAGCGCTCAGCCTCGGGGCTGCGGGGACCCTCGGGGAGGCCGCTCCCCGCCTGAAGGGGAAACCCCCGAGCCTCCATTCCGTCTCCGGCTTCAGCGCAGCCCCGACGGGGAGAAACTCCCTCCGAGGCCGCCGCCTTCGGTCACGGCGGACCCTCCCACACCCAGTCGCCCCGCCCCTTTCGGTCTCGGGGGGGGGGGAGCAGCGGGGGGCTCCGCTCCCTCAGGGCTTCTGAGGCGGAGAAGAGCAGCTGCAAGTCGCTCCTTCCACAGGTTCCTCCTGCCCTCCCAGACACTGGGTCACAGACGGCTGCATCCTAGAGGGGCAAAGCCCTATTAGACGGCTTCTGTCTAGAGCGTCTCCTAATGCAATTACTGTCTGCTCGGCCTGGAAAGACTCCTCTGCGCATGCCCTGTTCGTTGACGCTTAAAGGACGCCCGTGTTCAGTTGCTGCGGAAGTATTTAGCCGGGAGTGGGAAGGGATGCGAGCCGGGAGAAGGGCTAGAAAGCAGGGAATGATGGAGATCGAATGAAACCTGGGCTTGATTGCCGCTTCTGGACACCTGGGATTTCTCTTTCTCCCGCAATCCTCTTGGAAATGTGGATGCATTGCTGGGACACGTGGAAGAAATTAGGGGGAGGGGGAAGAGATTTGAAGGGTGCTGCAAATGTGAGAAATGGGGAGCCCTGTGGCAGGCATCTAGGCAGTAAACTTATTTATAATTAAATAAATATATAAGCAATACATAGTTTGGAGATTCCTTCAGACTAGTCTCTCCTGTTGTCTGTATTCCTGTGGCGATCCTCAACAATCCTCCTTTTTTCTAGAGTACAATCTGCTCTATATCTTTTTAGTTGCTACTTCTGCTAAAGTCTACACTTTTTATCCATCTTTATTTTTTTGCTTGATGTTTCCTGGCTGAATAGATTCTTAAAAAGTTGATCTGGTTTCAAGGGGCTGCACTACCTAAAAAAAAAAATCCAGAAATTGACCTCCTGAACTTGGTTTCTCCCTAGGTCAGGACTGTCAAACCAGCACCTCTCAGGCTGGATACATCACACGCAGGCCACGCCCACCCCAGCTCTGCAAAGGCAAAAAACTTTGCAATATGTCACGATCCAGTCTATGACGCTATCGAGTTTGACACCTGTGCCCTAGGTGGACTTAAATTATCGGGCTCTGTATCGCTGACCATGACAACTGGGCCAGGTAGTGAAAAAAAGAATACACGGAAGGAGACAGCGGGGAAAATTACATGCTATAAGAGTTTATTAATAAGGTTCCAAGAGTATAAAGTTTCTTCTCCAAAATATGTTGGTGAAGAAGAATTGCGTTGGCAACTACTCAAAAGGAGATGATCTTTCTGGGGCCGATCTCACTCCTTCAACTTGGTCAGAAGATAAAAGGAAATGACAAGATTTCTTTAGCTAAAGGGAAGAAACACAAACACTATTTTGTGGGAACTAACATCTGCAGCAGGGTTGGGTCCCACTTACCTTTACTACCGGTTCGCAACGGGAACGTGCACGCACGCTCGCTAAGCTCCTGTGCAGATCACCCATTATGTGATGGGTGGGCGGAGCCTCCCACCGGTTTTACTACTGGTTCTATAGAACCGGACCGAACCGGGAGCAACCCTCCACTGATCTGCAGATTGAAATCCTTTCTAAATTTGGTAAATTTATGCAATTTCAGATACATGCTCAGCATCACAAGACAAGATAGAAAGACATTGACTGGAGAATAAATGAAAATATACGATATCTTCTAAAGAGTAAAAGAATAGAAATGCAAATGCAAGAACTAGTGGATAAAGGCAGTCATAGAATGGATTCCACATGATAAAAAGTGTCCACAAGAGAGGCACAACAAGCCATAGTGACAACATCAACAACTATTGCAGACCCAAATAGCAAAGCAAATCTCAAGACCATATTGGTTTGGAAACATGCAGAACAAATCTTCATCCTGCAGCGGATAGACAATGACTAGAATAATGATGAAGATTCCATTTCTGTTTTACAGGGGGGAGGGGGTCAGTAAATTAAGAGGGAAGTCAAAGAAGCCATCAGTCCTCTGGTTGGAAGATAGTAAGATGGGCTGAAGGGCTTAATTTCTTATTTTGCATCAGTCTTTCCATAGGGAGAAGAAAAATGCAGGTCAAATTAGGAAAGGGAACACCTGGCTGCTCTGAATGAATTCCAGTATTTGGGACCAGAAAGGTTGCTCTGAAGCATCTTCCATTAATTTATATCATTTCTTCTGTGGGCATTCTTTTCTGAGAATTATGGTATCCTTCCAAAGGAAAGCTTTTTCTACACTCCCTACATTTACATGATTTTTCTCCTGTGTGGATCCTCTAATGGTGAGTCAGATAAGAGTTTCTACTGGAGGCCCTTCCACTTTGTCCATTTGGAAGGTTTCCTCCCAGCGTGGATCCTTTCATGACGAGTAAGATGTTCTTTCCCAGTAAAATTATTTCCACCCTCCATTAATATGGAATTTCTATGTGGATTCTTTTACGAGTAAATGTCTTGTAATTGTTAAAGCTTTCTCCACACTACATGCACTTATATGGTCCCTCCTCCATGTGGATTCTTTTATGGGAATTAAGTGCCCCTATTTGAGCAAAGCTTCTTCCACACTCTATGCATTTATATGGTCTCTCCCCTGTATGGACTCTTTTATGACGAGTAAGATCTCTGTTCCAGTTAAAACTTTTTCCACACTCCAAGCATGTATATGGTTTTTCTACTGAGTGGGTCCTTTTGTGAGAATAAAGATGTCCTGTCCGAGCAAAGCTCTTTCCACATTCTGTGCATTTATATGGTTTATCCCCTGTGTGAATTGTTTCGTGACCAGCAAGACATCCTTTCCGAGCAAAACTCTTACCACACACCAAACATTTATATGGTCTCTCCCCTGTGTGGATCTTTTTATGAGTACTAAGATGTGCTGCTTGAGAAAAGCTTTTTCCACACTCTGTGCATTTATATGGTCTCTCCCCAGTATGGATCCTTTCATGATGTATTAGACCTCTGCTCCAATTAAAACTTTTTCCACATACTAAGCATTTATACGGTCTCTCCCCCGTGTGCATTCTTTTATGAGCATTAAGTTGTACTGTTTGAGCAAAGCTTTTCCCACACTCTATGCACTTATATGGTTTCTCCCCTGTGTGGATCCTTTCATGACCAGTAAGACATCCTTTCTGAGCAAAAGTCTTTCCACACTCAAAGCATTTATATGGTCTCTCCCCTGTGTGGATCCTTTCGTGACGAATAAGATCTTTGCTCCAGTTAAAGCTTTTTCCACACGCCAAGCATTTATATGGTCTTTCCCCTGTGTGCATCCTTTGGTGGAAAGTAAGGTGCCAGTTGTCAATAAACGTCTTTCCACACTCCATACATTTATACGGTCTCTCTCCAGTGTGGATCTTTTTATGAGAATTAAGTTTTCCTTTTTGAGTGAAGCTCTTTCCACATTCCAAGCATTTATAGGGTTTGTCCGTTGTGTGGATCCTTTGATGTCGAGTAAGATCACTGTTCTCAAAAAAGCTCTTTCCACATTCCAGGCAATTATATGGTCTGTACCCTGTGTGGATCATTTTAGGACAAATCATCTCTGGTTTCTGGCAAAAGCTTTTTTCACATTCTGGACATGTACATAACCTCTCATCTATGTGGCTCCTCTGATGGCAATTTAGATTACTTGTGCTAATGAAGCTCTTTCCACAGTTCATGCAAAATTCCATCATTTTGCTTAGACTGAAATCCCCCTCATATTCTGAAAATCTGTGTGGTTTCCAATGCGGTATGTTAGGTGATGTAAAAGAGAAGGCATGACTCTTGGCAGATGGTGCTTTTTGCAGTGTCAATAATGGTGGCTGCTTTTCATCCTCATTCCCCAGCTCATCACTGTCACCATCACCTGCTTAGAAAAATGAAAAGAAATTCTCATTAGAGTTTACAATGATGGAGGGGGGTGGTGTTTCCCCAGTGAAAAATGCCCATCTGAGCATCAGGTTTGGCACCACCTATGTGTCAGCTAGGAGATGGTGGGTGCAAATTGTTATCCAGGTGACTCTTAATGGTATCCAAGGGATTTTTCAGCCTTGAATTTAGGTTTTCTACCTAAAATCTACCTACAGATTAAGGTTTTGCTGTTGATAGGTCAATCTGGCCAGGCATTTCCACAGCCTTTCTGTGGAAAGGCCTTTCACGAAGCTATGGTGAGCATTTCTGCCAAGACCTTTGTTGTATTCTAAAAGAGTGGCTGTGATGACAACCTTGGACAAAATTGCCCATGAAGTGCTTCTGCTGGCTTATGATCCAGGGGCCCTGGCAATTAAAAGTTACCAAAGGGAACTGTGTGGGACTGTTTGTGGCAGTGGCTACTCCACTGGATATTAGCTATATACTAAACATTCTGACTCATTTTTGTGAAATTAGGAAAGGTTTTACAGGTGATGGTCAGGTAGAGTTCTGACCGCTTTATGCAATTTAGTGCAAGTAACTTCCCCATTTATCTCCCAATGAAAACACCTTTTCCAATGACTGGAATGCAGAGCAAAGGGGATCCTTACCCAAAGCGGCCAAATTCATAGAAACCTCCAGCATGACTTCCCTGCACAAGGCCTTCTGGCCGGAATCCAGCAGTGCCCACTCCTCCTCTGTGAAGTCCATAGCCACCTCCTCAAAGGGATCAGAGTCCTAGAAAGAAAAAGAAAACCTTCCCCATAAGACAGTCCTCTCTAATGTTTTCTTTCTTAGTTCCAAAACAGAAAAGAGAGCTTTACAAGAGATCAAATGGACATTTTCTTATAGGACAGGCATAGGCCCTGCAGGTCCACAAGATTTTTAAGTGTAGGAAGCCCCCCTTCACCTCCTCCATGCTGCTGTTAGAAACATAGCTTAAATGCATCCAAGTAGTAGAATGGCACTCCTTGGGGACCCCCCTCCCTCGGCCTGGAATAATTCACCAAGGAGGTTTTGGGCAGAGGAATCCCATGGCCTCATCTCCCTTGCTAAGCAAAATACAAATTTGTTAGAAGACAGGACATGCTTACTAAGAATTTTTTATCTGCCCTATTTCAAAATGTCATAAATGACCCTGGAAATATCAAATCACTTGATCAACAGTCTTACCATTAAAATGTGTCAGCTTTGAATTGGGGGTTTTTATATGAGAAATTTGTCCTTTCCGTAATTTATTTTTAAGTGGATACATTGGGGTATTTCTGAAGCCGTTTTTGTACAATTGATACTGTTTCGCTTCATGGCTTTTATTTTGCTTTTCCAAAGTCTTTAGAAAAATATTAGGAAAGATTAAAATTTTGTAACATATACATTACATTTTACAAATACAAGACTCTTGTCTTGTATTTGTCCTTCGTCTGCATCCTCAGAACCACCTTGAAGGTTGAATAAGTGAGACTCACTGAGTCATTCTGTGGAGACACCAGGTTCAAATTCACAGACTCAGCATTTGGTTTTCAAACTGGCTCATGAACAAAAGGGGTTTAAACTTCTCATGAGATACTCACACTTACTTGGCAAGGTGGTTCCAGTTGGATCCTCCTGAAAAGAATCTCTTCGGAATCATTGGACGGATCTCCTCTTCCCTGGAGCTCTGCTGAGATCTCCCCAATGAATGGCTCCTGCAACTGAAAGAAAAGTCTGGCTTATGATCCACTTTCAAATGATTTTAACCATCTTAGTTCACTTGCCTTACATTTCCCCCCTCCAATTGTACTTTTCCAACCAAAGTCAAAGTGAGAGAAGTTGAGAACTCCCTGCTCTGGGGTTGCTGCTATTTCTGGATAATCGCCTGCCATTTTTATGAAATATTTCATTCCTTCTTTATTTCCTATTGATGGGATATCTGCTAAAATAAAGCCAGGTCATGGAACACACTTGAAAGTAAATGAAGAAGCCTGTAATTGTGGAGTCTGTCTGGCAAGAACAAAGAATGCTTATCCACAGGAAATATGCATGTGCAAAGCTTGTAACACTTCTTGATAGTTAGAAAACTGATAAAAGTAACAAAAGAATTAGGCAACTTGCAGACCTCAGCTATGAAAACCAATCAAAACGTGCACCTTGTGCCTGGCGTCCTTCATTGGCATCGGCACCAGGCTCAGACCCGAATTGGGGACAACACTATTTTCCTTCAAGGTAGTCCAGACAAGAACCGACAATGAAGATTAGCTCTATCTTCATTATAAAGTCACATTAATAGAATATTGTATTTTTCCCATTCTCTCCTTTTACTTGAAGCAAAACTAGGAAAGGTTTTTAATGATTTTTTCCACCAATCCACCTCAATCATCATGTGAGAATTGAGATTATCTTTTAAATTATGGCTGTCCAGTCTATGATTTGTCCCCATTCCCAAATGCTATTGACACCATCCCAACACGTGTTGTCTGGATCTATTTTCTCTGTGATTATCTGTAAAGAAGAGACAGCGGAGGCGTCGAAGAGGATGAAAGAGCCTCACCTGCCGGCCCTTTGCCAGCTTTTCCGGGGCGGCTGCGGGGCCGAGGAGGCAGCCTTCGGCCAGGGCCACCGCCTGGGCGCAGCTCTCCGCCCCGCACTCCCTCAGCCAGCCCGCCAGCTCCGGGGGCAGCAGGGCCAGCAGCTGCTCCAGCACCACCAGGTCCAGCATCTCGGCTTTGCTGCTCCGCTCGGGCCGCAGCCACCCCCGGCACAGCCCGTACAGGCGGCTGCAAAGCGCCCGGGGCCCCTCGGCCTCCCGGGAGACGCAGCTGCGGAAGCGACAGCGCTCAGCCTCGGGGCTGCGGGGCTCCTCGGGAAGGCCGCCGCCCGCCTGAAGGGGAAACCCCCGAGCCTCCATTCCGTCTCCGGCTTCAGCGCAGCCCCAACGGGGGAAACTCCCTCCGAGGCCGCCGCCTTCGGTTACGGCGGACCCTCCCCCACCCAGTCGCCCCGCCCCTTTCCCGTTTTCAGGGGAGAAGTGGGCGAGGCTCCCCTCCCTCAGGGCTTCTGAGGCGAAGAAGAGCAGCTGCAAGTCGCTCCCACCACAGATTCCTCTTGCCTTCCCAGACACGGCTGCATCCCAGAGAGGCAATGCCAAAGCCCTATTAGGCTCCCTCGTTTACTGCTCCTGCCTAGAGCGTCTCCTAAAGCAACTACGGCCTTTCCCGTCCTCTGCTCGACTTCAACAGTTGGCAACGGTGCTCTGCGCATGCCCTGTTCCATGTTGACGGTTAAAGGTCGCCCGAACTCAAATTGCCGCGGAATTATTTAGTCGGGAGCGGGAGGAGTGGCGAGGGTGGAGAAGGACTAGAAGGCCGGGAGTGATGTCTCCGGTGGAGATTGAGCGGGGCTGAAATGAACAAAGCTGCTTGGAATGAAACCTGGCTTGATTGCTGCTTCTGGACACCTGGGATTCCTCTTTCTACCACGCAATCCTCTTGAAAATGTGGATGCATTCATGGGACACGTGGAAGAATTGGGTGGGAGGGGTGTGTGTGTGTGTGAGAGAGAGAGAGAGAGATGGAAAGAGTCCTATGGCAGGCATCCAGCCAGTAAATTTATTTATATATTATTAAATGAATCTATAAGTAATAAATGGTTTGGGATTCCTTCAGGCTAATTTATTTCTCTTCTCTGTTGTCTGCGTTCCTCAATGACGTGTGGAATTTTGGCGGGAAGCCGTTAAACGGTCAGGGCGAGAGAGAACCTCAGAAGGAAGGAGACACTCAGGAGGGGGAAAATGGGGCTGAGGGAAAAGGACGTTTCAGGCGCTGCTGAACAACAAAAATCTGCAATACTTGCTGACATCATCACTCCATCCTGCTGTAGGTTTTTCATGGATGCTTTTTAAACAAGTGGAATCCAATCTATGGCTGCCTTAGTGCACCCGCTGTCAGTTCTATTTATTTATTTCGAATTTATATACCGCCCTTCTCCTGGAGGACTCAGGGCAGTGTACAGCCACAAATAAGAAACATAAAATACAAACATTAAAAACAATTAAAAGAATATATATCTACTTGGCCCCATAATTTAAAAAGTGACAAACCAATTAAAAACATTTAAAAAATTTTTAAACCAGCCCGGCTTGCTGGAAAAGGAAAGTTTTAAGGGCATGGCGGAAGGCACCGAGGTCTTGGATTCTCCTTATCTCTGGGGGCAGCTGATTCCAGAGGGTAGGTGCCCCCACAGAGAAGGCCCTCCCCCTGGGGGTCACCAGCCTATTTGTTATGTAACCATCCCATTTCCCATGTCAATTTATGGCATTGTAATATTTTCATTTGTTCTCTAATCTGTGCGCAGGTCTTCCTATCTTGCCTTCGGATGCCGCGCGTGTATCTGGAATTGCGTAAGTTTACCAAATTTAGAAAGGATTTCAGTCTGCAGATATTGATTCCTACAAAATAGTGCTAGTTTTTCTTCCCTTCCTTCTTTAGCTAAAGAAATCTTGTGATTTCCTCTTGTTATCTTCTGACCAGGAGAAGTTGAAGGAGTGCGATCAGCCCCAGAAATACTGCCTCCTTTTGAGTAATTGCCAATTATTAACCACTTGAGCTTCCTAACACATTTTGGAGAAGAAACTCTTTATACTCTTGGAATCAATACGCTCTAAAGACATGTAGTTCTCCCGCTGTCTCCTTCCATGTATTCTTTTTTCATTATCTGACCCAGTTGTCATCATGGCTAGTGATACCGAGCCCTAGGGAGAGAAACCAACTTCAGGAGGTCAATTTCTGGGTTTTTTTTAATGTAGTGCAGCCCCTTGAAACTAGATCAACTTTTTAAGAATCAATCAACCAGGAAACATCAAGCAGAAAAGATGAATAAAAAGTCAGGACTTCAACAGAAAAGAAATAGCAACTAAAAAGATATGAAGCATAGATAGATATATTCTGTAAAAAAAAAAAGAGGGTCATACGTTTTGGCTACATAACAGCCATTTAAACTTCTCCGTTTAAACATCAGAAGACTCCCATGAACAATAAAAAAAAACTTTAACTTTTGCAAAAGTGCCCCCCTTGTACTCGTGTAGAGCAACAAGAGCAAAGAATACATAAGATTACAAATGTAAATACAGTTTCAGAGTAAAAACCTCCTCCCCTTTTAACGCCCCATATTTTCTTACATAAGTTTTGGCTACATAACAGCTGTTTTTCGTGGACAAGTACATTCCCCTGATAATTGCCCCATCTTGGTCATAACATCTATTTTAGCATGACAGCTCCTTTCCTGTTATCAGGAAGTTAGTCAAGTCAAATGTTAGCCTGACTTGACATGGAATGTACTAATCAATTTATAACTCCTTTTCCCTCAAAAGTCCTTTCTTACACAACTCCATATCTAATGTCTAAAAGCTGGTGTCTTAGGTTACATAAAGGATAAATATGGCTCCACTTTCTTTACAGGAATAATTCTTATTTTCTAACCGAGCAGAGCTCTTTCCACACTCAGTGCATTTATATGGTTTCTCCAGTGTGAGACCTTTGGTGCCGGGTAAGACATACTTTCCAAGCGAAACTCTTTCCACACGCCAAGCATTTATATGGTTTTTCCTCTGTGTGAATCCTTTTATGAGAATTAAGATGTGCTGCTTGAGCAAAGCTTTTTCCACACTCCATGCATTTATATGGTCTCTCCCCAGTGTGGATCCTTTTATGAGAATTAAGATGTGCTGCTTGAGCAAAGCTTTTTCCACACTCCACGCATGTGTACGGTTTCTCACCAGTGTGGATCCTTTCATGATGTATTAGAACTCTGCTACAATTAAACATTTTCCCACATTCTAAACATTTATATGGTCTCTCCCCTGTGTGGATCCTTTTATGAGAATTAAGATGAGCTGTTTGAGCAAAGCTTTTTCCACACACTGTGCACTTATATGGTCTCTCCCCAGTGTGGATCCTTTTATGAGAATTAAGATGTGCTGCTTGAGTAAAGTTTTTTCCACACTCCATGCACTTGTATGGTTTCTCCCCAGTGTGGATCCTTTCATGATGTATTAAACTTCTGCTACAACTAAACCTTTTCCCACATTCTAAACATTTATATGGTCTCTCCCCCGTGTGGATCCTTTTATGAGTATTAAGATGTACTGTTTGAGCAAAACTTTTTCCACACCTCAAGCATTTATATGGTTTCTCCCCAGTGTGGATCCTTTCATGACGAATAAGATTATTGCTCCAGTTAAAACTTTTCCCACACTCCAAGCATTTATATGGTCTTTCCCCCGTGTGCATCCTTTGGTGGAGAGTAAGGTGCCAGCTGTCAATAAACATCTTTCCACACTCCATACATTTATATGGTCTCTCCTGAGTGTGGATCTTTTTATGAGAATTAAGTTTTCCTTTCTGAGTGAAGCTCTTTCCACACTCCAGGCATTTATAGGGTTTGTCCGCTGTGTGGATCCTTTGATGTCGAGTAAGATCACTGTTCTCAAAAAAGCTCTTCCCACATTCCAGGCAATTATATGGTCTGTGCCCTGTGTGGATCTTTTGTGGACAAATCATCTCTGTTTTCTGACAAAAGCATTTTTCACATTCTGGACATTTATATAGCCTCTCATCTATGTGGCTCCTCTGAGGGCAATTAAGAATACTCTTGCTACTGAAGCTCTTTCCACAGTTCATGCATAGTTTCATCTTTTTGCTTAGTCTGTAATCCCTCTCACATTTTATAGACCGTTGTGGTTTCTGTTCTGTATTCCGTATTTTAGGTATTGTAAAAGAGAAGGAATGGCTCTCTGCAGATACTCCTCTTGGCCATTTCAATAACCTCAGCTGCTTGTCCTTCTTGTTCTCTAGCCCATTCCAATCACCATCATCTGCTTTGAAAAAAGAAAACAAATTCCCATTAGAATTTACAATAATGGAGAAGGAGGGGGTCTCCCCAGTGAAAAATATGCCCATCTGAGCATCAGGTTTGGCACCAGCTATGTGTCAGCTAGGAGATGGTAGGTGGAAATTGTTATTCAGGTGACTCTAATGGTATCCAAGAGATTTTTCAGCCCTGAACCAGATTAAGGTTTTGCTGTTGATGTCAAGCTGCCCAAGCATTTCCATGGAGAATCTAAGGCCTCAACTGAGTATTAGTTACACACTAAGCATTCTGACTATGATTTTCCTGAGGTTAGAAAGGTTTTACAGATGGTGGTCACGTAAAGACCTGACCATTTAGTCCAGGTATCTTCCCCGTTTCCCTCCTATTGAAAACACCTTTCCCAATAAATAGCAAAAAGGAATCCTTACTTAGAGAAGCTATATTCCTAGAAACATCCAGCATGACTTCCCTGCACAAGGCTTTCTGGCCACAATCCAGCAGTGCCCACTCCTCCTCTGTGAATTCCACAGCCACCTCCTCAAAGGGAACATAGCTCTAGAAAGGAAATATCTTCATTAGTAGATAATCCTCTGTTTTCTTTCTTACTTCCAAAAAAGAAAGCAGAGCTTTCCAAGAGATCAAATGGACGTTTTCTTATAGGACAGGCATAGGTATATCTTTAAAGGTCCCTAAAGCTGAGAAGCCTCCCTCCACCTCCTTCATGCTACTGCTGCAAATATGGCTTCAATGGATCCAAATGATAGGACAACACTCCTTGGGAACATATCCCCCCAGCCTGAAAAAATAAAGGTGGTTTTGGGCAGAGCCCCATCTCTCTGGCTCAGCAAAATACAAATTTGTTAGAAAACAGGGCATACCCACTAAGAATTTTTTACCTGACATGTTTCAAAATGTTGTAAATGACCCTGGAAATATCAACTCACTTGACCAACAGTCTTACCTGTCAGCTTATTTGTCAGTTTTAGGGGTTTTTATGTGAGAAATTTGTCCTTCCCATAATTTATTTTTAAATGGATATATTGGCCTATTTGTGGAATTGATATTGTTTCACTTCACAGCTTCTACTTTTTAACTGCTTTTCCAAAGTCTTTAGAAAAATGTTAATAAAGATTAAAGTCTTCCAATATATAAATTACACTTCCTAATACAAGACTCTTGAGAATTGTCCTTCGTTTTCATCCCCAGAATAATTTTGAAAATTAAATGGGATTCACTGGGGCATTCTATGGGGACACCAGGTTCAAATGCACACAGGCTCAGCATTTAGTTTTCAAAGTGGCTCATGAACTAAAGGAGTTTGAACTTTTCACAAGAAACCTACACTTACCTGGCAAGCTGTCCCCCGTTGGATCCTCCTGAAAAAAAGCTCTACTGAACAACTTGATTGATCTTGTCCCTGGTGCTCTGCTGACATTTCCCCCACATATGGCTCCTGCAACTGAAAGAATAGCCTGTTTTATGATCCACTTTCAAATGACTGTAACCATGTTAGCTCTCTTGCATTGCGTTTTCCCCCTCCAAATGTATTTTAGCAACCCAAGTCAGAATGGAAGAACTTGAGAACTCCTGCTCTGTAGTTTACTGTTATTTCTGGATAAACGCCTGCCATTTTTATGAAATATTTCATTCCTTCTTTATTTCCTATTGATGGGATGTCTTTTAAAATAAAGCCAGGTCATGGCACACACTTTAAAGTAAATCAAGCAGCCTGTAATTGTGGAGTCTGTCTGGCAAGAACAAAGAATGCTTATCCACAGGAAATATGCATGTGCAAAGCTTGTAACACTTCTTGGTAGTTAGATAACTGATAAAAGTAACAAAAGAATTAGGCAACTTGCAGACCTCAGCTAAAAGTTAGGAATAGAGATGGCCTGCAGCAAATAAATTGTGTATTAGATAACTCCTGGGGCATTCATTAACCAAGGTTTAGGCATAGGGACAGCTAGAGACCAATAGAACAAATTGTAGAATTATTACTGAAATGTTTATTACATATTTCTTATTATACCCTACCTTGTCCCGCCTTCCCCTTTAGTGAAACTGTATAAAGGTTACTTAATCATTTGTTCTTGGCATTTAGGCCAGGAGTCCTTTTCCTTGGGGTACCCCAATGAAAAGCAATCAAAACATGAACCTCCTGCCTGGCGTCCTTCATTGGCATCAGCACCAGGCTCAGACCCGAATTGGGGACAACACTATTTTCCTTCAAGGTAGTCCAGACAAGAACCGACAATGAAGATTAGCTCTATCTTCATTATAAAGTCACATTAATAGAATATTGTATTTTCCCCATTCTCTCCTTTTACTTGAAGCAAAAGTAGGAAAGGTTTTTAATGATTTTTTCCCCCACTACTCTACCTCCATCATCATATGAGAATTGAGATTATCTTTTAAATTATGACTGTCCAGTCTATGACTTGTCCCCATCCTGCAAAGTTATTCCTACATATTATTTATATCCCAACACGTGTTTTCTGGATCTATTTTCTCTCTGATTATCTGTAAAGAAGAGACACCACCAGAGGCGTCGAAGAGGATGAAGCTCCCTCACCTGCCGGCCCTTTGCCAGCTTTTCCGGGGCGGCTGCGGGGCCGAGGAGGCAGCCTTCGGCCAGGGCCACCGCCTGGGCGCAGCTCTCCGCCCCGCACTCCCTCAGCCAGCCCGCCAGCTCCGGGGGCAGCAGGGCCAGCAGCTGCTCCAGCACCACCAGGTCCAGCATCTCGGCTTTGCTGCTCCGCTCGGGCCGCAGCCACCCCCGGCACAGCCCGTACAGGCGGCTGCAAAGCGCCCGGGGCCCCTCCGCCTCCCGGGAGACGCAGCTGCGGAAGCGCCAGCGCTCAGCCTCGGGGCTGTGGGGTTCCTCGGGGAGGCCGCTCCCCGCCTGAAGGGGAAACCCCCGGAACTCCATTCCGTCTCCGGCTTCAGCGCAGCCCCAACGGGGGAAATTCCCTCCGAGGCCGCCGCCTTCGGTCACGGCGGACCCTCCCGCACCCAGTCGCCCCGCCTCTTTCCTGGTTTCAGGCGGGGGGGGAGAAGGGGGGGCTCTGCTCCCTTCGGGCTTCTGAGGCGGGGAAGAGCAGCTGTATATCGCTGCCGCCAAAACTTCACGTGCGCTTCTGATCTCCGACTCTGTAAACCAGAGAGTGCTCCTTCCTAGAGAGGCAAACTCCTATAACCGCCCCCCCTTCCCGTTTACGGCTCTTGGCTAGAGCGTCTCGTAAGGTAATTATCGCCTCTCGTTCTCCGCTCGGCATCGAGGGCTGACAAAGGTCCTCTGCGCATGCCCCGTTCCCTACGGACGGTTAAAGGCTCGTGGCGGGCCGTTTCGTCGAGAGTGGCGGGGGGGGGATGCGAGGGTCGAGAAGGGCTGCTGCAGGGACCGGGAATGATGGGTGGGGTGAAGGTTGAGCTGGGCTGAAGTGAGCAAAGCGCCTTGGGATAAAACCTGCTTTGATTGCGGTTTCTGGCCACCTGGGGTTTCTCTCTCCCGCAATCCTCTCCGAAATGTGGATGTGTGCCTGGAAGAGGCGGAAGAAGGGGAGGGAGACGAAAACGGGGGATGCTTCAAACGTGGGAAAAGGAAAGAGCGCAGGGAAGACATTTATCATGAAATAAACGTGCAACCAATATATCCTTTGCGGATTCCTTCACAGCTGTTTATTGGTCTTGTTATCTGTATCACCTGTGGTGGCACTCAGTGAAGGCCTCCCAAAGGTGTTTTTTCAAGACACCTGGACTTGGATTTTGCTTGAAGTTGGTTTAGCTTCTCATCCCAGAAGCATCTTCAGTTCTCGGCTTCTGGGATGAGAAGCGAAACGTCTTCAAGCAAAAACAAAGTCCAGTTGCCTTTTGAAAGATGACCTTCGGAACAAGCATGACCTGAATAAGGGGTCCCCAACCTCCCAGCCAGTGGTGAAATCTGAACCGGTTTGCTAACTGCGTGCGCACTGTGCAGAAAATGGGTGCTGTATGTGTGCACATGCACAGTGCACACCAAGTGTGGTGGGTGACGTGTAGTATGCACAAATCAGTGCTGTGTGCATGCGTAGTACATCCCAAAAGGAGGCTTGGGAAGGTAAGTAGGGGGGGGGGGAGATCAGCTGTGGTGCGTGATTTAGCTTTGCTAGAAAGCAGGATTTCCTGCTTTCTAGCAAAGTTAAACTGCGCGGCATAGTTGATCATCAGAAATACCAGTTCGGAGGAACTGGTAGCTTTCAACCGAACCGGTATTTTTTATCACTATCGGTTCTCCCGAACCAGAGCGAACTGGTAGCATTTCACCCCTGTTCCCAGAGCTGTGGCCCACTACCGGTAAATTGAGCTGTTCATAACTAGCCACGGAAGTGACGGGCGAGTGTGCTCTTGCACCCCCACATCCCCACTTACACAAGCAGCGGGTGAGTGCAAAGGGAGCAGTTCACGAGCTTCCCCACTGCTATCGCACAACCATCCCCACCCCTACCCTGGGCCACAAAGTGGGAAAGATTGGGGAAGCTCTGCGCTGGACAATTGAGAATCTCCACAGATTCTGAGAAGGAATTCCTCCTTCCGTACAAAGTATACTCTCCCCTACACCTTTTCTGTGTTGTATCTAGTTCTGTCCTGTTGAAGTCTTGACTTTCTGTTCACCTTTGTGCTTGATCTTTCCAGGCTGGTGGATTCTTGTAGAATTAATCTGATTTCAAGGGGGCTGTGTTACATTAAAAAACTGAGAAATTGATCTCCAAAAGTGTGTTTGTCCCCCAGAGGGACTCAAATATGAGGCTCAGTATCGCTCATCATGTTGACACAATGAGATAGTGGAAAAAGAATACACAGAAGGAGACTGTAGGAGAATTACAGGTCATAAGAGTTTATTAATGTTCCAAACTGTAAGAGTATAAGCAGTTTCTTACTCAAAATACGTTGGGAAGCTCTAGTAGTGAGGAATAATTGCCTCGGCAACTGGTCAAAAAGCTTTCCTTTCTGGATCTGATCTCACTCCTTCATCTGGTCAGAAGATATCAAATGGTAATGAAACATTTGTTTAGATAAATCTTAAGAGGAAAGAAAAGAATATGACCGTTTTGTGAGAATTAACGTAACTCTGTAGGTTGAAATGCTTTCTAAATTTGATAAATTCATGTGAATTCTAATTTATTTAGAGGTTTTTAGGTTAATTAAGAGGAAAATCAAGGATGCCATTTGTTAATAAAGCTTTCCACACTCCACACATTTTTATGACCTCCCCCTAGTGTGGATTCTGTCAAGAAAATTAAGGTGTCCTTTATGAACAAAGCTCTTTCCATATTCTGTACATTGAAATGGTTTCTCCCGTATGGATTCTTTCATGACTTAGACCACTTTTCTGAGTAAACGCTTTTCCACACTGTATGCATTTATATGGTCTCTCCCCAGTGTGGATCCTTTCATGACAAATATCGCTGTTCCAATGAAAGCTTTTTCTACACTCCTTGCATTTATTTATACTCTCTCCTCTGTGTGCATCCTTTGGTGAAAAGTAAGGCGCCATTTGTCAATAAAGCTTTTTCCATGCTCCAGGCGTTTGTATGGTCTATCCATTGTATTGATCCTTTGATGGCACATAATATCAATACTCTCGGTAACTCTCTTTCCAAACTCCATGCAACCATGTTTTTTCATTTGTGTGGATCCTCTGATGGCGACTCAGATTATGCCTTGTACGGAAGTCACTTCCACACTCTGTGCATTTATATGGTCTTTCGCCTGTGTGGATCCTTTCATGATCATTAAGATATGCTTTTTGAGCAAAACTCTTTCCACACACCATGCATGTATATGGTCTCTCCCCAGTGTGGATCCTTTTATGAGAATTAAGATGTGTTGCTTGAGCAAATCTTTTTCCACACTCCATGCATTTATATGGTCTCTGCCCCGTGTGGATCCTTTCATGACGAATAAGATTATTGCTCCAGTTAAAGCTTTTCCCACACTCCAAGCATTTATATGGTCTTTTCCCCGTGTGCATCCTTTGGTGGAGAGTAAGGTGCCAGCTGTCAATAAACATCTTTCCAGTCTCCATGCATTTATACGGCCTCTCCCCAGTGTGGATCTTTTTATGAGAATTAAGTTTTCCTTTCTGAGTGAAGCTCTTTCCACACTCCAGGCATTTATAGGGTTTCTCCGCTGTGTGGATCCTTTGATGTTGAGTAAGATCACTGTTCTCAAAAAAGCTCTTTCCACATTCCAGGCAATTATATGGTCTGTGCCCTGTGTGAATCTTTTTAGGACAAATCATCTCTGTTTTCTGACAAAAGCTTTTTTCACATTCTGGACATTTATATAGCCTCTCACCTATGTGGCTCCTCTGAGGGCAATTAAGAATACTCTTGCTACTGAAGCTCTTTCCACAGTTCATGCATAGTTTCATCTTTTTGCTTAGTCTGAAATCCCTCTCACATTTTACAGACCGTTGTGGTTTATGTTCCGTATTCCGTATTTTAGGTATTGTAAAAGAGAAGGAATGGCTCTCTGCAGATACTCCTCTTGGCCATTTCAATAACTTCAGCTGCTTGTCCTTCTTGTTCTCTAGCCCATTACAATCACCATCATCTGCTTTGAAAAAAGAAAACAAATTCCCATTAGAATTTATAATAATGGAGAAAGAGGGGATCTCTCCAATGAAAAATATGCCCATCTGAGCATCGGGTTTGGCACCAGCTATGTGTCAGCTAGGAGATGGTAGGTGGAAATTGTTATTCAGGTGACTCTAAGGGATTTAGATTTATTCAAGGGATTCTTCACTCCTGAACCAGATTAAGGTTTTGCTGTTGATGTCAAGCTGCCCAGGCATTTCCATGGAGCATCTAAGGTCTTTCACAAACCTATGGTGAGCATTTCTGCCAAGACCTTAGTTGTGTTCTAGAAGAGCTGCTCTGATGACAACCTTTGACAAAACTGCCCACGGAAAACCTCAGCTGGTTTGTCATACAGGGCCCCTCGGGATGTGTATGGGGGCTCTTTGCGGCAGTGCCTCCTCAACTGGATATTAGTTACACACTAAGCATTCTGATTATGATTTTCCTGAGGTTAAAAATGTTTTACTGGTGGTGGTCAGGTAGACTCCTGACCACCTTATGCAATTTAGTCCAGGTATCCTCCCCATTTACGTCCTATTGAATGCACCTTTCCCAATAAATGGCACCCAGAGCAAAAGGGATTCTTACTTATAGAAGCTATATTCCTAGAAACATCCAGCATGACTTTTGTGCACAAGGCTTTCTGGCCACAATCCAGCAGTGCCCACTCCTCCTCTGTGAATTCCACAGCCACCTCCTCAAAGGTAACATAGCTCTAGAAAGGAAATATCATCTTCATTAGTAGATAATCCTGTTTTTTTTTCTTACTTCAAAAAAAAAACCAAAAAAAAAAACCCCAGAGCTTTCCAAGAGATCAAATGGACATTTTCTTATAGGACAGGCATAGGTCCTGTATGTCTTTAAAGGTGCCTAAAGCTGAGAAGCCTCTCTCCACCTCCTTCAGGCTGCTGTTGCAAATACGGCTTCGATGGATCCAAATGGTAGGAGGACACTCCTTGGGAACGTACCCCCCCACAAGCCTGGAATAACTCGCCAAGGAGGTTTTGGGCAGAGTTTCATCTCCCTGGCTCAGCAAAATACAAATTTGTTAGAAAACAGGGCATACTAAGAATTTTTTACCTGGCATGTTTCAAAATGTTGTAAATGACTGTTGTGGCTCCGTTACCGGAGCCTGTGTCATCGTCAGGAGAGGACTCCGAGAGTGAAGGGGAAGAGTTGGCAAGGCCTCCCTCTCCAGGACAATGCCTTCGGTGTCCACCGAAGGGCAAGAGATAGGGCCAGGGCCAAGCACGTCCACACAGCCACAGATGGACAGTGATGAGGGTAATGAGTCTTGGCTGGACCCACGCCAGCGTCGCAGAGATAAGCACGCGCAACAGAAGAAAGGGCGTGCCCGAGATTAGGCTGAGTCACTGGACCACACCCCACAGGATATAAAAGGGAGCATGGTGGCCAGTCAAACCTTGTGACGAACAAGCTGAAAGCTTCCACGCCATTCTGCATTGCCGGACTTTTGCTTTAAGACTGGATTATATCTGGACTTGATGGTAATTATTGAGCTGCTGTCCTTTGATGTATCAGAAGTGGGGAGAAGTTATCTCTCCTCTTTGTAAATAATAAACTCTTGGCAGGCAGCCACTAGGTTGTTGCCAAGTTCCGTTATCATAAGGAAAAGGATTTTGCCGGCTGGTTTGGGCTTTAATTCCTGAACGTCTGTTGGTGTGTGTGCGTGGGGTTGGGGACAGAACAATGACCTGGAAATATCAAATCACTTGACCAACAGTCTTACCTGTCAGCTTATCTGTCAGTTTTAGGGGTTTTCATGTGAGAAATTTGTCCTCCCCATAATTTATTTTTAAGTGGATATATTGGCCTATTTGTGGAATTGATATTGTTTCACTTCACGGCTTCTACTTTTTAACTGCTTTTCCAAAGTCTTTAGAAAAATGTTAATAAAGATTAAAGTCTTCCAATATATAAATTACACTTCCTAATACAAGACTCTTGAGAATTGTCCTTTGTTTTCATCCCCAGAACAATCTTGAAAGTTAAATGGGATTCACTGGGGCATTCTGTGGGGACACCAGGTTCAAATGCACACAGGCTCAGCATTTAGTTTTCAAAGTGGCTCATGAACTAAAGGCGTTTGAACTTTTCACAAGAAACCTACACTTACCTGGCAAGCTGTCCCCAGTTGGATCCTCCTGAAAAAAAGCTCTACTGAACAACTTGATTGATCTCGTCCCTGGTACTCTGCTGACATTTCCCCCACATATGGTTCCTGCAACTGAAAGAATAGCCTGTTTTATGATCCACTTTCAAATGACTGTAACCATGTTAGCTCTCTTGCATTGCTTTTCCCCCCTCCATTTGTATTTTAGCAACCCAAGTCAAAATGGGAGAACTTTAAAACTCCTCTGTGGGTTGCTGTTACTTCTGGATAAACACCTGCCATTTTTGTGAAATATTTCATTCCTTCTTTATTTCCTATTTTCCTTGGAGGTAGTCCAGACAAGAACCATGACAATGAAGATTAACTCTTTTTTCATTATAAAGCGACATTAATGGAATATTGCTATTTTTAAAATACTTTTTCCCATTGTTTCTTTTTACTTGCAGCAAAAGTAGCAGGGTTTTTAATAATTTTGTTCCCCACATACTATTGACACCATCCCAACACGTGTTGTCTGGATCTATTTTCTCTGTGATTATCTGTAAAGAAGAGACACCACCAGAGGCGTCGAAGAGGATGAAGCTCCCTCACCTGCTGCCCCTTTCGGGGCTCCGGGGCGGCTGCGGGGCCGAGGAGGCAGCCTTCGGCCAGGGCTACCGCCTGGGCGCAGCTCTCGGCCCCGCACTCCCTCAGCCAGCCCGCCAGCTCCGGGGGCAGCAGGGCCAGCAGCTGCTCCAGCACCACCAGGTCCAGCATCTCGGCTTTGCTGCTCCGCTCGGGCCGCAGCCACCCCCGGCACAGCCCGTACAGGCGGCTGCAAAGCGCCCGGGGCCCCTCGGCCTCCCGGGAGACGCAGCTGCGGAAGCGCCAGCGCTCAGCTTCGGGGCTGTGGGGTTCCTCGGGGAGGCCGCTCGGGCCGCCGCTCCCCGCCTGGAAAGGAGACCCCCGGGCCTCCATTCGGTCTCCGGCTTCAACGCAGTCACGACGGGGGAAAACTCCCTTCGAGGCCGCCTTCGGTCACGGGAGACCCTCCCCCACCCAGTCGCCCCGCCCCTTTCCCGTTTTCAGGGGGGAGAGTTGGCGGGGCTCCGCTCCCTCAGGGCCTCTGAGGCGGAGAAGCGCAGCTGGAAATCCTTCCCGCCAAAACTTCACGCGCTCTCCCTGACTCTGTAAACCAGAGAGTGCTCCTTCCTAGAGAGGCAAACTCTTATAACCGCCCCCCCTTCCCGTTTACGGCTCTTGGCTAGAGCGTCTCGTAAGGTAATTATCGCCTCTCGTTCTCCGCTCGGCATCGACGGCTGACAAAGGTCCTCTGCGCATGCCCCGTTCCCTACGGACGGTTAAAGGCTCGTGGCGGGCCGTTTCGTCGAGAGTGGCGGGGGGGGTGATGCGAGGGTCGAGAAGGGCTGCTGCAGGGACCGGGAATGATGGGTGGGGTGAAGGTTGAGCTGGGCTGAAGTGAGCAAAGCGCCTTGGGATAAAACCTGCTTTGATTGCGGTTTCTGGCCACCTGGGGTTTCTCTCTCTCCCGCAATCCTCTCCGAAATGTGGATGTGTGCCTGGAAGAGGCGGAAGAAGGGGAGGGAGACGAAAACGGGGGATGCTTCAAACGTGGGAAAAGGAAAGAGCGCAGGGAAGACATTTATCATGAAATAAACGTGCAACCAATATATCCTTTGCGGATTCCTTCACAGCTGTTTATTGGTCCTGTTATCTGTATCACCTGTGGTGGCACTCAGTGAAGGCCTCCCAAAGGTGTTTTTTCAAGACACCTGGACTTGGATTTTGCTTGAAGTTGGTTTAGCTTCTCATCCCAGAAGCCTCTTCAGTTCTCGGCTTCTGGGATGAGAAGCGAAACGTCTTCAAGCAAAAACAAAGTCCAGTTGCCTTTTGAAAGATAGATAGATAGAATTTATTTATTGGCCAAGTGTGATAGAATAGAATAGAAAAGAATTTTTTATTGGCCAAGTGTGATTGGACACACAAGGAATTTGTCTTAGGTGCATATGATCTCGGTGTACATAAAAGACGTTCATCAAGAATCATAAGGTACAACACTTAATGATAGTCAGGGTACAAATAAGCAATCAGGAAACAATATCAATATAAATGGTAAGGATACAAGCCACAAAATTGCAGTCATACAGTCATAAGTGGAAGGAGATGGGTGGTGGGAACAATGAGAAGATTAATAGTAGTGCAGACTTAGTAAATAGTTTGACAGTGTTGAGGGAATTATTTGTTTAGCAGAGTGATGGTGTAGGAAGTTAGCACCCACCCCTTTCCTGGAAGAATGAAATATTTTAGGAAATATTAAAAAGGCAGAATATTATGTTTCCCTGGATGAGAAATGGAGAAGCATGTTTTAAAGACAAAGCAGCTCCCACCTTCCTGCCTTCCCCCCTTTTGTCAATGGGCCAGAGGCAGAAACCCAATCCTTTGTCAATCGACCATCATCTGCAACACAATACGATCCATCTAGCAACAGAAACTAACACAATAGGACCCATCTAGCAACAGAAACTCACCACATGGCACCTGGGAAGATTACATCAGCCAGCAAGGCTAACTAAGACCCCCACCCCCTGGGAGTCTGACAACCAATCAGGATACTCTTTCTGGGCCCCAGGAAGTTCAAAGCCAGAGAGGGCATAAAACCCAGGGACTCTCAGCATCTCCATCCTTTTCTGTTCAGAAACTCAAACCATGTGATCCTGTCCACCATTAAACCATCTTTCCAAGCAGTCTCCATGTTTCCAGTGCACGTCCACTTGGAGCTGAACCCAGAAGGATATTTCTTCCTACAATGGCGTTCAGGGAAAAACTGTTCTTGCGTCTAGTTGTTCTGGTGTGCAGTGCTCTATAGCGTCATTTTGAGGGTAGGAGTTGAAACAGTTTATGTCCAGGATGCGAGGGGTCTGTAAATATTTTCACAGCCCTCTTTTTATACTTTTTATACTCGTGCAGTATACAGGTCCTCAATGGAAGCTAGGTTGGTAGGATTTTTTTTTTCTGCAGTTCTGCAGTGATTGGACACACAAGGAATTTCTCTTGGTGCATACACTCTCAATGTACATAAAAGAAAAGATGCGTTCATCAAGAAACATAAGGTACAACACTTGATGATAGTCATAGGGAAACAGTCAATATAAATCTTAAGGATACCAGCAACAAGGTTACAGTCATACAGTCATAAGTGGGAGGAGATGGGTGATAGGAATGATGAGAATATTAATAGTAGCGCAGACTTAGTAACTAGTTTGACAGTGTTGAGGGATGACCTTTGGAACAGGCATGACCTGGATAAAGGGTCCCCAATCTCCCAGAGCCGTGATCTACTACCGGTAATTGAGCTGTCCAGAACTGGGCCGTGGAAGTGACAGGCGAGTGTGCTCATGCACCCACACATCCCTACTTACACAAGCAGCAGGCAAGTGCAAAGGAAGCTGTTCACAAGCTACCGCACTGCTCTTGCAGAACCTTTTCACCTTCACTCCTGGCCCACAAAATGGGAAAGGTTGGGGAACCTCTATGGCGGATAACAAAGAATCTCCATAGTCTCTGGGAAGGAATCCCCCTTTTCCTACAATCTCCCCTACACCTTTTTCTCTTTTATATTTATTTATTTCTGTTCTGTTGAAGTCTTGCCTTTCTGTTCACCTTTGTTCTTGATCATTCCAGGCTGGTGGATTCTTGTAGAATTAATGTGGTTTCAAAGGGGCTGGGTTACATTTAAAACAACAACAACAGAGAAATTCATCTCCAGAAGTCTGTTTGTCCCCTAGAGGGTGGAGAAAGGGATTTTGAAAATGTCCGAATTTGCTGTGTGAGTAGAGAGGGGGGAAAAAACAATAAAAATCTTTTTGAAAGACTGAAAACCTCATATGGAGTTTTTGCTGGAAGAAAAAAAATGGTTTTGAGGACTGAAAAAGATGTGGACTAAGTGAGGGGTTGAAGGAATTTGTGTAATAACTAAGAAGGAGGGAAGGATATAACAACATTTCTTCATCGGTCTAAAAGCCCAACCTAACATTCCTTTCCTAGTCACCTGGCTAAAACTTTACTGTCCTTAGAGGGACCAAGCAAGTAGATCCTTATAGGGCTGTTCAATAAAACTGAAAACAGAAATTACTTTATTTATTTATTTATTTTATTTTATTTCTATACCGCCCTTCTCCCCAAGGACTCAGGGCGATGTACAGCCTGATTAAAAACACAAAGACAGACAAAATTTAAAAATAATTAAAATTATTAAATGATAGGCCCAATTTATAAAACCCCAAATTTAAAATCCCATTTAAAACCAATTAAAATCTTTACATTGATAGCTCAGCCTGGCGGAACAACAAGGTTTTGAGGGCACAGCGAAATACACGGAGATCAGAGATCTTACGAATTTCTGGGGGCAGTTCATTCCAAAGGGCAGGGACTCCCACAGAGAAGGCCCTCTCCCTGGGTGTCGCCAGCCGACATAATTTGGCCGATGGCACCCTGAGGAGACCCTCTGTGGGAGTGGACTGGCCGGTGGGAGGCTACTGGTGGCAGAAGACAGTTTCGAAGGTATCCAGGTCCAATGCCATGGAGCGCTTTAAAGGTGGTAACCAACACCTTGAATCGCACCCGGAAGACCACTGGGAGCCAGTGCAGCTCGCGCAGGAGGGGTGTCACTTTTGCAATAGGGGCGAATATTTGCAGCTCGGGTGTAAGATGAGGGTGAAGATTCGTTCTCCGAGTTTGTGGGTTGGTTTCCAAACGTTTCGTTACCAGGCTAGGTAGCATCTTCAGTGGAGTTTAGGGGATGTCAGTGTCAGTGTTCTTCTATTTATAAGGGCTTCAGGTGTGGAGTGTGTCAAGTGAGGGTCTTGTGATGGATCTTGTGATGGGTCAGGTGTGAGTCATGAGTGACTCACTGACACCAAACAGCACCAGCTGGATTGGAGCAACACAAAAATCATCGGCCATGCTACCACCCGCCGTGCTCGTGAGTTCATCCTGAAGCATGGCACCCCCCCCAAGCAGTTCCATCCACAGACACACTGACCTACGAGCAGCTTACAAACCTCTCAGAATCCAAATCAACTGCACAGCCAGCCAGAGACAGCACTGACCCTCAACCAACCCACGCAACCCCTCCCACCAACAGTTCACTTCCCAATGACTCTGACCTGACGTAACCTTCCCATCACAACACCCATCAGGAGACTCTGATAACTCACACTTGACCCTTCACAAGACCCTCACTTGACACACCCAGAAACAGAAAGAATACTGACACTGACGTCCCGTAAACTCCGCTGAAGATGTTACTTAGCCTGCAGTGGTGGGTTTCAAAAATTTTTACTACCGGTTCTGTGGATGTGGCTTGGTGGGCAGGCATGGCATGGCTTGATGGGCGTGACAGGGGAAGGATACTGTAAAATCTCCATTCCTACCCCACTCCAGGGGAAGGTTACTGCAAAAGGTTACTGCGCAAGAGCCTTGGTGGCGCAGTGAACTAAACTACTGCTGTTAAAGTAGTACTTAGCTGCCAGCTGCCTACAATTACTGCGAGTTCAATTCTCACCAGGCTCAAGGTTGACTCAGCCTTCCATCCTTTCGAGGTAAGTAAAAAATCATTTATTGTGGGGGCAATAAGCTGACTTTGTATAAAATAGAACACCGCTCCGGTGGGGTGGGGCAAAAAGCCCTACTAAGCAGGTATATACAAAAGTATGAAGGCTATTGCTTAATGCATTGTAAGCCGCCCTGAGTCTCTGGAGAAGGGCAGCATATATAAATTGAACTAATAAATAAAATCCCCATTTCCTCCCAATCAGCTGGGACTTGGGAGGCAGAGAATAGATGGGGGCGGGGCCAGTCAGAGGTGGTATTTACCGGTTCTCCGAACTACTCAAAATTTCCATTACCGGTTCTCCAGAACTGGTCAGAACCTGCTGAAACCCACCTCTGCTAGCCTGGTAACGAAACATTCAGAGACCAACCCACAAGCTTGGAGAACAAACCTCCACCTTCAGAAATTACCTTGTTAGGAAACAACACAAAGCAGTCACTGATCTATCCAGTGATATGAATTCTAAATGCTTCTCTTGATGGTTCACACCTCTTGTTACTTGTTTCAACTGCATTTTCTCTTGGTGCTCGTCTACTTAACTCAGATGTTGTTTCTACAGCGATTTTTCTAAACAAGTCTTAACACTCCTGTTCACCTCTCCCTTTTTCCTTCCCTTTATGTTCTGGTGAAGCCTGAAGGGATCGAGAAAGAAGTGGTATTTAACTCTCTTCTCTGTACACCTGGTACGTTGTCCCTGTAGACACAGGTCTTTAACTTACTCTAAATGCTCTTTGTTTTAAAGAACCTCCTTGGAAAAAAGATTGCCACCCCCCAAACTGGTTGTTCCATATTTGGACAGCTCATGTTGTGAGGATGAGATATTCCCAGGCATTCGTGAAATCTCAGCATAGATGAGAGGGAGGAGGAGGAGGGAGGAAAGGATATAAACAGTGGACGTGGTCTCTTGAACAATTTGATTCCCGCTAAAAGCACTACTGCAGCTTAACCTTCTAAGCCAGGGGTCTCCAACCTTGGCAACTTTACGACTTGTGGACTTCAATTCCCAGAATTCCTCAGCCAAAATGTGCATCTGGGAGTTGAAGTTCACAAGTCAAGGTTGGAGACCCCTGTTCTAAGCAGAACGTGCACCAAGAGCCCAGTTAGAGCAGCAGTGCCAGGTGCACCATAATCGAAGCTCTTTTATAGGAGAACCCGAGTCCAAATCTTTTCCTCTGACGTTACCGGAGAATGTTGTAGAAGGCTCAGCCAGGGCCTCCTTTTGTGTGCTGGGTAAGTGAGATATGCTACTCATTTTGGAAATTAATTCTGTCCTTGGATACTCCTACATGAGGTCCCTGGCGCAGTGGTGGGATTCAAATAATTTAACAACCAGTTCTGTGCCCTACAGACTGGCTGGGTAGGTGTGGCAGGGTGGTCATGTGACTGGGTGGGTGTGGCCAACTCGACGTCACTCATCATACCCAGCCCCGCCTCCCGGCCACTCGCCTCAAAGTCAGAGGTCGGATTCCGCCAGTTCAGACCAGTTCAAGCTAATCCCACCATTGGCTGGCCCCGCCCCCACCCATTTTTCAGCCCCTTCTGAAGTCCACAAGTCTTAAAGGTGCCAAGGTTGGATACCCCTGAGCTAGATGTTTTGATAGGCCAGTGTTTTTCAAATTTGGCAACTTTTAAGATGTGTAGACTTCAACTTCCAGAATGCTATCTGGGCAATTCTGGAAGTCCACACATTTTAGGATTGTAAATTTGAAAAACCCTGTCAAAAAATGGGCAAATTAAGATCCTTTTTAGTGATCTGTGCTTTGGTCTCCTTTTTTTAAAAAAACATACTACAGATTATCCTGAACAGCATATCTATGAAGAAAGATTCTAATAGTGCTTGAGGTAGGAATCCAACAAGCTTCTCTTTGCTATTCTTGGTAAAAAGAGCAATTAAAGAACTCAAAAAAGGGGATCAACCCCATTCTGGCTAATGTTAAAGCCAACCACCATCTTCTGGGTACAACCTACACTCCCTCTGCAAATTTTAGTTCATTTCCCCCCTAAACACTCATTACTTTCATGGCTGTATTATTCCATAGAGAAGCATCTGCTAGAATAGTGTTTTCAAACTCAGCAACTTTAAATTGAGTGGACTTCAGTTTGCTGGCTGGGGAATTCTGGAAGTTGAAGTCCAGACATCTTAAAATCATCAAATTTGAAATAATGTACTAAAGGGAAAAAAAAGTATTGAAAATCAGTTCTCTGGCAAAAATGGGAGCGAGAGAAATACGCAGTGCCTTAAAGAAATATGAAAGCTATAGATGTGTAGAATCCAGTGGGTAGTGGGGGTTTTTTTTGTTTGCAAATTGGGGCAGGATAATTTCAGGCGGTTTTGAGACCTTGAATGCAAACAATTGACAGTTAAGAATTAAGCAGCCTGAGGGCAGAAGAAAAAGCAATGAATGGAAACTAATCAAGGAGAGAAGCAACCTAGAACTAAGGAGAAATTGCCTGAGAATGAGAACAATCAGAGCGAGAAAAATCTCCACTGATAGAGGACCCACAATTTCTGGAGGCAATAGCCTGCCTCCAGAAATTGTGGGTGCTCTATCAGTGGAGATTCCTAAGGAGAGATTGGACAGCCATTTGTCCAGAACAGGGGTCTCAAACTTGTGGCCCATGGGCTGGATACGTCATGTGCTGGCTCCGCCCCCACCCGATTTAGCAAAGGGGGGGAAAGTCCTGATATGTCACATGACGCTGCCGTGACGACACGAGCTTGATACCCCTGGTCCAGAATGATATAGGTTCTCGCTAGAAGAGGGGGAGTGTCATGCCCCAGCATATAACTTTTATATACTGTTGTTGCTCTGTAGCCCCATCTAGTGGCTGGAGGGACAATGACCAATTATATTGTTTGAAGCAGATTCAACCTCTTTACCCATCAGCCTGCTGTCATGCCCCCGTCGAAGTCTGAATCTGCGGGGGAAAGATGAGCTGGAACAAGAGTTGACAGAGATGGAGAGGGCGGCTCCATTGGCTTTGGAGGAAACTGGGCAAGGTCAGAGTCCGTCCAGGCAAGGCTTTTGTGAATTAGTAAGGCCTGTAGACAGGGAGAGCTCAGGAGAAGAGGAAGGACTACCCCCTCCTGATCCGAGAATAGACTTTTAAAAGCATTTTTTAAAAGGGTGAGATCAATGGAGACTGAGCCGGCTATGAGGGAGGAGAGTGCCCCGCCCCCTTTCATAAGGCACCCCTGGGGACTGAGCTATAAGGAGGTGCCAGTGGGAGGGGCATTTATCAGGAGCAACAGGGGTGGGTTCTACATTTTTATACTACTGGTTCTGTGGGCATGGCTTATTTTGTGGGTGTGGCTTGGAGGTCATGTGACTAGGTGGGGGTGGCTAGCTGGTCAGAGTAATTTCTGGAAGGTCCTCGCACTTACGACCAGTCCTCGCACTTACAACCAGACTCATTTGTTTGCTTTTAACACTGATCAGCTGTAGGACGGCCCTTTGAAGCCCCTCGGCAAGAGTTTAAACAGGTTTTTTTTCCCTCTAGTCATCAGCTGGGACTCAGGAGGCAGCAATAGATTGGGGGTGGGACCGAATAAAAGGTAAGAATAACGTGGGGGGGTGGAGGGGGGGGAGGGCGGGGGGGAGAACCGGTTCGGTGACGTCATATCGTCATCGCTACCGGCTCGGCCGAACCAGACCGAACCGGGAGGAACCCACCACTGAGGAGCAAGCGTTGAATCTGTTGAGCCTTGTGTGTACTTGCCAAAGCCTGGAGATTGCTGTACTCTCCCTTGTGGGGCTTGCAAGTTTGCCTGAACTTCTTCACTGAACTTCTTGCCCTGGTTACTGTTTTGCTAACCTGGCTTATTGGACTGCTGGCCTTGGTTGCTGTGTGGCTAACCATGCTTACTGGACTATTCGCAGGTGCGGATGAGAGCTTTGCTCCAGGATTTGTAGTGAATGTGGGAACGTTTGGGGGCACAGTTGGAGCAATAAAGGGGAGTTAGACCTGTTCTCTGGTTGTGTTGCTTTAGTGCCACGCCTTGGGTCATCACACCCGCACTCTCAAAACAAGTGCATGTTGGAAAGCCAGTCTTCATTTCTTTTAGCATTTGGAGAAGGCAGAAGCACAAAGAAGAATCCATCTAAATCTGTGGCACATGGTCATCCGAGGACAAACCCACAACCCTCACACAGAGCATCGTTGGTGAGATTTAGATTACTTGTATTTATTAATTGTTATTTTCAGCAGTAACGCAATACTGCCTGTCTTGTATTTGGTCCTCATTGTATGTATCCTTATTTTCCCCAATTTCACCATATCCTGTTCTTTCAATAAAGCATTCGGATCTACGCCCACGGTCTTTTTTATGGAGGATAGGTGGGTTTAGCTGCATGTCTAGCTGCACACAGACTAACATGTAGTTAGGACAGAACAGTAGGGTTGGCCTGTAAAACACTGGCCTAGAAGGTCTCTTCCAACTCTGTTATTCTGTTATTCTGAATTGGAGGACTGCTGGGAGGCCTTCAGAAAAGTGGGCTGGGCCAAATCGAAGCCTATGAATGTTGACAAACAGAAAGCTCCAGCTTTCCATTCGGTGATGGTGTCCGGGATGGTCACAGGAAGTGCAATCTCTTTGGGTTCTTCAGATACATCATGTTTTCTACTAGACTGATGGACTTGAGATTGGCTGTTTCCTTGAGAACCACTGAAGGACACAAGAGAATAGAAAGTGAGGGAAGCAATCCATTACAGGTAGTCCTCGACTTACAACTGTTAGTTTACACATTTGTTTACACATTCCACATTACAACAGCACTGAAAAAAGTGGCTTATGATCATTTTTCGCACTTACAACCATTGCCACCTCTTCATGGTCACGTGATCAAAATTTGACTCATATTTCTGATGCGGTGTCCCGGGGTCATGCAATCCCCTTTCGGACAAGCACAGTCAACGGGGAAGCCAAATTCACTTAACAACCATGTCACTAATTAACAAGTTGTAAAATGGGACAAAATTCACATGACTGTCTCGCTTAACAACAGAAATGTTGGGCTCAGTGATGGTCATAAGTCAAGGACTACCTGCAATGAACTCCATCAAGGAGACACAGGATAATCGTTAGCGCTGACTACAAGTAGTTGCTTAATAATTGTTTGAAGTTATGATGGTGTCCCCCACCACAAAGTTACACATTTTCAAAGGTATGACGGCTGTACACACGCACACATACAAACACATACACACCAATCTCGTGATTGCATTTTGGGCACTTGGCAACCAGCCTCCCGTGCAGTAGTGGAATTCAATTTTTTTTACTACCGGTACTGTGGGCGTGGCTTGGTGAGCATGGCAGAAGAAGGCTACTGCAAAATCTCCATTCCCACCCCACTCCAGGGGAAGGATAAGGGGTGGGTTCTAATTTTTTTTTACTACCGGTTCTGGGGGCGTGGATTATTTTGTGGGCGTGGCTTGACGGTCATGTGACAATTCTTTAGGATTTAGCAGAGGTACTGGTCTAACAGGCTTTTAACTGCTTGTAGAGCTGTACCGGTCTACTCATTTATTTTTGCAGGCACTGGTCTATTCATTTGTTTTTGGAGGCACTAGTCTACCCATTTATTTTTGCAGGCACTGGTCTACTCATTTATTTTTGCAGGCACCAGTCTATTCATTTGTTTTTGGAGGCACTAGTCTACCCATTTATTTTTGCAGGCACTGGTCTACTCATTTATTTTTGCAGGCACCAGTCTATTCATTTGTTTTTGGAGGCACTAGTCTACCCATTTGTTTTTGCAGGCACTGGTCTACTCATTTATTTTTGCAGGCACCGGTCTATTCATTTGTTTTTGGAGGCACTAGTCTACCCATTTGTTTTTGCAGGCACTGGTCTACTCATTTGTTTTTGGAGGCACTGGTCTACCCATTTATTTTTGCAGGCACCAGTCTAATCATTTGTTTTTGGAGGCAGTGGTCTACCACCAAACTGCCTTTTACCACTGATCAGCTGTTGGGCAGCCCTTTGAAGCCCCACGGCAAGAGTTTAAAGTTTTCTTCCTTCTAGCCGATCAGCTGGGACTCAGGAGGCAGCAATAGATTGGCGGTGGGGCCAAATAAAAGGTAAGAATAATGCAGGCGGGGGCGGGGTGGCAGAACCTGTTCGGTGATGTCATATCGTCACCGCTACCGGCTCGGTGGAACCAGGCCAAACCGGGAGGAACTCACCACTGGGAAGGATACTGCAAAATCCCCATTCCCTCCCCACTCCTGGGGGAAGGATACTGCAAAATCCCCATTCCCTCCCCACTCCTGGGGGAAGGATATTGCAAAATCTCCATTTCCCATCCCACTCTGGGGCCAGCCAGAGGTGGTATTTGCTGGTTCTCCGAAAATAAGACCCTGTCTTATATTTTTTTGAACCTGAAATAAGTGCTTGGCCTTATTTTCAGGGATGTCTTATTGGGGTGCGTGGAGCAAGACAGGATTCCTCTTGCCATCTTACCTGATTTCCAGCTCTGGCTCCCTAACCCTAACCAGAGGAAATGATGGGGACCGGCTGTGCATGCATTTAAATATTTTCGGGGCGGGTTTATTTTCAGGGAGGGCTTATTTTCGGGGGGGGGCTTATTTTAGTGCATGTGCTCAAAAGCCCGATTGGGCTTATTATCAGGGGTTGTCTTATTTTAGGGGAAACAGGGTACTCAAAATTTCCGCTACCAATTCTCCAGAACCTGTCAGAACCTGCTGAATAGCACCACTGCTCCCATGGTCACATGACTGAGATTTGCAGTGGTTTTTTGCTGATTTCTGGCATTTAGTTCTGGTCTCCAGCAAGCAACCCCCACTGGGAAAAGGGATTTGCTTAACAACCATGATATTTGTTTAATGACCATGGCAAAAAAAAAAAAAAAATCAGGGCCAGGTCACTAACCATACATTTTTTGGGGAAAAAAACAGCATAAAAGATTACTCAATCCTAGAGCAATTGTGCAAAACACCTCAATGAATCAGATGTCTACACAATAATGTAGGTGGTCCTCACTTAACAACAGAAATGTTGGTCTTAATTGTGGTCATAAGTCAAGGACTCTCTGTATAGAGTTAAAATGCTGTGACATGAATTGTCTTGAGAGTTTTATATTTAATACAGGTAGTCCTCGATTTAGAACAGTTCACTTAGTGACCATTCAAAGTTAGAACGGCACATGTGTCCATTTTTTATACTTATGGCCATTGCCGCATCCCCATGTTCACATGATTTACATTTGGATTCACATTTATAACGGGTTGCAGTGTCCCAGGATCACTTGAACACCTCCTGCAACCTTCTGACAAGTAAAGTCAACAGGGAAGCCAGATTCACTTAACAACCGTGTTACTAGTTTGATAACTGCAGCGACCCACTTAACAAATTTCTCACTTAACAATATATATTTTGAAGTTTAATTGTGGTCATAAATTGAGGATTACTTTTTTTAAAAAAAAAAAAATCTGTATTGCAATCTAGATGTCAGCTACTCATTTTCTCTGTCTTTGAAGCTCGCTAGCAACTGCCATAACCTGGGGGAAGGGGGCATCTGGGAAGGGAAGCCTGCTGGAGGTATGAAAGGATGCTATTTATTTATTATTTATTAATTCAATTTGTATGCTGCCCCTCTCTGAAGACTCAGGGTGGCTATGGGAAATTGGGTACCTTGTTTCCCCGAAAATAAGACATCCCTGAAAATATTTAAACGCATGCACAGCTGGTCTCCACTATTTCCTCTGGTTAGGGCAGGGATCAGCAACCTGCAGCTCTGGAGTTGCATGCGGCTCTTTGGGCCCTCTGCTGTGGCTCCCTGTCAGGTGATCCCACCACTGGCTGGCCCCGCCCCTCGCCCTCCCCTCCCAGTCACTCCTCACCTGGACTGAGAAGGTAAGGGTGACGGCGGGGGATAGAGAAGTGGCCAGGGCAGAGACAGAGAGATACGGGGGCGGGGGGAGAGAGAGAGACAGAGAGAGATACAGAGAGAGAGGAAGAGAAGGGGGAGAGAGGGAGGAAGGGGAGCAAGAGATATGTTAAAGGATTTTGTGGTTCCCGGTGTTTTTTAATAACTGGTTCTCTGCCCTAATGACTGGCTGGGTAGGCGTGGCTGGGGAGGTGTCATGTTACTGGTGGAAGTGAGTGACATGGAGTTGGCCACGCCCACCCAGGTTTTGTGGCTCCCGGTGTTTTCTTTTCTGTGGGAAACGGGTCCAAATGGCTCTTTGAGTATTTAAGGTTGCAGACCCCTGGGTTAGGGAGACAGAGCTGGAAATAAGGTAAGATGGCAAGAGGAACCCCGTCTTGCCCTATGTGCCCCCAAATAATAAGACCTCCCCAAAAATAAGGCCAAGTGCTTATTTTGGGGTTCAAAAAAGTATAAGACAGGGTCTTATTTTTGAGGAAACATGGGTAGTATGGACATTAACAGAGGTGCCAAACTGAGCCATCTGCCGAGCTTCAAGGATGCCAGACCTGGGAAAGGAATTTGCACCAGTGCCTGAGACACCAAATTCCCAAAGCATTGGAACAGAACCTGATTGGGAATTGCTTTCAATATACAATTTGTCAGTTCATGAATTGGAATAGAGATGGCAACAGATCAGCCAATGGGGACTGTTTGATGACAGACAATTTGGAGCCTGGGCGTGGCTTAATTTAACTGTTCTGTATATAAGAACTTGAGTGCACTGGCACTAGCCTGCTTCCATCCTGGCCTGTGTTGCTTTTACTTGCTACTTCTTCTTCTCTCTACCACATTGGAAAAAGCTGCATGGGTATTGTATACATGCATCATGTGTTGTATTATTGTATGTATAATTGAATCCTGCTGAATTATTTGCTTGTGTGCTGGCTGGATTGCAACAAACTCTGACACAATTTTCGCACGCTTTTTCTTTAGAGCTTGCCTCATCCATGCTGCATTCAGCATCTCTAGTAAAAATACATTTTCTCTAAAACCTATGGAGTCAAGGATCTTTCTTTCCTAGGGAGTAGCTGCGGCCAGACTGACACAGAATGAATTGCAGGCAGATTCCTCCCACACCAATTTTAAGTACTTGTCTTCTCTTGGTGTCTTCCAGAAGTATTGGATTACGACTGCCTTTATTCTCAGCCAAGACAACTCAAATTTGCCATTGGGGATGATGGGAGGAGGGGGAGTTATAGCCCTCCATGCCTGGAAGCCCCCCTAGGTTGGAGAAATTGGTCTCCAGGGGAATCTCTTAGACTGTGCCATCCACTTACTTTACAAAAACGAGGTCCCATATCCACGTTTCAGGAAGGAAGCGCTGAGGTGTCCTTTTAGGGGCAGCCTCAACCTGAGGAGTGGGAGGAGTGACAGGAATGGGAGATCCCGGACGAAAAACTTGAACTAATTCATCAGATGTAGGGATTGGAACGAGACCCTGAGCAAGAAAAAGCTCTCCAGATACTGGGAAAAGTTCAGACTCAAATTCCATCACTGTAACACAGAGAGAAAGCCATTTGATGAGTTGTATTTGAAGGATATTAGTCCCTCCCCTCCCAGGTCCAGTTTTGGTCTTGGTTCGCCTAAACTCATGGCGGATGACTGGAGGCTTCCAGACAGTTGAACAATGAGGGAACTATGTCCTAATTTCACCCCTGGAAGCCTCAACCTTTCCACTTTCTTTGCTTCATGGAACTCTGTACCAGAGTTCAAACATCACTTGTTAGATTCCCCCATAAACTCCACCCTCTTTGTGATGGTTACTATCAACCCCACAATTAAAACAGTGTTGGATTTGGGTCCTCAACAAGTCAGGAATAGCACTTAGACTTATATACAGCTTCACAGTGCTTTACAGCCCTCTCTCAGCAGTTTACAGAGTCAGCCTATTGCCCCAACAATCTGGCTCCTCATTTTACCCACCTCAGAAGGATGGAAGGCTGAGTCAATCTTGAGCCTGGTGAGATTCGAACTGCTGGTAGGCGGTAGAATTAGCCTGCAATACTGCATTCTAAACGCTGCGTCACCAAGGCTCTTCTCAATTGCTTAAGAGAGTTCAGGTCAAGGATTTTTGAGCATCAAGAGAAAGTAAGTGGCATTGCCCACATGGTGTCATCATTTTTAACAATGACACAGTGAAGATCAGGTGGATTCTAGGCCACAGAAAAATGAAACAACAGAGCTGGAAGGGGCCTTGGAGGTCTTCTACCGGCTGCTCAAGCAGAAGATCCTATATACCATTTCAGACATGTGGTTGGCCAATCTCTTCTTAAAACTCTCCAATGATGTAGAACCCACAACTTCTGAAGGCAAGCCAGTGGAATCACTGGTTAATTGTTCTGTCAGGAAAGAGCTTATTTCTAGGTTGGTCCTCTCCTTGATTAAGTTTTCAAACACTAGTTCTTGTCCTGCCCTCAGATGCTTTGGAGAATAGTCTCAAAGGTGCTTTTTCAAGCGACAACTGGATTTTCTGGTTTTTAACAGATTAACAGAGTTGGAAGGGACCTTGTAGGTCATCTAATCCAACCCCCCACCCAAGTAGGAGACTTATACAATTTCTGACAAATGGCAATCCAGTCTCTTCTTGAAAGCTTCCAGTGATGATTCTGAAGGCAAGCTGTTCCATTGGTTGATTGCTCTCATGGTCAGAACATTTTAAAAAATCAGCTCCGAGCTGAAGAAGCTTCTTGAATGAGAAGGGAAACATCTTCAAAGAAAAACCAGAAAGTCCAGTTGTGTCTTGAAAAAGCACCTTTGGGACAACCATGACCTGGATGACTGAGAAGCTCCATAGACTTTGGAGAATAGGTTGACCCCCCCCTTCTCTTGCAGCCCCTCAAATATTGGAAGACCACTATCTGAGGACAGGACAAGAAGCAATGGGTGGAAACTAAACAAGGAGAGAAGCAACCTAGAACTCAGGAGACATTACCGGACAGTTGGAACAATTAATCAGTGGAACAACTTGCCTCCAGAAGTTGTGAATGCTCCAACACTGGAAGTTTTTAAGAAGAGATTGGATAACCATTTGTCTGAAATGGTATAGGGCCGTGATGGTGAACGTATGGCACGCGTGCCACAGGTGGTATGCATAGCCATATCGGAGAGCACACAAGCTCTCTCACATGTGCACTCCGGCCAGCTAATTTTCAGGGCTTCTGGACCCACTGGAAGTAGGAAACTGGCTGTTTCCTGCCTCTGAAGGCCCTCGAGTAGTGGTGGGGAAGGCCTGTTTTTCTTTCTCCCCAGGCTCCAGAGCTTTTCTAGGAGCTTGGGGAGGGTGAAAACGGCCTTCCTCACCTCCCGGAGACCCCCGCAGAGGCCCGTTTGCCAACTTTGGGTTTAGTTTAGTTTAGTTTTAGTTTTATTTGATTTGTATACCGCCCTACTCCCGAAGGACTCAGGGCGGTGAACAGCCAAACAATAAAATAACATAGATACAAAAAATTTAAAAAACCAGATAAAATCAAATTAAATCATTTTGGCCCAGACAAATTAAAACACCCCAATAATTTAAAAACAGATTAAAATTTACATATTTAAAAAGGGAAGAGATTAGGCCAAGCCCGCCTGATGGAATAAAAAGGTCTTCACAGCGCGGCGGAAGGTGCGCAGATCCGGGATCCTCCGTATCTCTGGGGGGAGCTCATTCCAGATGGTAGGTGCCCCCACAGAGAAGGCTCTCCCCATAGGGGTCGCCAGCCGACATTGTTTGGCTGACGGCACCCGGAGGAGCCCCTCTCTATGAGAGCGTACTGGCCGGTGGGAGGCTATTGGTGGTAGTAGGCGGTCCCGTAGATAACCAGGTCCTAAGCCATGGAGCGCTTTAAAGGTGGTAACCAAAACCTTGAAGCGCACCCGGAAGACCACCGGGAGCCAGTGCAGCTCGCGCAGGAGAGGTGTCACATGGGAGCGCCATGTCGCTCCCATTACCACCCGCGCGGCCGCACTCTGCGCCAGTTGGAGCCTCCGGGTGCTCCTCAAGGGGAGCCCCATGTAGAGAGCATTACAATAGTCCAGGCGGGAGGTGACAAGGGCATGAGTGACCGTGCGTAACGAGTCCCGATCCAGAAAGGGACGCAACTGGCGAATCAGGCGAACCTGATGAAAAATCCTCCCGGTCACGGCCGTCAAATGCTCTTCTAAAGACAGCCGTGAATCCAGGAGGACGCCCAAGTTGCGAGCCCTCTCCGTGGGGGCCAATGATTCGCCCCCAATAGTCAGTGATGGCATCAACTGACTATATCGGGACATCGGAAACCACAGCCATTCGGTCTTGGATGGGTTGAGCCTGAGCCTGTTCCTCCCCATCCAGATCCGTACGGCCTCCAGGCACCAGGACATCACTTCAAGGGCATCGTTGGGGTGATCCGGGGTGGAGATGTACAGCTGGGTGTCGTCAGCGTACTGATGGTACTCCACCCCGAAACCACGGATGATCTCGCCCAGCGGCTTCACATAAATGTTGAACAGGAGAGGCGAGAGGACCGACCCTTGCGGCACCCCACATATGAGGGGCCTCGGGGTTGACCTCTGTCCCCCTGTCAACACAGACTGCGACCGGTCGGAGAGAAAGGAGGAGAACCACCGCAACACAGTGCCTCCCACCCCTAACTCTTCCAACCGGTGCAGCATGATACCATGGTCGATGGTATCAAATGCCGCTGAGAGATCTAACAGGACCAGGACAGAGGAGCACCCCCTGTCCCGAGCCCTCCAGAGATCATCAACCAATGCGACCAATGCCGTTTCCGTGCTGTACCCAGGCCTGAAGCCCGACTGGAACGGATCCAGATATGTCGTTTCATCCAGGTGCTGGGGGAGCTGTTGCGCAACCACACTCTCAACAACCTTCGCCACAAAACGAAGGTTGGAGACCGGACGATAATTTACCAACATTGCCGGGTCCAGGGAAGGCTTCTTGAGGAGAGGCCTCACCACCGCCTCTTTCAAGGCGGCAGGAAAGACACCTTCACCCAACGAAGCATTTATAATCCCCTGGAACCAGCCTCGTGTCACCTCCCGAGAAGCCAGCACTAACCAGGAGGGACACGGGTCCAATAAACAAGTGGTCGCGTTCAGTCTACCCAGAATCCTGTCCACGTCCTCAGGGGTCACAGGATCAAACTCATCCCAGATAACATTCTCAAGACCTGCCCCCGTCTGTCCCCCTGAGACTACCCAGTCGGAGTCCAGATCTTCCCGAATCTGAGTGATTTTGTCATACAGATACTGAACAAAATCCTCGGCTCTACCCTCCAAACCGGAAGGCCCGTTTTTTGCTCTTCCTCAGCCTCCAGAGCCTTTCTCGGAGCCTGGGGAGGGCGAAAACTTTCCATCCCCCAGGAAGGTCCTCCGAAGGCAGGAAATGGCCCATTTGTCTCCGGAGGGCCTCCAGGGGGGTGGGGAAGGCCGTTTTCGCCCTCCCCAAGCTCCTAGAAAGGTTCTGGAGCCTGGGGAGGGCGAAAAACCTTGCCATTGCGAGCCAGGAGCGGGGGGAGCAGGGGGGAAGAGTCACACACACTTGTGCGGGGATGGGACGCATACACAACCTCTCTCTCCCCCCCCCGCTCCTGGCACGCGATGGCAAAAAGGTTAGTAATCACTGGTATAGGGTTTCCTGCCTAAGCAGGGGGTTGTACTAAAAGATTTCCAAGGTCCCTTCCAACTCTGTTATTCTATTTCTATTTCAATTTCTATCATGTCTTTTCATTAGACTAGACATATCCAATTCCTGCAACAAAGGAACACTCCCTCTCAGCCCTTGTGGAACAGAGGAATTCGGGATCAAATCTCAGCTATCGGGGTCTCCATCCATGAAAGAGTTCCAGCACTCAATCCTGGAAGTAGCTCGATTGTAAAAGATCCCTTCCCTTATTACTTTCCCCCCATTCCAGGTCTTACCACGGTCGGAGCAGTATCCCGGGATGCGTATCTTGGTGTTGGTAAAAATGCTCAAGCCGAAGGCCTACCAGATGAAGCAAAGAGCCACTGAGAAACAGTCCTTTCTGCTCATGAAAAGTACTTATCAATGTTTATTTTTCAGTACGTTCTAATATACCCAACCATAAGGAATATATTATTGTCCAATTCTCTCCAGTAATTTTTTTTTTCATAGTACTGCATCTTCTGCAGATGGTACTTAAAGAGACAGACAAGCAACAGATGGAAATGGGCATCTTCAATATCCATCTATACCAGAAAGCCAATCTTTTGATGGGTCTGTAGCAGAGAAGCAGTGGGAGAGCCTGCAGTACTGCATTCTAACCACTGTGCCACTACGACTCTTAACTCTTGGTGCAGTGATCCACTTAACAACTGTGGCAAGAAAAGTCATAAAATGGGGCAAAACTCACTTAACAAATATCTCATTTACAGTAGCAATAGAATTTTGGGCCTCAATTATGGTCATAAATTGAGGACCACCTGTAAGGTCAGATTAAATCCCAGCAGATGGTTAGGAAGGACAAATCATTAAGAAAATAAGGAAAGTATATCACGAATGAAGGCGAATATACGTGTCCCAGGATAATGTTGCAGGATCCAATCTTGGTCAGTCACCAGGATGAGAAATTGTGCTTTCCGAGCTTTCGGACTCATTCTGGAGCCCATCTTCAGGGAACTTCTCTCTACCAGAATGTGTGCTAGTTTCCTGAAGATGGGCTCCAGCACAAGAGCAAAAGCTCAGGAGACGAAACCTCTCGTCCTGGTGACCAACCCAGATTGGATCCTGCAAGGAAACTATATCTCTATGGATCTGCCCAGGAAGGTACCATAAGTCTACTTCAGCTCAGCAGAGAACCTACTACGCACTTCTTGCCTAATGAGAGCGTCTCCCATGTGGGGAATCATAGCTTTGATTCTTACCCTGAATATCTTGTAAGCATCCCAATCCTCAGGGAGAAAATGCACTGAGGTGCCAATTCTTTCACTCCTGGTTGGTTGTTCTTCAGGACAGGGATGAAGATTGAACGCATCCATAAAGCAGTCAACAGAGAAGATGTACTCCTTCTTGGGAAGGAAGCTGTAAACCTGAAACCAGAAAGGCTGCAACTGAGGATGGAGATTTGGGCTAGAGGAATTTCCTGCCCATTAAGCTATCAGCCAATAAAGCTGTGCAACAGCAATAGCACTTAGACTTATATACCGCTTCATAGTGTTTTACAGCCCTCTCTAAGTGGTTTACAGAGTCAGCCTATTGGCCCCAATAATCTGGGTCCTCATTTTTACTGACCTTGGAAGGATGGAAGCCTATGTCAACCTTGAGCTGGTCAGAATTGAATACCTGGAGTGAGCAGTGAAATAGCCTGCAGTACCTGCATTCTAACCACTGTGCCACCATGGCTCTTAATGCAATGGGAGAAAGACCTTGGGAGATGAGGGAAGGGAAAGAGAGCAGATAAAAGAGGAACAAACCTGAAGCTGAGCAATGGACAGAGAAAGAAATGTAGAGAGGATCCACCCTAACCAATCAGGTGATAGAAAGAGACAGGAGGCGAGTTGTACTTTCAAACCTGCAAGATTGGTATCAGCCTCTCAAGTACAGCAGACCAAACAATAAACACAATAAGATTAGTTAATTGTAAGGCCACATTAATAGATTCTTGCAAGTCTGAAAGGATAGTTATCCTGCCGCATCTTTTTAGCAGTGGATCAATTAGGGCAGATCCCTTCCACGTTTCTTTCTCTGCTCATTACTTCATTTTGGGCTCCTTGGGCAGCATCTCTTCTTTCTGTCTTCCAGGGTCATTCTCACGTTCCATTACAGGCCACCCCATGAAATGATGAGTTCTCTTTTACTGGAAATCTGAAAGCAGAGGCCACCTTGGTCTTCTGGCCAAGATGATCCAGATTAGATGTCACCAACTGGTGGTCCGTGAGAAAATTTTGGTGCGCAGTGCACCCAGGTGGAGGAGCTGTTCTGGGATGACCAATGGGCCAGTCTTGTGACTAGAGCTCTGGGATATAGGACCGGCCAGGCAGGTCATGATGGGGCTGGAAATCTATGCCGTAGAGGGAGGTACATGCAACTTGCAATTTTGCAGGTAGTGAACATGCAAAGAAGTAGGGCAGCCCTCGCTGGCTGGAACAAGGTAATGGAGCTATTACGGCAAGGGGAGGGATGGCGGCGCAGGTGGGCCAAAGCAATGGGTGTCGGCAACCTGTAGCTCTTTCGTCCCCCTGCTGTGGCTTCCTGTTGGATGAGAGAGGGGAGAGAGATGAGAGGGAGAGAGAGAGAAAGAAGGGAGAGGGGATAGGGAGGAGAGATGAGAGAGAGAGAGAAGAGAGGGGGAGAGAGAGAGATAAAAGAGAGAGGGGGGAGAGAGATGAGAGAGAGAGAAGGAGAGAAAGAGAGAAGGGAGAGGGGAGAGATGAGAGAGAGAGAGAAGAGAGTGGTAGAGAGAGATGAGAGAGAGAGAGGAGAGAAAGAGAAGGGAGAGGGGAGAAATGAGAGAGAGATGAGAGAGACAGAAAGAGAGGAGAGAGGAGAGAGAAAGAGGAGAGGGGAGAGATGAGAGAGAGAGATGAGAGAAAGAGAGATGAGAAAGAGAGAGATGAAATGAAAGAGAGAGAGAAGAGGGGGGAGAGAGAGATAAAAGAGAGAGGAGGAGAGAGAGATGAGAGAGAGAAGGAGAGAAAGAGAGAGAGAAGGGAGAGGGGAGAGATGAGAGAGAGATGAGAGAGAAAGAAGAGAGGAGAGAGAGAAAGAAGACAGGGGAGAGAGAGGAGAGGAGAGAGAAGAGAGAGAGAAGAAAGAGATGATAGAGATGAAAGAGAGAGAGAGAAGAGAGGGGGGAAAGAGAGATAAAAGGGAGAGAGGAGGGAGAGAGATGAGAGAAGGAGAGAAAGAGAAGGGAGAGGGGAGAGATGAGAGAGATGAGAGAGAGAGAAAGAAGAGAGAGGGGAGAGAGGAGAGAGAAGAGAGAGAGAGAAGAGAGAGATGAGAAAGAGATGAGAGAGAGATGAAAGAGAGAGAGAGAGGAGAGAGGGGAGAGAGAGAGATAAAAGGGAGAGAGGAGGGAGAGAGATGAGAGAGAGAGAAGGGAGAGGGGAGAGATGAGAGAGAGAGATGAGAGAGAAAGAGAGATGAGAAAGAGAGAGATGAAATGAAAGAGAGAGAGAAGAGGGGGAGAGAGAGATAAAAGAGAGAGGAGGAGAGAGAGATGAGAGAGAGAAGGAGAGAAAGAGAGAGAGAAGGGAGAGGGGAGAGGGGAGAGATGAGAGAGAGATGAGAGAGAAAGAAGAGAGGAGAGAGAGAAAGAAGACAGGGGAGAGAGAGGAGAGGAGAGAGAAGAGAGAGAGAAGAGAGAGATAAGAAAGAGAGATGATAGAGATGAAAGAGAGAGAGAGAGAAGAGAGGGGGAAAGAGAGATAAAAGGGAGAGAGGAGGGAGAGAGATGAGAGAAGGAGAGAAAGAGAAGGGAGAGGGGAGAGATGAGAGAGAGAGAAAGAAGAGAGAGGGGAGAGAGGAGAGAGAAGAGAGAGAGAGAAGAGAGAGATGAGAAAGAGATGAGAGAGAGATGAAAGAGAGAGAGAGAGAAGAGAGGGGAGAGAGAGAGAGATAAAAGGGAGAGAGGAGGGAAAGAGATGAGAGAGAGAGAAAGGAGAGAGGAGAGATGAGAGAGAGATGAGAGATCCCTGTGTTTTGTTTTCTGTGGGAAACGGGTCCAAATGGCTCTTTGAGTGTCTAAGGTTGCAGAAACAGGCGATCAAGCTAAGTGCCTGAAGGACCCCATCCCGTCACTGGGAATCCAGGCACCTCAGTGAGCGGCACGCTGGATTCATATTAGTGGTCCGTGGGATTTAAAATTATGAATTTAGTTGTCCCTGACGTCCGAAAGGTTGGTGACTCCTGATTCAGATGAGTCTACATTGAAACACCTCTGAGACAGGCTGATTAAGAATTCAGGAGTGATCCAAGCAAGCATCAATATTTGATGGAGAACCAGAATTTGTCTTCTTGGTCTGTGTCCTTCCCCAGTATTCCACACTAGCTCTGGGACTCTGTGTCAACTTCAAAGGGAGATTTTGCTAATTGCAGCCATTGCCACTTTTCACCTTCCACAGAGTCAGGGAGGGAGGATGTCATTACCAGACAGCAAGAAGAAATCGTCCCATGAGAACAAAGGTTGTCTAACCAGATGTTTTACTAAGACTTGGACAGTTTTCCATAACAATACTGGATATTTAATTGGACAATGTGACCTGCACTTATGGGGAGGGAGGGAGATTCTATTCTTTAATTATGTGAAAACTGTGGGAATTAGTTAGAGTTGGTTTTGCTTCAATCTGTGCCGACATGATGTACTCAACGAAGTTTAGCATAAAGAGATTGGATCGTCTCAAGCTTGCTTGCTTAGTTGGATTTGCCAGTCGGAACCTTGACACTCTGAGAAGAGAACTGACTCAAACTTTCTCAGGAATTCTACTCCTAATCCATTACTTTCACCACCATAACACTCTACTTCACATTATGGCAAAATCTCTGGGCTGTGATATTGGGCTACCCTCGGTCTACATGCTTTGTCCTTCTATTTTTTTCCTATATTTTCTTCCTTTAAAATTAATTTATGGACAATTTTCTTTGCTTCTCCTTCCCTGCAGTCCTCCCCTAGCATCTTAAATTTAGTTGTGACCGCTATCTTCTGGTGTAAATTGTAAGAGATCCTATTTGAAGTACATCTCTATGGACAAGTAAATCTTAGGATGAATCCAGCAGGAGCCAGGACATATCTGGCCCCCAAATGAAATGCAGTCGGAACTCACCTTCTCAGGGGAGAGCTCAGCTTCAGGTTTCAAGAGATAGACGTTCTGGTCAACGGCATGGACGGCACAGAGGGAACCGGGGAAAGCTGAAAGATGGAGTTGGGTTTTCTGGCCAGGCAGACCTTCTTGATCAGGGAACCACAGTTTGGCCTGTAAACATAAAACAGGTCTTTGAAAAAAATCTCTTCCTCTTGGTGTGGAATGAATGGAAGGAGAAATTAATGGAATGAAGTCATCCTTGTTGTCATGCATATTGTAACCTTGAGTTGCCCTCTGTGACTAACCTCAAGCCACAGTTTGACAGGGTCAGTGGAACTACTGGCTGACCCCCCCCCAAAAAAATAGGCTTAGGTTTAGCCAATGTTTGGGGTTTTCTTTCCATTGCAACTTGGTTATGATCCACTGAGATACTGGCATTCAAGGGAACAGGTCTGGCCAGGACATAACGGATTACATCAGCCTGCACAAGCAGATAGCAAAAGGGTAACTATTTCTCAAAGGATCAGGAGCAAAGGAGGCTTTGTGGATTTTAGCACCAGTAGAGTTGAGTAGCACCAGCTTAAAACCTGTTCTGGAACATTAAGATTCTGCCTTTCTTTAACACCAGAACACAAAATGCAAAACTTTACCTTGTTGGGGAAGCAGTTTTGTACGATGAATTTTTTCGAATCAGCAACAAGTTCTCCACTGGGCAAAATGGTGTAGAGGAGCAAGTCGATGCTGGGAGTAATCTCAGCATCTATCCAGACTTTCAAAAGGAAGTCCCCTTTGGCTTCTAAAGGATGAAATTCCGAGGTGGAGGAAAGGGAAAAAGAGATCAAAAGAGACATATAAATTTCATCAGACAGATAGAGAGAGAGAGAGACAGACAGACAGACATATATGATGACAGATATAGACAGAGATGGATGGATGAATAGAGAGAGAGGGATGGATGGATGGATGGATGGATGGATGGATGGATGGAATTAGGTCCAGTTGGAATACATCAAACTTTACCAGGGTGACCACAACAGGCTGGGAAATGTGAGTCAAAAATGAATCATTGAAGAACCAGAAGCTGAAGGACTTCAGCTGCTGTCTTCTTTTCAGTTGTGAGGGCTTGCCTTCTCCACAATAAATTTTAGGTTTGTGGTGGCAATGATTAAGTCGGTGGTCCCACTTGTTTCAGGGATCCATGAAGCAGCAAGTGAATCTCCCTCCAGTAACATCTCCCGCTACATAGGAGAGCAAGGGACATAAAACAGATCCCTGGCACATGCCATGGAGTCCTTCAACCCTTTGCCATCCTAAAAACCCCAAATGCTGCCTCAAACCCATGAGTCAGTGCTGTTAATAGTGCCTCCCCATGGCTCTCCAGGGTTTCTGGAGACTCTGGGTTGGACTTGGGGCCTTCTGTGTACCAGGTGATTGGGAACTGCATCCCATTCTCTATCCTTCATTCTTCCACCTTGCATGTTTTGGTTATCCTTGAAAACAAAGTTACGTCCAGCATGCCAGCCTGCTGACTACAAGAGACTGAGCCCCTAAACTCCTCTGTGGGTCTCCGAGAAGGGTCTGTCCCAGAGGAAATGAAGAATAGGCATCTGGGCAGCCTTCTACCGTAGTTGCAAAGAGACATCCCTGTGATGCCCAGCAAAAAACTCAGGATGAAGGAAGCGGCTGCAGAGATTTGGGAGAAATGGCCTGTTCCTACTGCTTGAGACCATCCCTTTCCTCTGCCCAATGGCAGGGCTGGCTGTGTGTGCCCACCTTCCATGCTCTACCAGTGTGAAATGGGATACAGTGAACCCAGCTGTGAGTGGGAAAAGGAAGAGAGGTTTTTCAGACATGCAAGGGGCACCCAGCATTCAGCAAGAGAGAACTGGAGCCCCATAGATGGAGTCACCCCAGGAACGTCTGGGAAGCTTTTTGCCAAGCAGGAGGGGGGAGTGTAATTTGAAGGGCGAACATTTACCTTTTCCCTGTTCCACTGGCTGCCGGTGTGTCCCTGTTCGTATGATGTTCCCCCTAACCTTGACCTGCATGGAAAGAAGAAATTCCTGCTAGATATGCTAGGGCTTGGAGAAATTGATTGATTGATTGATTGATTGATTTGCAACTTTAAACACTGGCTGTCATGCTAAATATATAGACGCCTAGAATTGCAGAGCTGCAATTGTCTAGTTTAACCTTTTGAGAAGTGTGTAAGATTAAAACAATAGTATAATAATTAGTGGACCAGAGGAATGCTGTCGATACAATTTATTTTGACTCACTCAAGGATCATGGGTAAACAAAGGCAGAGTGCAAAAGGGAGACTGCCTCGGTATATTTATGTTGTGGTTTAGTGCACATTGGATGTTGTGGCCCACAAGCGGTCTGAGCAGGTTGTTGCTGATCCCAATGACGAGGAGGCTGGTGTGGTGTCGCGCCAGCAGCCTGTGCAGCTGGCATCCGAGTCAGACAATGAGGAGGCTGGAGAAAATGTGGTGCCAGAGGCAGGGATTCAGCCAGGGCCTTCAGAACCTCCAGAGGCTCCTTTAAGTGAAGGGGATGAAGTGGAGGAGCCTCTTCTCAATGCATGAGCACGCAGAGCTGCCAAAAGGCAGGAGTGGATATTCAGGAGGTGGTCTCCTTGAGAGTAAGGCTTGGGGCTAATTGGCCACTCCCTTAGCCTATTTAAGTTTGCACACAGCTTGTAAAAAGCTGCAGGAAACAACACATGTTCGTTAGCTGATCATTGAATCTGGATTTCCTCTGCAAACCTTGCTTCTGGGCTTTCTGCCAACTCTAGTAAAGACTCTATCTTATCTGTGGAATTTCTGGCAGGTTGTTAAGGACGTTTAATTAACAGCCTGCCTTTGTAAAAAACTACGTTTGGAAGTAAAACTGAGCTTTGTTCATAGTTTGTGTGTGTTGCGTTCTCTGGGATCCGTAGCTGGGGCAGAACATTGGAGTAAGGCCACACCTGGTATATGGCATCCAGTTTTGGTCACCACATTACAAAAAAGATGTTGAGACTTTGGAAAAAGTGCAAAGAAGTGCAACTAAGGTGATTAAAGGCCTGGAGAGTAGAACATCTGAAGAACAATTGCAGGATTTGGGTTTGGCTAGTCTAGAGAAAACAAAGACTAGGGGGGACATGATAGCAGCCTTCCAGTATTTGAGAGGCTGCCACAAAGAAGAGGGGGTCAATAAGGGGCGTGCATAAGTGCACAAACGTGCCTACCGTCCCTGTCCTAATGTCCCCTTTTACTCGTATCCCTTTCATGTATTAATAATCATGTTTATACATATCTGTTATCTAATACATGCTTGACAAACAAACAAATAAAAATAAATAAAATAAATAATAAATAAATTTATTTTCCAAACCATCAGAAGGCAGGACAAGAAACAATGGACTGAAATTAATTAAGGAGAGAAGCAACCTGGAATTAAGGAGAAACTTCCTAACACTGAGGACAATTGACCAGTGGAACAGCTTGCCACCAGAAGTTCTGGGTGCTTCATCACTGGAGGTTTTAAGAAGAGACTGTACAGCCACCTGTCTGAGATGGTATAGGGTCTGCTGATTGATCAGGGGGTTGGACTAGAAGACCTCCAAGATCCCTTCCGGCTCTATTCTGATTGATCGATTGATTGATAGCTGTTTAACAAAGCAAAGCAAATGTGCCTTGTGAATGCAGCCTTTGCCTGAAGACTCACCATGTAATAGAAGACAATCTCGTCCTCCTTCAAATCACCTCGGTTAAGGATGTAATGCACCCGAAAAAACTCATGGCGCTGGCAGGTTAACGTTTTTGACGCAGGCTCAGTATGTAGGTAACTTTTGCTTGGAGAATAAAGCACATACGCCGTGTGACTTGCTTTAATGTGACTGGGTTGAACCCAGTGCTCGCTATTACACCAAGGTTTGTTTTGATAGAAAGCCTGAAAGGAAAAGCACAGATTAAGAGAAATTAGGTGGGAGGCTGGCTGAGAACATTTCGCTGGCAAGGGCAAGAGAGACGGGCAGCTCAAAAAATGTGACAGATCGATAGATGATACGGTATTTCCCCGAAAATAAGACCTCCCCCAAAACAAGCCCTCCCCCCGAAAATAAACCCTCCCCCGAAAATAGTTAAACACATGCACAGCTGGTCCCCGCCATTTCCTCTGGTTAGGGTTAGGGAGACAGAGCTGGAAATCAGGTAAGACGGCAAGAGGAGCCCTGTCTTGCTCCACACACCCCAAAATAATAATACCTCCCTGAAAATAAGGCCAAGCGCTTATTTCAGGGTTCAAAAAATATAAGACAGGGTCTTATTTTCGGGGAAACAAGGTACAGATAGATGATAGATATACAGTAGATATTCAGTAGATATAGAAATAGATAGATAATGGATGGGTGGAGGGATGGATATGAGAGAGAGAGAGATATGTAGATATACAGTAGATATTCTGTGTGTGTGTGTGTGTGTGTATCTTTTTTTTTTTTTCCTTTTTCGTAGGCTTTTATGTGCATATTCTTTCTAGCCAGGTTTTACCTACGTAAACTTAGTTGTTCTACAGCCCTAGGTTCTGTGAAATCTCATTCACAAGTTTCTGGGCCTTTTTTCTGCTGACAAACTGCAACTCTGTGTTGCTCTCTGGGAGACTCAGATAGCTATTTCTGCCTCTTAAGGCCGACAAAGGAGATAAGTGCTGGCTGGATCCTGGACAGTGGCGCAGGGAGAAGCATGCACAGCAGAGGGGAAGGCGTGCCAGAGATTAGCTGAGTCACTGGACCACACCCCACAGGGTATAAATGTGGGTGTGGTGGCCGGTTCAGTTTGTGACGAGCAAAAACTAGAAATAATCCATGATCTCTGCATTACTGGACTTCTGCCTGCCTTGTTGGACTGCATTTGGACTAATCCTTGTATTGCTGAAACTTTGCCTGCTTTATCGGAATGCTTGCAGTCTAATCTTTGTTTTGTGTGAGTAAAGTCTGAATTGGCAGCTAGCCACTGGGTTGCTGCCAGCTTTATCTTCAAAGACTTTGTCGTGTGGCTTATTAACTCCGGGCCATCTGTGGGGGTGCGTGTGTGGGACGGGGACAGAACACCTCCTTAAGCAGTAAAGGACTCGAAGTCCAGCTTTGGGGGAGGGAAGATCACTTTCACCGCTTTTATCTAGAACTGAGCAGGGTCAGTTGTTCTGTTCCATACACGGACAGGAGACCACAAAGAAATCTTCTAGCCTGTGGACTAGATTTGTCAATTGAAAACACATCTGGGAATAAAGCCACAGGGGACCTTTCTTGCCATGGAAATGACAGGGTCAAGCCTGGGCCGGGATCTCAATGGTGACTTTTCAAAGGATAATATACAGGGTATTTTCGGAATGAGCAAGATGGAAAATCACCTTAAAAGTGGGGTGGGGGAAGACCGTGACAATGAGAAAAGAAAGACAGAGGGGAAAAAAGGGAGGAGCCCTGAGTACTTTTAACCAACTAACTAGAATAACTTTAACTTTATTGTCACTTTAAATCTATACTAATCAGCATACATTAAAATGAAATTTTGTTGCATAGAGCTCTCGAAGGGTCACCATCTCCAAAATACACTACACATAAACATGACAAAAATATAAGTAAGTAAATAAATAAAAAATATGCATATACCCACATATATTATATGACACAGAGAAACAGCACAATCTACTTCGGATGTATAAATGTACATGGCGAGGAAAACGAACCTTGCGAGTTTCCCAGACGGATGGCCTAGGGAACAAAGCTGTTACAGAATCTGCTAGTCCTGGTAAAAATACTTTGAAACCTCTGCCCAGAGGGGAGCAACAGAAACAAACCATCAAGTGGGAATGTCATAAAATACAGCCGTCGCAAATCGCAAAGACTAACCGAAAAAAAAAAATCGTCTTCTTCTAAATTAGTGGTTTCTATGGAGAATTCAGCTCTCCCCTCAGCGTCCGTCACTTGATTGAGCCACTGGTGAGTTGTCAGTATAAAAATCTCCACTGTTCCATTGCTGATCGGCATGTTGTAACTGTCTACCAGCTTCACCTGCACACAAAAACCGATTGACACATTGACCCAACTGGTTGCGGCCAAATATTTCAGGATTTACCAATGCAATTTCTACTCTGCCTTTCCTTCAGGGACGCCAAGCTTTCCCATCAAGCCATCCTAATTTTTTCCCCATCGCTACAACTCTGTGAAAAAGGGGAGACTAGCAGGAGGGACTTGAGCCTGGGAATAGGTTTTGGGACTGCGGCTGAGAAAGAAAGGGGACAAGCAAGTAGCCACTGGGAGATGGCGTTACAGGTTGGTTTGACAAACGGACTCTTTGTTAGGGAAAAAGGGCTTTGGGAGCTTCAAAGCAGAGCATCCGCAGGGGATGATAATAGCAGTAGCATTTCTATACTGCTCCATAGTGCTTTACATACTCTCTGGACAGTTTACAATGTCAGCACGTTGCCCCCAACCATCTGAATCCTCAGCTGCAGGCTAACTCACTGCTCACCACCAGCAGTTCGATGTCCTGAGCAGCTCGATGTTGACTCAGTCTTCCGTCCTTCCAAGGTCGGTAAAATGAGGACCCAGATGGTTGGAGGCAATAGGCCGTCCCTGTATACTGCTTAGAGAGGGCTGTACAGCACTGTGAAGTGGTATATAAGAGTAATTGCTATTGCACTGAGGCATGATTGGGACTTTATGGTGGTTGCCATCTTGAGTTTTTGGGGCTACCACCATCATTCCCATGGATACCCCTGCTTAATAATCCTGCTAATGAATAAAGGCTGAAAGGTTCCTATTGTAGACACCAGCTTGCTTGCTTGCTTGCTTACTTCCCATCCATCATCTATCTATCTATCTATCTATCTATCTATCTATCTATCTATCTATCTATCTATCTATCTATCTATTTATCTATCTTACTATCTATCATCTGTTGGAAGAAATGTCCATCTGGATTCAGTTCCAAGTGGAGAGAAAGACCCTGGAAACATGGAAGCTGCTTGGAAAGATGGTTTAATGGTGGACAGGACCATATGCATTTTTGGGGTCCTGAGCACATGGGAGAGAAACAGAGAAAGACAGAGAGACAGAGACAGAGAGACAGAAAGAGAGAGAGAGAGGGAGGGAGGGAGGGAGACAGAGGGAGAGAGAGAGAGGGAGGGAGGGAGGGAGACAGAGAGAGAGAGAGAGGGAGGGAGGGAGAGAGAGGGGGGGGGAGGAGGGAGGGAGGGAGGGAGACAGAGAGAGAGAGAGGGAGGGAGGGAGACAGAGAGACAGAGAGAGAGAGGGGGGTAGGGAGGGAGGGAGGGAGAGAGACAGAGAGACAGAGACAGAGAGAGAGAGAGAGAGAGAGACAGAGACAGAGACAGAGAGAGAGATTTCCTAGTATATTTCATTCTTCTAGGAGAAGAGTGGGTGCGAATTTGGGTCCTGGGGAAATGAGCACATGGGTGAGAGAGACAGAGAGATTTATAGCCTCTCTTGGGCTTTGAATTTGAGTTTCCTGCTCCTGTGGCAAGGGCATGTATTCTTATTCAACTGTAGACTCCCATGTGGCTATGTGGGGTCATGGGTCATGATTCAGGTTTGGTTGAAGCTTTAGGCTGGTGCAATGATGGGGTTTTGTTTGTGGCTGAATGGCTTTGCCCTGAAGGATAATCCCATCATCCTGGAGCGGAGGTCTTTTGTCCCTCCTTCCTTCCTCCCTCCCTCCCTTCCTTCCCTTCCTCCCTCCCTTCCTCCTTTGATTGAAATGGTATAAGATCTCCTGCTTGAGCAGGGGATTGAACTAGAACAGCGGCCCCCAACCTTTGGGGCACCAGAGACCCGTTCGAAGGAGAGAGGCTTTTCCACGGACCAGAGAGGGCGTGGTTTCACATGCTGCCTGCATCCTACGGATGGGGCTTCGCTTGTTTGTGCGGCCCTGTTTCTGGCATGCTGAGAGCCGGTACTGGGCCATGGACCAGGGGAAGGAGACCCCTGAATTACAAGACTTCCAAGGTCCCTTCCAAGTCTGTTATTCTGTACTCCTCAATGCTTTTACACTGCTTTTGATCATTCTAGCTCAGAGCAGCTGGCCAGCAGCTGTTAGGGTGAAGAAATGGCATTGGAGCAGACTGGAGGGCTGATACGGCTTAAATCCAGCTATGCAGAGAACCCGTAGCTCTCATCTTACCTTCACGACATAGGGCAAGCCGGGTTTATAGTAACGGTCTGGGTTTTCAAAGGTAATTTTGCTCAACGTGGACGTGATCTCAATGGTTTCTGTGGCACTCAGCTCCACTCCTGTTGAAGAGAAGTGTCATCTGCAAAAGGCTGTTCCATTCCCTTCCTCTCCAATTTCCCAGAAACTCCTTGTCTCTGGAGTGCCAAGAAGCCTGACTCTTTTGATGGATGTATTTACGGATTTCTGCTTTGGACAAGGGGTTGGAATAGACGATCTCCAGGGCCGCCCCATGTGCAGATTTCTCTGACATGTCTATGAAGATTCTCAGTCATCCAAGTCATGGTTGTCCCAAAGGTGTTTTTTCAAGAAGCAGCTGGACTTTCTGGTTTTTCTTGGAAGACGTTTCGCTTCTCAATCCAAGAAACTCCTTCAAGGAACTGGAGAAGCTTCTTGGATGAGAAGTGAAAAATCTTCAAAGAAAAACAAGAAAGTCCAGTTGCCTCTTGAAAAAGCACCTTTGGGATTTCTCTGACATACTAATTCCCTCTGTTGGTTTGAATTTGGCACTCAGTAGCCCTTTAAAGGTTTCTCCCTGTCCAGTCATGAGTGGCTCAAAGGGGTAATGCACATGTGGCCAGCACAAAAGTATGCAACGGAGTAACCTTTTCCGCTGAAGAGATAGCTATTTTTCTACCTACATTTGCATGCTTTCAAGCTGCTAGGTTGGCAGGAGCTGGGGCGAGGATGGGAACTCACCCAATCCTGCAATGCTCAGGACTCGAACCTGAGCTGTCAGCTTTTCAGCTGATAAACCCAGAGTCTTCTGGGCTTATCTCTGAGCTACCACACTCTTCATGGGATATCAAATTTGATTAGTATGTCTCAGACTTCTTGCAACCAGCTGATTTCTTTCCCCCCACAAAATCTCATCACTTCACTGTCTGTGAAACGGGTGTTGGAGCAGAGAACAGTTTTCTCATTTATAACTGAGATGCTACTACTCTCTTAGACTTAGACAGGGGGTGTTTTTTCTATCAAGTTTGATTCAGCCTTCCAGCCTTTCGAGGTGGGTAAAATGAGGACCTAGATTGTTGGGGGCAATAGGCTGACTCTGTAAACCGCTTAGAGAGGGCTGCAATAGCAATAGCCTTCAGACTTATATACTGCTACACAGTGCTTTACAGTCCTCTCTAAGCGGTTTACAGAGTCAGCCTATTGCCCCCAACAATCCGGGTCCTCATTTTACCCACCTCAGAAGGATGGAAGGCTGAGGCAACCTTGAGCCTGGTGAGATTCGAATTGCCAAATTGCAGGCAGCCGGCATTCAACACAAGTAGCCTGCAGTACTGCATTCTAACTACTGCGCCACCAAGCACTGTAAAAACTGTAAGTCTAAGTGCTATTGCTATTGCTATCTCTTGTAAGAAATGGAAGCTTTAGGTCTGGTTCTATTAGCCCATTGGTGCTCTTCTGTTTCATGAAGGTTACCTGTCCCTTGCTCTGTGATTTTGCCTTCTACGGCGATGGCCATCGAAAAGCCGAGCCACCTCAGGTGGAACTCCTCCATGTTCACCACCTTGGAGAAACAGCCGTCTCCATCTGCCTGCATGCCACAACAACCAAGAAAGAGAAGCCTGTAATCCAGGGGTGGGTTCTACTTACCTTTACTACCAGTTCGCAGTGGGGCCGTGCGTGTGTGCGAAGCGAGTAGTCTTGTTGGTTCTTTGGTTGGGCTATTTACTATTAGCTTCTTTGGCAGTTGTTGATTGGGGTATGGTTTACTTCTAGATTGTTGATCTGATGTTAATCTTGATGTTAATCTACACTCATCTAGATGGTTAGATTATACCAAGATTTGAATTTATAACTGTGGGAATATTGTGCACAATCACTCACGCCCTCGTCACCTCTCGCCTTGACTACTGCAACGCTCTCTACATGGGGCTCCCCTTGAAGAGCACCCGGAGGCTCCAGCTGGTCCAGAATGCAGCAGCGCGGGTAGTGATGGGAGCAACATGGCGCTCCCATGTAACACCGCTCCTGCGCGAGCTGCACTGGCTCCCGGTGGTCTTCCGGGTGCGCTTCAAGGTGTTGGTTATCACCTTTAAAGCGCTCCATGGCATAGGGCCTAGCTATCTCCGAGACCGCCTGCTGCTACCGACAACCTCCCATCGACCCGTGCGCTCCCACAGAGAGGGCCTCCTCAGGGTGCCATCAGCCAAACAATGTAGGCTGGTGGCCCCCAGGGGGAGGGCCTTCTCTGTGGGGGCTCCCACCCTCTGGAATCAGTTGCCCCCGGAGATAAGAAGAATCCATGACCTCAATGCCTTCCGTCGTTCCCTGAAAACCTATCTTTTTCAGCAAGCCGGGTTGGCTTAGAAGAAATTTTTAAATTCTTTTAATTAGTTTGTGATTCTTAACTTTTGGGCCAAAATTTATATATATTTTTAAATGTTTTAATATTTGTATTCTATGTTTTTTATCTTGGCTGTACACCGCCCTGAGTCCTCAGGGAGAAGGGCGGTATATAAATTGGAAATTAAATTAAATTAAATTAAATAAGTGCAAAGACTGGTTCCTGACGGAGCTTGGGCCATTCCCAGAGGCTCTGACTCACGGCTTGGCCGAGGAACTGGTGGCCGCCTGGGACAGGGCGCCTTGGACTGCGTCGTGCCTTTGCGGCCTCTGACTCGGTGCCGTTCTCAACTGGCTCCTTGGTTCTCCGAGGAGCTGAGAGAGATGAAGCGCCGGAAAAGACGCCTAGAGAGCGATTGGAGGGCCAGCCGCACTGAACTGGACCGAACACTGGTGAGATCTTATATCAAGACCTACCTAGTGGCAATAAGAGTGGCGAAATTTAATTATTTTTCCACTCTTATAGTAACTGCAGAGAACCGCCCAGCTGCCCTGTTTAGGGTGACCTCTCCCTACTGCAGGTAGGAGTGAGGGAGGATCCCTTACAGGGTAGAGCTGAGGATTTTGTGCAATATCTGCATGATAAAATCGCTCAGATTCGGGGCGGCCTGGACTCCAACTGGGTAGCCTCGGACGGGATGATGGAGATGAGTCTTGAGAATGTTATCTGGGAGGAGTTTGACCCTGTGACTCCTGAGGACGTAGACAGGACTCTGGAGAGGCTTAACGCTACCACATGTTTACTGGACCCGTGTCCTTCCTGGTTGGTGCTGGCCTCCCGGAAGTTACACGAGGCTGGTTTCAGGAGATTATCAACGCTTCGTTGAGTGAGGGTGTCTTCCCATCCGCCCTGAAAGAGGCGGTGGTGAGGCCCCTCCTCAAGAAGCCTTCCCTGGACCCGGTTGTATTGGCTAATTATCGTCCTTTCTCCAATCTCTGCTTCGCAGTGAAGGTTGTTGAGAGTGTGGTGGCGAGACAGCTTCCTCGGTTCCTGGATGAAGCCGTCTATCTAGATCTGTGCCAGTCGGGCTTCAGAGCGGGTTACAGCATGGAAACAGCATTGATCGCGTTGGTTGATGATCTCTGGAGGGCCCAGGACAGGGGTTGTTCCTCTGTCCTGGTCCTCCTAGATCTCTCAGCAGCTTTTGATACCATTGATCATGGTATCATGCTGCGTCGGCTAGAGGGGGTGGGAGTGGGGGGCACCGTGTTACGGTGGTTCTCCTCCTTTCTCTCTGGCCGTACACAGTCTGTGTTGACGGGGGGCAGAGGTCGACCCTGAGGTTCCTCACTTGTGGGGTGCCGCAAGGGTCAGTCCTCTCGTCCCTCCTGTTTAACATTTATGTGAAGCCGCTGGGCGAGATCATCCGTGGCTTTGGTGTGAAGTGTCAACTGTATGCCGATGACACACAGTTGTACATTTCAACCCCAGGACACCCCAATGATGCCCTTGACGTGATGTCCCGCTGCCTGGAGGCCGTGCGGATCTGGATGTGGAGGAACAGGCTCAGACTCAACCCCTCCAAGACTGAGTGGCTGTGGCTTCCGACGTCCCGATATAGCCAGCTAACACCATCACTGGCTATTGGGGATGAGATCTTACCCCCCTCAGAGAGGGCTCGCAACTTGGGCGTCCTCCTGGACTCATGGCTGTCTTTGGATGATCATATGATTTTTATCAGGTTCACCTGATTTCCCTTTCTGGATCGGGACGCCTTGCACACAGTGTCACACAGTGACTCACGCCCTCGTCATTTCCCGTCTGGACTATTGTAATGCTCTCTACATGGGGCTCCCCTTGAGGAGCACCCGGAGGCTCCAACTGGTCCAGAATGCGGCCGCACGAGTGATAATGGGGGCGACTCATCGCTCCCATGTAACAACCCTCTTGCGCGAGCTGCACTGGCTCCCGGTGGTCTTCCGGGTGCGCTTCAAGGTGTTGGTTACCACCTTTAAAGCGCTCCATGGCTTAGGACCTGGTTACTTACAGGACCACATTCTACCACCGTTTTCCTCCCACCGACCGATACGCTCCCACAGAGAGGGCCTCCTCAGGGTGCCGTCGGCCAAACAATGTCGACTGGCGACCCCCAGGGGGAGAGCCTTCTCTGTGGGGGCTCCTGCCCTATGGAATGAATTGCCCCCGGACATACGAAGGATCCCCGACCTCTGCGCCTTCCGTCGTGCTCTGAAGACCCTTTTATTTCAGCAAGCCGGTCTGATGGGATAAATGATTTTAAATTGGGTTTTAAAAGTGGTTTAAATTGGTTTTAATTGGAAGTTTTAATTTTGGCCAAGGATTGAATTTTTTTAATATGTTTGTTAAATTTTGTCTTGTATGTTGTTTTATCATGGCTGTTCACCGTCCTGAGTCCTTCGGGAGAAGGGCGGTATATAAATATAATAAAAACAAAAACAAAACAAACAAACTGGTCATGAATCCCTTTTTTTTTCCACCATCATATTTTTGAATGATTGCCAAACAAATGGTTGTAAGTCAAGGACTATCTCTGTTTACCTCTTCGCTCCCAGTTTAGAGCTACGTTACCTATCTTCAAACAATATTGGCCCATAGCCAGAAATGGAGATCTCTTCTACTTGAAGATGTCCCTTTTTAGCCAAATGGTGTTTGTGCTAATATTGTCGGATGGTTCAAATCCCGTATGAAACAAAAAGAATTATTTCAGAAGAAATAGTAAACAGGGGTAAGGGAAGTAGATGAGGAAGCTGCACAAAGAGATGGCAAGAGAAGAATTACAGAATGCCGCAGAAGTATACGGAGTTACACTGAAGTGGAAGAGGCTGTGGATGAGAATAAACACTGGTTAGAAAATGCTTGGCGTAAACCATGAGGACGAGAGAAAGATACTGTGTGGTATGTATATAGAGCAAAAGGTGATTACAAAGCACATAGTCAAAGAGAACATGGAATGGTTAAGATGAAAAGAAACGGGGAAAATGCAGCAATCGGATATGTTGGTGGAATTGGGAAAGCTTAGTTTAAGGAAAAGAAGGACTAGGGGTTGACATGATAGCAGCCTTCCAATATCTCAGGGGTTGCCACAAAGAAGAGGGAGTCAAGTTAAGCATATGAGCAATGGGTGGGAACAAATCAAGTAGAGAAACAACCTAGAACTAAGGAGAAATTTCCTGACAGTGAGAACAATTAACTTTGCCTCCAGAAGTTGTGAATGCTCCAACGCTGGAAGATTTTAAGAAGAGATTGGGCAACCATTTGTCTGAATGGCGAACCTATGGCATGCAGAGCCCTCTCTGGGGGCACGTACTCTGTCACCAGCTGCTCTTCTGATTTCTTGTGGTGTCTGGCATGCTATTTCCGGCCAGCTGGTCTTTGGAAAACAGCCCCAAGAAACGCTCCAAAAACACACCAGCCCATTTTTGTGTGCACACGAAAATGTGCACACCAGCCAGCTGGTCTTGGGATTTCTGGCATCCCAATTTCTGGCGCTCTACTCCACTCTACCCAACGGTGGGTTCTAATTTTTTTTTACTACCGGTTCTGTGGGCGTGGCTTATTTTGTGGGCATGGCTTGATGGTCATGTGACAATTCTTTAGGATTTAGCAGAGGTACTGGTCTACCAGGCTTTTAACTGCTTGCAGAGCTGTACCGATCTACCCATTTATTTTTTGCAGGCACTGGTCTACTCATGTATTTTGGCAGGCGCTGGTCTACTCATGTATTTTGGCAGGCGCTGGTCTATTCATGTATTGGTCTACTCATGTATTTTTGTAGGCGCTGGTCTATCATGTATTTTTGCAGGCGCTGGTCTACTCATGTATTGGTCTACTCATGTATTTTTGCAGGCGCTGGTCTACTCATGTATTTTGGCAGGCGCTGGTCTACTCATGTATTTTGGCAGGCGCTGGTCTACTCATGTATTGGTCTACTCATGTATTTTTGTAGGCGCTGGTCTATCATGTATTTTTGCAGGCGCTGGTCTACTCATGTATTGGTCTACTCATGTATTTTTGCAGGCGCTGGTCTACTCATGTATTTTTGCAGGCACTGATCTACTCATGTATTTTTGCAGGCGCTGGTCTACTCATGTATTGGTCTACTCATGTATTTTTGTAGGCGCTGGTCTATCATGTATTTTTGCAGGCGCTGGTCTACTCATGTATTGGTCTACTCATGTATTTTTGCAGGCACTGGTCTACTCATGTATTTTTGCAGGCACTGATCTACTCATGTATTTTTGCAGGCGCTGGTCTACTCATGTATTGGTCTACTCATGTATTTTTGTAGGCGCTGGTCTACTCATGTATTTTTGCAGGCGCTGGTCTACTCATGTATTGGTCTACTCATGTATTTTTGCAGGCGCTGGTCTACTCATGTATTTTTGCAGGCACTGATCTATTCATGTATTTTTGCAGGCGCTGGTCTACTCATGTATTTTTGCAGGCACTGATCTACTCATGTATTTTTGCAGGCACTGGTCTACTCATTTGTTTTCTTTTAACACTGATCAGCTGTAGAGCGGCCCTTTGAAGCCCCGCGGCAGAACCGGTTCCGGGAGAACCGAGCCGAACCGGGAGGAACCAACCACTGACTCCACTCCATATAATCCCCGTTAAAAAAAACCAAAACCAGCAAAGAAATAGGTTTAAAATAGGTCAAACAAATATATCCCAGCTGTGGAAACTCGATGTCCCTTACCTTGTCTTCAAATTCTTTACACAGGTTTTCATCAGTATCACTGATTTCGAGATGCCGGCAGAGGCTCAGTTTCAACAGGCCAGGCACTGGTTTCCCATTGGGGTACCTGGAGTCAGACCCCACCAAGGTGGACAAAAACACAGAGAGGGAGATGGTTTGCATAGAGAAAGAAGATCAAAGGGACCTGCAGGATCCAAAGGAAGCCATGTGGGTTTTTTTTTTTTCAGGATCCAATCTAAGTTAGTCACCTGGACCAGAGATTTAGTCTTCCAAACTTTCAGAGTTGTGCTGGAGCCCATCCTCAGGGAACCTCTCTCTCTCTTTCTCCCTCTCTCCAACCCTCTCTCCCCCCTCTCTCTTTCTTTCTTTCTCTCTCTCTCTCCCTCTTTCCCCCCCTCTCTCTTTCTCTCCCTCCCTCTCCCTCTTTCTCTCCCTCCCTTCCTCCCTCCCTCTCCCTCTCTCTTTTTGTCTTTCTCTCCCTCTTTCTCCCTTTCTCCTACCCTCTCTCTCTCTCTTTCTTTCTCTCTCTCCCTTCCCCCCTCTCTTTCTCTCTCCCTCCCTCTCCCTCTTTCTCTCCCTCCCTCCCTCTCCCTCCCTCTCTTTGTCTTTCTCTCCCTCTCTCTCCCCCACCCTCTCTCTCTCTTTCTCTTTCTTTCTTCTCTCTCTCTCCCTCTTTCCCCCTCTCTCTCTTTCTCTTCCTCTCCCTCCCTCCCTCTTTCTCTCCTTCCCTTCCTCTCTCTCTCCCTCTCCCTCTCTCTCTTTGTCTTCCTCTCCCTCTTTCTCTCCCTCCCTCCCTCTCCCTCTCTTTTTGTCTTTCTCTCCCTCTTTCTCCCTTTCTCCTACCCTCTCTCTCTCTTTCTTTCTTTCTCTCTCTCCCTTCCCCCCTCTCTTTCTCTCTCCCTCCCTCTCCCTCTTTCTCTCCCTCCCTCCTTCCCTCTCCCTCCCTCTTTGTCTTTCTCTCCCTCTCTCTCCCCCACCCTCTCTCTCTCTTTCTCTTCCTCTCCCTCCCTCCCTCTTTCTCTCCTTCCCTTCCTCTCTGTCTCCCTCTCCCTCTCTCTCTTTGTCTTACTCTCCCTCTTTCTCCCTCTCTCCCTTTCTCTTTCTTTCTCCCTCTCCCTATTTCTCCCTCCCTCTCCCTCTCTTTCTTTCCCTCCCTCTCTTTCTTTCTCTCTCCATTTTTCCCTCTCCCTCCCTTCCTCTCTTTCTTCCACCTTCTGCTCAGAATGGGAAAAGGAGAGTAGTTGAGCATCACGTACCTGCCACACACACTAACTTCTATTTCCTTCGTCATAATCGTGACGAACTTCGGGGCCTTCACCAAAAGATCAAATTTGGGCCGAACTGGAAAGAGGGAAGGGAAGAGAAGAAAATCATGAGGTGAACCTTATGGAAGCACAAACTGTCCAGTTCTCTCCTGTGACCTCCTTTGAGGGGAGATGGGAGAAATTGGCCAGACAATTGAGGTCTGAAAGGAAAAGTAAGCTGTAAATCTAAGTAAGACAAATTAAACCTTGCATTAAGAAAGCAGTAAACATGATGCCAGAATGAATTTAATAATTGCATCTGGACAACCTTCTAATACGTTTGGCTTCAATCTTAGGTAATTTGTCCTTGTTTTGGTGGTTCGTGTTTTGTAGAAGTTCAACCCATTGAATTAGTTTCACAGTGTGTGTGTGTGTGTGTGTGTGTGTGTGTGTGTATGTGTGTGTGTTTGAGTGAAGCTTTAATCCCACTATCCCAACCACTATCTTAAATTCCTGGCCCAGAGACTCCATATTAATCTTTGATCTGTATGTGATTAGCTGGTAAATCATTATCTCTAATCTCAGAAAGTGGGTTAATTTAGCTGAGTAACCAGATCAATGTGAAATTTGTTGGAGAAAGTGAGTCTTAGAATTAAACTGAATAAACAGAATTGTAAAGTCTCTGGCCTGCTAAATCCCTCATTGCCAAATATTTGTTTGTTTGTTTGTTTACTTACTTATCCATTCATTCATTCTCTCCTTCCCTCCCTCCCTCCCTCCCTCCCTCCCTCCTTCCTTCCTTCCTTCCTTCCCTCCCTCCCCTCCCTCCCTCCCTCTTTTTCTTTCTTCCCCTCCCTCCCTCCTCCCTTCGTTCCTTCTATTTCCATCCTGCTTTTTCCATCCTTAAAAATAATCCTAAATATAAATGGAGTAATGATTTTTTAAATCTACCAGCTCAACATAAAGAGGCATTTTTTCAAACTTCAGTGTGCAGATTAAGTTGCTACAAATTTATTGGGACAAATATACCTTAATTCAACAAGATAGAATAAGCCAGACTGTCTGGAAGGAAGGAAGGAAGGAAGGAAGGAAGGAAGGAAGGAAGGAAGGAAGGAAGGAAGGAAGGAAGGAGGAAAGGAAGGAGGTAGTGGGTAAGAAAGAAAAGAAGGGCAAACTGGATGTCTTTCTTACCATAATCGTCCACATCAAAGCTGTATTCTGCAACTTCCATGGAGTCTTTCTCTACGACCACTTTGTAGGTGCCCAAGAGGGGATCGGAAGATAGAGAATAGGAAAGCTGGATTATGCCCAACGGAACCTCCACATCTCTCCACTGGAACACCTGGTTGTCTTGGGGATCCTGGAAAGAATAAGATAACAAGTTCCAAAGTTTGTCCATAACCCAGAATTGTTCTAGAATAAATGATTCATGACCTGGACAAAGTAGTCCTAAAATCTTAATTCTCCGAGCACTATTGGCAGTGTATTTGGATATGACAGCCTTCTAGAAGCCCACATATATGTTGGATTAAACTCTCAGGATCTGCACCCAGCAAGGACAATTGCTGTGCTGGCTGGAAATTTGGGGAATTGTACTCCCTAATTTTCTGAAGGACCCAAGTTGGAGATGGTGGCTGTAGGTCTTAGAGCCATGGTGGCACAGTGGTTAGAATGCAGTCCTGCGGGCTACTTCTGCTGACTGCCAGCTGACTGCAATTTGGCAGTTCAAACTTCACCAGGCTCAACATTGACTCAGCCTTCCATCCTTCTGAGGACCCAGATCATTGGGGGCAATATGCTGACTCTGTAAACCGCTTAGAGAGGGCGGCAAAGCACTGTAAAGCGGTATATAAGTCTAAATGCTATTGCTATTAGCAGGAAGGCTGTACCATTAGACAAAGGGATGTTCGAGCTCAGATTGAACAAGATGAGGGAGGCTGGGACATAGTTCCTTGAACACTTTAACAACTTTAGAGCAACTAATTTAAGAAAGAAAGGAGCGAAACAAAACATGCTTCTTGGCTGGTTGCCAGATAAGCATTGCATTACTCCAGAGGACCACTAGATGGAAGGAATGTGTCCACTGAGTAGCTCACCATTCTGCTGCCATCTAGTGGACATTTTGAGGAATTGCAGACCAGAAATTGTAGCACTAAACCTTTGAATTACTTTATGCAGGAAGTTGATTCATGTCTTTAGTTATTTCCTTGACCGATTCTATTGTTTCTGTGATCAAATGCAAGGAAAGGGCTCTCATTCAGCCCAATTCCTAGTAAAGAAGATAGGAACGGACCTGTCAAAGACAAAATATCCTTTGTTTCCCAACAGAATTAATTTTGCTACTTTATGGGACTGTGTGAAATAGCCCCATTCTTAATGAAGTGAAACGGGACTTGATATTAGCTACTTTAAAAATCTCTCTCCCTCGCCATCAAGAGATCTCCTTGTATCATTTTCTGGGCAACAATCTGGAAATGGTTGCTCATTTTGATTTCCCAAGAGCCTGTAGCCCTCATATTTCCTGGTGGCCTCCCATCCAGAGATCAATGAGGTCCAATCAGCCATGGAGCTGTCACTGTTAAGGCCTTCCAGCACATACCTGGATGTACACAGCTGGAAACTGTGGAGACATTAAAAAAAAGCACAGGAAAATCAGAGACACCAAGGAATGAAAATGAGGATAGAAAAAAGGAGTAGGTAGAAAAAAGGGACATAGGAGATTCTTTTATGTTGCATTATGGTTTCGAACTACTTTTAGAATTCCCAACCCCCCCCCCATAACAACCACCCTGTGAGGCTGGTTGGTTGGTGACCACAAGGTCACCCAGCCAGTTTTCATGACTTAAGAGTAGATTTAAATTCAGCACTAATCCAAAGCCTTTAATTGCTCCATTAGTCTTCATTAGTTTTCACCCAGGAGTATCTCCACACACACATTGGGTTCAATACTATATGTGAGGAGGGAGAGGTCCATACAATTCCCCTGGAGAGGAATTGATCCCAGAGAGAGCAGGAATCAGGGGTGAAATCCAGCAGGTTCTAACAGGTTCTGGAGAACCAGTAGCGGAAATTTTGAGTAGTTTGGAGAACCGGCAAATACCACCTCTGGCTGGCCCCCGAGTGGGGTGGGAATGGGGATTTTGCAATATCCTTCCCCTGCCACACCCACCAAGCCACGCCCACAGAACTGGTAGGGAAAAATTTTGAATTTCACCCCTGCCAGGAATTGAATGTTTTCTCACAGAGACACCATCATCTATGTATGTCTTAATACCCCCCAAAATTTACCTTATTCTTCGTGGGATGTAAATCTGTATCGATAGAGACGATGCGAAACTGAACTGCAAAAGGCAAGAGGGAGAATATGTGGGGAAAGTAGCCACTGAATATACAAATATTAAACTATAGAAGGGATCTTGGAGATCATTTACTCCAGTGTTTTCTCATACTTGAGAATTTGAAGACATGTGGACTTCAGCTCCCAGAATTCCCCGGCCAGGCATGGGGTCTTTCCAGAAGATTCCGTGCTGGCTCTTGAATTCTGGGAACTGAAGTCTAAACATCCTCAAGTTGCTACAGTTGAAAAACACTAATCTGACCCCTGCCCAGGGCAGTAATACACTATTGCAGCATTCCTGGTAGGTGGCCATCCAGCTTTTCTTTAAATCCTTCCGCCAATCCTTCCTCCTGAGTAGTCAAGGCCATTCAGCTCCATTAAGACATTTTTTCCCCTGATGCACAATCATAATGTACCTTTCTGACATTTAGACCATTGTTTCATGCCTCCTAGAAATTGCTCAATTCCCCCAAAATTGAGCAGCTAAGAGATGCATGATGACCGCCGTCAGACCTCCACATAGTCGTCTCTGCTCCAAGGTGAAGAGCATACCCACTATCTCCAATCATTTATCATAGATATTTTTATCCTCCTTCCCTTTGGTTGCCCTTCTCTGGAGACACTCTGGTTTGTCTCTTTTCCTTGATGAAGTGCAGGGTCCAGCCAACCAGAGAAGAACAAGGAGGATTCCTGACATCAAAGAAGTCAGGTGGTTATGCCTATCCTGGCTCTATTCCCCTCAGTAGATGGTGTTTGGAAAGGATTATGGGTCATCTCCAGGTGGCATACAGGTAGTCCTCAACTGACGACCACAAGTGAGCTTAAGATTTTCATTGTTCAGTGAGACATTTGTTAAGTGACATTTGCCCCATTTTGCAACCTTTCTTGCCTTGGCTGTTAAGTGAACCCCTGCAGTTGATCAGTTGGTAACCTGGTTGTTCAGTGAATCTGACTCTTCCCCGTTGACTTCGTCCAAAAGTCCCAAAAAGTGATCACATCACTTTGAGACACTGCAGCCGTCATAAATATGAGTCAGTTATCAAGCATCTAAATTTTGACCATAGGATTATGGGGAGGCGACAAAAGTTGTAACTGTGAAAAATGGTCATAAGTCACTTTTTTCACTGCTGTTGTAACTTTAAGCGGTGACTAAATGAACTGTTGTAAGTCAAGAGCTACCTGTAGTTTGCCCACACCAAGATCAGAGCAAGCAAACAAATTCTTCCACCGCTCAATTCACCGAGCAAAAATGTCCTTTGATGTTTATTTATTACACATCAGCAAAGCTGAAAAACAGTTGACTGGCCAAATTGGAAGATTGGGGCAGGCAAAATTGGGGACACCGTGAACAGTGTATAAGAATGAATCTTATTTCCATTTCTCTTGCTATTCATCAAAAGGCATAGCGCCTTCCAAAGCCACTCAAAGCAATATGAGTCATTCCCAAAGACCCGGGGTATGTTTGATGATGTTAAAAGTTATTGTTATTGTTTTTACTATTAATGTTTTAAACCAGGAGTATCAAACTCGATTTCATTGAGGGCTGCATCAGGGTTGTGTTTGACCTGGGGGGGGTCGGGGTGTGTGTGGCCAAGGTGGGCATGGCCAGCTCGACGTCACTTGTATCGGGGGCGCCTGTGGTGGCCCAAGCACTCTGCCAGCAAAAATGGGTTTCCAAGCTCCGTTTTCGCTGGCAGAAGCATTGCGGGCCAGTCCTTCACTGTTTCCAGAGGGATCTGGCCAGATCTAAGCACCCTGCGGGCCGGAAATAGCCTGCAGGCTTTAAGTTTGACACCCCTGATTAAATGATACGGCGCCCTTCAAAACCAAATTTCCCAAGGAGACGGCATTAATCTTATCATTTCCATTTGTTATCCCCATATTGTGGGTAACTGAGCAGGATGTACATCACGGGTGGTATTGAAAAATGTTAGCAACCAGTTCTTTGCTCGGTTGCTGGGTGGGCATGGCCGTGGTGGGTGTGGCCTACTTGGTCTCCTGCACCACGGGGGGGGGGGAGGGGTGTTTTTGCCCTCTGGAGGCTCCTGAGGCTTTCCCCGAGCCTCCAGGAGGGCAAAAATGGCTTCCCCCGGGCTCCAGAAGCCTTCCGGAAGCTGCAAATGGGCCCGTTTCCGGATTTCCAGAACTTCCAGTAGGCCCGTTTTTTGCCCTCCAGAGCAGGGGTGAAATCTAATTTTTTTTGCTACCGGTTCTGTGGGCGTGGCTTGGTGGTCATGTGACTGGGTGGGTGTGGCCAGTTGATGTCATTCACGTCACTCACTATTAGAGCCAGGAGCTCCACATTCTGACACAGAACAGCAGCACATTCCGTCACAGAAGCCAGGAGCTGCACAAAAGCCCATTCTGCCTTTCTGAAGCCCCCAACGCTTTGAGTTTCACTCTGGCTTGACTGCCTAGGTGAACCTCAGAGCCTTCTCTTGCCCTGCTCTTCATCCCGGAGGGCCGCACATCCCCCCCTGCCAATCCTCCGTACAAACCGCCCACCCTGTTTCTGCAAAGGCAGAGCCTCCCCCTTGCAGGGCGATCCAAAGAGGGGAGGGGGATGCTGCTGAAAAAGCCTCCTCCTGCAGCCAAATGCGCCTAGCCGTCTGTGCCCTTTCCTCAAACGGGCTGTGCATGGGGCGCTTGGAGAGCGAGCGAGCAAGACAGCTCTCCAACCTCTGTTTGTGTGTGTGTGTGTGTGTGAGGGAGGGAGGGAGGGAGCGATCTGAAGCTGAGGCACCCAAACTTCTGGCAGCAGGGGGGGCAGCTTCTGAGCAGCCTGAGTCAGCCAGCTCCACCTGACCTACTCCCTGAGACTCGCCGTTCTCCTCGCCCCCCCCTCAAGCAGCGGCTTCCCTGCTCAGCTCCAACAAGATATGCATCCATAGCAATGGGGTTGTTTTGTTCACCGTGGTGGTACTTCAGGAGGGCAGGCGGACGTCTGCAGCTGACAACTATAATGAATATGTCCACCTGCTCTCCCGAAGCACCACGGTGGTGAACAAAACAACCCCATTGCTATGGATGCATAGCTTGTCAGGGCTGAGCAGGGAAGCTGCTGCTTGAGTGGGGTGAGCGGGGCGGGCGAGTAAGCTGCTAGCTCCTTCCCCGCAGCCCTGCCATGCTTGCCTGCCTTCCACGTGGGCTTCTGCTTGCCTGCCTTCGCAAGCTGGCCACGGGGACGCCAGGAAGGCAGCATGGAAGGCAGGCATGCATGGCAGGACTGCGGGCTGTGGACCGGTTCGAGGGCATGGCCAGCCAGCCATTGCTCCTGGTTCGGCGAACTAGCCTCAATCTCCACTACCTACTCGCCCGAGTCGGTCTGAACCGAGTGCATTTCACCCCTGCTCCAGAGGCTCCAGAGGCTTTTCCCGAGCCTCCAGGAGGGCAAAAATGGCCTCCCCCGGGCTCCGGAAGCCCTCTGGAAGCCAGAAATGGGCCATTTTCCGGACCTCCGGAATTTCCGGAAGCCTGTTTGTTGCCCTCCCAGGCCCTCCACGCAGGCCCTGTACTTACCAGCATGATAAATGGATCACATGGAGACTCCTGGGAGGGTGAGATGGGATGGACGGAGCCAGCCAGTCCTTGCAACAACTGGTTCAGCGAATCAGATGCAAAATTAGCATCCAGTTTGCCCGAACCGGTCTGGACCAGCTGAATCCCTCCCCTGGTGTACATGCTTGCTCTGATCTGGGCATAGGGTCTGACATAGAGGAGATAGTCATTTTCCAACATTTTCTGCCACAGTGGCGAATATCTGTAGCTTGAGTATAGATTCATTCTCCGAACTTGTGGGTTGGTTTCCAAACATTTCATTACCAAGCTAGGTAACATCTGCATCCAGGTTTAGGGGATGTCAGTGTCAATGTTCTTCTGTTTCTAAGGGCTTCAGGAGTGGGGGAGTCAAGTAAGGGTCAGGTGATGGGTCAGATGAGAGGTCAGGTGAGAGTAAACAGTGACTCACCGACATCAAACAGCACCAGTTTGATTGGAGTGACACAAAAATCATCGGCCACCCTACCACCCACCATGCTCGTGAGTTCATCGAAGCCTGGCACCCCACAAGCAATTCCATCAACAGACACATTGACCTACAAGCAGCCTACGAACCCCTCAGAATCCAAATCAACCTGACAGCCAACCAGAGAGAGCACCGACTCTCATCCAACGCACACAAGCCACCCCTGCCAGCAGTTCACTTCCCAATGACCCTGGCCTGATGTAACCTCCCCATCACAAGATCCATCACAAGACCCTCACCTGATGTGACCCACATCTGATCCATCACAAGACCCTCACCTGACACACTTGCACCTGAAGCCCTTAGAAACACAAGAATACTGACGTCCCCTAAATTCAGCTGAAGATGTTACCTAGCCCAGTAATGAAATGTTCGGAAACCAACCCACAAGCTCGGAGAATGAACCTTCACCCTCATTTTCTGCTACTTTTTGTGGCAATAAGTAGGCTGCATTGAATATTGTAAAGCTCTTCTGTACTCAATGCATTGATACAGGAGCCTGGATAGTTCAGCAGACTAATGCATTGTAATTTAACATCGGCTGTCTGCAATTACTGCAGGTTCGAATCTCACCAAGGCTCAAGGTTGACTCAGCCTTCCATCCTTTCTAAGGTAGGTAAATTGAGGACCCAGTTTGTGGGGGCAATAAGCTGACTTTGTATAAATATACAAAAGTATGAAGGCTATTGCTTAATGCATTGTAAGCCGCCCTGAGTCTCCGGAGAAGGGTGGCATATAAATCAAATTTTAAAAAAAATTATTCTTCCCCACCAGTTTTGGAGAAATCAGTTCACTTTGAGGCTCCCATGGAAGGATTTCACACTGGGGACACATCCCACTCCCTCCCCTTCTCATCTTTTTAGCTAGGTTGATTTTTTTTTTATCATATTATATTTATATCGTTAAGTTTTATACAGTTTTAATTTTTAATATTGTAAGCCGACCAGCATTATGATGTGGTAAGATAGGCAGCTAATAAAGTTTACAATAATTAATTTTTTTTAAAAAAAACACCCAGCTTCAGGTTATGCTCACACGGAGGCGAGAGGAGAAACAGGGAATGAATACGGGAAGTCTTCAACTTAACCACCATTAATTTAGTGACGGTTTGGAGTTACAATGGCGCTGAAAAAAATGGCTTACACTTATCCTCACAATTCTGACCGTCACCGGCTCTTCACGATCAAAATTTGGACACTTGGCAATCAGCATGCATTTATAATAGTTACAAGCATCTGGGAACCATATGATCCCTATTTGCAGCCTTCCCAGTCGGCTTCCGATAACGGGATCAAGAGAGGAAGTCAGATTTGCTTCACAACGACACCTTTCACTTCACAAATGCAGTGATTCGCTTAACAACCGGGTGAAGAAAGGTCATAAAAGTCAGGCGTGACTCACTTAACGTTCGCCTGGCTTAGCAATTGAAATTCTAAAATTTGTAAAGCAAAACCTGTAAAAATTGTAAAGATAATGCTTTGAAAGGGGTAGAAAAGCATGAATTTCAGGAGCAGGTTTCTCACTGGAGTCGCCCTTTACCTTGTTGTCCCGCTCTGTAGATTGGTTTGTCCATCTGGATGAAAACCAGATGCTTTGGTTTCTCAATTTTCACCATTTTGTGGATCCTGAAATTCTGGGTCAAGTCATTTCCCTTCAACTCAAGAGTGGCTTCCAATGGGGGAGAAATGTTGCTGTCCTCGGGAATCTACAGGATGAAAAGAGTCAAAATCAAACGGTTTGAGAGGTATTGTTATCATGATGTTCTATTGTTTTGCGTTTGCATTATGTTGAATGTAACAACCTAAGGGGGAGAGGGAGAGAGAAAAAGAGCAACTTACCTGGAAAGGAGTACATTGAAATTCATTGTCCTGTTTTACCGTCTTTTGAATCAGGATAAAATCCTGGATCTCGGATTTCAGCAAGAGGGTCAAGTTGAATGTTTCCTTCAGATTGCTCATCTGGATGCAGAAGTTCTCAGTGCTCTCCACATAGATTGTGCTGGGTACCAACGCCACATATTGCCTTGAAAAGAGGGGCAGGGGCTCTGATTAGGAACTACGCAGAGCAAATACAAGACGGTTTCCTGAGATTTGGGCCTGTGTTGGTGGAGATAGATCTGGGTCAAAAGGTTGAAGCATTACAACTGGACCAATCTTTGTTAATCAGAAGCGTTTCATTGCTCATCCAAGCAACTTCATCAGTCAGAGCAAATTAGTTAGGAAGAGTCAAAGAGTCGTTGGAATGTACGAACTTTTGCCACACCAACTTCAGGGGTTTCTCCCCAAAATGGGTTGCAAACTGGGGAGAAACCCCTGGAGTTGGTGTGGCAAGAGTTGGTACGTTCCTCTGACTCTCTGCCTAACTAATTTTGCTCTGACTGATGAAGTTGCTTGGATGAGCATCAGAACATCTCAGATTAACAAAGATTGGTCCAATTAGTATGATTCAACCCTTTGACACCTTTGGCCAGGGAGACTGAGTCTTCATCGACACATATCTCTAAAGCAACTTCGGCATCTTTAAGGTGTGTGGATTTTAGCTCCCAGAATTCCCCAGCCACTATACTAATTGGGGAATTACAGAATAACAGGGTTTGAAGGGACCTTGTTGGTCATCTAGTCCAAGCCCCTGATCAATCAGGAGACCCTACAACATTTCTGACAGATGGCTGTCCAGTCTCTTCTTGAAAGCTTCCAGGGATAAAGTTCCCACAGCTTCTGAAGGCACAGCTGTTCCATTGGTTGATAGTTCTGTCAGAAAGTTTCTCCTTATTTCTAGGTCGAATCTCTCCTCAATCAGTTTCCATCCATTATTCCTTGTCTGGCCTTCGGGTGCTTTGGAAAATAGGTTATTCCTCTCCTCTCTTTGACAGCCTCTCAAATTTTGGAAGACTACAATCATGTCACTCCCGGTTCTTCTGTTCATTCTTCATGTTTTAGCCTCCAGTCCCCTAATCATCTTTCTTGCTCTTCTCTGCACTCTTTCTAGAATCTCAACATCTTTTTTATAGTGTGGTGACCAAAATTGGATGCAGTATTCTACGTGTGGTCTTACTAAGGCTTTATAGAGTGGTATTAGTACTTCACATAATCTCGATTCAATCTCTGTTAATGCAATTTAGGATTGCATTGGCTTTTTTAGCTGCCACCACACATGACCAGCTCAATATTTATTTATTTATTTATTAAAATTTGATTTATATGCCGCCCTTCTCCGGAGACTCAGGGCGACTTACAATGCGTTAAGCAATAGCCTTCATACTTTTGTATATTTATACAAAGTCAGCTTATTGCCCCCACAATCCGGGTCCTCATTTTACCTACCTTAGAAAGGATGGAAGGCTGAGTCAACCTTGAGCCTGGTGAGATTTGAACTTGCAGTAATTGCAGGCAGCTGATGTTAATAACAGTGCTTTAGTCTGCTGTGCCACCAGGGCTCTATTTAATTGATTGTCAACTAAGACGCCAAGATCCCTTTCACAGTTACTGCTATTAAGCCAAGTTTTACCTAATCTGTATGTGTATTGTTGGTTTTTCTTGCCTAAATGTAAGACTTTATTTTTTTCTATGATGAATTTCATTTTGTTAGATAGGGCCCAGTGTTCAAGTCCGTCGAGATCCATCTGGATCCTGAGCTATGGGATCTAGGGCAGGGTTGTCAAACTCCCAGCCCATCGTGTCATTGCAATTAACAATTTCATTAACTATTTTAACCAAAGAACTAATCCTAACTAGTTCAAGCTGTCTCTCCTTTTGTTTTCCTTCCTGATCTATGCAAGAGATCACTTTGGCCTGGATCAGGCTGGTCTATCTCCTTCTGTCATTACTTTTTGCAATGCTCAGATCCTTTTGTTCACTGACAGCATGAGAACTCTTTCCCCTTTCATGTCCCCTGCTCTCTCTCTCTCCCTCCCTCCCCCCTCTCTCTCAGCTAGTGTTTCCCTGAAAATAAGACCTAACTGGAAAATAAGCCTTAGCATGACTTTTTCCAGGAACCTCCTTGTGGCTCAGCAGACTAAAAGCATTGTGATTAACACCAGCTGTCTGCAATTACTGTAAGCTCGAATCTCATCAGGCTCAAGGTTGACTCAGCCTTCCATCCTTTCTAAGGTAGGTAAAATGAGGACCCAGTTTGTGGGGGCAATAAGCTGACTTTGTATAAATATACAAAAAGGATGAAGGCTATTGCTTAGCGCATTGTAAGCCGCCCTGAGTCTCCGGAGGAGGGCGGCATATAAATCAAATTTAAAAACAAAAAAAGCCCTATGCCAAAAATAAGCCCGTTAAGATCGTCAGCCAGACAGACGCACTTAGTACCCTATTTCCCTGAAAATAAGCCCTAACCAGAAAATAAGAAAGACATTTTATAAAAGAGACTCTGGGAAGCTAGAATAAAAGACTAAAACCATAGAGCGCTCGGCTCCCTACCAAGTCTCCTAGGATTGGAGTGGTCCTCCTTTCTGGGTCTGGGAAACACTGGCATTAACTCCATCAGTGACTCTGATATTGAGGCCTTAATCTTTAATTTTGCAGATGTCTTTGACGGAAACCAGGGCAAATATATGGGCACATCGATCACATTTAACCTTGGCCCCCAGGTTGCTCCAATCTGGATGAAGTCACGAAGAGTACCGATTGCCTTGTGCGCAAAGGTTGATGAGCAACTTGACAAGCTCATCAGCCAAGGAATCCTGGAACCTGTTGACCTCACAAAATAGGAGACTCCAATTGTGACTCCTGTGAAGCCGGACAGTTCTGTCCGCTAATAACTCTGGCCTCACTTCCATTCTTCGCCCAGAACCTAACACAGATGTTAGGCATTTTTTAAAATATATGTCTAAACAATATAATGGGGATTACTTAAACTTGATAAATGTGATAGAGATTACTAATATTGTTACCGTGAATTGGATTAATATGAATGATACCCAAAACCAATTTTGTTCATACACAATAGATTGAACAAGAAAGATCTTGAGGAAGATAGAGATAAAGATGAGGAGTTAGGCATTTTTTGTTTATGTATGTTTAAACAATATAAGGAGGATTACTTAAATTTGATTAATGTGATAGAGTTTATTAATATTGCTATTGTGAATTGGATTAATATGAATGATACCCAGAACCAACTCTGTTCACACACAATATGGATGTATATTTTTTTTAAAAAAAAAGGTACTAATGGTTTTAGTTTTCAGGAAGGCATAATTGGATACTAGAAACTGTTTCTTAAAATTTAAATTCTTGCCCTGAGCCAAGGAATAGACTGGATGTTCTCAAGGGTTTCTTTCTTCTCAGTACTCGTAAAATGGAAAGATGCACCTGCTTGTCTGCCAATTAACAATTTGTCTGGTCTTTACAAAAGTCCAGACTATATTCACATTAATTCATTAATGCTCCTAAGAAACTCTTCAAAAGGAGGGAGGGAGGGACAGAGGAAGGGAGGGAGGGAGGGAGGGAGGGAGGAAGGAAGGAAGGAAGGAAGGAAGGAAGGAAGGAAGGAAGGAAGGAAGGAAGGAAGGAAGGAAGGAAGGAAGGAAGAGTCAATAGATGGGGTACACAAATGAAGCTGTCTTTAAAATAAGCACTAAATATACCGTATTTTTCAGAGTATGACGCACTTTTTTACCAAAGAGGGTGAAAATCTGGATACATCTTATAGTCTGAATATAGCCCCACCCAGCCTCTGAAATGGAGGTTTCAGAGGTTGAACAAAGCCTCCGAAACCTCCCTTTGAGAAGATGAAAAAAAAAGCAAGGCACAGAGCTCACAACCAACGAACCTGTTGCTAAAGTGCATCTCTGGGAACAGCTGATTGAGGGTATTCCAGGAGGCCGATCAACCCACCAATCAGCTTTTTTCTTATTTTCCTCCTCAAAAACTAAGGTGCATCTTATACTCTGGTGCGTCTTATAGTCCAAAAAATACAGTATGTTGCAGAAATGATCCTTCCATTTTCAGGAAAGGACTGTGGTCTTGTCTAGCATTATTTTATGTTATTTTTACTTATTTATTTTTCACATTTCTGAACCACCCATCTCCCTCAAAGAGTATATCCTGTACATTACGCTTCAAAGTCGCATTGCGTTCTATGGGGTCCCTTCTCAGTTAAATAAATAAGGTGACTATCCCTCCACCTCCTAATGCCACCTTGATGTCCCAAGCCAAAATAAAAACTAATCTTACAGATGTCCCAAAGGTATTTTTTCAAGAGGCAACTGGACTTTCCGGTTTTTCTTTGAAGACGTTTTGCTTCTCGTCCAAGAAGCTTCTTCAGCTCTGAGCTGCCTCATGAAAAAATACCCTTGGGACAACCATGAACTGGATGACTGAAAAGCTCCATAAATCTTACAGTCCATATTTTTAAAAAGAAGTTCTGTCTCCCCCTGCCACACCACCACTATCTCTGGGGCATCGCTCCTCCTTAAGTTTCCTTTGGAAAATCCTGGACTGAGAGATGCTTACTTTAAAAATAAAACAGCAGAGTTTAAAGCCTAAATCTTTCCCAGACAAAGAAGACAGAAAGGGAAGAAGCCTGAAGAAATCAACTTACAATTTGGAGGCAGCTACAGGGGTCCTGAGAAGGACGGACAGCAGAAGGAGAAGGAAGAGGTTTTTTCCACATTGCCAGCTTTCCCCCATAATATTGAAGAGAGAGGCTGGCTGCGAAGCTGAGGAGAAAAGTATCAGCTGTTCCCTCTTCAGCTCTGGTTGCTGACTGCCTCTCTGCAAACAGTCCGCGTGGAAGAAAAGGTAAAACCCAGGAACTCAGGGGACAGTTCTGATTCGCCAACAGTGGGTCCTTGCCAATGTTCAAGGACAAAAGAGCACACCGGGGCGGAGACTCAAATAACACAACTTTATTCTGCACAGAACGAGGATCCGGGGAGGTTTCCTTTGAAGCCTCTGTAACCTAGTGGTTTACAGCTGGGTTTTTTTTATACCTGCAAACCCCAAAACTCAAAAACCTGAATATCAAAGTGCAGTGATGGCGAAACCTTTAGAGACCGAGTGCCCACAATTCAAGTCTCTCTCTCTCAGGATGCGCACATGCACGTGTGCGCAAGAGCAACCCAAATACCAGCTGGCCGACGGGAGGCGGTGTATCACAACACCGCCAGGCCTGCAAGAGGCGAGATCTTTTTCTTTCACGAGCTTGTTTGTTTCCCTGCAAACAACGGCAAGAAACGCCATGGAGAAATGCGGTGGAGCTGAGCTGGTGCGACGACGCACATCCCCACAGAGAGGGCTCTGAGCGCCGCCTCTGGCACGCGTGGCATAGATTTGCCACCACTGTCATAGTGACATGCGTCGCTCCATTTTCTCTTATATACAGTTACAAAAGTAGACATACAAGCTTTCCAACAGCTTTCCTAATATGGTATAACTACCGTGTTTCTCCAAAAATAAGACCCTGTCTTATTTTTTGAACCCTGAACTAAGTGCTTGGCCTTATTGCCATGCGTTCAAGAGCTTGATTGGGTTTATTATCACGGGATGTCTTATTTTGAGGGAAACAGGGTATCATTTCAGCCAATGCTTTTGTGAGCCTTATTAAACTTGGTCTCAATATAAGACAAAGGTAAAAGTAGAGAAAAGTGAGAAAAGAAAGGGGAGATAAAGGGGGAAAGGGGGAAAGAAAGAAAGAAAGAAAGAAAGAAAGAAAGAAAGAAAGAAAGAAAGAAAGAAACAAACAAAGAAGAAAGAAAGCAAGCAAGCAGACTTCCAACTTTTTTGATGCAATAAAATTCAGGTAGTCCTCGACTTACAACAGTTCATTTAGTAGACTAGAATAACAGATTTGGAAGGGACCTTGAAGGTCTTCTAGTCCAACCTCCTGCTCAGGCAGGAAACCTGATACCATTTCAGATAAATGGTTGTGCAATCTCTTGTGTGCGTCTGTATCATATGTATATGTGTGTTATGCATGTGTATGAGAAAATATATACTTTCTTTTGAGAGCAGGCACCAGAATTTCATTTTTAATGTGGGCCAGTGTGCTCACAAATATGATTGGTATATCTCTCTGTGTGTGTGTCTGTGTGTGTGTGTGTGTGTGAGAGAGAGAGAGACTGACTTTGTTCCTTGTGTAATGGCTAAGTGGAAAGAGGCTGTGAAGCAGGGGATATGAAAGTTTCCAAAATTCTTTGCCTATTTTGACTTGCATTCCTGTATTGTCTCCCACAGTGCTGCTTTTGTTAGACTGGACTATTTTTTTCCCCTTTCATGTGAAAACAAAGGAATTAAGCTGTTCTGCTTTCTTCCTGCTGCCCATCGCCATCTTGCCATCTTCTCCCATTAGTGAATCTATCATTTTCTTGATTTTCTTCTTATGCCTTAAAGCCTAAATGAAACTTGTTATTTTTGGCTTTTTTTTTTTTTTTTTCAAGTCTTCGTTCATTCCGAACCTTTAACCTTTCTGATTCCATCCTTATAGATTTCAGATATTTACTGGTATTTGATTTGAGTTTATATGGCCTTCTTTCCCTTTTTCATATTTGTCCTTTTTGTTTCCCAATTAGTCAGAAAGCTCTTTGTGCAGCCATGCTGGTCTTGTTTTGGGTCTCTTGTTTATCTTTCTCTGTGATGTTGGTTTTCTTGGTTTTCAGTTTCCCAAGTATCCTAAGTTTTTCCTTTTAGGATTTCCATCCATTGAATCCTTCCTAAGATCTTTCTTAGTTTGCTGAAGTAGCTGTCTTAAAAGTCTAAAAGATTAGTTTGACTTTGTTCAGTTACCTACATCATTATGATGAATTCCAGTACGACTTGGGTCACTCTCTCCCAAAGTTCCTGCCTCTTCAACCCCCTCTATCATTCCATCTCTGTTAATAAGAATTATAGAGCTGATCCACTAATTCCCTCCTCTACCTTTTGGATGATAAAAGTTGTCAGCCAGGCACGTCAGGAACCGATTCAATCTCCCACTCATGGCAGAGTTTGTTTCCCAGTTGAAGTCAGGATAGCTAAAGTCCCCCATTACTGCCCTGGTGTTTCCTGCACACCTCAGCTAGATGATTAGCAAACAGTTCATCTATTGCCTCTGCTTGGTTGAGTGGTCTGTAGTTCGCACCTATAGCCATGACATTTCTTTTTCCCTCAATATTCACCCAAATACTTTGAAGGATTTCATCCCTGACATCATGTATTTCTATGTAGCTGTAGTAATTCTTTACATACATACATACATACATAATTTCTGTGCAGCTATAAAGGTAGTCCTCAACTTACCAACTGAGCCAAAATTTCTGTTGTGAGACATTTGTTAAGTGAGTTTTGTCCCATTTTACAACATTTCTTGCCATCGTTGTTAAGGGAATCACTGCAGTTGATAATTTAGTAACACGGTTGTTAAATGAATCTGGCTTCCCTATTGATTTTGCTTGTCAGAAGGTTGCAAAAGGCGATCACATGACCTTGGGACACAGCAACGGTCATAAGTATGAACCAGTTGCCAAGCATCTGAATTTTGATCACATGATCGTGGGGATGCTACAAAGGTCATAGCTGTGGAAAATGGCCATGTCACTTTTCTCAGTGCGGTTGTAACTTTGAACAGTCACTAAATGAATTATTGTAAGTCGAGGACTACCTGTAGTAATTGTTTACATACATACATCTTTACATACTATGCATACATACAATTATTGCTACTCTTTTATTGGATCTGCATCTTCTGAACAAATTATATCCTCCCAGTAATATATTATAATCGTGGGCTCCATCTCACCAAGTTTCAGTGATAATATCAATGTTCATCCTCAGGTCTATTGAGAGTTTGTGGAGGGGGGAGGATTAAAACTGACTTGCAGTTCCAGCAGAATAGGGGATCATCCTGTCAACACAACCAGGGAAGGCTGCCAGTTAGGGGGGAAAACCAACAAATTTACTCTTGGCTTTGCACTCTGGCCAAGGAAACTGTGGCTCTTGTGAAAGACAGGGAGGCTTTGGATCGTGATTAATTGTTTGGTTATTTCATCAGCCTTCCTCCGGATCCGTCAGATTAAAGAAAAAAATAACTGCCTCCCAGCTGTGGCAAAAGAACAAATTGATTCAGGGGGAGTAGGTAAATAACCAACATTCCCTAAAATAATATTTAATTACATGGACTTTCAGCCAAAAGTTGACTGACTGGGAAGCCGTCGCTTAGCCCTTCTTGCTCCCCGTGGAGAGTTCTTTGCACTTGATTTGCCCGCGAGAACTTCGGGGTTTTTTTTGTGACCCGATCCTCGCTGTCAATGCTGCGGGCAAGAACCTGGCCACACGTATCCCACTTCAGGGATAAGATTCCCGACAATAAGGCCAAGGCCATATTTCAGGGGTCAAAAGAAAATAAGACCCTGACTTATTTTCAGGGAAACACGGTATATAATAAATATAATATAATATAATATAATATAATATAATATAATATAATATAATATAATATAATATAATATAATATAATATAATATAATATAATATAATATAATATAATAAATATAATATAATGGTATACAAATCAAGCCAAGCTGGACGTGGTCAAACAAGAGATGACAAGACTGAACATCGACATCTTAGGAATCAGTGAACTAAAATGGAGTAGTCGAAATTTTTGCCCCAACCACTGGTGCTGAAGAGGATGAAATTGACCAGTTCTATGAAGCCCTATAGCACCTTATAGAATTAACCAAAAAAAAAAATGATGTCTTTATCATCATGGGGGATTGGAATGCTAAAGTAGGAAGCCAAAAGATAACCGGAATAACAGGCAAGTTTGGCCTTGGAGTAACAAAGTGAAGCAAGGCACAGGCTGATAGAATTTTGTCAAGAGAATATGACGGTCATAGCAAACACTCTTTTCCAACATCCCAAGAGACGACTCTACGCATGGACATCACCAGACAATCAACACAGAAATCAGATTGACTATGTGCTCTGCAGCCAAAGATGGAGAAGCTCTATACAGTCAGTAAAAACAAGACCAGGAACTGACTATGGCTCAGATCATGAGCTTCTCGTTGCAAAATTTAGGCTTAAATTGAAGAAAGTAGGGAAAAGCACTAGGCCCCACAGGTATGAATTAAATCATATCCCTGATGAATATACAGTAGAGGTGACAAATAGATTTAAGGAATTAGATCTGATAGACAGAGTGCCTGAACAACTATGGACAGAGGTTCGCAACATTGTACAAGAGGTAGCAACTAAAACCATCTCAAAGAAAAAGAAAGGCAAGAAAGCAAAATGGCTGTCTGAGAAAGCTTTGCAAATAGCTGAGGAAAGAAGGGAAGCGAAAGGCAAGGGAGAAAGATACACTCAACTGAATGCAGAATTCCAGAGAATAGCTGGAAGAGATAAGAATGCCTTCTTAGGTGAACAGTGCAAAGAAATAGAAGAAAACAATAGGGAGGACCAGAGATCAACTTCAAGAAAATTGGAGAAATGAAGGGAACGTTTCATGCAAAGATGGGCATGATAAAGGACCAAAATGGCAGGGACCTAACAGAGGCTGAAGAGATTAAGAAGAGGTGGCAAAATTACACAGAACTATACAAGAATGAACTTAATGTTCCCGATAACCAAGATGGGATGGTCACTGACTTCGAGCCAGACATCCTAGAATGTGAAGTCAAATGGGCCTTAGGAAATCTGAGCAGGAACAAAGCTAGTGGAGGTGACAGTATTCCAGCTGAACTATTCAAAATCTTAAAAGACGAGGCAGTAAAAGTGCT